GTCTTTCGGGGAGTATGTGTTTTGCGGTGTTTGCACTCACTAATCGCGCACGGTGGCGAGTCCCAATAGCTCGTTCAGCTCCCATTGCTGGAGAGTCATTGCCTAATTTGTGCCAGAATGTTCTTTTCCTGGCTGCTCGGCCCTGTTGAGTGTGTACTTAGTGCGAAGTGATCACACTACAGAGATTGCACGCTTCACATTCCAAATCGGTGACCCAACCTCGCAGAGTTGACACCACGTTACCTTTTAGTCCGTCAGTCTGTCTGTCTGTCTTCCAGTTATGGCCCTGAGGGATATAACACATTCACGTTCTCCAGCCCTCTCTATAGGGGACTCTTCCCTTTTCAGATATCTAGAGAAAGACTTTGGGGATAGAATCGTGGAGACACAGAAACACAGTAAGGCCATTCAGTGCCTCCAGCCTGCTCCGTCATTCTATAAGATCATGGCTGATCTTTACCTCAACTCCAATTACCAGCCTTTACCTAACAAATATCTGTCCACCTCAGTCTTGAAACTTGCATGAATCCAGTATCCATTCCTTTGCGGGGAGAGAGTTCCAGATTTCCACTTCCTCGTAGTGGAATTACTGATGATATAACTTCTTTTTAATATAAAAAATATTATTTCATTACATGTTCCTTTCGACCACCCCCCATTTAGCATGGGTGTCATTTGAATTACTTCTGTGTTGAAATTACCATGTAGTGTAGTCCGTTGAGACACTAACTTGTATTGAGGAGATGAATGATTAAATATATAACAAGAACAACTTGCAGTTATATAGTTATATACTCCTTCCAGGGTAGTGTCCCAGAGCGTTCATACAGTAATATAGATATATATATACAGGGTGACCAAAAAGCCGTGATATCTACCCAATTATCTAAAAAGAAAACTTGATTTATTTTAAGACGTATTAGACATTGCTACGGTATCATGACTTTTTGATCACCCTGTTCACACCTACAGTAATATGGTTTCAGACTCGGTTACTTGAATGCCAATTCAGAAATGCAAGTCGCAAATTTCACGTTTCACCTATTTTTCCAGATTCTGAAGCTGTCGTATTGCGCCAGTATGAGATGTCGTCTCTCAGCGCATCATTTGTGAAAATCAGATTCGATGATTTACAGTTTTACGAAAACTGTGGAGGAGGAAGCTTTGGTAGTGTTTACCGAGCAAAATGGTTGTCGCAGGACAAAGAGGTGGCTGTCAAGAAATTGCTGAAAATAGAAAAGGAGGTACAGTCTCGATTTATTGTTTTGATCTTTTCCTTTATACAGGCCAACCCCGATAGAGCGTTCCCCAATTAAGAGTGGGTTTGCTCGGAGCGCTTACGCACTGTTAACACGCGCTAACAGGAATTTTTTTTTTGGGTGGGGGGGGGGGTGTGGGGGGTCAGCTGGGTGTCTGACACGTGCGGAAACCCGGCACCGTGTTTTAAGAGCATCCAAACCGAACTCAGCATTCCAATGCCTCCCACCTACACGTGGAGATCCCGGAGAGAGATTGTTGGAATGGAATGCGCTCCCTCTCTGGAGGGTCACATCCTGCTAACAGGAAGCGACATTAACAGTGTATTTATGCAAAATGCTGGAACTGACATCAGCAGCGACCTGCTGACCCACTGAAATCAGCCATTTTCCCCCTACCACACCAGGGCTACAAGCTTCAGCCTGAACCAGCGGAGGGGAACTGCATTTATTAGTTCCCACCCACTGTAACTTGGTCTAATTTCCTGGTCAGCACATGATCGAGCAACAGATGTCCTCAGGATTCTATTAGTCACTCTATGAGGCTCGGAGTCCTGTGTAACCCTTCCACGTTGAAAAAACTTGGGCCTCAGGCGAAATGAGGAATGAATAGCTCTCCTTTTAAAATGAAAACAAAACGTTTATTTTGAGAAATGTCACCAATATATTACAGCTCTCAAATTTATTTTTGTTAAAATATGAATGATACAGTCCAGGGGAATTGAGTTGGGTTGGATGGGAGTTTCGAGTGGACCCGGTTCAACAATGCAGAATTATCTCAACGTAGGTATTGAATTGGGAATATCGGAGAGAGAGGTCGTCAAAACAGATGGTGCAGAGATCAGAGAAAAATCACACTGAGGATTCATCTCCATCCAGGATGGAGGTGAAGAAACGTTAATGTTATTGTGACTGTCGTCTGCCCTACATTTGACTGGAGAGTAATTGATTATCAGGTTGCGTCAAGCATAGATTCTGTTCTGCTGAACTGACCTTCTTTATCTTCAGGCACACAAAAATCGGGGAAAACATTGCTTTATGGTACTGGTATTTTGTTTTTCTTGTTGCTTGGAAATTCATAAGGGAATTGACTGCTTCTGTTTCCTGGGATGGGAATTGGATACCAGTGGGGTTGCCATAAATTGACCGTTTGTAAATTCTTTCAACTTTGTTGGAATGTTTCTTATTGACCAAACGAAGCCAATATTCCAATGTTTGTAAAGATTTATTTTCTTTTTAAAAACAATGTCCGATATGAGAATATTTTTGAAACAAACCGTGCAATATCTTGAAATAAACAACGTAATGGTTGTCAAGGTTACACCACGACAACAATTTGCAGTTACATAGCGCCTTTTACACAGGGAGTGTTTCGGTGTGCTGAACGGAGGTGGAGTTTGATACCGAGTCGGAGAGAGGGGGGAGGTGACTGTAGATGGAAAAGGAAGGTTTTCAGGTGTGATTTGAATATGAGGAAGGAGGAAATAAGGCAGAGAGTTCAATAGTTTCTGGGATTGGAGATTTATTTAAAATGTTATGTCTTTTTATTACTATATCTGATTTTATCGGATTTTAAATTGGCGTAGAATGATTAACTGAATATGGTTCACTTTTGTTGTTAAATTCAGGCAGAAATTCTTAGTGTTCTGAGCCACAGAAATGTCATCCAGTTCTTTGGAGCTGTCTTGGAATCACCCAACTATGCCATAGTAACAGGTAGGTGTGTTTTTTCCCCCTCAGGTTCTACACGTAACCTGTTTGTTCACAATCCAACATATTCAGTACATTGTTACATTCCTATTAGATTTAATATTCAACACCGACTGTGATTAATATACGGCCGGAAAGCATTGCTGTGGAGATGGACAGTGTTAACAATTTCAGGATGTTATTCAATAGACTTCTGATGGTAAATGGGGATTTGGGGTGTGATAAATACAGAGACTGAATTTGCACAATTAGACCATACAATTACTTTAAATCTACCATAGTCTTGAATGTGTTTGAGGTATGTCATGACACCTCTTACAGATCTAAATCTCAGATTGTTTATCATCCATGCAATATGTTCGCAAAGGCAGCCTTGTTATACATTTGTATTTTCTATACCTGGTAAAAAAAAAATTGGTCCGGAAAGTGCAACACATTCTCCACGTATACAGTTTCAACGAAAGTACACAATGAGCAATTTTAATTCACATCTCACTTTTTTTTTTAGTTGGGTAGTGAGCTCTGCCAAGTTTATGCTTTTTTCCACAATGTAACAGAAGTCATTTCTGGGTCTGAATGAACTCGTAATCTGATCCGCTCTTTTGAATTATTTTAAACAGTTATCATAATTTCCAGTTTGCCTAAAAAATGAGTTGTTCAGTGCAGTGAGCTCCTGATAACTCGTCACTCCAAGGGGAAAGAGCTCAGCGACCAATTATCCGGAGTGGTGAGTTAGGCACAGGTCCTCCTGGGCCACAAGGGGGCACTGTAACAGGTGCCAGCGTTCGGCGGAGGTCTATTGGAGGGCCATGTTATGGCTTCCCATCCTATCCCGTGACAGTGGTAGTGATAAGCTAAGGCAGTGTCTTGTTAGCAGAAGTTTACCGTACATTGCTTGTTTGTATTTTTATACTTTGGTGCATTGAGATCTCTGATGCACAACTCATGTCTGTGCACCTAATAATAATTGAAAAGCTTGGGGGACTGTGGAAATGGCCATAAACCATAATTATAGTAATAATCCTTACACTTGTTATAGTGTCTTTCACATCAGGACATCTGAAAGCATTTTACAGGGTTTACTGTAATGTGTAGTGACTGTATTTTGTAGGCGAACGTGCCAGTCAATTTCCACACAGCAACGTCCACAAATTAATTGTAAAGGAAATGAGATGCTTGAAAGGGAGGAATAATTATACGGATCAAACAAAAGAGTGGGACTAGACGAGGTGGTCCATGTGGAGAAAAACACCACTATTATTCTATCTCGGAACTGCACCACTTCCCAAACTATTTCTATCCCATTGTAGTACGTTTTGTGGTCAATTAGCAGTCAGTCAGACACAGCCAGTGCTTCAGAGACTCCAACTCCCAATTGTTTTATATTTTCCACCTTTGCATTGTTAAATAATTATACGTCAGAACAGCCTGAAACTTTTCAATGAGCTTATTAAGGAATGGCTTTTTATTATGCCATTTTAATAATAACACACACGCATGCATAAAATAGAGGGAATGATGTATATGTTTCCTTCGCTAGATAAGGAACCATACATGAAGCCTCATTGCAGAATATTAAAATACTAACTCCAACTTCCTCTCAAAACTATTTATATGTAGTTACTCTCCGCAAGTTCCTAAATGTATTACAGAGGTAGGTGGGCGTTCATTAATCAAGAAGATTTCAATAAGAGCCTGAATGGGATTTATATTTTTCCTCATTGCTGTTCAATTCCACACGTCCCAGGGTATGGTCTACTTTCAATCCAACACTTAATGAGGCTTGAAAGGAGCAGTTTAAAACCTAAAAAAGACCACCCTCTCCATGGGTACACATTATTAGTGGGTCTTGAAGCAGATAATGGCAGCCAAGTTCGTGGAATTAAATGCCAGACTCAAACTGTTACAACTAAAGCTGCTTGCACAGTAGTTCATCGATTGCTCCCCATTGTCACGGGAGATTGAACTGGACCAAAAGGTTAACACTTAAATTGGTGATCTCGAGATATACATTCAAAGCAGATCGCTCAGAAACTTTTGTCACTGTCTTTTTCGCTGTGTGATACATCCTTCCTTTATCAGTTTTGTTTTTCTGGGCGCATCAAGTACAAGGTGTCTAGTCCACGTGCAGATGAGGAATGCGGTTAACTTTGTACTTCGGGGACTAATTAAGCTTTTAAGGAAGCTGCGGTGTAACAACAATGATGCCGTACTTAAATTATTAAGGGAGTCGTTCTCTTACCTGTGCCATGACTTAATGCACATAGGACGGAATCATATTCCTCTTTCAGCTCATCAGTTTGCAGGGCTGCAAATATTGTCTGACTTGAGCAGGACAAAGCATAACAGCAAAAGCATACAGTTTAAAATGAACCTTAATCTTTCATCTTAAAACCACTGCATGATTCTTGACAGCTGAGATTGCTGGAAAACTGCTATCGTGACAGCCTCTTGGAACAAATAGGTGCTGAAGTTTTCCAGTGGCAGTCAAAATAATTGGGTGTTCGTTGACCATTCTCTCTATATCCTCACTTTCCCAGGTTTATGTCCAAACTCTAAATAGAGGAGATAACTGTGACTACTGGCTGTAGAAAGACTGAAATAGATTTTTTTTGGATATAAACATCAATCTTGCATGAAGGATCTTATAGTGGATGGCATTATTATTACTCGTGGAAGATGATGAGGATTTGAGGATCAAAACGAGAATGTAGCACTTCAGTTTTCCAAAGTGAAATCAGGATTTCCATTTCGATTGCGGATTTTTTGGTACACTTCATTTATAAGTTCAAGATATAATGAATGCATACTCCATTAAGTAATCATTATGAATTGTTAGTTGCAGGTACAATAGCTGCTTTTTATGTTTAGTTATGCAGTCCTTTAATCATATTTGAAAATAAGTCCGTATGTCTGCTAGTCCATATATTTTGTTAGCTTTGGTGGCTGTTATTTCCTGCGGCGTGAAAGTCAAATTTGGAGTAAAATGCTTTGTTGCTAGGAATCTGCTTCAAAATTCAATACGAGTGAAAGCTAATGAACACCTAGCAAACATTAGCTCTATGGCATGTGTAACCAGTTTTAGTTATGCACACATTGTATTTAAAATTTGATTGGATGTCAAAATTGAACTCAAACAGTTGCAGGTATCGTGGCCAGATGCAAGGGAAAATGTGCACCTGATTTAATCGCGCTCGAAAGATGATCTGTTGGAAACATTATTTACTTTTTTTACTTTATCTTGAAATTGCTATTTCCCTATATCAAACCAGTCAAATTAAGTGCTGATCAAGTCGCACGCTGTATTTATGGTTTTAAATAAGGTCCATGCAACAGAAAGATATGTTGCACGTTGGGAGAACGTCTCAAGGTGCTTTATAAAGATTGAGCAGAAGCTTGTTTACTTGACGTATTAAATGGCACAACTGCTCACCCACCCCAATGACTGGAGTTTAGATCTCTCCTGTCTTAGCCCAAATATAAGAGGTAATTTCTTACATTTCTCACCTGCTTGTAAAAGCTATCCAGGCCAATGATGTCCTCGCTTAGTTACATTACAGAAAAAGGTAATCTGATCAGGTTTTTAAACTGCTGAGAGGAATAATTCTTGCACTTGACATAGGCATCAAAAAGTCTTAAACCGCTCCAGGGGATTTTTACTGGAAAGTGTCGTGACTATGTATTTATAGGCAATCATAGTGGGTAAATTGCGACAGCAAACATGAAATGAACAGCCAAGTTTACCTGAGGGGTCACTTGGAGAAGCTCCTTAACCCTTCAACTAGTGGCACGGGATCTTTCTCGTCCACCTGATCAGGCAGATGGGTCCTCGATTTCATGTATCGTCCAAAGGATGGCACCAATGCAGAGCTTGCCCCCAGCACTGTATTGGAGGCTCAGTCTAAATACGAGTAGAAAGTTGAAAGGCACATGCCTTGAACCCACAACAATTACAGGGAGGAGTGCTACTCGTTAAGCAAGTTTATATAACTTGGACTGTGCACAAAGAACTCAAGGAGTATAAAATTAACAAGCAAGATTTGAGCTTAGAAAGAATATTAGAAGATTATGTGAATAGACTGTCAACAAAGCACGTAATCCTGCGTTAACTAAAAGAGCGCGGGATGAATGTAGTTCGGATGGAATTGAGGGTTATCAGAAAGTGGACGATATTATTTCAATTCTGATGGTATATTTTGCACGCTAACAATTTGTGCTTCTAAAAGGAAATCTGATTAACCTATATTGTTAAAGTACCATCACATGGATTAACATATTCATTATTGTCCCTCAGATGCTGGGACCATGTCTTAGATTAGGTGGATTTGGGGGCTTTGGGTAGATTTAAATGATATCTCGCTCTAGAACATAGAGTTAAGTCAATCTGATGGAGAAGCTAGCAATTCTGTTATGTAACTTAGCTCATTGGAGCTTAGATTGGGTAGAATAATAGAAATGAAACTAATGCTTCTTTACTCTATTCTGTCATTTCTTTTCTCTCTGATAATGTTTGTTCATTATGATGTTTTAACATTATATAAAATCTTAATCCATTAAATTTGGATGGATATTTATCTGTTGTTCCAGAATATGCTCCTGGAGGGTCTCTGTACGAATATCTTTCCAGTGATGAAAGTGAGGGAATGGATATGGATCAAATCATGAGATGGGCAACAGAAATTGCTAAAGGTATGAAATCCTTTATAATGTCCATAACTTTCCACCTTTGCGGATGCAGTTTCAGAAATATCGAGAGCAGATTTTCACTGCAATATAATGTCAAAATATGTTGAATTCAGTGATTATCTCAGTCTATAGACAGCCCAGCTGTCCAGAATACTTCAGCATGAATTTTCGTATGAACCCAATCATTTCCCTTTGGTCAAAAAATAATGATCCTTGCATTATTAGACGTATTATATTGAGACAAAAATAAAGTATTCAAACAAACATCCATAGAATTAAAGGGAAAGATAGATGAAAGTTTCAGGGTAGTTGTGGAGAAAGGTTGAGTCCACACAATGATCTATTCGTGCCTGTTGATTGACTTGCCCAAGTGTTTGTTTCTAGCGTTGTATATGATAGCATCTTCTAAAAGTGTGGTGTGTTTTCCCTCTAGGAATGCACTATTTACACATGGATGCCCCAATAAAGGTAATCCACAGGGACCTGAAGTCTCGAAATGGTAAGCTTTCATTCAAAACTTTAGGACTTTTTTGTAACTTTTTCCTTAAGGATTCTCTCAACTCCATTTTAGCACTGTTATTAAACATCCCAAAACTGTATCTTTTCATCCTGTAAGTATTTCAGTTGTTTCAAACGCTCTGAGATGCTACTCACGTGAAAGGTGCAATACAAATGCAAGTTGTTGTTATTGTTTTTCTGTGCTATAACTGAGAGGCTCGGAGGTTGACAGATGGAAAGGTGTAACGTTTCAAAACTCGAGCTTGTAAATGGCAGCTTTGATTGCAAGATTAAAAGTTTAATTCTTTTAAAAGCTTCTAAATTAAAAATTGGGGTAGTGAGTAGTTTGTGTACCATGTATTTACTGTACATATGACTGACTGCCATTCTTATCCTGGTCCTTGCCAATGATGGAACAGGGCTCTCTAAGAGCAAAGTTCATTGGTAAAATCACATTTAGAAATGCCCTTTAGAGTCCAAGGTTCAGTTTATTAATAGTGCTGTATTATTTGGAGAACAAATAACACTACATTGAAACATCAGTGTACTGCACCATGGAGCTGTGCCACATTAGTTATCCCCAAGTTACTATATAAAGATTGTGTCCTTTCTTCATCCTCAATCACATCCCATCAGTTCATTCCAAGCAGCATTGGATAAAGTGTGTAGGTTGTCACTCAGATATTGGAAAGGGGAGAGGAAATGGTGGAGAATTACTTCAAATAAAAATTGTGAAAACTAGTCGATTATTACTATAGGAATAAAGGGAAGTTCAGAATTAATTACTGCAGAATTAGAATTATTTCAGTATTTTACTTCTTTTTTTAAAAAAAAGGATGTATGATAAACACTTGGATTTCAACAAGTATTTTGTAATCTCTGAAATAAATTATATTACTTTTTGAAATAGCTTTTTGAATGTGATCTGTGGAGTCCTGTAGCTTGTGATTAGAGCACTTGCCTCACAAGCGAGAGGACCTGGGTGCGATACCCGGGCAGGAGCGAAACATTAGGCAAGTTTCCTTACTCCACACGCCTCTGTTTACCGAGCAGTAAATAGGAACCTGGTTGTTAGTCGATTGGTGGATCACTTTTCCAGGGATAATAATCCCTTCAAAAACATTTTTTTTAGGGAAATAACAATTTGATCACTCAATCCATGACTGTCTGAGGGCCGCTGCTGTGCGCAATTGGCTGCTGTGTTTCACCCACAAAATACACAGTCAGTTCACTTTACAGCATATTCTGTGAAGCGCTTTGAGACGTCTCGAAAGACGTGTTAAGGCGCCGTCTCGAATGCAAGGATTATTATAGAATTATTTTTAATGTATTTTTTTCATCTTCATTTTCCTTCCAGTGGTGATTGCTGGAGATAAGGTGTTAAAGGTAAGATCATTTCAGTTCTACTTGAGTTGATTTGGGAGAGAGTAGTGTGTTTCTCTAGCAATTTGGCAAGGGTTGCTTTTGTCCGTCTTTGTTTTGTTCCAGATTTGCGATTTTGGTGCTTCAAGATTTCACTCACACACAACGCACATGAGTTTGGTGGGAACCTTCCCGTGGATGGCTCCGGAAATTATTCAAAGTCTTCCCGTGGCTGAAACATGCGATACATACTCCTATGGTGTGGTAGGTAAAAGTACTTTATACAGAGCAATCGGCTCCTTGGGACGTCCTCTCGACGTGGAAGTTGCTATACAAATGTCATTTGTTCTTGTTATTGTTGTTGTTAGAACACAGTGGTCTGGTTTATAAATTCAGACCCCTCCCACCCCCCCCCAACACACTTAAAATTAAGTGCAAAAAAAAATAGAAAATAACGTTAGCAAAGCCTCCTACACACAGCAACGTCTCACAAACAGCCATGGTGCGAGGGCCCAATTTTATCTGGGAGTTTGTTGTCTAGCAGACCAGGAGAAATGGCCTTTTCTCATCAACTAGTGCCAAAGTATTTTTAATGTCCTAACAGGCAGGTGGGACCTTAGTTTAACGTTTTATCCCAGTGACAGCACCCCTGACAATGTAGTACACCCCCAGGCCCGTATTAGAGTGTGACCCCCAGACTGTGAATTCAGCGTCCTGATGTGGGACTTCACCCCACAATCTTCTGACTCGGGAGGCGAGAGTGCTACCAACTGACCTATTTGCCTCTATTCGTACTCTTTCCCACTATCTTCACTCTGACACTTAAATTGCTATGTGCTCATCATGGGATACACAGAGCATTCGTAATAGTAATGCATTGGTCTTAGCTGCTAATGCGCTGAGTTTAGCTGATTGAACTCCAGCGGTATCCCAATCCTTGGGATTTGTCAACCTGTTCTGAACTCTCTGGGATTAGTTTAGCAGGGTATGTTCGTGTTGTGTGCTCTCCATGCCAGACCAATGTAAACCAGACATATATGGAACTCAGTAGTTATTTTGGAAACTCTTGAACATGGTGATGGATTTCTGCATGCATCAGATACCTGGCTGAGCAGAAAAATATGTTTTGCTCACAAACATTTTGAATAGGACGTCTTACAAGCAGAAGGTTGATGTGTTTTATTATTTACAAAGGCCCATTTTTCTGTCAGGTCGCGCACGCTAGCCAGCACTGTCTTCTGCAGCTGTGATGTACTCATTTATACTTGCCCCGTATAACTATTTTTAGAGCGTGGCATAGTATAGTACCAGCAAGGCTAACCTTGTGAGGTGTCCTTTGGGCATCACATTATCTGTTTACAGTGGTCTCCTAAAATTAATGTTCTGTGCTGACTTTCAGTATTCTTTCTGCAATACAGAAATTAAATATTGTCATTCCTCGAACTAATCTTTTATTCCCACCTTTTCATGGAACAATTATTAATCCCCATAGGATCTAGCTTCCTTAAAAAGAGCAGTATTTCTTTTTTTTTTAAAAAAAGTCTTCAGGATGTTTTATATTGGAACCTGTAACGAGGTTTACCTTCCGATAGTAATAACGCAGAACTAAGCGGAGGCAAAACCTGCGACTTTGCAGTCATCAGAATGTAATGTACCAAGCTAATCCGCCTGGCTGTCTATACACCATCACAAGTTCCAACCCTGTTGGGGTTCTGAATTCCACACTGCTGATGCTGGTGCAGTAAATCTTACCCACCTCATACAATTAATATGCGGAGCTTTTGCTACTAACAGCAAACAGAGTTGCTTTGCTCCTCCAGGTAGTTTCATGATCGAGCGAGCGTTCAATTTGATCCGTGTCGGCCTCAACCCGATTTACGCAGCGCGCTCTCGAGCAATTCACTAACCAAACGTAAACGCAGTGTAAATGCAATCAATCTAATTGTCTCAGAACGTTCATCCAGTTTCCTTTCCCAGAGCGCAGTCTATTCTGACATACGGAAAATCATGACCTGGGTCTCTTTTGAAAACTATTCAGGGTGTATTTGTGAAGATTGTCTCATCGACTGTATTTAAATGTTCACTAATGAAGAATGAACAAAATCCTAAAACAATGGTTAGAAGATACTCTATAAAATCCATCCACTCTTTGACGCCATCGTTGGTGACTGAGCCTTCATTTTTTACACTCGTAACATCTGTAATTGCCTCCCTCTACCACTCTGTCTCACCTATTTTCTTTCTGTCTTTAAGTGCCAAATCAAATCCTACCTCTTCGAACACACCCCTCTGTCCACTTTCTCCTCCTCCCCTCCCCCTCTCTCTTACCCCATCCCTGTATGAACAGCTCTATATGAATGCAAGTTGCAAGTTGTAAATGTTGTTTATTAATTTATTAATAAAATGTGATAAAAGGGAATCTATTTTCCAGGTTCTTTGGGAAATGTTGACAAGAGAAATCCCATTTAAAGGTCTCGAAGGCTTACAAGTAGCCTGGTTGGTAGTGGAGAAAAATGAGGTACAGTAATCCCACTTTTCTTTGTAAATGATGTGTATAATTACTTTATAAATACTGTATATTGTTAAGAAATTGTATTTCAATTTTGTTTGAACAAAACCTCTTGAGCATCTTTGCCCTTTCTTTATACTTCATGTTGTCTGTGATCAGTTGCCAAGTTAGACTTGTGATTGGATGTGAGAAACTATTCCCATTTTTACTTCCGGTAAGTAGAGAGTAAATATCTCTCACCATCATAAAACATATGACCTCGCCCAAAGTGGAAACAAATGCAGATACAACTTTGTTTGAGGAACTGACTCTGGTATGTGGCCTGTGGACATGTGATTTGTAATTCAGTCCTGATCATTTTCTAAAATGTGCATTATTATTATTATTATTGAATAGTTACAACCGTAGCATCTTGTATATTGAAAATAATGGCAACGATTTAACTCATGTTTATTCATAGCTAGGTGATCTCATTCACCAGTAATGAACAGCCGACATGTGTTTGAATTTGATCCGTCTTTCTAGAAGACTGAAAACGATTTGGAAGTGACTGCGTTTTATCAAGTGATTAATTAGGAAGCTGGTGGCCTTTGGTTTTTAACTTTTTTTTTTTAGTTTTTAATCATTTGAAGCATCAAGCATTTAAAACATTTATTCCAAAAAACATTGCTCACTTTTACGGACCTGGAATCTCTTCAACATCGCATAGGGCTGTGGATTTGTCCGGTTTATATACATGCACAGTTGAGGGGAGACGGAAGAGAACGAAATACAGTTCTGGACTGTGCTTTTCTATAGCGAATATGCAATATAAACGCAGCTTTAACTGACAATATTTGAGTAAAATCACTTGACGTGACTGTTCAACAACATCAGGCAGGGAGAGAGAGAGAGAGAGAGAGAGACAGCAGTTTTACTAATCGTGTGCATCAGAGAGAAAGGGGAAATGCGCTGGTGTTAAACGCAGGTTAGTTTAACGCAGGATGGTCCAACCAATTGGCTGCTGAGGGCCGGGAGCCGTATTTGAGAAACGTTCACGGGCGATGAACAATATTTTTGTGTTTCCCTTCCAGAAACGTAAACATAACATTATGGGTTACGGAGGGAGCGGGTGGGCTGGCTGAAATGGGGAGGGTGGGGGGCAGATTAAATCAACCCGTGGACCACCAGTTGGACCATCCTAATTAACCTATCGATTCATCAAACAGGGAAAACAAACAGGAAAAAAAACAGTCCACGACTGTTTGTGGATGCTGCTGTTTGCCCATGAATATACAGTCAATTCACTTTGCAGTATATTCTGTGAAGCGTTTTGAGACATCTAGAAGACGTGAAAAGCTCTATATCAGATGCAAGGATTAATATTATTATTCTGATTAAAGCGAAATGTGGTCAGAATTAGATGTGGTTTTGTAACTTGGTGGTTCACCAACAAGGTATCTTATTGAAATTGAAGAATGACAATTTTGACTGATTGCTTACCCATAATATTATTGGGGAAAAACGTTGATCACTTAATCATTCATGTTTTATCCGCCACCTCAGTTTTGAAGGTATGAGCCCGGATCCATTATTAAGCATTTTTCCAGATTGACTTTTATCGTAACATTTTATTTATTTCTGTTGCAGAGATTGACCATTCCAAGCAGCTGTCCTGTTAGTTTTGCAGAGTTATTGCGGCAATCCTGGGTAACTGATCCCAAAGTAAGTACTTAAGACGTTGGATTTATTAGAGTATCACGTAATTATTGTGAGGGTAACTTTTTTTTAGAACTGTCCTTCCATGTACAGGCAGACAAACAGTTGCTACTCTGCCTCCCTGTATTTATTTTGCCATTTTCACATTCTGTACAAATTGTCACTCTGTCGGCACTAAAATAGTGAGATAAATGTAACATATGCCTCGAGATTGGTCATGGTTTTTGGTATCAGTACTGGTTAAACACAAGAACCCACAGTGACGTCTTTTAGTGCACCTTTCACATGTTTGATTAAATGTCGCCATTTACATTCACAATTTGTCAGGAGCAGCAACTCAGAGGTTGGCAACAAACTTAATATAAACAAAGCCTCACTGCTGCGCCAACCAAAGGTTGCAATCGTCACTAACTAAACCAAACAAAAAAATCTAGTTTTGTACCTGCGTTTCTAACTGCGATGGAATACAAAACCTCACGTAGTCGTGTGTTGACGTCCACAACTTGTGGTCACCCTACACATACCACCGGCCAAGTTGCAGCTTACCCAGGCTCCAAACCACAGACGGCTGGCTATACATTTGCAAAAACCAAAAACCACTGTGCAAGTTGCAAGTTGCATGTGTGCAGTCACTTCAAAGTGGTTGTTGCTGCTTTAGAGATAGGACGCAATACAAATAGCGCGGTTGGTGCAACGTCTCAGTGTCATGACTGGCCTGTGAGTGGTTGCTGCACAGCCACATGAGGAAACAGAATTCTCCATTTACACATTAAAAGAAAACGCATATAGATGGTTCTGTGTGAAAATAGTTGTATGAATTTGCAGCGTTTTGTTGCTTCTGATTGAACTTTACAGAAAAGGCCAAGTTTTAAGCAGGTATTGGGGATCCTGGAGGCTATGTCACATGACAGCAAACTCCCAGACCAGTGCAATTCCTTCTTGCACAACAAGGCTGAGTGGAGGTAGGTTTATCCCCTCTTAGTATGTCGGATACGTACGGTAAATGCATAAGCGCCTTGGGACGTCCTCCCGACGTGAAAGGCGCTACACAAATGTAATCTTGTTGTTGTTGTTAATGGTTAACCAAATTTATTAAATTGCCTGGAATATTACAGGGCGATGTGGAGAAAATGTCCAATGCATAATCTCCACCACAATTGGGTGAGCTTCGAAGTGCGTCTTCGAAATTCGACATGAAGTGTGTTTAAACTCAATCCTGATTACTTTTATTTTAGACTACAGCTTATTGAGCCTCTGTTTACCTAGCAGTAAGTAGGAACCCGGTTGTTAGTCGATTGGCAGATCGCTTTCTAGGGGTAATAACCCCCTTCCAAAAAAATAATAATAATTTGGTCACTCAATCCACGACTGTTTGTGGGACACCGCTGTGCACAATTGGCAGGCGTGTTTCACCCACAAAATACACCCACAGTCAATCCACTTTACAGTGTATTCTGTGAAGCAATTAGAGACGTCTCAACGACGTGATAAGGCGCTTTCATCAAATGCAAAGATTATTATTGTTATAAGTGCTGGATTCCTTCCAAAGTTAACACGATTTTTTCCTTCCACGTTATTTGGTTAGGGTTGTGTTTTGTAGGTGCGATTTGTACATCAGTATAATATAAATGTGTTAAAAATACATTCAAACAGTGCAAAAGAATGTTTCATTTTACTTAGTGTGAATGTGTAGGATCCCACTAACTGGCACCAATTTCATTTCTTAAAAAATAATGGTTGAAAGCTCGAAGGGATTTGATGCTTTTCCGAAACAAATGAATAGTAATGTGCAGGCAGGAAAAAAAAATCTATAGCTCTTGGGTATTTATTTGATATTTGTTGATACGAAAAGCTATTCAAATAAAATTGGCGCTACAGGTGGGATTGACTAAAATTATGTCAGTGGGAAAAGAAGAACTTTGTACGTGAATGTATGTTAATCATTTAAACCATTGTCCAGTGGATTATGTGACGCCTTTTGGGACTACTTATTGTTATCTTTTCCTGAGCTATTCAAGTCTAAGGATTTTCTGAGACTCTTATCAGCACAATACAAAAGATCATTGCTTAAGCTATTTATAATGTTGGCATTACTCGTGCTTTTCACTAAGTTGCAATAGATCTTTCAATGCTACGACAGAAGGAAAGATGATAAATCCGAGGCAAAGAGACGAGGAAGGAAGTCACCTCTTCATGATGAGTCATTGTTGGAGGGAGAAGTTGACATATTTAGACCAGATTATAAATGGAAGGCTGGGAAACTAACAGCATTCTATGTGGATCGTAACAGATGAATGTTATTGCTCAAAGTTTCTCACTCACATCTATATTAAGCGATCGCTGGCTTTAGTCCACGCGATGAGGACAGGGATTCTGGAACATGTTCTGTCAGCAGCTAGAGAGCGAGCAGTGAGAGGCTCGCCAGAGCAGCAAAACAATTAAAAGTAAAGAAAAGCACTTGTGAGAAATTCCTCGGAAGTTTGTCACTGAGCCGTCGACCAAGGAAATCAATTAATATCAATTCTTACTGACTGAGTGGAAAACAAATGTTCATGGGGGAAGGATTTTTGATTTGGGTCACGTGCGGTCATATAAATAGTCCTCCTCAGGGTTGAAAATGCGAAGGCACTGCTTCAGCAGATATTAGAGCAGCGGAGGGTCTAAATACTGCAGCTCTGTGTTGTGTAACATGTCTGCCAAAGTGTGCCATCTGTTGCTTTGGATTATACACTGCAGCATGTTATTTTGTCAGCTTTTTGGGGTCAGTTTCGAGATATGAATCGCTCTGTGTAACTATGAAGTGAAACTGTTATTCATCATTTTAAAGGATTAAAATGGTCATCAACACATCTGGAGGATTGTGTTGTATGACTAAAGGCAGCTATAAGACACGATGATCAGAAAGCCAATTGTTTAATTAAAATTTATTTCATAACGCAGGAATAATGCTGATGATTGGATGAGATCACCAGGCATTCAGAACGTCACAAATATATATTTCTTTTGTTCCAATTTTATCCCCTGCTGAGAATTACAGGCATAAAAATATCTGCTGACATAGGTTAAAATAGTATCTGGGCATGTACTGTATTGAAAAGGACATATATAATCTTTACAAACAATGGAGTAAAGTTATTACTTTGTGTGTATTATAAAACCATGTTATTCTTTACTTCACACCTTGGAAATCAACTCTTTGACCAATGTAATTGCCTTAAAGCAGGGATTGAGCTAAGGGAAAAGAGCTTGTTGATGCTACTGTTTTATCACGTAGAATAGATATATTGCAATCTGTGGTATCTGAGCACTTCCAAAAACAAATTAGGAATGTCTTTGTTCATATTCGCAACGGACAGAAATACTGATCCTTTTTATTATCTATTAACTCATTCTTACTGTGAATTTATTGAAGTATCGAAAGCTCTCAACTCCATTTATAGTATCTCTGTGTGTGTATTTATAGCTTCCTGTATGTATAGTCTATATAGAGCTTGAAGCGGTCAACTGAGCTGTTACATTTTGCAAGGAAATCTGAGGATTGGAGAGAGAAAAAGCACATCGAAGAAGCCGGTGCATTTTTGTTGTGAACAAAAACTGTAAACAAAGTAATTGAAATATCACAAAGTAATCCTTCCTTGGAAAGTACATGAGTTGCCACAGTCTTGTGGTGATCAACAAGAAGCTAATGCATGTAGCGACTGTTTGAAAATGGAGTTCCCTATCTAACAGCAAAGTGGACCGTTGATGGTGACTGGTTAGCATTGATGTAACAATCTATAAATATTAGTGATGTACTTCTTCTCATCTGACCTGCTGTAACCGCAATTTCATCAAATATTACTCAAATATCACTGCTTCGTTTTCTAATTGTTTGGATTCATTTCAGTGCTGTAATGTGGTACCATTCAATTTACATTGACATAGCGTCTTTCACAAGAAAATAGCTCAAAGCGCTTAACCATGTTGGCTGGCCACCCGAGCTGAACTTGAGAGGGGAATAACGTCCCAAAATAGAAATAATAGCACTTAAAGTTTGGTCCGAATTGCTGCAGTGCTACTGTCTTGTTCCTTGTGGAGCTTATAAATAGACGTTGGGGTTGATTTCACTCTGTTTCCTTTTATAGCTAATCTATGATCCTTCCAAAAAACAATTAAATCGAGTGAACATTTAGGGAGCTATTGCAGCTTTTCGTTTCCGTTGTTAACCTGTAGATTTGAAGCAGGGTGAGGATGATGCTGATTTGTACGTTTCCAGTTCACACACTGTAATCTAATCTAATTCTGGGGAACTTTGGATGAGAAAATGGTCACGATCTTGCAGGGAGGGGAGGAAAGGAGGATCTTGTTTCTCGTAATGAAAATGTTATTTTCTATATTACGTGGAAGAGAATTAATACATATTTTTTTTAAAAAATTACAAGACTTGGCAGGCTCCGGGATGCAGAATTACAGCAAATAAACAAAAAGACAGTGAGGTTCCAAAAGATTATAACAGTTGAGATTATGTGATGGTTCAGGAAAATACATTAATGCCGTTGGCTACATTTAAAATACTTCAAAAAATGTAATTAAGATATTTAGCACAGTTGTAATGATTAAAAGTGGTATAGGTTCCGCCCAGTACTTGTGAATACTTGCTAGAAAGTCTGTGGATATTTAATTAGAATACAAGTGAGATTCCAAAGCAATTTTATTTGTCAGTGATTGCTACGACTCTTCCCAACAGATGTGAAATCGAGGCCACATTGGAGCGACTAAAGAAACTCGAACGGGATCTGAGCACAAAGGAACAGGAGCTGAAGGAACGAGAGAGGCGCTTGAAAATGTGGGAGCAGAAACTGGTGGAACAGTCCAATTCAGCTGTAAGTCTTCCTAGTGACGGATTTCTGTGGAGATTTTACGTAACCCAGCACACTATAGCATGATTTCACAGTGACGCAAAGATCTTTCACGTTTCACTGTGGTAAACAATCACTTCAAGCAGCAGCATCTTGTACAATCAAAGAAAATCACTCTTCATTTGCTCTCCTACATATAAAAGAAGTTATCTTCTTGGCCAGCAAATCCAGAGACAAATGTTTCAGTTTTAGAGTTCTTTGGGTACGAGCTTATCAAGACATTTCGCTTCCTGTGCATGATCTAGAGCTGCCATTTAGATTCTTCTTTCTTCGTGAGCTCCAGATCATCCACTATTCTACAGCTCTCTCTAGATTCCTCACTCATCTCCCTCATCCTCCAGAGCTAATACAGTTGTCTTCATTCTTGGATGAAGTTTTCTTCCATGTACCAAGTTTCTTGCTATTCTCATTCGACTGTTGACCCATATTCTTTTGGGCTATTTGATATCCTTCCCCCCGGCCCGCCCCCTCCCCACAACAGATGTGTACACAGAAAACACACCCAATGAGGGGAATAAAACAGCTGGATTTCTTGATACAATGCCACATTCTTTCAAATGCAATCCATATAAGTGGTACATACACAATATGTTTATTGGAATTATTGTTAGCCCCCAAAAGGTTGGAACTCCGAGTTCGACTAAATCGAGGAATATTAATTAATACAAGACATAATAAATTACTTTCTGCAAGACAATAAGGGAATGTTGTGTGGATGGATGAAATAACATGATTTGCTGTTAAAAGACTAGTTGTCCAAAGAACCTTACCACAAGGTTTGCTGGCTAAGAGCATTACTCACATTATATGGAAGAGAATATTTGAAGCGCTTTGAGGCGTCTCACCGACATGATAAGGCGCTATATCAACTGCAACGATTATTATTATTATCTGGGGTAAATAATAGCACTTCCATCCAGAAACATGCCAGCACGCCAATTGTGTTTTGCCTTTTCTAAAAAAAATTTAATGCTTTTTTTTTGTGTGTGAAAAAAAAAGTTTTCGTTTGTGTTCATCTGTGGTCTTTCTCTTTTCACCTAGCTTTTCTTACCTATCACTGCAAAGTTTTCTGAAGAGTCTTTCTATGAGTCTAAGACAGAGGAATCAAACAGTACAGAGATGTCATGTCAGATCACAGCTTCCAGTAACGGGGAGGTAGATGGCATGAACAAGAGTCTGCAGGAAATGATGAAAGGCTTTGGCAATATCTTGTCTATGAATCTAGCAGGACCTGTCAAGCAGTCTGGGATCCAGATAAATATGCAAGCCAAACAGAATTCCTCCAAATCTACCTGTGTCAGAAAGGGAAATAAAATCAACATGACAATGGGTTTCGATCATTTTAACTGGTCAGAAGATAGTGATTAAATTTAAAATACAGAGAGCCTTTGGAAAGAAAATTCTTGAAGGGGCAAACGTTAAGCTAGTGAATCAATTGTCATGTTTTCTAAGCCGTACATGAAGTTTCAGCATTTCTAGAGTAGTGTCTATTTTATGCTACGAACTTGTAGCATTTTTCCAAGCAGAATTTGTATGCATGACATATGAGATATTGGTTATTTTCTTATGATGTCGATCGAAAACACTAAAGGCTCAATTTACCTACGAAGAGATTGTTTTAAAATATAAACGTTAAATTAGAAGTGTGTAAAAAAAACACATAATTGTGAAATGCACTGCTATTAAGGAAAGTGTTTCAGCATTGTATTTTCAGTACCAAAAATCAGTTTTATACAACCAATCTGGAACATATTTATATAACCTTCAAGTATTTACATTATTAAAGCCTGTTTCAATGTGGACTACCTTTCTGTGCTAGAGTGTTACCTATTTTCTATTTCTTTTTTTCAATAAACTCTCGATAGTAGCTTGATTACTGTTGTCTGGGTGCTATTTCCTTACAGGCGTACTCATTTTTTAAGATCATTTCTGCGTCCATCTTGAGTTGCCATTTATAGGTCTCGCTTTTACTTAGTGGTTTCACATCCTGCCGTACAGCAGCGACTTAACAGCGTATCAACTGCCACTAGAGTTCAGTCATCTTCCACCGCTGAGCCCCTTCCTGGCTCAACTGGTAGGAGGTGCCTCTGTAGAGAGTGATTGACAAAGTGGGTCAGTAACAGATACTCGGCTTACTAGGCCAGGCCTCCAAACTGTTTGTGTGTCACAGTGGGACGCTCGCAACTCGGCTCGTTTTCTGTTAAGGCACAAATTAAATGCAAAGCTTACAAGTTATCGAATGGCCCACATCTCGAAACACAGAGCGCTAATAACATTTGGATCCCCACGTTTTGATTAAACTGATTGCGCTCTCTGCTCTGGCAGACAGCTTTTTCTGTTACAGACAGGGAAGTTTATATTTGCAGCGAGCGACAGAGGGTATAGGATGTGGCAGTCAATCACGGTTCCTGAAATATAAATTTAGTGATCCGTAAAACCTCATTTTAATTGGGTCCAATTACATCTTAAATTGCCTAAAGGGGAGCTAGCCCCGAATGATGAATTCGGTTATTTCATTAGCTTTTTTTTNCCATCATGTCCTATTGTGGTTTCTCTGCCATTTCTTTTTCCTGTGGTCAGGATGCTCTGTAATTGCTTGCGTTGGTTTTAAAGCGAGTGGAAAATGTCACGGAGGCCAAGCTTTACACAGTAAGTAGCAGTCCTCTGTGCCATCACACTACTCGTGATTTTTAAGAGAAAGTCATGTCGTGGTGACCTTGGAGGTTTAAATAAGCAATTAGAGTTGCTTTACAGCCGTGAGTAACTGCAGACAGTAACCACAGGGAAAAAAATGAATCGGAGAGCGCGAGTAATGAAAGCACTGAATAAACCGCTTTGAGGTGGCAATCACGCTGATCATTTTGTGACATCTGCATATTTGCTGAAACCTGACCCGGTTTCATTTGCTGAAGTTACCTTATAATATTGTCCAATTACAGATGTAAATAAAAAAACATAGTTTGCTGCTCACTGTTCTGGCAATCCATCTTAAATCTGGTTGGAAAGCAAATGCAAATCGAGCACTCACTCTGTGACAGATAGCTGAGAAACCTTCTTGACGCCTAACGCATTAGTGTTGCACACTGTATGGAATCACAGACTATTTAGCAGAGATGGGGCTTATTAATAAGTCACAAATATGTTTTGAAAACATTGCACGTGGATCATTTGTATGGTTTCCGGCATTAAATTCAGCACAGTATGAGAGTGTGGAAAAAGTGTTTTCAGTTGTACAATAGAAACACAACAGCAAAAATAGGACAGCCATGCAAACCTCTTCTCTCTCAACTCATGCTTGCTGCCAATGCTGTTGAGTTATTACACACATTCTCGTGCCTTGCACAAAAGCCTTCAATCATTCAGAACAAGAAATACTTCTTTGCAAACTACTGTTGTTTAGTCATCGCATTTTAGTGAAAAGCGTTTTCAAAAACGCAGCTTTTCGTGCTCTTGCACAACTGAATTCCTTGCAAAGAAGCACAAATTACTTTAGAAAATAAAATGCATTGAAGCAGGTACATGATTAGAGAATGGAGGGTGTTTTATTTTTACAGTTGTCAGACAGACATGTGTAAGTCATAAGGACCTTTAGTCCTAAATTATCATAGGTCAGCTTTGTTTCCCTCAAGTGCCCTCACAATCATGGTGATGTATTTACTTTAGATACTGAAATACCTCATTTGGATTTTCCATTGATAGATTGCTTTATATAGTTTTTGAACTTTCCTCATTTTAAAAAATATTTTGCTGCAAGCAAATTAATAATGACGCATGCATTTTCTGGTCAAATCAACTTTCAAAATAGCTGTACCAATGAAACTTTAATATTATAAATGCAACACTTATTATTTAATATTAAATGTTCATATTATTAAATTCAAACTCACACCTGTTTGCTTAAAATCAAATAGAAATAGAAATGCTGGCCAGCACGTGGGATCGCTTCTGAAAAAGAAAAATAGATTGTTTCTGGAGTAGCCCTTTATCAGTTCCACCCACTTCACTTTATTGTACTGTATATTTGAATAATTAAAATTAATATTGTGTGCTATGTAGGCACCAAACTTGAGAAATAATGCCCTTTAGGTCAAACATTATGAGCTACGTGAGCAGAAAGGTTTAAAATTTGAACATTCATTAGATATGATTTTTCTGATTTTGTATGACTTTTTTGTGTACAAAATCATAGTAAATAATAATTCCAAAACGTACTGTATTACCATTGGCCATGTGCATTGGTCAGAATGAAATACTTGATAGATATCAGTGCCATCTACTGGATGTAGCCTATCATATCAATAGATAGATATGTATATAAAAAAATAGATGACAGTACTTATTTCTTCCCACTTGGTGTTTCGGAAGGTAGAATGATTACTGAAGTTACTTCCACATTGTTTGTATATTTTGTTGACCTGAATTGAGTCGTATTGAAAGAGTTTTGCAAGGCTCCCAGTGTTTGCTCTCGGCAAGCCCACAAAATACACAGTCATTCCACTTTACAATATATCCTGTGAAGTACTATGAGACGTCTTCACAACGTGCTAAGACAGTGTAGTTACTTCTCAGTAATGCATACCCACTCTTTTGTTACTTGTAGCAGCAGTTTGTCTTTCGTTCTTGTGATTGTTTACTAAATATTAGCAGTTCTATGTCTTCAGGTTGAATATAATATTCTAATCATGTTTGTAGGGAAATTCTATTCATGAACAATTGACATTGTATTTCAAGGGAAAGTGACACTAAAATATTTAAGAACTAATGTTCAGATATTTTAAAAGGAAGGTGTATCCATTGTGAGATGATTTCTGGTTGTGATGACTTCACAGTCAGTCAAACAATGTTGACTTACAACACCACTAGCACATTACAGCACCAATGTATTCTCTTCTACTCCACTTTAGCCTCAAAGCATCTCCATGGGAAAGATGCACTTAGGTTCCTCCCATTCCCACATACTTACTTTATTAAAAATAGCAACTGCATTCACCCCCAACAAATGATAAACATATATTGAATCCCTATTCCATGGGTCTGATGGACCAGCCTTCTGTGCCGTGCATTTCTATGGTTCTTTCAGTACCTTTGTAATACAAATTTCTCCAGTCATTGTTACATTACTTGGAACAGATTAACACCAAAGTTGTCATGGTGACCTCTCCCACCAGAAATCCTTCAAAAAAAACAATAATAAATTGGTCACTCAATCCACGACTGTTTGCCGGACGTTGCTGTGCGCAATTGGCCGCCGCGTTTCACCCACAAAATATACAGTCAATTCACTGTACAGTATATTCTGTGAAGCGCTTTGAGACGTCTCGAAGACGTAAAAAGCGCTATCTCAAATGCAAGGATTAATATTCACTATTGCCTTGTGGCACTAGTTAATAAATGGATATTGCAGAGTTTGTAATTTCCTATAAATATTTAACATGCAAAGCCGTTTTGGGGAAAAATATAACACGAGTTAACAAAACGTGTAACAGGGAAGGCGGTTGATTCCATCAAGATCAAGCCTGCAGAACTTCATTCTATTCCGTACTTTACCCAACCTACTCTTGTCTCATGGTGAAAGGTCTACATTGATGCTCCCTGACTCCCAAGGCTACTCGAACCAAAATAAAAATATTCATCCAACGATGCTGTTGAGCTAAACCTGACATTGAACCTGATTTCAATCCACAGACAAAATATCTCCCGATTACAATCCTCCCCAGCACCTTAAGCATTCATCGCGTTTAAGCAGAATCCACCTATAGCCTTTTTTTTTGAGAGAGTTAATTGACACACATTCGACTATTTTTGTCGGTAACTTATCCTGAACCAGAAGCAAAATTATACAAATAGAGAGCAACGCTCGCGTGACTTTAAAACAGAAAATATATTTTCACACCGATAATATCTATGAACAATGCACAGTTTATTGCAGTTTTCCAGCCAGAAAAAAATCATTTGGTATTTGCCAAACTGGGACCTATTATTCAAGTATTATCAAAACTATATCATACATATCTGCTTTATAAGTAAGGCATAACTTTGCTGTTTAAATCATACGATTAAAGTTTCAGCATCCTGGTGGCCTGGTAGTTCTTACAATGTAGAGTTAGACTGCCATTCCAGGGGCCTAATGCTAAGATGAGCTCACATTCAGACTAAGCTACCTTATATGGATAGGGTTTTCTCAACCTCACTTGAGCTACCAGATGGAGTGTGTCATTGTGGCAGATCCATTTTATCTCCGGAGAAAAACAGACTCGTGGGGAAAACCGTCCAACCCATAAAGCACGCAAAGCAATTGACCAATAAACAGCGACCGTGGAGAAGTCGCTGCCCCAAAAAGCACTGCCCAAATATCGCTGAATATACAGTTGAATCCCACCGAGTCGCAGAGCCAGAGAGATCAAAAAGGGGAGAAATTGTAAGGGCAATGAAAAGCTACAGACCGTGAAGCAGAAATAAACATTTGCCTCTTGAAAACCTGCCTCGTTACAATTCCTGTAGTGAGGTGTTATGATACATTCAGAAAACATCTGTCAAACTTCATGATGTAAGGGCCTGAACTTAAATGCTGATCCACAGATGAGTAAACACATGTGGGTTTGGGTGGGGGGGGGCGGGATACTTAAGGTATGACGACATGCTTTGATTTTTTTTGGCCATAGTACAAATGTTTTCCATGTGTCAGTCAGTAATCGATGATTTTTACATTGAAGATCAGTAATTATATTTAAACGTAATCACATTATATTTGGGATTCGATCCTTAAAAACCCTTAATGTTCTGTAAGATACAAACTACCTGTTTTTTTACCCAAACTATATCTACTTAACCCAAATCCTTGACCATTCAGCGCCTTGCGACATCCTCCCGATGTGAAAGGCGCTATACAAATGTAATTTGTTGTCGTTAATGTGAATATGATCACACAGTAATGTTATCCATTTCTATTCTTACATACAGTTACTGCCATCCCTAGATATATATGCTTGGACAGAGGAAGATGTGGTAAGCCTAACTTCACTCTAAATCTACTATTTCAAATGGAAGTTACTTTTCTTGTGAAGGCAGATAATGATGTGTTACTGCCACTATTATTGAGAATTGCATTTCTGGCTTTGAAATCCCCAAACTCCGATTTTAGAATTTTGTTGGTTTTGTAGTACAAAATATGAAATGTTGGTTATTTGTTTTTTTTGCCATAATCTTTTCCCTCTTTTTGTACAGTACTTTTGGATACAACAGCTAACAGATAAAGGTAACCCTACATTCTTATGATTTTACACTACTTACTGTTAGTTTCACTTGCATATATATAACGTGAAGGCTGCTCTATAAATGCAAGTTGTTTCTACAGTAGTTTTGTTGCTTTTGCAGGTAATGTGCATTTTTGTGATTTTATAATCATAGGTGATGCTCACTGTGATATGAAAGGGTTTGCTGAAAAGTTTAAGAGTCACCACATCACAGGGCAAAGGTTACTTTTGTTAGCGGAACAAGATATGAAAGACATCGGAATATACTCAAAAGGACACATCATTCATTTAAAGGTATGAATAATAATAAAGATAATAATCCTTGCATTTGATACAGTGCCTTATCACGTCGATGAGACCATCACAGAGATGTCTCAAAGCACTTTACGGAAAATACTGTAAAGTGGATTGACTGTCAGAAGCGAATTGTACATAGCAATGTCCCACAAACAGTCATGGATTGAGTGACCAATTTTATTTTTGGAGAAATTATTACTCCCAAAAAGTGATCTGCCAATCGATTAACAAATATTAATAACTAGTAATTAATGGCTAATAACTAACACAATTCAGTGATTTAACTTAAAAAAAGTTCCACTAATATATAATAGGTCATATAGTGCTGTGCAGCATCTTAAACCTATTAAAGTGGTAGATGATACTGTTTCACAGCGATGTTAATCCAGTCGAGGACCTTCCTTTGTGACACAGTGGACAAGAAAAGCTCTGTGGCAGATGGAGGAAGAATAGATTCCTAAATATACATCACAATCCCATGGCTCATATTAAACAAAATTACTGCTACTAGTATAAATGTGGTACATTTCAATTAGAGTCTGATAGTTTGAAAGATGTAATATTCATCACAAGAGCATTTGTCACTTCAAGTGGTCAAAAAAAACTCCTTTGCTCCGTTAAAGTCAAAACTCAGCAGCTTGTGAAATAAGTGTCAAATATATTCAGGACAATTCCTTTAACTGTTAACAATGCGTAAATGTAAGTTGGTGAAAAAGATGGAGGGATCACCTGCTGTTAACAAACAAATCTCTGTTGATCTCTTTCAGACCGAAATTGAAAAGCTGACGCTTGACTACTTGAGCCTATTTCACTTTCCTCCTTTAATCAAGGTCGGTAAAGAAAAGTAACATCGTCTTTATCTACCACGCATGCAATATATTTGTCGAAGGAGTTACAGATTTCCGCAGTTTTCTGCATTAGATTTCATTTGTAATTGTTTGCATTTACTTCCCTTGATCAAAAAATGCAGAACTGTTGCTTGAACACTAATGAGCAAATGTCAGATGCCACAAATTTATAGAAACCTTATCTCAACATGTGTAGCACAGATTTATTAAGTACCTGCTGATAACCTCTAATGGTATTTTGAATTATTGGCTCCAAAACATGTAGGATGCCTGTGGAGCATTTCCGATTTTGTATTTTGTACAAACAGTTGTGTTGATTACTTGATCAGACAGGTCAGGTCTAAAACGGGATGCACAGCTACCATCCTGTGAATCGGAGGTTGATTCAGTCGTGTATTATGATTTTCATGGTTTGAGTCCACAGACTAGATGTAAATCGCATTTACAGGAACTGTCAGAGAACAGCACCTGAATGTCAGCCCATCTTTCCTTTCCGGGTGCTGATCGCAAGAAAGTTTCCCAGCTTGTTTTTCCTTTTTCTTAAATCTCAAATGCCTTTTAATTTGTTTCCAATTTGCGTTAAAGTGTGTGGATTCCTTTGTTTTTTTATTTTCAATGTGGATTTTAAACAATGCACATCGACTGACTAACATATGAGATTTCTTTGCTGGAATAACTTCAACAATGTAGCCCTGCTGTCCCTGTTAAACACTCCTTGTAAGTAGAATACATGACAGATGGTGATGTGGAACTTTTCCTTTAAAGGGGACTGAATCTGAGGAAGAAGACAACCAGGAAAAAACAGTGAATCTGGAACTAGTTTTCGGATACCATTTAAAACCAGGGAAAGGATCTCAGGTAAATCCAGTTTCTGAATCGATGTTCTACTCTTGTGCTGAAGGACGCAAGAACTATAAATGCACTCACGTTGCTGAAATTGTTGAACAAATAAGAAGAATTGGGTCACTCAATCCACGACCATTTGTGGGACACTGTTTGTGTGCAATTGGCTGCCGTGTTTCGCCCACAAAATACGCCCGCAGTCAATCCACTTTACGGTATATTCTGTGAAGCGCTATGAGACATCTCAACGATGTAATAAGGCGCTATATCAAAGGCAAGGATTATTATTATTATAAACATGACAACAAACCTTTAAGAGATATTTTATTAAGTTCATCAATGTGGATCTTCAACCCACTCATCTCAGTGTGTTCTGTTTTGTTCTGGAGAAACTGAATCTGCAAATCACAACAGGAAGATTTATTCTTGCTGCCTGCTTTGTGATGTGGTTGCAGCTGATGTTTCCAGCTCCAAAAACAAATCCCAGCAGAGATTTGCTCACAGTTCTTGTCTCAAACATCAGTGCCATGGAGCAGTTTTGAAGGATGGTGAATGCTGTGTAGTTCAATACTAGTTTTGAAATCAACCGCATACAGTAATCCAAAAGTAACTAAGACATGAGCAAATTAATCTGGTTCGCCTCAAGATCTCAACGGCTTAATTGGTAAAGCTACGACCGATGTTGAATTGAGTTGCGGCTGCAGTGTGCAGGGACCAGTGTTATAAAGTAGAGGGAATGGTGTTGCTGTAATGTTGAGATGCTGGTAGACACCTCTTGAATGGTAGTTCTAAGGGCTCCTTTGGAGACAGAGGCACCAACAGTAGGAAGTATAAAGGCTTTTCAGCGCCAGCTGGCATCTTAATGGCCTTGGGCAGACTAGGCTCCCAACCCACTTCTATTAGATAGCGCCGTGGTTGGTGCTTATCTGGCCTGCACAGACCATCCCCAGAGATCATGGAAGGTCCACGACTGGAAACAAAAGTCTTCATTCATGACACCCCCACAACCATGTACAGTGTTTGCAAATTCAGACACACTCCGTTGTTCTTCCACGACTCCTAAATCTGCCCTACAGTATTAATCAGGTGAATTTGCAGCACTGCATTACAACACTGCTTTGGATTGAGGCAGCACCTGCCATATAAAGGGGATACACACAAACAGGTTCAGTTACCAAAGCATTTTTTTCAAGGTTTGTTGTTTTTCCTGGAATCTACCTGCTTTCGAGATTTTGAAGCGCGTTAGTTATATTTTCCTGATATAACGTAAGCAATAGGAGGACCGTGAGGTTGTTTAGTAAGTATTTTATTACACAAAGTACTGAGAATACACCGTATAATGTGATTAACCCTTGCTTGTGTTCAACACAAATTTTCAAAGGTGTTGCTTGCAAAACAACAGAAGAATTGGAATTACGAGCAAAGATTCTTCTTATTATTTATTATAATTTTACCTCGTTCACTCTGTATTCCACCAAGACCTTTGATGGCATTTTTCTTCCCCATCATTTTATAAATCTTTCATTTTTGGAGATTTATGAAATGAATGGGTAAAAGATCCTTTTCCCTGCTTATTTGTATATTCCGAGATCTGGCGAGAAACGAGATTACTTTCTCAAGTTGTATTTTATCTCCAGACTTTTTTGGGGGTAAAAATGACTCATTTTGTGTTCTCTGAAAAGCCGATATCATATAGGCAGGTCCCATTTAACACTGCTGAGCCGAGGTTGGGTTGAATATAATCAAAAAGGGTCCATTTAGTCAGAAGTCATTTTCTTTTCAAAAGGCAAATGTTATTTAATCTTTCAGCTGTTCATTGTGCCACCATAAATACTTTCTTTTTTTGCTGCAGTTGTGGGGCTGAAATGAGCCCACTAATTGCCTCCTATTTTCAATGACATGTGGTGGTTTAGTGGGAAGGGAACCCAGCAGGGAGGAGGAAATACGAGGCTGAGAAAATGAGAGCTAATTATTTTCACTTGCTCATGTCAGGTTGGTGTCGGGCTTGTTTTTACAAACTGGAAGGTTTAGCACTAAATAAAACAAACCGGCGTCATGTTTTTATATACTGGCAATGTCATGAAAGCAGCTGCATGGCAAATAATGCCTGCAATTGCATGGACACCATCTGACTTCAACTGTGTGTCTGTGCTAATGACTGTATCACAGTGGTGCCAAGTGAAAGGTGCTGAATTATGTATGATTCTTCATTAGTGCAGTAATAGTTCTGTACATCATTATGGGACATTGTTTCCGCTGAGGCGATTAAAAAAAANTCCTCTGTTCAGGACCTGGTGGTAACCCATACTTGCTAGCGAGGTCCACTTGTGTAGTCCTATATGAACATCTTCCTGTAGATTCCTTTTTATTTATAAATGTCCCATGGGATGTTATAACAGTAGGCAATGACATTGTAAACAGAATGGAATAACACAGATTAACAGATAAGTATCTGATCTCAGGACTCATTTCCACTTAAAAACAAGCACAATGACATTTGGTGATCTGCGGACTAGAATAATGAGGCAAATTGGAAATGTTGCTGCATTTAGATGTGTTGCACGACTGGTAATACAGTACACTCATTTTTAAAGTTTTATTCAGGAACTTTTAATACTCCTTCATAGTGTAATATGTTACTCTTGTTTAAAATCGTTATTAAAAGAAGTTCCCTTTATACTGTTCCATTATAGATGGCACTTAGATTGCCTTCATTCCACTCATATTTTTACCCACGCATATTCAAAATATCTTATCTTTTCGTAATTTACTTAGATTTTGCTGCACAATATCCTTTTGCACACAGAAAATGCTCTGGCTAACACTTGATCTGTAGAACTCGGTTGCAAGCACAGAATCAATGTAAGTAAGGTACATGGTTTTAAGTGGAAATGAGTCCTGAGATCAGATAAGTATCTATTAATCTGTGTTATTCCATTCCGTTTACAATGTCATTGCCTACTGTTATAACATCCCGTGGGACATTTATTAATCGTCTCAGCAGAAACACAACACATAGGGCTTTTTGGAGGCTGCTGCATATATTTTTCCCTCATCTAAGGTTATTCATATCATTGATGTTTGCTTGTCTAGTTGCCTTTGTCAACTTTACTGTAAAATCAGCTATTGGGGGAGAGGAAAAGAGGGAGTTGACAGAACTAGCCTGAGAAGCTTCCCCTGCCTCTTCCATCCCAATTGCCATGATGATAATAATAATCATAACAATGATAATAATAATCATCGCATTTGATATAGCACCTTATCACATGGTTGAGACGTATCAAAATGCTTCAGAGAATATATCGTCAAGTGGAGTGATGGTGTTTTATGAGGAAAAAACTGTCTCCCCTTCATACTCTAACTAACATTAGGAACTCGCTGTGTGGAGAGCTCTGGGAACAAATCCTTGTCCTCCTTTTCTGGAGCACGAAGTGCAGGGGCACCAATTCCCTGTGCCAGCCCGTTACTTTGGGAAGGACTTTTCGGAAATGTTCTTGTTCGTAAGAGGCTGCATTTTTCGTGTTATGCCGCGACCACATACAATATTTAGATAGAATGTCTCAGCAAATAGTTCCTGTGGGTCAATGTGTGAAAATGCATGATGCAATTGAGGTTGGGGGCAGTATGAAGTACTATATATAGTACTCCTATCTGCTGGTTGGACTAGGCAGGCAGACAGCCAGCCAGCAAAATATATTTTGCACTTGATAAATCACAGTCCAGGTTTGAGATCGTAAAAATGTATTGATCAAATATTAGCGTAAATAGGTTGTGGGTATTTCAACCCACAGTGTCAGACAAGTCAGTTGGAGAAATGGGTGAATACAGGAATATTCTCATGTAAGTTAGGGGGGGAAGTAAAAATAGCCAAGGTTCCTCCTGAATGCTATGCAATGCACCCTAATAAAATGCTTCTGTGTGTGTGTGTGGAGACATATGGTGAGGATCAAACTATAGGGTAAAGGAGGGTGGAAAAAAAATCACAAAGTAAATCTGTTAATCTGTGAAATTTTTTCCACTACTGCAAATCAAGTTAAATACTAGAACCTGATGTTTTCTCGTTCTCAGAATTATTAGTTTAAACGTGTTTTTATTGCTTCAGGAAATTGGTTGATTTGTGAAATCAGCTCATCGGTGTGTGCCACAATGTATCTTTCAGACAGACACTCAAATATTGCTGATTTCCTCTCTTCACATAATTTATATTTTTTGTTTCACAAAAACACCAACCATAAGGAATTTAACAAGGGTAGTTTCTGGTGACATGGGTAACTATCTTTAGTTCCTTTTACGTTTGTAAAAATACTTAACCATTGCTGCTGCATTATGCATTTTTAAATGTTGTCTCAAAATATTTGAAAACGCTAAGCAGTAGTTTCACAAACGTTATACAATTTACATTTATATAGCACCTCTCATGTCAGGAGGATGTCTCAAAGTGCTTGACACTGCTTGGCTGAGGGTGGGAGCTGAGGGGGGTGGCGGAGATGTAATATACTGTATTCAGGATTTAATTCAAATACAATATTGTCAGAATGGTTTTGCAAGTAATAACAAGGTTTGTTAACAAGAAAGAATCTGCTTATTTGATTTTAATGGAGAGGGGTTTAATGACTGAATTTCTCTGCTGTGTGGTGAACTGATCATCTTTTTGTACAGCCACGTTTCTATGACAGTGGCAGCCTCCAGGTTGTGCTGTTGATTCAGGATTTCCAAACTGGATGATTTTCTAGATTTTCTCTAGTGCAGAAATGCTCGTGGTAAATAAAGCATTTGCGATTTATTATTAACGTTTTTAAAAGTTTTATTTTTAATTGTGTACATCCTAGTGTAATTTCGTATTCCAATTTGACGAATGAAAATAATGAAGTAAACTGGACTGATCCTTTCCTTCTGCTCGTTATGTTTTAAACACTTTGATAATGATAATAATCCTCGCGTTTGATATAACGCCTTATCACGTCTTCGAGACGTCTCAAAGCGCTTCACAGAATATACTGTAAAGTGAATTGACTGTACGTTTTGTGGGCGAAACGCGGCAGCCAATTGCGCACAGCAGTGTCCCACAAAACAGTCGTGGATTGAGTGACCAAATTTTTTTTAATGGGTTAGTCCAAATTAAAACCTTAAACACAAGATACATTGTTCTTTTAGTAATTTATACAATAATAATGTTAACTATTCTAAAGTAGATACTATAGGGTAAAGGAGGGGGGGAAAAAATCACAAAGTAAATCTGTTAATCTGTGAAATTTTTTCCACTACTGCAAATCAAGTTAAATACTAGAACATGATGTTTTTTTTCAAACTGTGGTCATTTTTTTAATAAATTGATTGTTGGTTTCAGTTCAAATTTTGCTCGAAATCAAGCTTTTGCCATTTATATTTGTCAAAATCTGATGGATAAGAGATTCTTCTATTTTAAAGCTCTGTTTTTTGTAAGGAAAAAAAGGCGTCCTGCGCAGTGTGTAATGAATGAGTTGCTTCTGTTTCTGTCAGGAGTCTAAATGGAAAATGTACATGGAAGTGGATGGTGATGATGTGGCATTGACCTACATTAAAGATGTAACTTTCAACACTAACAGTCAAGATATGGATATTATTAAGATAATTAAGGTAAAGATGGACATTAGTTTTTTACATGTTTTGAGCTAAGTATATTAGTATACGTGTCATGTTGTTAGTATATTTTCCCCCATTTGAAAGAATTACAACTCGTACAATATACATTTCATATTTTTACAAATAGAATTTGTAAATTATTACCACAAATACATATCTGGTGTTTATTTTTCATGTATCAGACCCCTTGTGTTTATGCATCACAACATTAATCTCTTTTTACTGTGGACTGGACACTATTAATGAGCCATAATTTGATCTCAGAATGATGGAAATGGAATCCATTTCCACCAGAAGATAGTGGAGCTTTGTTTGAATTTACAAAGAAATGTTTTACATTCTGATGTAATAACATTTAATAAAATTCCATGGATGGAACCTCAGTCCACATTAATACTGCCCGCCCTACGCTCACCACAAATCAGATGCGAAGGGGAAAAAATGGCTATCAAGAATGTGATTTGCAACAAAAATCTTTTACACCATGAAAATCAAGACATTTCTGTCATGACCCAAAATAGATTTTAGCACAACTTGCTATATCTTAACAAATAATGAATGAAATTGCCCAAGAAATATTTATGTGCATCATATGCAATTTTTAAAAATGTATTAGTGCAATGTAATTAGTGAGGGTATGAATTTAAATTTTCTGGGTGACTGTCAGATGTAAGGCCAAGCAGGTTTTTTTTAAACCTTCAGCATTTTCTGGACTGGACTGGGGAAAGCATTCAGTTTAATTTTTCAGGGTTCTTTTCGCTGTTGGGTGTATTGAAAACATGTACAAACTTTTAAATCTTTATTTTCAAACAAACATCTTTAGGAAGTTCATCCCTGTAACAATTCTTTAGGTGACGGTCATTTTCTAGATGTGTATCAAACCTTCAAATTGTTTCAGTGTGTAAAGTACTGGTGCTAAACAGACATTTAATTTCCACAGCCTCCCTACCTCATGGAGAAATGGATTGTGGGGATAAGAAACAACCAGACTGTGGAATTTATTGTAACTTATGAGGTAAGTCTTGAGAACAAATGGCTTATTTTATTTAGGATTGTTACAAAACATGTATATCTACAAAATATCTAGTGTGCAAATGATATAAATATGAATAAATTATAGCATCAAATAAATGTAATTACTATTAAAATTCACATAGATGTACCATGAAACGTACTATGATACAATGGTGTTTTCTGTTTAATAATTAATCTGTATTTCAGCAATTTCTTATAGTTCTGAATACAGTAGGACACTGAGTCCATTCACCACTCAGACTCAAAGCCCAATTTAAGCCAACCCAACTGGATAACATCAAAATTGTTATCCAGACTCTTGTCTCTTGAAAGGAGAAGGGTGAGGGATGACCTAATAGAGGTCTTTAAAATAATGGAAGGTGTTGATTGAGTAGACATAAATGTTTCCACTTGTGGGGGAGACCAAAACCAGGGGCCATCAATACAAAATAGTCACCAATAAATCAGACAAGGAAGTCAGAAGAAACTTCTTTACCCACAGAGTGATGGGAACGTGGAACTTGTCATCCCACAAGGAGTAGTTGAGGCGAATAGCATAGATGCATTTAAGCGGAAGCTGGATAGGTTCACGAGGGAGAAAGGAATAGAAGGTTATGCTGATAGGCTTTGTTGAGGAAGGGCAGGAAGAGGCTCCTGTTTCACTGTTTGTGTAATAGATGTAATGACTAATTACCTACCCTTTCTCCTGATTACTATCCCTGGTTTAGTTCCCCATCCTTTCCTCTTCTAGAGGCTGTGATACATGCTGGGCCTATTTCTACAGGTGATAGTGTTGTCCCTTGAATATCTCACCAGGGTGACGATCTTCATAATAATAATAATAATCCTTGCATTTGATATAGCGCTTTTCACGTCGGGAGGACGTCCCAAAGCGCTTCACAGAACACACTGTAAAGTGAATTGACTGTATATTTGTGGGCGAACGCGGCAGCCAATTGCGCACAGCAATGTCCCACAAACAGTCGTAGATTGAAAATGACCAATTTATAATTGTTTTTGTTTTTTGGAGGGATTATTATGAGGCTCTGTGTGGAGTAAGGAAACTTGCCCAAGGTTTCGCCCTCTGCTGGAATTGAACTCAGGTCTCTCACTTGCAAAGCGAGTGCTCTAACCACTGAGCTACAGGACTCCACTTCACTTCATGATATCCACTTCATGATATCATCAATAATGATATGACACGAGTGTAAACCACAGATAAAGAACGTTGTGCTTTCCTGTGACTCAAACCTTTCATTGCTACAATTCATAACATCGTCTTTGCTGATTTTTCTCCTGTCATTGTGCCAGTAGCACTGCATTTGTTTCTGAGAATTAGTCGATTTTCGAAAACGTTTGGGACGTTTAGCAAATTGGCTGAAAGTTTTTTTTGTCCTATTTTACATGTTTTTTGTTTATGCAACAGAATGACGTAAAAGCTCCCAAAACATCAAAGCACACTCTTTCTGTTATGTCAAATTTCATGAACACTGAAATCAAAGAGGTAGAGTTAATCATACAAACTGGCTCGACAAATGCAGAAGGCAAGCATCGGTGCAAATCCACTTCAAGTAAGTCATTTAGTAACCCATCAATAACGTTTGCTAAAATAGTGTATGTGATGCCTAGACTAGAGTGGTTAAAACTGCGTGTGGTTTTGATGTTAACAGTTGATACCAATGTAGACCAATTAAACCAGTTGATGATCTCATCTCAGCCAACATTTTAATTTCCCCAGAAATTAAAACGTAGAAGAAAGCCATTTAATGTTTGCTGATGTTAGTGATAGTTCCTCTACCAGAGCTGATTACTCTTAATCTTAATTCTCTGTTCTCTCCACTTACCATTTTATATTATTTATGAAAGGAATAAGTAACCTCAAGACTAGTATAGCCCAGGAGCAGGTTGCTATCTATCCTCTCTACTGAGACCAAACTGCGGGAGCTCAAGCTAACAATGTTTTTCAACCTTCACACGTTCGATACTAGTGAAAACTCCCTAATTTTTAATAAACAAAACCCACCAAGAACTGATATGGATTGAAAGTTTTTCATAAGCAATAAACGGAAGTTGAATCACACTGCACAGGAAAACTTACATCATTTTACATTAAAAAATATATTGTTTTTGTAAAACTATTTGTTGCAGTTTCACAACTTATTGATAATATTGAGGCAATTTGGAGCACTAAAAAGGCAATCTCGGAGCAAGACTACAAGATTTGTTTTATCATTGATTTGTTTTTCATTTAACATGATAATCAAGCTTATAATATTGCCAAATATTAAACTCAAAAAGTGTATATGAGAGTTTTCTGAATTTTTCTTTCATAATCCATCTTGCCTGTAGCTGTGGCAGTTTTATGTACATGCTACATATTGGTATATTCATTTCACACAAAATGACTGAGCTGAATAGGCTGCAATTTCTCTCAAGGAATACAGTAGCTCTGGAAATTGGATTCCAATGCAATTTTATTTTGATCATCTTAGATACGTTATGAAAATTGATTTTCCAGCACATTATAGTATTGATACATGATAGCAGCTATCAGAATAACATTACCAAGATGACCAATAATGCCTTTACCATCTTCAAACTTATATATTTTATAAAACTAAACCTTTAATACTTTGAGGATATTAGGATATTTGAACTCTGAAAATCAATCGTTAAACCATATGAACTATTTTATTTTTCAAATGCAACTCATTGTTGTGAATGTTAAGCAATAGGAAATATGTGTTGCAAGATGAATATTAAATTTTATACAAAGGTTGTGCCTAAACGTCTGAATTATACTTTTTCCAAGTTAGATGAAAATAATGAAATATATCTAGAGCACAGCAATACTGCCTTTTTAAGTGATTCAAAATTGCTCATTGTTAACAATTCACTCCAGTGCAATAAAGAGTTTTACAAAAATAATATATTTTAACATAACAGATGGTGCGTATTTTTCTGTGCAGTAAACTCTTAATGATGTAGTGATTAAAAATGGTCATAAACTACTTTCTTCAGCAATCCATGCGCTAATGTTTTATTAATCATTTGTGTCTTGAAATCAAATGCCTGTGAGTCAGTCACTGTGATTATGGAGCTTTGATTAAGCAAAGAAACCTACTGGTGCTCACGACAACTACAGAGAGAAAAGAAATGTGAAATTCATTAATACTAAATGTATGTTTGGTTGTCTCTTGATCGACTGACTATTTTTGGAGGCTAATTCTCCTGTATGAAAAAGACGTCTTGACAACGAGCAAACCTGTAATAAGTGTCTTATTCTTTTTTAAAAATGTCTTATTTTCGACTCGGCCAATACGTATATACTACTCTTGTCTTCCAGATGTTCGTCAGCAATGGCTCGATGCTTTGAAGTTGCGTAAAATATCCACAACTTCCTCTCCGCAATATTCTGCAGGTTTAAATCTGAACCATAGCCCTTCCAGTTCTACTACACTACCTCAGTTTTTGACATTATTTGCTAAACAAGATACTTACGCAGCAGCTGTACGGCGAATGCAGAGTCCTAACAGATATCACATCACACCTCTGACTCAACCTAGACGAAGCTCCAGTTCATCACCTACAACGTCAATGTTAAGTAGTCGTATTTCTCTTCTGCATCTAACCTCTGTAGGAAGCAATGCATCCAGCACCACTTCAGAGACCATTTTGGAAAGAGACCGATCCACCGGCAGACAACAAAGCTTTGGCTATCAGAGCAGTGATACCATTGACTTTTATTCCAATAAAAGAAACAGTTCGGAGGCAGTAAACAACACTAATACCAAAGGGTTTTCTGCTGCCGCAAGGGCTGGTCCAACATACTCACTCGGCAGTGGAAATGAGGACAGGGAGAAGGGATACAATCGAGACAGAAGTAAAACTACTTTCAGGCGTCATTCTGGATACCGATCATCAGAAAAGCACTTTGCTCAGTCCATACGGTCTGCCCACGCTAAATCATGGGGCCCTGATAGAAACAGACAAGCACATCATTGGCAACATTCAACCCAAAGTTACAGTACAGCTTCAGAGCTTTCTCTCAGTGCTAACAAAAGTAAAGACACGGAAGAGGATCAAAAAAAGACCAAACCTAGTGAAGGAGAGTGGATTAAAGTTGAGCGACAAAGAAAATCTCCCAAAAACGACAATATTAAACAAACTAGAGGAAGAGGTGGAGGACGCAGTCGAAGGAATTAAAAAGTGCCACATACTTTTCTGTCCTTCACTAACTCAAGCTTAATGACACTTTTATAGATCATAGAATGTTTACGGCACAGGTGGTGGCCATTGGGCCCATGCACAACATGCCCCTTTATGGTGCAATATTTAAGACGTCATTCAAACCTGCTGAATATTATGTTAACTCATACAGATTTATATAGAAAGGGAGTGTTTGATGCTATTCCTGCAAGTGCAATTGAGTCTATATTCCTTATCAAGCGTCATTAAGGAAATAGAGCCTTAATGACCTACTGCAGTTTTTTTTATATATATTGTACATACAGGTTGTAATAAAGCACTGAGATTATTTTGTAAATTGAGAATAATAAGAGAAAACACAGGAGTGAAGAGTGAGAATTAAAATCAATTAGGATTCTACCTCCCAATAGCTATCCATTGTCCTCCTGGTAGAAAGTCATATGTGGATATTGGGTGAGAACGGCATCAAATTCAGCTGCAATGCCTTCTTTTGTCAAATAGGCTGCTGATTCTCATTAATTAATTAGGTTTGCAGGTGAGGGAGAATAGACACTTGGCTCCTTCAAGGCCCATCTCAAGACTTCACGCTTTGACCCTACTTTTGACCCTACTTTTGGTGATCCTCTCACCTCCACCCACTTGCTCTCCATCCCGCACTGCCCAGGGCCTTGGGATGTCTTCCTGAAATGAATGACACTATATAAATGCAATTTATTGTTGTGCAAAGTATTGGAAGATTGTTGGCAAATATGAACAATGGAAGGATGAAAATTGGCAACACAAGATAAGAAGATTTCTCTTTGTGGACACAAGAAGACTTGGGGAATTGCTGCTTCTGCATTACTTGTTCTTAAACCTGCCAGATCCTTCCTACAGTGCTAATACATCCACACTACCTTCTTTATACTCTTAGTGGGAATACCAATTTGTTCCTCGGTGTACATTGCTGTTCTGTGGCATCTCAATCAGATATTTTTTTTCTTCCAAGACCCATGGTTTCAATAATAGTTTGAGAATTTAATTCTTATCAGTTTCATCCTTTCTGTCATCACTTAACAAAGGGCTCCAGCAAAAAATGTAAAAGCTGTATTCCATTGTTATTGTTAACTCTACAATGAATATGCATGCCACAAAAAGCATATAATACAGTTGTCATTTTTTTTTACACATTGCGCTCTATATGGGACGTCCTCTTGTCATGAAAGGTGTTTTTCAAATTAAATTTTATATTGTATTGTATATTAGACTTAAGCAATTGAGAGATATGAGTCCATTTTGAGTCCCAAACCACACTGGATGTGTTTCTCCCTTACTGTGTCCATCCTGCGATTAACAGAGAGAGAGAGTCCTTGGGTAGAGTAGTTTAATCTTCCAGTTGGACAAGCAATTATGGGGAACTAGTGGAGAGGGAGGAGATGACACAATATTGTGTTGTAGAACTGGCCTTGGAATAGGTTGAAAGATTCATGTACTTAATGATACTGTAACATAACCTTTTTAGAAATTCCTGTAATTAGGTGAGTCAATAGCATATGTGAGTGGGAGTCTGCTTGAGTTCTTACTAAGATTTGGGTTGGAGTCCTTGAATCGACCTATCTCAGTGAGAAGAATTTTAACAGTTCTGATTGAGCTGCTTGTAATGAGACATCCTGGATGAAGAATAGATGGACTGACGCATGTAACTCACACCTCTTGATTCATGCCTACTGTTTGACATTTGTGGATTGACATTGATGGCAATTATGCATTGGAGCCCAGCCCAACCCATCATCCACTCCCCTACAGAGGACGGGAAGTCTCAATCAGCAGTTCAGTAATTATTGAAGCCATTTCCTACACTAGTGAGTTGGTGTTTTTGAATAAATTCTCAATGCCAACATTTTGGGGTGAGAAATGCATGTGTGAGAGACTTGTTCATTTTTATGTACCCTAGAACTGTTACAATCCTACATTTATATGCTGATCAATGAAGGGCAATGTTACTTTTCAAGAAAATTCAATTGAAAATGTAAGTTAGAAATATTTTCCTTGTGCACTTAAACTTGCAAGATCAATTTAACTCTTTAAGTGTCATTGCGGGATTTGTTGCTATTGCATGGTCAAGTTTTTATTTCCGCCAATTTCTTCCTCTGCAGGAACCCGGGCTTATTTTTCCTTCTGTAGCCCAGCGGTGCTGAGTCCACCGATGGGGCCTATTGCTGACGAGCCTTTCTTTGTAAGATCTTAGCTGCTTAGTCTGCAGTTTTCTCATCCACCCCCACCCCGTCTTTGTGCTATTTGTAAATGTAACTGTCATGCACTGGAGAGCAGGCTCGGCTGCATGAGTCACTACTGTCAAACAGCCATTCACTATGTAGCATCTAACATTAGAAATTGAAGTTCTGGTAAGATACCAGAGGGTTGGGGTGCTACACAGCGTGAGGGGTGCTATGTAAATAAAAGTCATTGTTGGTTGCAAAGCCCCATGTAACTACCCTCCAGGAGAGAGGGCAGAAAACTAGAGCAGGATAAACACTGTGATGGTAGAATAAATTTTGCAAAGGTGGATAAAGCTATTTAAAGTAAGAGAATGGATTCTGGATGCTTAAATTGGATGCTGTTCAAGCAAACAAATGTTTGTATGAAATACTCTTCTGATTTGTGGACATAGCACGGCGTTGGTATATTACAATTTATAAAGGTTTTGTAAAGACTTGTAGTAGCATTCAATCAACTCCCTAAAACTACAAACAAATTAATGATACCTACCTGTATGACCACTAGCAGAATAGTTTTCCATGGATCAATTGAGTGGTGATTGGCGAATACATATTTAAGTCTATTTCATTAAAGCGATACTATAATAATGGGATGATACAGCTCATTATTTGTGCATGCCACTAATGTGACTGTGACAGCGATTTTTCCTCCTCAGAACCAAAATAGTGTAATTCTACCTCCATATCAACCTGTTCGCTTCATCCACTCATCAGGCTCTGGCCTGCTCCATGTCTCCCACCCGGCCCACCCCACCATTGGCGGTCGGGCTTTCAGCTTCTCTGTCTCCACCCTTCGGAACCCCATCCCACAGTCCTTCGGCTCGCTCCTCCCTTGCCTGATTCAAGGCCCATCTCAAGACCCTCCTCTTCGATCGCGCCTTCAGTCACCTTCCTACCCCTGTTCTCCCTGCCCTCCACCCCTCCTGGTCCCAACCCTCCGCTTGGGTTGTTTGTTGCCAAGAGTCCAACCCACTCAGTAAACTGGGCAGAGTCCACAGAACCCACCGCACAGGGTTTTTCAAAATCACTTTTAATTCAACTTTTTCCTCTTTCAATGTAAATGTCGTATCGGTTTCCTTCAAACAAAACAAATTATGCACAAGAACAAAAACCGGCGACCGCACTTTCTGAGTAAAGGATTAAACTCCTCCGGGAAATGCTTCAAAAGACTGGAAATAAATACTCTTGATAAGTGAACAGTGAGATTCCAGCCACTTGGAGGAAACTTTTAAGTATGAATTTCGAGGGTGATTATAACCACATTAATGAAAAAATAACCTATAGAGAAAAAGAGTGAACAAGCTGCCTTACAAAAGCCAAAGTAAAGCAGAAACAAAGGAAATCTGCGTCATCAATTCCCCCAAACGATAACAGGACACTGACAATCGGAAATAATGGGGGCGACTGTTCCCCCTCTCCCCGCGGTCTTTAGTGTGAACGGCTCTATATAAAAACAAGTTGTTGTTGTTAGTTGTGGGTATGGCTGGCCTGTAGTTTGTTGGATTAGTTCTCTCATCCTTTTTTAAAAGTGGGTATTACGTTGGCCATTCTCTAGTCCTCTAGTCCTTCGCTACAGAGTTCTTATGTATCTCCTCCCTGGTTTCCTTAAGTAACATTGGGTGCAGTCCATATGAGCCAGGTGCCTTGCCTCCTTTAAGCTTGTGTAAGGTATTTAATACCTCCCCTATCCCTATCTTAACTGTTGCGAGTTTATACCTTGCCGCTTCTGTTCTTTCTAAATTTTCTTTATCAGTTTCCTTTGTGTATAGATCCTGGATCAGACCCAGCAACATAAATAAAGGTTGGACAGATTGCTTTTAAGCCACGATCAACAACAAAAGGAAGGATTACCTACAATTCAAAATGGAACGGCTAATCGAGCACCTTTCATTAGGTTGAACTACAATACTAACCCACACTGAAACCTGAGAAGTTTCTGAAAAACGATTCCACCCTCGTTGAGCATTGGTAAAAGGTGGTGCACATTGAGGTTTGAAAAGAAACTTCAGTTATCGAGAGGATCTAGGGTACATGTGCAGTAACAGTCAGCTGTATCACAAGCATTTACTTAAACATATGTAACTAGTGTTATTTTATGCAACAGTTTTAGAGTGCAACTTTGCTTTTAGCGCTAGGCGTTGCATTTGTCATTGTGGCCTATTCCATTCTGAATACTCAACGAATAATAACAACCTTTGCATTTGATAGAGCCGCCTATCACATCCTTGATTCGTCTCAAAGTGTTTTCACAGATTTGTACTGTAACGTGTAGTGGCTGTATTTTGTAGGCCAATTCTATTATATTGCAATTTTGGCAGAGAATGATATCTTTCAATTTTTCAATTAATTTCTGGATTGGTAAAAGTGTCTTCTTCCTGTTCTTTAAATTTTCTTTACAATGTACACACTTCTATATGCACTGGAATGTAACTCCTCGATAAACAGAGAAGCAACCGGATTAATGTCATTTCAGAAATATTGTACTATTAATTTCACGTAACAAACATCAATACAGTGTTTGAAATGTAACACTTTTATGTATACTGTATGGTGTAAAATAAAAGATTGTACTGTATTTTGAAACCTTAAAGGTTTTGAGCACTCGAGGTAAACGATGCCAAGATTGAGGGGATTATTAATACGATCGGGAGTTGTGTAAATCATTTGTGTATACTGTACTTGTACGTTGGGGGTTACAGGTGCCCATAATTAGGTAATAGTTAATGGTGACTGAAGTCTATTGTTCTCACTGGAGGCACTTGGCGATTTTGGGGTGAGGACACCATGAAGCTCAGCTGCAACGAGTCCATGATTGATACCGCGCTGAAGTATACAGTGGTTGTAAAGTGAGCCGGAAATGCACTAGAATAGACTTCTGATTCTTAATCAACTCTCAGAGAGCTGTTCTGCTGCCAGTTTTTCACGCCCTCGAGTAGAACACTGAGCCTTCTCTGAAAGCAAGATTTCCCACCCACACGTATCGCTTCGCGGCAATAAGTTATAAAATATTTTGTTTTCGTAACAATAAATATCGAGTTCCGCGTGAAGATGTGTGAACATTCAGCATGAGCGTTCAATTTTTCTCTATCTTCCTGATTGAAACTGGGGAAAGATCAGATTTAAGAAAATAAAAGTGTGAGTATAAAATGTGTAAGTGCCATGACATTACCGTTTTAAGAAAAAAGGTTCAGTCTCTCTTGGTAACAACCCATTTTAACCACAGTTGCATCACTCTCACTTTTGCTCTTGAACGCAGGATTGCGGTACAGTATTGAATACATTTGCAGACTTTTGATATTAGGTGTAATTGTATTTTTTTAAATGTTAACATTCCCTTTTACTCATCACCTAACTTTGTGATGATGGTAAATGTGCATTAATTTTAGGCCTTGATATATCAATTTGCTGTTTTAGTGCGTTTGCTTATAATGAAGGGCTGAACATAAAAACATTGACGCTCGACATTTGTCAGGTCGACATTTGTCAGTCCTGAGAAATGCTTAAAAAATCTGCACCGTGCGATAATATGGCAAACTGCCACATTATCTATTGCTTGAAATATTATACAAAAATATTATACAATACAAAAATTTGTCCTCTTGTTTGTTTGCACGCTGTTAAAAATAATATGGAGAAACGGTGAAGTTTTCTGAAACGTTTCGGTGTAAGTTACTTTGGGCTGAAAGGTGAAGTAATCTTAGCTCAGCGTTAAGTGTTCACTTTTCCTCGACATGAAAGTAGGCATTCAAATAATCGCTTGTTTTTTGTTCCGCTTAAATCTCCGGCATTTTTCTCTTTCGTGCGTAAATGGAATGTACGTTCAATCCCCCCAAAAAAGGGGATGCGAGGGTTTATTTTTTTCTATGCAGTAGTAGTTTTCTTGAAACTACACAGCAGCTGCTAACGCTTACTGCGTATATTTTAAATAGTGTGACAATGTGATAAGGCGCTATCTCAAATGCAAGGATTATTACTATCGTTATTATTATTGTGCAGTGCCTTAGCTACGTAGCAGCTTTCGCTTGCAAAGTAGCGTGTAAAGCTACTGCAGATATTCAAGAAATGCTGCATACTCCTAACAATGCGACAATATTATTATTGCATCAAATGCGAGGATTATTATTATTATGATGATGATGATGATGATGATTGCGCAATACATGGCTGTGCAGAGGCTTCTGCTTGCAGAGCAGCTTTCTAAAAATAAAAGCCAAAAAAAACAGTAGTATTTTCAGCTCCAACCCCCTTACCACCCCCACCCACCCCCACCCCCACCCCCAAACCCAGTAAACAAATGCAAAGTGAAACCCCCTGATTATGAGATTAGCCTTTTGCAGGAATGGGTTCATTTTTTTTAAAAAAACACAACAACAACCTCTCTTGCAACGTTGCAGGACGGATAGAGTCAGCCACACACACAGACACACACATGCACCCCCACCCCACCACCACCCCCAACCCCTCCCTCCCTCCTTCTCTCCCTCCTTCTCTCTCTCTGGCTTTGCAACTGGTTGCAATCACTGGTCGCTCGTGTCCCGCGAGCGCGCGAAGTTTTGCACCGCGGCCCCGCCCCTTTCCCCGGGCCCGCGAGAGGAGAGCTGCAGCGGCGACTCGACCCCTTTCGACGTCGGTCTCCCGTCTCTCTCTCTGTCTCTCTGTCTTTCTCAGTCGAAACAAATAAATATACAGATATATATATATATATATATAAAAAGTAAGAAATACGTTTAAGGGAAGGAAAGACGGCCGTCGGAAATGTACAGAACCAGAGCGAAGGTAAGGCCGACGATGATGGTTTTTTTTTCTCTCGAGTGAGGGGAGTGAGTGAGGGAGTGAGTGAGGGAGTGTGCGAGCGGTTTAAATGCCCGCGCGCCGCTCTCAGCCAACGGCAACTCCCTCAGCCTTTCGCTGCAACTCTTTTTATTTATATCTATATATATTACATTATATTATTAGACATATGTATCTATGTATTTATTTTATTTTATTCGTTTGTTATTTTTTTAAAAAAAGGAGAATTTTACACACACACACACACACATATGTATATATATATACGTGTATATGTGTGTGTGTGTATATATATATATAATTCTCTCCCTTTTTTTAAACAAAAATATTAACGACTGAATTCATTGATTGATGAATTAATAAAATTAAAGAAAGAAAGAAATGCACAGGACCAGAGCTCGAGTGAAAAAAAAGGAAGGGGTTGGGGGGTGGGGGCTGGTAATTTATTTTCCTTTTGTGTGGGGGTGGGGGGGGGTTTGTTAAATTCTGCTGCTGCTGTTTTCGTTCTCTTTTTTTAAAAAATTTAAAATAATAAGTTTTTTTTCACTGTGTCAATTGTATCAATGACATACGTGGAAAAAAAACAGGAGCTGAGAAACGCACAGAATCAGAGCTACATTAAGGGGTGGGGGGGTGGGGTGGGGGGGGGGGTCGTTTGGCGCTAATTTTTTTTAAAACAAATTTATTCTCTCACCTCAACTAACCTCCTGAGGGTGGGGGGGGGGGTTGTTGTTGGGGTGGGGGTTGTTGTTGTTGTTGGGGTGGGGGGGGTGTTGGGGGGGGGGGTTAAGAGAAGCTACACATTCCTTTCCCGAACTCTTCTTTTTATTGTGTGTGTGTGTGTGTGTGGGGGGGGGGGGGGGGTTGGGGGTGTGGGGGATGTTACGTGTTTGAAGTTTCTGTAATGTCTCGTGTCTCTGTAAATATCTTCACGTTTAGCAAAGATGTCGGTTAACCCCCCCACCATCCCACACCCCACCCCTCACCCCCTACCATCCCCACACTCCACCTCACCCCCCCACCATCCCCCACCATCCTCACCTCACCCACACCCCACCTCACCCCCCACCATCCTCACCTCACCCACACCCCACCTCACCCCCCCACCATCCTCACCTCACCCACCCCCCCCACCTCACCCCCCACCATCCTCACCTCACCCACCCCCACCTCACCCCCACCATCCTCACCTCACCCACCCCCCACCTCACCCCCCACCATCCTCACCTCACCCCACCCCACCTCACCCCCCACCATCCCCACCCCCCCATCTCACCATCCTCACCTCACCCCCACCATCCCCACCCCCCCACCTCACCATCCTCACCTCACCCCCCACCATCCCCACCTCACCCACACCATCCCCACCCCCCACCTCACCCCCACCTCACCCACACCCCACCTCAGCCCCCACCTCACCCCACCATCTCCACACCCCACCTCATCCCCACACCCCCTCCCCCCCCACCACCTCACGGTGCACCGCACGAGTTTGTTTTGGGTACACAATTATGCACCTTTTATATATATATATATATATAAAGTTTTAATTTGTGGTGGTGGTGGTGAGAGAGAGAGAGAGAGAGAGAGGAAAAAGTGACTCAACTGTTGACAGTCAGTAAGTGATGGGGGCTTTTTTTACACACATATAATAATATTATTTTTTTTCACAAATGGCAATGATTCGGTACGAGTTTAAAGACGGGGGAAAAAACACCCTAAACGACACCTCCCACACGGCCCCCCGCCCCCCCCAAAAAAAAATAAATAAAAAAAATGCTGGGCTACAAAGTTTTCGGTAGGTGCCTGTTGGCTCAACCGCAAGCTGTCGCGAGCGGATGAGCGAGTGGGGGTGTAAAAAGGCTTTGATTTGTAGACGTTGGAGCCGCTCTGGACTGGGACTGACTTGGAAGGGCGGGAGAGGGGGAGGTCACGTGGCCGCGGCCGGGGCCCGGGACGCGGGAAACCCGGTGATTGACAGCTGGCTGTGGCGCGCGAGGCGGGGCGGCGCGGCGCTGCTCAGCTCAGCTCCCGGGACAATCGCAGCTGCAAAACAAACAAACAAACCCCTCCTCAAGGCTGGGGCTGGGGCTGGGCTGCACAAGTTTGCCTCCTGTTTGCTTCCACCCCCAAACTTTGGTGGCATTAACCGGGAATGTGACTTGCCGGTTTGGGAGGGAGTGCAGTGCGGCAGTTCCAAGTCTTTAAATCGAGCCTTTTTGTTTTGTTCTGCCAGGTCACCATTTTACCAATGCGACTAGTTTTTTTAATATATATATATGTATATATAGAGGGAGAGTGGGACTGCTTTTTTTTCTCTCTCTCTCTCATATTTCGCAGTGATTGGATGGCTGGTTTTACAGTCCCGTGTGATTGCTACATATTCGAGGTATCGTCCCCTTAAATAGTCATCCCCGCGTTTGATGTGGAGCCCGTCTGGTCACGTCGTTGAGACGTCTCGAAGTGCTTCGCAGGATATACTGTAAAGTGGATATTGTGGGGGGGGAACGCTGCAGCCAATTTGCGCACAACAATGCCCCACAAACAGCCGTGCGTATGTGCAGAAACAAAAGGATCAGCGTTTTTGTGTTTAATGGAAAATGTGCTCTGCAGTTCTATTAAAAAAAGGGTACATTGCATTCATTGCAAAGGGTACATCTACATTGTCTTGTTTAACTAAGGAAGGAGTGGTCTCTATGCCTGGCAGTGTGTAGGTTCCCGACTGCTATAAGAGAGCGCTTGTTCCATGTTTCTAGCATAGGCATGTAGGAATGAGTGACAAACATTACATGTTGCTGAAAACTCAGAAATATGAAATGTGTTCCCAACTGCACCGAGATTCAGACATTTTGGGAGGTGGAGGTGGGTTCATCAATGTTTTAGCAGCTCTATACGTAAAAGGTATATATACCTGAGGGTGCAAGTAGATTGAGAGCACTGTCTGTCCAGGAAGCTTCCTGCTGCTTCTACAGCAAAGACTATCCCTACCATTTCAAGCCCTGCCAATGAACCAGTCAGGCTGGTCTGTCATCAGAGGTGCCATGAAGTACTGCGGACCTGCCTGGCTAAGAAACCAGACCACCGAGACCATGACAGAGGGCGAGCTTGATTCCGACACTCCATTATCAAACATGTCACCTTGCCCCCCCCCCCCAGGGGCTAGCCAGTATAGTTATTTGACATTTGAGCATGGGTTTTAGACCTCCTTTGGTGAATGGCAGGTACCAGGAACTCCCTGCGATCTGTTTTGGAGGTGAACGTAGATTTTTTTTAAAAAAGCTATTGATTGACTGAAAAACTGGCATTTAAAGCCGACTAGAAGACTCATGGGAAGTGGTAATGGAAGTGGTAAACCAAACTGGCCAGCAAATCTGCTCATTGGCCTCCGGAACTGAACTGTCTGGACAAGTGATTGTTCACGTTGATTGATGAGCAGAGTTGATACTTCAGCATCTGTTCCACATTTGACCCTTGTGGGTCAGCATGGCTCAGTGGTCGTAACATTTTTGCCTTGGAGTCAGAAAGATGTGGGTTCAAGCCCCACGTCAGGATTTGGAATTGCGTAGTCGATCCTATGCTCTAATTCACTCCTGGAGGTGTGTTGCATTGTTGGAGGTGCCATCTTTCGGATGAGATGTTAAACCAAGTTGCTTTCAAAAATACACAGTCAATCCACTTTACAGTATATCCTGTGAAGCGCTTTGAGACAACAACAGCAAATTAGATTTATATAGCGTCTTTCATGTCGGGAGGACATCCCAAGGCACTAGACAATTAGTGTTTCGGACCCAAGCTGGTCGGCGGAATCGGGGAGGGTGGCCGAAGGCACTGTTGAATAGGAGGGTGTTGAGATGGGTCTTGAAGGAGGCAAGGGAGGGGGTGAGATGGAGAGACTGGTGGACGGAGTTCCAGAGGCTCGGGGCAGAGTGGCTGAAGGCTCATCTGTCAATAGCGGGGCGGGCAAGGCGGGAGACAAGGAGCAGGCCAGAGCCTGCTGAGCGAAGGGAGCGGGCAAGTTGGTGGGGGTTAGAACGTCGCAGAGGTATAGGGAAGTAAGGCCATGCAGGGTTTTGAAAGTGAGGATCTTGAACTGTATCCTCTGTTTGATGGGAAGCCAGTGGAGTCAGGCAAGGATGGGGGCAAGGGTCGCGGAGCCTGGTTCCGGGAGAGGACATGGGCTGCAGAGTTCTGGATGATCTGCAACCTATGGAGGGAGGAGTTGGGGAGGCCAACAAGCAGGGCGTCATCAAGAGAAAGGCAAAAAATATTATTTATTAGCAGTCAATGTCAGATCATGTCTTTGTCAAGTTCATTTTATCGAAAGGAGAATACATTTTCTGGAACTACTAACTGGGATTCAAGTAGCCGTTAGATAATTTTTCTTGTGCTTTGTAAGGTTTTAGTTTGATAATTTGGCAGCAGAATTGTCAGAACATTAACAATTGATTAGCAAGAGGTTTAGCAAGAACATTGAGAATGGACTAATTTCTTATTTTGTATTTGGTCCTAAAATAACCCAAACAGTCCGTCTTAGCATTGTACTTGTGTTCAGAATATTGCATTTTGTAAATTGCACCAATCTTAGTATCCTCTTGTGAAATTTAGGAGGTTTCACCATCAGTAACTGTCTCGTAAATCAAACTGCTATGAATACATTTTGATTAACTTAAGTTTAACATTTTGAGAGAGAGAAAAAAAATCATGTGATGTGTGAATATTTTTGTTCAGACTGAGTGCTGATGACCTCATTGGGGTAACTGTCTTGAAGGAATTAATGATGCTTGTAGAACGGGGAGCTGAATTGTCATAAAGCAATTACCTGGGGTACTTATGCCATTTTTCCTTATTTCAACTGCGCATGTTAATTCCTCTCCCCACATTGTCAAGATTATTAACTCCCCATCAGTACTCAGTTTAAAGAAACTTTTTTTTAAAAAACTATAAGGATGTTGAAGTTGATCAGTTTTTTTATTTAAAAAAATGAGATGAGGAGGGGGTGCTTGTAATTTCTGCTTATTTAAAACTTATGTCACTCTAATTTTGTCAACAAAATGTTCATAAATCTTAAATGAATATGGTATTAGATCATTCTTTGTGAGATCCTTAAAAATTAAAATCTTTAGTAGGTGCTGAAACCTTGAGGTATAAAATGCTGTCTACTTCATTTGAAAGGTAAGATTGTTTGGTCCGAATGCTATCAAGTTAAACCTACTTTAAAGGTACAGTAATACCATAAGCAAAAGAATGCAATGTTTTAGAAGCTTGTGAAAAATGTTCCTGCGTGATCCTCTGGGAGATGCACGTTTAAGATTTATTTAGTATACTGTTTTATTTCTTGTATGAAATTTTCAGTTGTGCAGTCAAAGTGCGGTGTTGGAATTCTATTTGATATGCAGCTCACATTACTATCGTACATCAGATGCTCTTTTTCTGTCTCCGCTAGTTGTGAGTGCTCCAGCTGGTATTGCAGATTTCTGTATGCAACAAAAACTTTTATCTGTCTGCTTTGGTTACTGAAACCAACCTAAACATGCTATTTGAATATCGAATAAGCACCGACGATGATACATCTCAAAGCAGGTCTGTAAAGCTGGAATAAATTGGCTCTGCATTCCATTTACATGGCACAAAGCAGATTCAGAGTAGAACCGTGTGTTATGCAAAGTGAATTTCTTGCGAATCATATCATTATAACCTGACACTAAAGAAATATTTAAAAGGTATTCAAAGGTTTTATTTTTTAATCTTACAGCAGATAGACCTTTCCGGAAAGGAAGAATTTAAAGACTTCAGAAACGTGGCATTGGTTCCCATGGAAACGTCATCATCAGATGATAGCTGCGATAGTTTTGCTTCAGACAATTTTGCGAACAGTGTAAGTCTAATTTAAGATTGTGAATGCAAAAAGAAGTTCAGTACAATTACCTTGTAATAATACAAGTTTTCTATTTCTTCTCAGAAAGCTAAAGTCAGACCAGAAATTCTGACAGAAGAACTGGCTCGGATTTTTAATGAGGATTCTGATGATAACGAATCATTCAAGGGTTTCTCTGAAAGTGACCTCAAAGATGTAATGGAAGCAATGGTACGTTGAGCAGTGAGAGCAAATGTCTTGAAATTTATGTACAAACATAAAGTTCAGGCCAGCTTTTGTTTAACAGTATATATACAGTCAATTCACATTACAGTATATTCTGTGAGGTGTTTGAGATGTCTTGAAGACGCAATAAGGCATTATATCAACTGCAAGGATTATTAGTATTATGTTTAGCTCTTTTAAATTTAGCACTAGGTTATAATCTATGATATCTTTTAAGCTTTCATACAACAACAGGTATGCCCTTCATTAAGAAATCCAGTATTCAAAAATTCTGAATCTACATTTTCATTTTTTTGAAGGTAGAATCAAGGATTTGCTACCTAGTGAAATGCAGGAATTTTATTCTTGGTGTGATGTCAAGGGAATGAAACTTAATGCTGTACGTTATCCTCATCCTTATTCCCACAGTACTCTGTTAAAGGTGCAGCATTGCTTTCTTAAAGATCAGGCAACAGCCTGATCTAAAAACTAAATTTTAATCAACAAAAAATAATATAGCTTTATTGTTTCCATTGGAGATATGAGTTGAACATTCTTACTAGGAGATATGAGTTGAACATTCACATTTTGTGTGAATTAAATGGTTGTATACCTTCACACTTGCACAATTGCATTCAATGTAGGTTATAATTGAACTGAATGCAGTCTTTTGGGGGTTTGCAGCCAAGTGGTGTTCTGAACCAATAAGAGTTTGGGGAGCAGAAATGTTTTTCAGTCGCTGAAATTGATGGTTGTCAAGAAACGTTTGAGCATCATGAGGCCTTCCTTGTATTGAGTTTAAGTTTGACTGTGGTAATTGATTAGTTTACACCTTTTTTGATGTTACATTTTTGTAAATGCTAGAGTGATCATGATACTAGCTAACGTTCATTTACTGATGAAAGTAGTATAGACCATCAGTTTCCTATGTTACTTTTAAGATTTTTTTCTTAGGTTTACTTTTGTATGTTTCTCCAATATAGTATAATAATATTTGTTTTTATGAATGAATAGAGTGTTGAATCAGAAGACAAAACTGATGATGAAACTGAGGATGAATCTGAAGAGGATCAAAAAATACAGCAAAAATTCTCTGTTCCATTACGTGTGGCTTTCAGATTTCCATCTCGCAAAAACAATAAAAATAAGTCTGTGGCAAACACTCGGTTTGCCTTGCATAAGGATTCAGCCTCTGACTCCGATTCAGACATGGATGAACCGAAAGGAAAGAGCTTCCTGGAGAAAAGAGCTCTAAATATTAAAGAAAACAAAGCCATGGTAAATGTACCTACATGTATACTAGAAATGTTAAATTGTTAGCTGGAATGGCTTTGGAATTATGTAAGTTGCTTGTTGAATTTACAGTAGATTGTTATTTGTTGCCATTGCCCCAAGTGAAATGATCTAGCTTAATCATTAATGTTAATGATTAACCTTAATATATGTGATAAGGCACTGCATCAATTGCCAGTATTATTATTAAACAATAACTGCCTGTTGCAGTCTAAGCTAGGCTTGTGGCATGGGGAGATTTTAGTGAGGATACAAATAAAAATTAACAAAAGAGATCCAAGACCATAACGAAAAGTCTGTTTCAACAAGGAAGTGAAAAACCAATATCTTCATAATCTTGCTTTTATTTCTTAAAGCTTGCTAAGCTGATGGCAGAGCTGAAGACGATGCCAGGACTTTTCCCAAGAAGACTCTCTGTTTTATCAACACCCTCTGTAAGTCGCGAGCGGATTTCAAAATAAGTTGACGTAAAAAAATGATGACAATTCAAAAATACAACAGTAAATTTTAGCGGTTTTTGCATGTCTCGGGGCTTAAAAAAGACACTAGTTCCTTACTAAGCACTTTGATTCATAATTGCTTGAAATTCAATGTATAATTTGATCTTTTGGGGTTCCTATTTTACTTGGACATTAAGATTTATATAGTTGCTATTATCAAGAGGCTGCATTGAATTTCTCATAAACTATTTACATCCGACAAATGTGTATTGCAAGCTGCAATTTTTTCAAGATGGATTAGCATCCGAAAGATAATGTTTCAGCCCATATCCAAAACAAATCTTTTCTCTTAAAGGTACTGATATTTTTGTATTGTGTGCAGAAAGTATATAGGCGCTTGGCATAAATTGTTAAGCTTCACCTCATGTTTAAAATAAAGTTAAGCAGAAATAATTTAAAATGTATGTATTATAAATGGGCTAAAATTAAAATTCCGAGATGGTTTGCATGTATAGCTGTCAGTTACACATCATATTTTAAATTGCCAACTAAGGAACGTATCGAATGGCTTATATTTAACTGTAATATCTTTATTTAAATGTTGTTGATGCATCTCAACATATTGTGTATGAAACCCTGGATGGGTTTAAAATTAAGCTGTACGTGTTCCATTTTTCAGAAAGCGAAACGTCCACCGAGAAATGCATTCACAGAGCACGTTTCCAGACGTAATCCTGAACGTAGTGCTCGACCCCACACACGGTCAAGATCCTTGATTGATGGTCCTCCTTCTCCATCATCTGAGCAAGAAGATAATGTCAGCTTTATGAGGAAAAGAAAGTTTCTAGATAATGACTTCTCTGAGGTAGAGTCATTAAGTCATTTGTGATGCTATTAACAACACCTTTCATGCTGCACTGACTTTGCCAGCTTAATCTGCATTTCTAGTGGTCACTTGTAAAACCTAATAACCTTTGCAGTTAAAGACTTCATGTTCATAAAAAATGTAGAGATATATTTCCGCACTGACTGCAGTGACCGTAATTAAACGCTTGGGAATAAATGTCTCATGTCTCATGTAGGATGTCTCAAAGCAGTGAAAGTCAATAATATATTTTGTTGTGAAGTTCTGTGAAGCACTTGGCTTCACAGTTTTTGTAGAGTTTGATAACTATCAATCAGAATAAAATAAGTATCAATATGAAGTTTATCATTTCCACATACAGCCTTTCTTAATGAGATTAATAATTAATTTGGGGGAGTGTTGAGCATGTTGTGAGCTTGTGTCCAATACGAATTAGATCACAATTGTCCAAATTCTTTTTTGCAGAAATTATCCTCATTATCCATTGTCCCTTTTGTTTTCTAAACGATGTCTGTATCAATTGTGAATAAAAGAACATTCATTTATATATGCAGTTGGTGACTCCCATCTTCTCGTTCTTCCTCAGGATGAAGTGCGTCATCGCAGGAGAAGCCGGCCAAGCATCCTCGCCATCCCTCATGTGGTGAGACCAGTGGAGGACATCACTCAGGAAGAGCTGGACAACATATCTGTTTCAGCCAAAGAGAAAATCTACAACCGATCCACAGTGAGTCATTTTGTTAATCTGTCTAGAAATCTGTACTGGATTCCATTCCTCCCAATGCAGCTTGATGTACCGTTAATTTTCTTTGAAAAGAAGGGTCTAAGTTTCTCTGTTGTTAAAACACTCAACAAACAATAATGGCCTCAAAACCTGTTTCCCCCCCCCCCCCCCCCCATTTTATTCAGTACATCTCCCTTGTACAAACTCCTAAGCTTCTTTCCAAATTTGCATACACAAGCAAAATCTTCATGGTTTGGAGGACCTTGTCCTTTCAGTGACAAGTTCACATTTTATTCTAACTAATGCAGAAAAAAAGGTGAAAGAACAAACTGTTGTGCCGTGCCCCTTACAAAAGTTAGTGTACCTGAGCACTTGATGGTGGCAGAACATTATGTCGGCTGGAGGGGGAAGGTGGTCCTAGGCACAGTCGGAGAGGAAGGTCTTCAGGCATGACCTGAAGATGGGGAAGGGGGGGAAAAGGCAAAGGAATAGAGGAAGAGGGTTCTAGAGTTTCGAGGCATAGTGGCTAAAAGCGCTAAAACTATATAAAAAAACTCAAACTAGTGCTTGAATCGAGCGATATCTGCTAACTGAATGATGCAAATATCTTGCATTCAGATCTCTTTCATCCATTTACAGCTATTTGTCATTCTTACAGAGCAAATTCAGCCTTTATTTAAAATCTACATGAATCGCATTTTTTGAAGGTGTTTTGAAGAAGCGCGAAACTCTGTTGTTTCTGACAGAAGAGCTCAAAATGTATTTGTTATTTCAGGGAAGCACTTGCCACCAGTGTCGCCAAAAAACTATGGATACAAAAACAAACTGTCGGAACCCAGAATGTGTGGGAGTCAGAGGCCAGTTCTGTGGCCCATGTCTTCGCAATCGATATGGTGAACAAGTTAGAACTGCTCTACTGGATCCTGTGAGTACTGATGCATGTTGTTCCTTTTAACATCTCTACCCATTATGTTTGAATTGCGAGATTATTTTGTTGAATCTCTACTAGTGTTAAAGGTGTCTTGTATATTGTTTCTTTAAAAGTACATATTCTTTGTACTTCAGGTTAATTGCATGAAATGATCAATTTAAATCTTGATAAGATTTTAAGAGGTATTTTGCTTCTCTACCCACCCCCCCCAGTTGATTCTGGTTATTTGGATATTTTTTAGTTTGTGTATTTAGCAAAATACAGGACGTGTTTTTTATATTGTCTATCATTTCTGGGTGCATTAAATAAATGTTCTCCCTCGAGACATTATTTCCCTTTAGTTTGAACGCATCCCTGCTATCTTGCTTTATTATCAACCTGTTTTACTGGCAGACTGAAAGGTTTTATTTTCTCTCTTAAACAGGACTGGCACTGCCCACCGTGTAGAGATATTTGCAATTGTAGTTTCTGCAGGCAGCGGGAGGGCCGATGTGCTACTGGTGTTCTCGTTTACCTGGCCAAATATCACGGCTATGACAATGTGCATGCCTACTTAAAGAGGTAGGTTTAATTTTTTGTGTGTGTTTTATCTCGGTTGAATTAATTTTGCGTACAATATTTAAGAATATAATCTGAACTTTTTTTTNAGCTTAAGAAAAGAACTTGAAATGGAAGACTAGCCTGGGGAAGAAGCGGTGAAACAGTAAATAATTCATGGAAGTGTCTTGTTTCCTTTCTGCTTTTGCAGTGTACATCTGTTTTTAAAAAATGTTAGGAGTTGAAAATATGAGCAAAGAGCTTAGTTTGCAATATTTCTTTGGTTGAGTTACTTTTGTCATGTCTATATAGGCTACCATAATCAAATAAGATCACTGCAGGGAGCATAAAGAGGAAAGAGATGCACAAATTTGCACTAGCATTATTTTTTAGATCTAAATTGATGGATTTTACCATTATCTTGATATGCTATGGTGGGTTAGGGACATCTCATCAGCCTTCCTAGTGATAGCAAGCAAACCTTGTGAGGGTCTATTTACTTGTATTTAATTTACAATTGTTTTTTCAAGTATTCAGTTTCAGCGATCCAAGATCTAAGATTTAATTTCAGTAAAATTAGAATCCCCAGCTTTCATTCCTTAGCCCTACAGCTAGAATTGTATAACTTCTTAATAGACCTCCAATTTAATTGTCATATATTTTCTGGTAATAGAACAATAATAATTCCCAAATGTAGTGTTCCGTAGTAAAATCTCTAAATTCAGGCTTTCTGGAGTTGCATTTGCACTTGTACCTGGAATGATTCTCGTATAACCTCCCATAGGTAGGTCTATACTGTTAATGGTACATAAACAAAGGAGAATAGAGGGACATCACTGCACTTATACCTGATGATATTTAGACAGCGATACATGTGTGTATTAATGATTTGAATCACAAAATTTGATCTGCAGTTTATAATCCATCCATTAACTGTGGAATGAGTTTGAATGCCTGAGAGCAACGGAGAATTGTTCAATTGCATTTTGTACAATGTTTTCCCAGAATATTTGCTTGCATTGGTATTATGTGATCTGATGATATTGTATATCTCAAGTAGGTGACTTGAGCATCAATTGTAAAAATTGCAATTTTGAAATGTGCAAATTGATTATTGCAATTTTTTGAATTGGCTAAAACCATGAATCGCAGTGTTTGTTATAATTCGAGTAATAAGTGTAGTAGAGTTGTTGCAAATTTACAATGTTCAGAATATATTTTTAATAAAATAAAAATTGCCTTCATTTTATTTTTCAGTGCACCAACAGTCATGACTCCACACACACACACACACACACACACACAACTGAACTTATAATGTAAAGTAAAATGTACAGATGATTCGATTCCCAACATAATCCCACAGCATGACAATTGCAAAGTATTTGCCTATAATTTTGAATTGTTCAGTAGTACTTCATTGTGTCACCATGATAAAATACTTTGTGTGTGTTTTAGAAAGAACTTTTGGGTAGGTTCCTAAAAAATATTTCTCCTAAATTTCTTTGATTTATGTGAAATTACTACCCTTCCTCCTAAGTTTCCTACAAACATGTTTAATGCTGGAAAAAAAAGGCCGGTCATAAGATGTATAATTCTGTTTTCACACATTCAATAGCAAAGCAACACCAGCAATAATCCATTTTGCGGGCCTCTCTTTGGTTTTCAGATTGAAAGTCCACACGTAGGTCGGGCCTCTAAGTTTTGTCTTGTAAACAGGACACTCGTAAATATTCCTCATTTCCTGCCTGTCGTTGGGGATTGCTTTCACAAAGACAACCGGCATTACTGGTGTCAGTTCTTTCAACTGGGCCTCTGTAATGTGTCCTGCGTGGATGTCCCATCGTGCTCCTGTGAGTGAAACAGTAAGGGGCAAAGTTAAATCACTCAAACCAAGTACCTGAATGTATATATTCTTAGCTGTATTTATTCTACTTAAAAGGCATAAAACAGATTGTAAAAGTCCTCCACGCACTAATGAACATTGCTCCATGTTGAGCTAATATGAATAAGGGCTGCTTTTTTCTTGTACCTGCCATGTGGAGTCCATAAATATAAGTGCCCTCTCTGGCTGGCTGGGCAAATTCCTCCTTCAGTTTTTTGGTAACATCTACTATCAGGTGCATCTTATCCAAAGGCCATTCGTTTTTCCGTGCTAAACTTTGCATTACAGCTGAAACGAAATTTAGAATTTTAAGATGTCCATAATAATGACCATGAATGAATTATGAATATTGGTAGGGGTGAGCAGACCATACAGGAAAATAATTGACCACATTAATTACTAAATCATTTCGTGTTTCCTTGCATTTGAGGAAAATCTATTACTGTAATTGCACAATAGAACAAACCTCATACAAGCATTTCCGAGATGCATTTGGTCATCTGCATTGAACTAAAATGTTAAGAAATAAATGATTAATAATGAAACTAATTAATGGGGTGGTTGAGGGGGTGGGGAGAGAGAAGTAATACACACACAGTAAGATGTTTGGTACTAGCGTGGTATTTACCTGTGAGAAAAGACTGCGGATTGAAAAACCCTGATAACCAGACCACATTTGGGAGGGATAGATCCTGTGTCCAGATATCAAGTTCATGGCAACGCAGCAGAAGATCCCCATACCTTCATAAATGCAAAAGAGTATAAAATTAATTCAACAGTAGAATGCCACGGACTTGCACTCAGACCACTCGCATTTGGGCTCTGTTGTGAAAGTACAATTAACAGCCGGAAAAAAAAGCCCCATGGGTATGGAAGTTCCCAGTTACGTGACTCACCCGATTATTAACCAGCACAAGGTGAGTTCATTCAGTATTTTTCATTCAACAGAGGACTTGACAGAATGCTGCTATAGAAATCTGATAACGGAGGTTTTCAATTAGTTCTGTAGCTAATTTCTATTTCTGATTCACTGATTTATACACATTATTTTGCCCACGTCAATCCACTTTACAGTACATTCTGTGACATGCTTTGAGACATCTCAATTATGTGATAATGCACTATATTAAATGCAAGCATTATTATTATCGACAATAGGACCTGTGGTGATGAGTGGAGCTAATGCGGAATCAACATTCACAGACCCACAAATATTCTAGTGATAAACCATTGTGCAGTACGTGCAAAACCACTGCATTGTGAAGGTGCTGTCATCTGGGTGAAACGTTAAAATTAAGGTCCTATCTACCTGATTTGGCTCAAAAAAAACACTGAAGACTTTGACAAAGAGAAGGGAGTTTCTTCTGCAGTCCTTGGCCAGCAATCCTCCAGATTAATGGATCATTTTTTACTTCCGAGATGTTTATGGGATGTTACTAGTGCAAATGGTGGTCATGTTGGGTGGCAAAGTTACCACACTTGCTAGTAATTAAGCAGTGAAGGGCTTTGACATGATAAGAGAATATAGAAATTCAAGTTCTTTACAATTACACTTCTAAGCCATCATTAAGCCCAAGGGCACTAATGTAAATCTGTCATGCAGAATCATACCTTTTCACCCACACTGCTAGCAAGATGATCTTTTAATGAACCTATCTGTTTCACATGGCTAAGAGTGTGATGGGGGATGATACAGTATCAAGTGGATTCACCAGTGCCCAGTTTTACAAATAGTACTACTTAAAACATCAGGAAATATTTCAATGTCCACTACCCACAATATTGTGACACAATGAGTCACATTTTCATAAGAGACCTGCTGGAGTACAGTACATTTTTTATGCAAATTAAACATCTTATTAACAGGGGTCACCACCGTGAACATGATATGTTGCATGTACTTAAAGAGTAGCTTAATGAACCCTGGAATTGAGGATTCTTACCTACCCTAGATCAGAGCGTGCTGCTTAAAGAATGGGCAACACTTCCCACTTCCTCCCCCCTAAATGGGAAGGATGGTTGAAGGAAAAGTATGCACAATGCACAATGATTGCTTCAACGTATGGATCAGCCAGTGTACCAATGTGAACAAGCTACTTGTCAAAGACTTTATGTGAAATGGCGGGAAGGAAAATCCTCCCCATTCTCAAAAGCTAACTTCTGAGGTGGACCATTCGGTATCCCTAGTGTCATCTTGGAATTAGGACTTCAATAAATCTTGGGCGTTAATGGTGCAGGAGGGAGAGGTTCACAGTATATAATATGGACAAATGGGACAAAGTTTGTTGTAGCAATGAAAGAGGATTGTTGGTGCTGGTCTACAAGTCTGGACTAGAGTCCAATCATCTCCACCCACCCTCCTTAATCCCTTCCTGTACAGGAACTGATGACTTTACTCGACCGTTAATCTCTCCATTGGAATTAGGACATGAACTACGCAAATTTTGACAGAGCCCTTTTGATAGATAGGAATTTGTATGGACAAGTATTTTTGGGTTGATAGTTTAAAACAAATTTGAACACAACTGAAAGGTGTAGATTAGTAACAGCTTGTATTTATATAGAGCCATTCATATAGAGCCACGGTGTCTCGCAGTGCTGTACGGATGTGGTGGACACAAGACAGTAGGAATTTGAAGATGATTGAAGGCACAGCTGAAGAGGTTTTCAGATTTTTAAAGGCAGGGATTTTTAAACACACTCAACGTCATATTTGTGAAAGCGAGTTCAGACGGATTTGATATAAGAAACAACCCCATTCTACTTTTCCTGGTATAACTGCATAAGGTTTATGTACTGATAGGTTAAAAGATAGTTATATTGTATTTTAAGGCACTATATCAATAGTAAGGACTAATTACTAAATTACTAATTAATAGGAGTAATAGAATTAGGCACATGTATTTACAGTGTGAAATGCCATCTTCTTCTTGAGAAGGATTGAACCCTGAATGATCAAAATTGGCTCAAGTTATACCTGGTGATTCAGAGAAACAGATTGTATATTGTAAACCAATTGTCTAAGTTATTTGGAGATTTTTTTTTAACAATGGAGACATTGGCTCCCACCCCTCAAGAATTTAATCCCCAGCTCAGGTTCAAACCCTCGATTGTCCAGCGCCTTGGGATGTTTTACAGACATGAAAGGCGCTATATAAATGCAATTTCATGTTGTTATGGGATTATGGGACAATGCTGTGTGAAAAAATTGGCTGCTGCGTTCACCTATAAAAAAATATAGTTGCTACACTTTACAGTAAAGTGTGATTGACCAAGTATCAGTGTGACGATTTCCAAGGCAAAAAGGTCTTGAGTGATACACTCTTGATTTTGAAATGCATTTAAAAGTAGATTTTGAACCATTTCTTATGTAGCACAACACAACAAAAAAGGATCATTTTATGAGAGAATTAAATATAATTTGACTTCACATGATGCCTCATGTGCAAAATGTGAGGGATAAAATCAGGTACTGGATTTCAAAAGATTGAAGAAACAGATTAGACTGCTCTAACTAATTATTTTCTCACTCAAGTCCGTGATAGGATGACTATATGATTGAGTATTATAGATAAACAGGAGAACGATTGTCTTCTTATAAAGACTATAAAATATTGGTAAAGAAATGAGATGAAGGTTACACTGTGTAATTTCCCGGTTATTATTTAGTGGAATAAATGTTGCTGTACTGCATGCTGTCATGCACATGAGTACTCAAAGTCTTCATTTAGACTGGATAAGACATTTGCTGTTATGACGACTATTAAACATGATTCTTGCTTGCACTTCTCATACCATACTGGTCTCAAGAGACTCGTTACACATTATGCAAGTAGATACCGAATGGTTTGTGACTAACAGATCGGTGTGATGCATAATAGGTACATCAAAACACTGTTGTACTGGGGAGAGGTGGGTGGTGGGGGGTGGGGGGAGAGAAAAATCACATGGAAAAATCCAATAGAGGGCCAAGCCAAACTGATTTCCATACAAGAAATACTAAGCAATTCTCGTGGCACTTTGACAGACAGCGTGCCACGCACAAGCTGTTTGTGTCTCGACATGCTACTTACCACTGTGCTAGACTGTGTGTTGATGGATATGCCAGCTTAGTCCAGGTGTCAGGAACATTATCAAAGAAAAGTGCTGTTTGTAGTAGCTCCATCTCAGAGGAAATTGCCAACTCACCCTGACAAAAGCAAGCAGAAATGCATCGTTTGTAGCTTAAAGGAGGTGGTGATGAGACGATACGATAAATAACGTAGTTCTTTACAGGGAACTGCAGTGTTTGCCAGGACTGTTCTTTTTCATCAGCTATCAATGGTAGAAAATTAAGCATTCTTGTTCACAGTCTAATTAAAGTTAATTCACAATATAAAAATATGAATACAAGTGTATAGTTTTCATAAACAGCAAGATCAGTTCCAATTAATAATAATAATAATTGATTGTATATTTGTGGGCGAACGCGGCAGCCAATTGCGCACAGCAATGTCCCACAAACAGTCGTAGATTGAAAATGACCAATTTATTATTGTTTTGGTTTTGGAGGGATTATTATTAGGCGTAATAGGCATAATTAGGTATGAACTAGGAGGAAATAATCTAATCCTTATAGCACTGATGTTTTATCTCTGTAACTTTTGAAATGCTCCTTTCCCACGTACGTCAGAAACCTCTCAACATCGAAATATTTAAAATAAAATTACATAAATGTACAAAACCAAACATTTTCATTAGCATTATTCAAATGGATTATGGAATAACATTAATAAAACTGAATTATGCTGCACGCTATCATGGATCAAATTTGGGATAAGTCTTACCTTCAGTCCCAAATCAAGTTCCTTCAGTGAATGTTTCATTTCTTGTATGAGGATATTCATTCTTTCACATTCTTGGAAACAGACTAGAATATATGGGGAGCGTTCTGCATTTCTAGATGTTATATCTGCCATATTATACTCCTCTGGTAGTTTTTCTAGTATATCATCCAAGACAGTTTTAACCTTTAAAACAACAACTTGCATTTATATAGCACCCCTCACGCAGAGCGCTAAAACACCATAAAAAGTACTGTAAATTGATTACTGGATGTGTTTAATGTGCAGCAACAGAAACAGCATAAAGGTAATTTTGATAAAGGTACGGGTATTTTGGAGTAACTTTGTTAAAAGTACCAGCATTTTAAAAAATCTTATTTGTTTTGTATTCACCTCGAACAAAGATGGTTTAATATGCTTCAAAATAAACATTTTAATTCTTTAAAGAATCATGGAATATAAAAGTTCCATTCTGGAATAAACTCCAGCTCATTTGGGTTATATTTTTCAATCAGTGAGTTAACTTATTTTTCGTTGTTTAAGGATGAAAATTCTGTTTAGTTTTATATTGATACAATGTCTGCATTCTGTCATGAATAAAAGACCAATTAAATATGATGCAGTATTCTGTGTGTTGTTCACACCAGTGGGCAGCAGCTGATCATTTTATATTTTGCTTTCATTATGGAAAATTTAGGAGACTATAATACGAGCAACTAGTCTAAAAAGAATTGGGTTTGTTCGTATGAAGAGACACATTAAAATGTTCTGACCTTTTCTTCAACAGTCTGTGTTGTTCCTTCACCAATTGCGGAGTCTCTGGGTTGCATTTCCAACAAGGTATGGAGAAGACTGTCTGACGTTACTGTCAGGAATTCAATGTCAGCATTTGGGTGGAGGCCATAGTTGGTCGGGCTCTCTGGTGGCAACATCTCATCAATATACTGGTGGTAACCGTTGTAATCCAGGTTTGATGGGACCACAAAACCAGGAGCTAAAGCCATTTTTCTTTCAAACTAACAATGATAAAGTGAAATAAGGAAGAAACCGCACACGTCACTTGATTTACTGGAATTCTTAAGCATCTGAAAAACATTCTTTTGCAGTCTTAGAAAAATCGAATTTGCATTAACTTTATGAATAAATGCTCTCACCAAAGAAAAAGTTTTTTTTTTAATTAAATTTGCATACAAAGTTTTAATACTGTTCACAGCACAACACCAAAGATGTCAATCAGCTAATCTTTTGCATCTCATTTAGAGGCCTGTAGCTCAGTGGTTAGAGCACTCGCTTTGCAAGCGAGAGACCTGAGTTCAATTCCAGGCAGAGGGCGAAACCTTGGGCAAGTTTCCTTACTCCACACAGAGACTAATAATAATCCCTCCAAAACCAAAAACAACAAGAAATTGGTCATTTTCGATCTACGACTGTTTGTGGGACATTGCTGTGCGCAATTGGCTGCCGCGTTCGCCCACAAATATACAGTCATTTCACTTTACAGTGTGTTCTGTGAAGCGCTTTGTGAAAAGCGCTATATCAAATGCAAGGATTATTATTATTATTATTATTTAGAAATGACTGACCACTTTCAGACAAGAGAGCGGGGGAAAAAAACACCGTTCCCCAAATGGTATATGTAATTAGCCACTAGGAGGCAAAAGAGAGATCTATGTTAAAGGACCTTCCATTTTTCTTCCTCCTGCTTCCTTCTTGTGTGAACCAATGGACATGTATGTGGAATCACAGGCACCACCCTGTATACCTATATCTAAACATGCTGCCACATTCTTTCACATGATCTTCATCTTGATGCGAAACAATCATATCACTAAAATACATTTCGAGACAAAGCAATACTTTCAGATACAGTAAAAGAAACAGTACTTTCAGATACACCAACATGACAGGACAAGAGGAGATGTGTTTGTGCTGTTAGGACAAGTTTAGGTCAGTCATCAATGAGTATTTTTTTTACACAAATGTATTCAACACCTGGAACCGGTTACTCAGGCAGGGCGATGAAGACCAGGACATTGGATTCGTTTGATTAAAAAAAAAGTTTGATTTTTCTTTGTAATAGAACGGGAAGATCTGAGGATTTGCTCAGATGGGCCTTCTTTACCCGAACCATCTTGTAATCTTGTGAAGAAAGGCTATACTAAATGATCGAGAGCAACTAAACTAAACTATTTATTATTCACATCATGGACGAAACTAAGGAAAGTTTAATAGTGAGTAGACAATTTGTAGCTAAGCAGTGATTTAAAAACAAACCCCGATTCTATTCCGCATTGGACAACCATACAGAGTTGATCAGTAGGTGGAGCTCCAAGTCCAATAACACATGAGAATCTGAAAGAATCTGTAGCTCAAAATCAAGTCACCCCAAATAAAATACCTGGCTTGGTTGCATGTACTCTTCCAGATAGGTTTGACACAGCCTTCTGTCCCAGTCGTCAGTAATGTGCCCCCCATACATGATTTCACCAAACAGATAACGAAGGTCTTCCCAAGGCACCTAAAGCCACATGAATGAATGTACTCTGTTTTATAATAATGTGTTTCCCAATTCATTTGGATTCAGTTGCAGATTCTTCTGAAATGATCACATTTTTAGTAGCTATTTGTTTTTAAATACACACACACACACACACACACCCTTTGTTACTAACTCAAATTAATTTTTGGACTGAACAGAGAGCTGTGAATAAGTGGCTCTGTTATGCAATGCATTTAAGATAAATCATCCATGGAATGAATATAATAGTTCGCCATTGATGATCTATTATTGATTTTCTTTCACACATTATGAACACAGTGTTACGGCATTTCAGTCATAAAAGCAACTTTAGCATCTTTCCAATGGCTGAAGGATTTTTATCCCCTCGCTGTGCCATACAGACCAGGATATTCCTGGTTCAATGCCCTCACTCTGTGCTGAATTTACTGATCTCAGCCTGGGCTACAGTAAGGATGCTGTAATTGACCTCAGTGGCCCTGGGCTAGCCAGGAAAAATATAAGCCAGGATTCTGCATTTGTACTCAACTCTGTTGTCACCCTCACGATAGATAACTGGCAAGGTTCATACTTGCATTGTGGCCATTTGGATGAGGACCTAGAGGGACAAACACTATCCTAACAGAACAGAAAAAGGAATCAAAATGCCTTTAGCAAAGGAGATGCTGAGAAAAAAATGGCATTTAGTAATAGTATGTAGATTTAGTACATTGTACAACATTAGTACATCCTGTACTTTTGCATTATACATTGTTTAATTTGTCTTTGTAACAGGGCGGTCAAGCTCATTCTATCACCAACCTACAACAGAACATTTTAAATTTGTTTTGATGATCAATCTTTAGCATAATTTAACTAAACATCTTTTAAAACTCCAGTCCCAAACTGGAGTCGGTGTCCACATCAAACGGTAAAGTATATCTTTCATCGCTGGTAGCCAAATTTCCTGTTGCAAGGCAAAAGGTGTTTTCCCAGGCCTTGGTGGATGTGTATTCAAAATGCCAATCTGTTTCTATTTCACCCATTTCAAGTCTCAGTTATCAGACTGACTGCGGAGAATGGAAATGTCACCTGGTACAACACAGAGTGTAATCCATCAGCTGAGACATAACTACTGCAATCGAGAAATCAGGGAGGGCTGGCAGTTCAGTAATAGTATTGGATCACTGTTAGAGAATAATGGTGACATGTCTGCTCGCAGTATCATAGTACAGTACTGCCTGTTCTTTCATCCATATCCTAATGGTTTAATCATAATATTTGAGCCCTAGCCATTAGGTATAATGCACCATCAATGAAGTAAAGTTAATTCATGCACGGCTGCATATAGTTTATAAGGAATTTAACAAAAAATGTTAACAGCGAAGAAACAACATTCTCACCAATGGCTACCAGTGACTTGCTCAAGGAAACACAATTCTATAAAATACTAACACTGACTTATCAGGTCGCTAATACTTCTTTTCTGAAAAACAGATCAACATTCGAGGAGTTTGATGAATAGAAATGCAAATAGATATTAAAATGTAAATTCGAAATCTGATAGGCAACACCATTTTGTTAGGAAAAAAACACTCGAGTCCAAAACGTGAACATCTTCCTTTCCAAAGCGAAAGGAAGATGATTCAAAATTTTCCAAAGTAATATGCGAGCAAAACAATACTTCGAATTACGATAGCACTGGCTGTCCTGTAAATATGAGAGAAGGAATAAAGAGTAAATGGATTCCCTTATAAAGTATATCAGTGTGTGATTACAATCTACAAGATTACTAAGATTAGAATCTACAGATCACAGCAGGAGCGAGACAGCACCACTGAACGGTTTAAAATTATATACGAAAAGATTTTAGGTAAAAATATCTTATCCTATGTTAGTTATACTCTTCAGGAAGAAGTCAAGTCTCATGGACAAATTCCTCCGACACTAATTGGGTGAAACTCTTCTGTCGAATTATAACATAATAGGTCTCGAAAGTTACCTGAGCATTAGCTTCCAAGTAATTGTATAAAACATTGACTGAGATTGTCAAATCTCCGGTATTAAAAGGATACTTTCGATTCCAGCCTTGAGATCCAAATTTTCGGCGCTCAGCAACACAGGCATGAAAATAGCAGAGCGAAAACAATATCGTCTTAAACTCGTGCTCACGAGAACATCGATCCAGAATATCCTGGGGTGAAAGGCACAGAGAATTAACTTACTAAGACTGTTCTAATTCTGCTCAAATTCACATTTCCATTTTGAAAAAAAGTTAAGGATCAATTTTTAAAAAAAAAATTGACTTTATATAATAATAGTAATTATCCTTGCTTTTGATATAGCGCCTTATTATGTCTTCGAGACAAAGTGAATTGACTGTATATTTTCTGGACTGCATATTTCTTTCTCCCTCGTAAAAATTTAAACTGACAGCAGAGAAGCATATTTGTTTATTGAAAAATAACCAGCTCAGCAATTTTTGGGCTCTTTTTGATCAGATATGTAAATCTACATCATTTCAATCAGATAAGCAGATTTGTACCAAGGGCAAAATTAAGGATGACGTATTCTTTTAATAGTAATTTGACTGGGTCATCCTCAAACATTTACACAATTCCAAATACCAAAATTGCACTGATTTGAAATAATTTAGAGACATATGGAAAAGGTTTTCAGTAAAAAAAACAGTGTACCGATGAAGGGTTAAAAAGGACTCAAATCTAAAACATAAAACCTCAAAATACAGCAAAAAAAAACCCCAAACATTAAAAAAAAACATAATTGCAAGGACCTTCTTTCCCCTCCAGCACAGCTCAAACCTGCACCAAAAATGCTAGGCAGATCTATTTAATGACATGATTTAGTGGTCTGTCTGAAACAAGTCCTTGTCCCCAATCCCCGATTGATTCAGCCTCTGCAATGTAACATTTTTAATTGCAAATCACTGCTTACGGTCTGGAGAAATATTGAAATGATTATCAACCGTACCTGATCAAAATTATCCAAAGCTGCATGAAGATTAGCCAGCATACCAGTTGGTGGTTCGTTGGTAATTTTAACTGAGTTTTCAAGGATTCCTTGTGGAATGATGTGCTCTTCATGGGTTGGAGCCGGTTCCACACTCATGAATACACGATAGTCTGGATGGCTTCCTTCACTGGACGTCTCGAGCAGCTGCTCTAAAGCACTGAGCCACTTAGCCACTAAGTGAATATTCTGAAAGGTATTTAAAAAATATATTTTTTTTGGCATGAGGTATTTCATATCCCCCCAAAAATCACATATTGCTGTTTAATTTTATAACAGCTGATGGCATCTCAGATACTGCACACATTTCTTTCTCGGCAACCCCCCAATTTAACAATTACATATTTTTAAATCATATACTTGTTGCTCTAATGATTGTAGTATACATATTTTTAAATCATATACTTGTTGCTCTAATGATTGTAGTATATATATATATATATAGTGCATATAGATATAACATACGTTGTGTGTATATATACATGTGTGTGTGTGTATGTGTTTTCATTCAGTCCAAGAACAAGTAGAAGGGTATATTTTTCAATAACGTACATCAAAAATTAAAGTTTGAACTAATATATATATATTTATTTATTGTTGTAATGTTATTTACGCTCCACGATTCTGTCAGAGTCTCGTAATAAGGTGTATTCTTAGAAGAGAGAATATGTATCACGGTGCAATAATTGCATTGACCGAGGAGTTGAACTTGCCTGCAGGATAACCCAATGTCCATCTTCTGAGGCCTTGGCCACAGCTTGTTCAGCTACAGTCTCTTGACCCTGCCCCAGTGAGACATTGTGAAGTTTCCCCGAGTCTATGGTGAAGCCGAGCTTTTTCCCTGTGTTAACGGAATTCAGAAATCAGCAAGTCTGAGATTTCTAAATTTCTAATATTACTGTATTCCAATGTGATAATATCCTTTCATATTATTCAGATCATGTATTAGGTCAAGATTAAGATCATCATTTGTTTTTAACACACGCACACTTGCAATTGACTTTTACCGGAACAAAAGAAATATGTCGTGATTCGCTGAAATCTTTACAAAATAACTGATGATATTAAAATTCCACGTTTGCTCCTGTAATATACTTACCTAATGTCTCCACATCTTTCAGTGGATCAACCCCAGGAGAGAGAATGAAGAAAATGGGAGATGCTGGACTACTTTCCTTAAATGATTTCCCAAACTCTGTCTGACGTCCTTCTGTGTATTTTGTCCCAAGCTTCTCCTCCACAAATTTTCTGTCAGAGTAGAATCTGTTAGACTCGGTCGTGATGATGTGGAGAAAGGCAATAACACAGACTTGCTGGTCCAATGGCCTGTTTCTGAGCTTTTTAACATTCTATGATTCTATTGATCGAGGCTCGAAAGCAATTGCGGCAATGCTATAAATTTCAAGGCCTGTAAATTCAGTCGAGTTTATTTAAATCAGCAACGCTAATTATGTGTCCCGGGTTAATGTGTGGTCCTTTTATCTATGACTTTTGGGAGACTTAATGCTCTAGGCCTCCATTCACAGCTACACTTGCACAAACAAATAATAAATCATAAAGACTACTGTGTGTAATATACGATCATGGAAAGCCAAATGCTTATGAACAGTTGTTTTATATTGAAGTGACTTATAAAGCTATTCAAAAATATTAATTCATATTCCTGAATGCCACTTATTCTATGATCAATACCTGCCCGCCAACCTCCTTTTAGAAAGATAATTATTTTGTGGAATGACGATGGTGTTGAGAGCGCTCATTTAAACAGCATTTTACAAGTGGGATTGCAACACCTGACTGCGTATGTAACGCGATCTGGTCGCAAAGCTCGCATCATAATCAGCTTCTGTAGAGAGCTTTTGTTTTTCCATTCTTGAGGGAACTTTTCTTTCTCCGGACACTCCGATTCAACCACTTTCTTCCAGGGTTTAGCCGAACCTTCAATATCCCTGTCCAGTCCACGGAATTCATCCGTGAAGCTCATTGTCTGAGGAGGGAACAGTAAAAAATAATAAATCTGTGTAATTACTGAGTAACACTTAAATTCCCAATTTATTGGTAGTTTCTTACCTCTTTTGAATCACCACGAGTCCAATAGATGGTTTCTGGAACTTTTATGATCTGTACTTACTCCATTTTTAAAAAATTTATTGACTGAAGTAAATAGATTTATTAGCTCTCGGAGAAGACTTATGATCTCTCAAATTTACAGTCACGGTTAGAAATAGATGAAATTTAACGTGCTACATTTTTTTTAAACAAACGTCCAAAAATGCATTGTTTGCGATTTCTGAAATGAATTTTTTCATATAATCCCGAATGTTAATATATATGTATACTAATTAGCAATTTTGAAAAGTTCTTGACGATCCTTAAAATGTTTATTTTTACCAAATAATTGAATAATGAAAGGGATTTTTTTAAAAAGAAGACACGATAACTATTTGGCAACTCAAAGAAGATAAACAAGCTGGAATAAATATATGAAATATCGATGTCATAATTTAACAACTGTTCATAAATCATTTACAGTTGCTATGCTTTACCAATATATTCAGTCTGCTTACCTTTACTGCACTCCACACTGTGTTTGACAGGAAGTCCACAGGACTATTGTAATTATGGTCAATATTAAATCTTAGCAAAAAATCAAGTTCACGAACATCTATTTCCTTGTTCAGAAGTAAGATCTAAACAATTAAAAATGAGATATTTTGTGTCACAATTTTGAATTGAATTGATATTTAATATTTCTTTATCACCGTTGCCAACATGCGGCGCAATCTTAAGATTTCTGCTAATGTTTTGTATATGTGAAATGAACAAAATATCAAAGCCAAACACATAGCAACAGATATTCATGAGCATGAAAACAAATCTGATTTGCAAGATTAGACCGCAGATAGTAATCAGTACAATATCAATGGGTAACAGATTAATTCAACATACCTGGAAAGCCATCTGAGCTGTAAAGGTAAGTTTATCCCTCTCAAACAACCCACGACTAATGTAAACAAATGTTGAGTATGTTATCTCATCAATTAGGTTAGTTACCCTCATCCTCACATCAGCAGATGTTTTGGCTTGCTGCACCACTTTGTGAAACACAACACCGTACGCCTAAAAATGAAATAAATCGCTATTTGTTCAAAGTACCTTTTTTTAAAAAAAAGAGCAAAAATATACATCGATAGAAAAACCATTGTGTAAGTGAACAGGAACCTTCAGTGAGAACTGGTACATAGGGTTGATCTTGTTGAGGTCACTCATGATGAAGTAGAGCAGCGATGCTCGAGCAGCCACAGCGCGATAGTGCTCACGAGCTTCATTGATTTTTACTTCATTAACTTTGGCTTCAAGAACCTATAGAGAAATCAAATGTAAAAAAAATATAAAAAGTTCGACGTGATACTGAAATGCCCACGTGAACAAAAATACGTTGGGTACGTTTTATACGTTAGGTAAGTTTTATACATCGAGCAAATTGTGCCGTGCAGTTCTGTAGCGCTTTGTAAGAAATGCTGCAAAAATAATCATTTTCTATAAATATTTTCCATGCGAAATATATTGATCAGATGTGGCAATGCTCTGCGCAACTGTTACATTTGCAATTCTAGGCTCGCAATATAAAACATCTTTCACGAACTTTGCTGCCGTACACATACAGTGGCTTTAGGTATTAACAAACCGTGAGCCAAATGTACATTGTAATAGGGGAAGGTATTGTAACTGATTGTCAATAATAGCATCTGAATTCTAGAGATTGCAAATTAAGCCAACACTGGGGAAGGTTCTTAACAGACAAGCAGAAAACTAAATGTATGTGTATGTTGACAAGATCTTTAGATTTAATATAACCTGCATCAGCATCAAGACAAGAGCCATGATGGCTGACTATTCCCATGGAGAAAGATCACTCGGCAGGATGCAAATTACAGAATATAATAATAAATATCTGCTACAATATGAGGTGAATGTGGAAGAATGAGTGTGTGGATGGATAAACTACGTACATATATGATTCACTTCTAAGCGGCATTAAAAGAAAAGGGGTACTCATGTTTTGCTGGGGATATGCTTGCAACAATACGACACTAAAGAATGTATCGCATATGTAATACCTTCAGCTCTATTTCAGCTGCCGTGAGCTTTGTGGTCTCGAGCTTTTCCACCAGTAACGTGTCTCCCAAGAAGTTGCTCTCTGCTGCCGAGAGTCGTGTGAGCAACTCGTCCTCCAGAAGCTTCAGCTCAATTTTGAAATCATTTTGTTGCTTGGTAAGTTCAGACTAACAAAAATGCTCAGTAATTAAAGTGCGGTTCTTTGATGCTGTTTCTAATAAACAGGCTAGCAATGCAACCATTTTCATCTCAGCAGTGGGTAAACAAATGACAGGAATGCAGTCTAGCCGCTCCAGATTTATTGTAGTAACTAAATGCTTTGCTATCGTACTTTCGTTGCAATAACCATTTGAGTACCGAACGACCTTTGCGTTTGTTGCAAGGCCAATACACACAAAACACATAAATACAGGCAAAGAAAATGTTTTCATTGAGATGGCAAGTACTCTATGCAACCTTTGAAGGAACAGGTATAAGAAAACACTTCATTTTCTCTGTTGTTTCTATTCAAAATCACTCAAAATACTATTCCAATTTTAAGATTCTACATAGACTCATTTTCACAAGCGACGTACATAGAGCTAAAGGGATTTCAGAAGTTACTGCAACTCATCTTTGGTTATGCATACATTTTAGTGGTATTTTACCACACTGTGATATTAGTGTGATTAACTGACTGCAGCCGCATTTTATTACACATCTAAGAAGCATATTTCAGTTAATATCTGGTTGCAAGAAGTGACATTTATATATTTTATATATACTGCTATATTTTAAAGCTACATCACCCCATGATTTGCTCTCCTTTCATTTCAAAGTATTTGGACCCAAAAAATGAACCTGAAAAATATTTTTATTCTAATTACTGGCGTCTGCAATTAATTAACTCCGTCTTTCTAGCACCTTGGGTTGTCCTCCCGATGTGAAAGGCGCTATACAAATGTAATTTTGTTGTTGTGTTGTATCGTACTTAATTTCACCCACGAAATATACAATCAATTCACTTTACAGTATATTCTGTGAAGTGCTTTGAGATGTCTAGAAAATGTGAAAAGCGCTATATCAAATGCAAGGATTATTATTATTATAATTACTGAGATATCAATGTCTTGCTTTTATTGGTCAGTTAGTTATGTAGTCAGGACCAAGGTCACTATTTGAAGCCAGTTAAAAAAAATTCCCACTTGACTGCGACAATTTTTCTTTTGTGTTCCCCTTCCCAAACTGTCCTGAGTGGTGTGGATTCTATGTTGGGAAAGAGCAGTACTTTTCCTGAGACAGTTGTGGGAGGTTGCATAAAGGTCCGATATGGAAACAGGCTATTCGGCCCAACTATTCCGTGCCAGTAAAAAAATACCAACTTTATTGTTTGCTACTCTGGAGGAACCGGATAATTATTTTGTTACTTGGGTAAAAGTCCTTTACTTTCATCTTGCACCATCATTAGCTTGTGTTACCGTCTTCCCAATTCTGCTGTCAAACTAAACAGAGTATTCCCTCTTCCCCCTACTGTTACCTATTCTAGTAATTATTTTCTGCTACTTATTCCACAGGGGGAGTTGAGCCATTGCGCTCTGATTGTGATATCCAATTCTCCGTGACCAAGGCCATAATTTAACTTCTGTATTTTTCAAAAACAATAAGATAGATAGCAGACCTTTCGGATAAAAAGTTGACTTCTCTAAAATTAAAGGCATTCTCCATAATCACATTTCAATTGCAGCATTAATGTAACAATGTGAAAGAAGTTTGTAATTCTCTGAAGACAGTAATGAGCACCCCATTTAGTTCCCATTTAACAAAAGCCGGAACTCTCCAACTCATTAGCTTTGATCAGGTTGAACACCTCACATAGATAATTTATCACAGATATACTTTTCTCCAAAAGACAGCATTAAACCTTCTAGCAACTAACTCATTAATAATTTTTATTATTAATTATGCATTAGCAACACACATACTTACTGAAATAAGTTTAAATTAGTCATTTTCTGACTATCTGAATTATTTTCCCAAGCCTAAAATAGTGTTATCCACCCACACCCCACCAACCATACAAAAGTAAGTTCGCAAACTCAAGAAACATCACTTTCTAGAGTACCAAAATGGTGCAAGAAAAATAAATGGCCTCAGAAAAGATGGGGAGACAGCCCTCCTTAAGTTACCTGGAATATAATAATAATACTTGCATTTGATACAGCGCCTTATCACATCTTTGAGACATCTCAAAGTGCTTCACAGAATATACTGTAAAATGAATTGACTGTATGTTTTGTGAGCGAAACAAAATATACAGTCAATAAAGAAGTATTACGTTACTTACAAAGGTCTAATTGTGCCCTGCAGCAAAAATATCAGTAAAAACATGGATTATATTGAGAAAAACAAATGAGGAGTCCAGTTTCTGGCTGAATTTTTGTGTTATTTAATATGAATGTGGTCTATAAAGACATAATTGTACAGTGTCCCTACATACTCCAAGGCAGACCAATATGGAGTGTATTAAGTGTTTGAGTATTTATTAATGTATTTTTTTGCATCTTTATTACTTTATAATGTTATTATTTTCTGCTGATTTCTGACACAATTTAAATTAACCACAGGATTTAATTCATTTACATTTTAGTTTGCGGCGTACACTGCTTAAGTCTCCTTACATCACTGAAAACTCGTGCTATCATCCATGACCGGCAAAACAAGACACACATGTTAAAAGCAAAAGTGGGTAAAAGTGAGAAACAATTATTATCTGATTAATGTACCAGAATTTAAATATGCATCTTAATAAGAAATTATAGAAGGTGCGTATGGAGTATTCAGTTGTAACCATGCATTTAAGAACCATTTCTTCAATCCTTACTAAATCCCCTGATCTCTCAAAGCTCAGTATACCAAGGATCGGATGAGCTAGTAATTCCAATCACCATATGATGTCTCATCTAATAAAGTCTTTTCAAATTAAAGACTCCGACTGTTTGTAAAAAAACACTTATTTCAAAAAGCAAGTCTGTGTTACCATTATGCATTTTTAATATACCATTTGTTTTTTCTACCTTTCAATTCTTTCATTGACTAATTTTAGCACGTTATCTACTGGATACATCAATTCCAGTTAATAGAGATTAAGGAATTTCAGCAGATAAAATGAATACAGTTACGTCTATCATACGAAATCCGAGTAAAGTACAGTGCCTAACTGCATGGTAATATGCTTTCACTAGTTCACTCGAATTTTCATCATATTCAATGCAAAACACTGCCAAAAAAAAACTCCTTTTGTATGGTTACTGGAACGATTGGTAAAATACACATGACTACATACCAACTATTCGCATAATGAAAGAAGTTCAATAGGTGGCACTTGAGATTTATGCTCTTAATGGCAACTTTTCAGTTTGAACCATAAGCACACCTAAGAGATCTTAATGTTCATATGTCAGGAAATAATACCATTCTTAGAAACAGACGTAGGCGGTATCGATAATTGATCAATGTCTAATCAAATTATGCAATTTCCAATGGTATTAAAGAACAAAAAGTTTGGATTTATCTTGTGTTTTAGCAGAAATCAGTTCATTCTTTGGAATAAATTATAGTATGTAAAGTTTTTAAAACAAATTACAGATGATAAGATATTTATAGAGAGGAAAGAACACAAAATACAGGTAAGGACATGCTAAAAATCTGAAATAAAAAAAATAATCAATCAGGATTTGAAAGAGAAAAAAATATCGGTCAGCATGTTGGGTAGACCCTTGGTGTTTTGAAATGCTGTTGAGAAAAGAGGGGCAAAGAGAATACCTTCAACTGCTCTAGATCAGGTCTTTCAAGGTCCACCACTTCTGCTAGTAGCTGGTCTTCCAAGCCATCGCGGGTGACAGTAAAGTTAATCAGTGTCGTCTGTGCCTGTATTTCAGGCTTGTAGTGGGGGCTAGCCAGCTTTGTATGTAGAATTAGGCGGAAATTGGGGTGGAACATACATTCTTTATCTCCAATTCTTATATACCTAGGAATATAAAATGAATGTTACAATTCTATGTTTAGATTATCCAAATATGGCACGCAAACTCGTGTATTTTCAGAATTATTAACATGTCAAGCTAATTTTACCTTCCTTTCTTAATAGTGTGTCTACCAAGTAATGGATCAAGCACAGGATCAATTGTCTCTTCTATATTCTCTATTAAAACAGGATTTCCCATAACAAGGGCTTGTTCCATAACATCCAGATACCTAGAGGAGATAGAAGCATTTAAAGATTATGAATGAATTAAACATAGCAAACTGCGTAGTTAAAAGAACTCTGAATTATAAGAATCAATGAAAACAGTGGAGTATCAGATATAGTATTCTGTTTTAAAATGAGGTTATCATGGGTAACGTTAGCATGGGTGTCTCAGTGGTTAGAGCGCTCGCCTCGCCTCGAGACTTGGGTTTGATTCCCGGCAGGGTGAAACCTTGGGCAAGTTTCCTTACTCCGCACACAGGCCTGATAATAAACCCTCAAGAAAACAAACAATAATAGATTGGTCACTTCAATCCACGACTGTTTGTGGGACACTGCTGTGCGCAATTGGCTGCCGCTTTTCGCCTACAAAATACACTGTTACTACACGTTACACTATATTCTGTGAAGCGCTTTGAGACGTCTCGAAGACGTGATGAGGGCCTATATCAAATGCAAGGATGATTATTATTAGAATCTTAATTTGGATTTGCTACGCATTAGCATAGCTATGTTCCTATGTGGGTTTGCAACATAAGGTAAGCAGATAAATATTAAAATTAATTGTATACTATGAATTTATAAAATTTTTTCCCATTGTGTGCGACACAAGTAATTGCTTCACAGGCCTCTCCTGTAGCATTATATCCGGATGGATCTTGGTCTTCTTTCGCTGAGCGATTTCCCATGTTCTTAAGACGACCAGCAGCCAAATTAATCGACAGAATTGACTTTGTGTCCACTTTTTATAAAATAGCTAATTATAGAACATGTCCACTTAAGTTGCGCTGTTTTTTCCATATAAGACACCTAATCTGTTGCCAATCTCCTGCATGCTCCCCACATCCTTTAATATTCCTTGTTTACCTAATTCCCTTTTAAAAGAATTGTCTCAATAACAGCTTCAGCCTTTAACTGTAATATCATTATCTTTATTATGACGTATACTATTCTAAAATATGAAAAAAAGGGACGAAACTGCAAAGACAGCCACAGGTTAGCTTTAAGATTTAAAAATTTATACTGATTTTTATCTAGAATTTCTAAAATACACAATTCCTTTTTTTTTTATTCGCGTGATTTCAATGTTGATGATAAATACAGCAAAAGAAAATTGAATTACAAAAACAATGGCTTGTCAGTTTCCAGTAAAATAATTTGATTTATCATAGCAAAAAATTATATGCATCTCCTATTTTCGCAAGTATACTTATGATAAGTTGCCGTCTCAACTATAATTCAACTTTATCAGACTAATCCTGTGGCCAGCTAACATTTCTGCTGTAAATAGTATAGATTTCTACTTGTGTTTAAATTATATTTTATTGTTGATCAACGTGCAACACATATTCTGGAATTGACGCATCTATGAATGCAATTAGTTAAGTAGTAAAGGAAGTTTGGATTCACCTAAAGGTCGGTAAAGCAGTTCAAATGAAGGGAAGATGGCAATCGCTTTCTTTGAAGCCCTGCATCTTAAAGGATAAACTTTGTATTTCTTTGTATTCATTGACTGGTTCCAGCTTTAAATATCTGCCCTTACCCTTTCTGACCCAAATTGATGACTTTCAGATCTGGGCCATATTTGCTTTTTATCCACTTGATTCCCTGCAGTTGAGGGTCAATCAAAAGAGGCCACCTCTCACAGTTGGAAAGAATGGTAGCATTTTCCGTGGACATTTTATCACTGGGTAGACCTTCATTGTTCCACCCTGCAATGGTTGCGTCATCTGTGAGCAAGGCGATAGAGTCCAAACCTTCGGTCATAAGGATAGGAACCTAACACAGGCATAGAATTCAGAAAGTCTTCAGCAACGTCTTACACGGTTCCAACAGTCGCTAAAGAAAACATGTCTGGCTGACATTAAAGCTGAGTAATCTTTAAGTACTAAATTTTAAACCATCAAAAATACTAAAATCCTGCGATCGAAACCTAATTGAAACGCTTCATCTCTTTGTGCTCTTTCGCTGTGTAGTCAGCCGTCTTGAATATGGTGCCTTTGATGCTAAGGTAGACTTAAGAAAATTAAAAGCATTTATTATGTTAAAACTATAGATCTGGATGGAACAGGCACTCAATTATTATTGGAGATTAAAACCTGTACCTTTTGGCTTCTCAGGTAAGGCATCCACATGTTCTGCAGGAGCTCATACCGATACCTCTTTGAAAAGGAGCCAGCATACGAAACGAAAGCTGCTGTTAAGAGAACGTCTCCACAGAGAGATTTTCCTTGTTCACGGTATTGTGCAACAGACTGAGCCCAACGAACGTTTTCTGACTACCACATGGAAACATTAAAACAGTTTAAGCATTAAGCGATTTTCACAAGGCAGAATTTGGAGAACAATGACGGGACGATTAAATCACACTGCACTGTTGATGGAAACAAAGCTGCACATGACACTGTGTATACACGGATTCTCACCTCCAGACCTTTCACTAATCTGTTAGCCAGTTCAATCGTCGTGTTGGTTCCCTTCACTTCATCGTGACATCGGACTTTCTCAGAGGTGGCTTTCTCAAATACGTCCGTCAAGGCCGTCAAGTTTCTATCCAATTCCTTTTAATATTAATGAAAAAGAATTTGAATTAAAACAAAAAGTTTTTGGGAGATTTTGCTACAGCAAAGAGGACACGTGCATTTGGGTTGAATTGAATGCTAGGATGTGGATTCCTGATCTCTGTGTTGCTTATCAATAGGAATGGGCCTATTAAGGACTCAGTACTTAAGCCACAGAAAAGATAGGAATCAGAAATGAAAATCAGAATATTCCTTTGGGCTTCCCTATGACTAGTTATGGTAAAATAATAATAATAATAATGATAATCCTTGCATTTGACTTTTCAAAGCACTTTGAAATGGTTAAGTTGGAAACTAAAGGTGAAAATAAAATAAATTACAACCAAAAAGAAACATTCATTAATTGTGTGGTAAATTTCAATAAATAATCTGTAACATGTACTAAATGTTTTGAAGTTTATACAAATGAGTTAGAGACTAATCTATTTGTTATTAATCCCAATAGCCCAACCCCTTCCTGTCGTTAATGAGTTTATTCTGGGATTGTGATCAATTAATTAATTAATTAATTGCGGCTGAGTTTGTCAACATGCTTCAGACAACGTTTGTGACTAAAATTACAACTGGTTTTCCTGCACACATGAAGGCAACCCAAATAGGTGTTTGTGAGCCAATAGTTATAGACACAAAAGAACAGCACATTCTCACCAAAATGTGATCACAGGCATCAAATCATCTGAGAAACACAGCTCAGTAACATATTACTATACTCAGTAATAACATAGATTGCACAGTAATCTATACTATGCCCTTCCGCACACAGCTTAAATAAAATAACTCAGATATCCAGGTAATTGAAACCTGGTATAGAACCATTTGTTCAATAATATGAAATAAACAGTTAAAACGCCTTTAATTACCGATCGCCATGAAATTATAAAACCATCAGCAAAATAAAATTGCAAAAGGCAAACATCCCACTGACTCTCACCCACACACACACGCACCACACACATTCCATCATTCTTTAATGACCCCTAGTCAACTGATGATGTAACGCACACTGCAATGATGACCGACACTAACCATATTTATGACATTCCATGGTACTCCATTCTGTGAAAGTGAAAAAGCAACACACACGCAAAGACCAAAATGTCACTGCTAAATTGCAATCCATTTCAAGTTTTAACTTGATCATATCAGTATTAATTAAAAAAAGTTAATAACTTACACACTGCAATTATCTTGGCCCACAAGCATTTTCACCTCAGTTACCTCCATTAAATTTGTTATGCACTGTTTCATGCAATGCGAAGCCAAGCACACTACGGGAAGAATATGGTCATGTAACCAATGCATTTTCCATTGCAGAATAGGTCTGCCGATACCAAAAGGCTGCATCGTACCACCATAAAGGACAAGACAGCTGTAAGAATCAACTGTCAAACAGTTAACTGTTTAACAAAAAAAGTAAACCGTGCCCATTAAAGCCGAGAAAAGATTAGAAAAGGGTAATTTTATATGCAAATAAAGCTCTTCAAAGGTAAGCCTGACAAGAAAAAAAATCTATTTTGAAAAAAAATGACATTACAAATGCATTAGAATTTCTGAATAGGGTTTAAACTGACTTAAACTTATGAAACACCTGCTAACAAGCGTGTATTGGAAGACAAAGCATTACTCTGACCGCTAGATACTGAAACATAGCACTAATTTGGGCAAGTGTCTAAGTCTGTTGCACTCAGAAAGCACAGCAGTCAATTAAATTCCCTTTCTTGTGAATTTAGTTAGTGTGCGGCCAAATATTATCTGTATTGCTTAGGAAGTTATCCTTTAAATAATTGCACACGCTTTCCATTGTCCCACGTGTTGTTGAAATAACACGTGGTGTATAGATTAAATACCGTTCGTTTTCTGAATTGCACACTATTTCTTTAATTCTGTCGTTTAAAACCCAGATGACGTTTGAATAAAAAGATTTGATATTAAAATAGCATTTTAAAATTTAAATGGACCGAGCTGTAACTTTTATATTAAACCGAGACAATGCTGCCTTGGCCTTGTTTGTCCCCCTCCACCCAAATATCAAAAATTAAAATGCGAAAAAAAATCTGTACAATGCAAAAATATTTCCTTTGCCCGTAAACCCGAGCCGTCTGAGAATGAACGCAGATGCATATTGTGATGTTTGCAGATAATTTCAAAGTAACTGCATTTTCTCTCTGAATCTCTTTGTATTTGAAGTGCTGCCCTTTTCAAAACAAGTGAAAGTTCAATCAAGTTTTGGTGCCATGATGATCAAACAGTGTCACATCACTATGGCAATGTCTGGCAGGGCCACAAATGCAGATCAGCTTTAATTGTACTAGGCCTTATTACTCGTGCATGTCAATCAGAACCTATGAATTGAAGAAAATTTGCTCTGTTCATTCTGTTAAATGATGTATCCAATTAAACCTGTTAGAATTCATGATCTTCAGTCAAGGTTAAATGAAAGTAGTTACTCCTGTCAGCTATGTGATTAAATGCTGCCTACATCAGGCACATTTATGTGCGAAATTAAAATTTTGGTCTAAAGCATGAATCTTTATGCATGCCAGTTAATTATCTTGCAGTCCTTCTACATATTAAATGCCCAGTACATTTGTTCTTAATCATCAGACGCAATTTAAAATACACTTCATACCCAGTATTTAAGTAGATTCCTCCATGTTAATGAATTCTGTTATAGCTTAAAATCCTTTATTCTGTCCATAGGTTTGCACGTTGCTAGGTTACTATAGTATAGATTAGGAACATTCAAAAGTATAGGAAACATTCACCATGTGGAACTAAAAAAAAAATCTTTAAAATATTGGGGAAATCTTTAAAAAAAATCCCGTTTGATACAGGTTATGTAACGATCCATGATTTTTAATATAATAGAACAGAGTCATGCAATTCTAATATTCTAATATTCAGGGAACTGTGAAACTATTTATCCTTTTAACATTACAGTTATAATCTGAAGATTCTTTGTGTTAACAATAAATTTGTTAAACAAGAATATGTTTTGGTTTGTGCCCAAACTATTAGCAGCGAAAGCAGTTTCTTTTTCTGAGGAGAGACATAGTTGTTAAGATGATTTTTTGGGGGTGGGGGTAGCAATAAACACAAAGGCTATTCGATATGAAATTCATCTGCTGTTATTTAATTTTTAAAAATATTTGGGTTAACTTATTTTCAACTGGATTCACAGCTGGTACAGATGCAGAAGAGTTAAATGATTAGCATATTGCTTCCGTCCCATAACACTGGTCGACATTTTATCTTTTAATTACCCATTAGGTAACAGCCCCCAATTCTCCTTGGGCAGCAGGTTGGAATTGCTTATCTCGTAGAAATCTCCAACAATGCCATTAATGACAGCACTTGGTTTTCTGTCAGGATGGGTTGTACTTTGGTACGGAATGAAAAATCTCTACCAGTCAAATCCCACCCCTTCCCTTCGCACAAATGAACGAGGTGGGCAAGCTTACCAGCAGAAACAGTTTGAATGCGATTGGCTTGCAAACCCTGTGGAGAACGCAAACTCCATTTACAGGCACATTTCTCTCGCACCCCCCCCGCCCCCCCCCCCCCCCCCCCCCGCCCCCCCAACAAACTGTACAGTCAATTCACTTTACAGTATATTCTGTGAAGTGCTTTGAGATGTTTCGAAGACGTGATAAGGCTCGATATCAAATGCAAGGATTATTACCTCAATCTATTGACCTTCAGATAGCTGGCAAGTTCTGGTATGTTCCAAGGCTCCTGGATCCAGCCAGTTTTCAAACTCACCCAATCACACTAACATTAACACTTACATTACAGACATTTGATGTCTTAAAACAAATGCCTACAAACAATTTTAAGTAATTTCCTTGTTGACTTCTGCTCATTCATTTCCCCTGCTAACTCTATTCTATTTCGCTTTTATTTTGGCTTTGCTTTGAGTTGGGTTTTTTTTCGAACGAACGTCATCTATTTCTAAAACAAAAGATAAATCTGAAACACATAGGTGTAAGTACAACCCAGCCTCGCACTTTGGCAATAGGCATTTCCTCAGGATCGCACTCAGGAATGCAGAGGAGAAAGTTGTAAGGTTCAATTCCTCATCTTATGTGAATTTGTGCATCTCAACTAGTAGGGTGTCATGATACAATTCACCTTATAGTGCTCCTGAACCAGGAGTTAGGGCTTTCGGAATTCTATTTAGGTTGGTAAAACGTAAATAGCCATTCAGCAAAAGCAGCTTGAAACACATAAATACCTTACACTGAGTCGTTAACAAGGTCATTTTGAACACATCACTAAAAAAATACTCCGTTGTGATAGCCACCTGACAAACAAGAAATTTACATATAACTTAAGACTGAAGGTTTTTTTTCTAAAAAAATTTTTTTACATCTGTTTTGAGTTGATTTATACAGTATTTTTATGTTGTGCGTTTTTCTGAAATCTTCTTGTGAACAATTTATTTAACGGACAACAAATATCAATGATTTAATATTGCAAAGAGGTGTCCAATCGTATCGTTTCTGAGATCTCTGGTAATAGAGTTCAGATCTACAGACTACAAGTTAATTTATGGCTTCACAGTAGATAATTCAAATATAGACAATGCGTGGATTCAGAAACAAACATCACCAGGGTTACTTGGTAATTATTACTTTGGTGAAATTGCCACATCAGAACCATTAAAATAATCTGTCAAACTCGAAATAAATTAAATAAAATGGTGTAGGAAAGCAAAATAGTTTGGGCAGAGGTGAAGTCAAATTCACAGTACTTACTGCCAGCTTTTTTCTTATGACCTCAAGTTTCTCAGCAGCAACAGCTAGGTCAGAATTGGCTTGAAGAAGTGCTTTACGTTTGACTTCCACTTCACAGTAAACCTGTCAGTGCATTAGCATATTTATAATTAACATTATACAATTTATCAATGACAGCTGAGGCAAGCAACACCAAGGAGGTAAAGCGAAAAGATTTATTTGACATAAGCGTGTGACTTGAGAACCTGGAAGAGGCAAGTTATAAAATGCCGTGTAGTAACAGAGTGCGCCTACTGTAGATTTATTTTCTACAGCTGCGTGAAACCTTCCCTCATTTCTCTCATTTCATGATCATCCTCTCCTTGCATTCATTCCTGGTTTGGAAGATCAGGATAGTTTGGTATTTCCATAGATGTTGTCAATACTCCCATTTTGTCAACCCTACCAGGAGACATACTTGACTGGTGCGAGAGAACTCATTGTCTCATTCAAAATTGGCAAATTCACTTGCAAGGGGAAGAAGAACAACAACAACAACAGAATTACATTTATAGAGCGCCTTTCATGTCGGGAGGATGTCCTAAGGCCCTGGAAAATCAGGGGTCAGGACCCGAGCATGGGGGACATGAGGAGGGGTGGGGTAGGGGTGAGGGAAGGCAGAGAGGTGAGAGGGCGACTGAAGGCACGATTGAAGAGGAGGGTCTTGAGACCGGCCTTGAAGGAGGCAAGGGAGGAAGCGAGGTGAAGGGACCGTGGGATGGAGTTTCAGAGTTTGGGGGCAGAGAGGCTGAAAGTCCGGCCACCGATGGGAGGGCAGGTCGGACGGGAGACATGGAGCAGGCCAGAGCCCGATGAACGGAGGGAGTGGGAAGGTTGGTAGGGAGTCAGCAGGTCAGAGAGGTAGGAGGGAGCAAGACCATGGATGGCCTTGAAAGTGAAGATGAGGATCTTGAATTCGATCCTCTGAGGGATGGGGAGCCAGTGGAGTCGGGTGAGTGTGGGAGTTTTGGATGATCCGCAGCTTGTGAAGGGAAGAGTTGGGAAGTCCGATGAGGAAGGAGTTTCCATAATCAAACCTTGATGTAACGAATGCGTGGGTGAGGGTTTCGGCAGCCTGAGGGGTGAGGCAGTGGCAGAGTCTGGCAATGTTGCGGAGCTGGTGGTAGGCAGTACTGGTTATGGCGCGGATGTGGGGGAGAAATGACAGTTCATGGTCAAACAAGATACCCAGGTTCATCCTGGCTTAATGAGGTTGCGTGTGCAGCCATGGAGGCTGATGCTGTCAGCGCCTGAAGTGTGGAGGCGCTGGTGCGAGCCAATTAGGAGAGCCTTGGTCTTGCTGACGTTGAGTTGGAAAAAGTTGTCCCTCATCCAAGACTTGATGTCCTGCCGTCAGGACAGCAGTGGTCCTGGAGTTGAGGGTGGAGGCAGAAAGATAGAGTTGGGTGTCATCCGCATACATTGGAAATTAACCCCGTGTCTGCGGATAATGTCACCAGGGAGGAGCATGGAGAGGGTGAAGTGGAGCGGACCGAGGACAGGGCCCTGAGGAATGCCACATGAGATGGTGCGGGGGCTGGAGGAGAAGCCGTTTGCTAAGACGAAGCGGAAGCATTTTGAAAGGTAGGACCTGGACCAGTCAAGGACAGAACCTTGAAGGTTAAGGTGGGAGGAGAGCCGGTGGCCAGCACGGAAACCCTGTGGCCAGCACGGAAACCCAATTGGAGGGGCGCTTGAAGGGAGTAGGAGGAGAGGAAAGAGTGAAGCTGGGAGGCAACGGCTCTCTCAAGGATCTTAGACAGAAAAGGGAGGGGGAAGATGGGCCGGTAACTGGATAGCTGTGATGGGTCAAGGGAAGGTTTCTTCAAGGTGGGGGTGATAGTGGCTGCTTTGAGGCGGGAAGGAACAGTGCCAGATGATAGGGAGAGGTTGTTGTCGGTGAGTAGTGGGGCAAGGAGGTGGAGCTGGGATTTAAGGAGAGGGGTGGGGATGGGGTCCAGGGAGCAGGTGGTGAGCTTCATGGAGGATATGGGATGATGACAGAGGAGGGGGTGACAGGTTCAAAGGGAAGGTAATAGATGAATCTCACTAAAGAGTGGAATTTGAATCGGAGTCTCCTGATTCAGTGCATCAGACACTTCGATTTCCACTATTGAGTGATGTTCAGATTGCAAGTATTTGAACATCTTCGACTGGCATGTTCATACACTCAAAGTCAGGAAGCTTTAAGTGAAATCGGTGAATTAATCTGAGGAGTAAAATGGCATCTATTGGGAAACCACCACTCATACAGCATGCGTTAGATAATTAAAATAGTATAACATTAGAATTGGGTAATTAAGTGCATCTTTTTCACTGCATTTTTAAATACATAAGTATCACAAATGAGTTGTGGCAGATGATTGAACAGATGAGTGATCGCAAATGTCAGGTTCCTAAAATACTGTTACAAGTCAACCTTGTAAAGGAACACTCAAACCGCGAGAAAACATTAAACCCGGTTCATACTTACATATATCTTTTGAAAGTGGCATCGTGACAGGCATACAGATAGAGGAAAGGTAACAGACATGTTGAAAATGTATCACAACAAACAATGAAAAATTATTTAGTGAACAAAACATTAATTATGCTCTGATAAGATGAATTAGCCAGTCATCATTAATGAGAATGTACATTTTGTGTAAGTTTTAAGTTCACTTATGATAGATGCGTTACTAGTAGCAAAATACATCATCATAACATTCGAGTCAGCAATGAAACATTCCGCTGACGTATGATCTCTCGCAAAATATTCAATCATGCCGAAAACAACAGGTACTTTTGATTGGGTAAAAGGTGTACGTTAGACTCCTGCTGTATTATAGTTTCTGTTGGACCATAGAGACCATTAAATCGTTTCCACAAATAAATCTTCCCTGCGGTATATTTTACACGTCTTAGCCTTGTTCAGTGAAGGACACATAAATACACAGTAAAAAGATGAAAGAAATTTAACTAAAACAAAATGGTTATTCAACAAGACTAATCTTAACTTTTTTTTCATTTATACAGAAATGTTTCAGGCACCAACTACCCAATCCGACATCTCCACTGATCCATAAACTGCATAATCTCGTATCAGCATCAAGCACTTCCAGGTAAGATGAAGCATATGTGGGATGAAGAGCAATGTTATTAGGCACAAAAGCAAAACTGTAAAATATCTCTTTTTCTTTTAGTCCAAAGAGTGCGATATAAATGAAACTGTTGTTGTTGCCCCAACTCCTAATTGATTCTCTTTCTCAGGACTTCAAAAAGAGTGGAATTCCTTACTTCTTCATCTTTCCTCCTACAATCTACAACCTTCAACCAACCCAGTTGATGTTCCCCAGCTCTGCCATTTGTATTTGAGACATTAAACATTATAGGTGCTTTATTCAGTGCAAGGATCATTGTTTTCATTATCATCATCTAAGTAACTTAACATTACAGCAGTGCCATCAATACTTTACTTACTGTTTAAATGGAACATTCCATCAGGCATTGATTCTGATGGAAATATTGATGAGATTCTCTCTAATTATTAGAGATTATTGCATTACAGGTCACAAGTGAGTGGCACAGGTATTAAAAATATCCTTAGGATCTGAAAGCACTCATCTTTCTCTTTCCGTGTAAGATATTGTACAGTTGGATCCTTACCTCGTGAAACTTGAGAGTATTTATAACCCAAGCACAAAGCCCAGCAGCAGCCGACGACTTTGTTTGCACAAACTCAGGATTGAATTTAGGGTCACTGAGGTATTCCTCTCTTATCGTTTTGACGGTGGCTTCAGGAATATGCTCCTTATCAAAGTTACCAATAGCCTGTATGAATTCGTCTACCTGGGATACAATTCAAAAAGCAAGTCAAACCATTTAAGGACCATTGACTAACAGTTATCTTCTGCTGCATAAAAGAAACAATGGAAATAAAAATACGTTGCCAATACTATATGGAAATATTTCAATCCGAAAGTTTGTTGAAGATTTATTTACACTTTAGTCACTTTTTAACCATCTTAATTTATTATGAGCCCTGTAGCTCAGTGGTTAGAGCACTCGCCTGGCAAGCGAGAGACCTGGGTTCGATGCCTGGCAAAGCGAAACCTTGGGCAAGTTTCCTTACTCCACACACCTATTAATAAGTGGCTGCCGGGTTTCGCCCACAAATATACAGTCAATTCACTTTACGATGTATTCTGTGAAGCGCTTTGAGACGTCTAGAAGATGTGAAAAGCCCTATATCAAATGCAAGGATTATTATTATTATTAATTAATTATTTCTAATGAAGTTAGAACTTCAATAAAATTCCCAATTCCCTCTTTAGATTATGGCTATGACTCCGTCAGAAGGCTATGGGTTCAAACTTTGAACTCCTTGTTTAGGCTGATATTTCAGTGCAATCCTAAGGTTGTACTGTATTGTTGGAGGTGTTGTTCTTCGGATGAAACGGTAAATAAACTAAGGTCCTGTCTCCCTGATCAGGCATTGGGCACCTTTTGAAAATAGAAAGGAATTTCAACTGGCCAACAAATCGCTAATTAGATCGACTTTCAATGATGTTTGTTTGTGGGACATCGCTGAGCGCAAATTGGCTGCCTCGTTCGCCTACAAAATGCACAGTCACTACACATATTCAATGAAGCCCTTTGAGACATCCTCCTGATGTAAAATGTGCCATGTTACGACGACGACAACAACGTTTATAGAGTGTTCCTCACGCAGGTTACCGCCCCAGAGTGCATAATAAATGCAAGGATTATTATTATTTTGGCAAAACAAACTGATCAGAGGCTGAGCACCTTTTGCTAAAATTTACATCCCCAGTTTTTTTTTAGATCTGCATTGTTTTTGTTTCTTTTATTTGTACGCATGTGAAACAGAGTGATTCGATGCATTTTGCTTTTTCAAGGCTGTAGTACCAATGTTTACTAACTTAACAAGGTTGGATCAAAAATAATCATTGTTAATGACTGCAATGAGTAATTACTATAAAAAATGATCACAGATGTGTTTCAAAATCTTGCTCCGGGGGTAAAATATACAAAACTACATTGTTACGGAGAAAAATGTAAATCAAATTGATTAAATTAAAATGCATTAAATCTGGCATTTGTTAACAGTATGAACATTTTAATAATAATGGCCCTTGCAAGTCTTATCTGCATCAATGCTGGTTTGCAAGCTATTTTATCAATTTTCTGTTAAAAAATATTTTTTTGGAGAAAAAAAAAGGGGTTCTATTGAAAACAAAGCAAACTGGTGATCAGGGCACACTCACATTGTAGTGTCAAATAAAACATATTTGCAACTAAACTGCTTACAAAGTATGTCTCAGATTGATGCATATTTTTAGAAAAAGGTCAGCATCCAGTGTACAATCAGAAGTAAAGCCAGGAGAAAAGTTACACAATATTTGATGTAGTAACGTACAATGGATTCTTGCGACATGGAATAAGGAAGAACAGACATAAAGCTTTATATAACAACTGGACTGATTACACAATGTCAGGCTGTAGAACCAGCAAAACTGAGGTTTGGTAACAATTTGCATATATCAAGACACTGCCAGGCATGTACTTGAAGAGGATATATGTGGATTCAACTGTATTATAGGAAGTCTAAGCTACGTAATGTTGAGTTCTCATTTTGTACTTGCACAATTTTATCACGGCAACTCATATTTTCATGAACACATAAATCAATATGCTAGTCATCTTATGCGGAATCAATTATTAGTGTCCTTATAGTGTGAGGAGAATCAATCATAAAAGTCTGTGATGATGACTGCACAGAATAATTTGTGTGTTAATGATTTTGTTTCCAGACCAAAGATTTTTCAATGTGATATTTAGTAAATTTACTTCACTTATTAAGGTTACAGGGCCTTGTCGGCAGAAATAGGAATGTGATCGGAATTCTAGATATGAACTGTACAATAGACAAAATGAGCAAATTACTTCTATACATCATCCACTGTAAGTGCGGGCTTTTAATTTAGGCTTTTCTAAAGAATCAGAGTGAAACAAGTCTGCAAGAGAGAGGCGGAAAAATTATGGATATTTTATTTGCAAGTGCATTCTGAAATGCATTTGGTATTAAAATGCGAAACCTCCGATGATAAATATAGCATTGATTTAGAAAAAAATGAACTCAAAAAGTTCAATCCTTATGCAGTTTAAAAAGACACTAACAATGTTTATCTTCTCCTGCACACGCACATACATATATCTATCTTATATACATTCATGAATCAGTGATGCCCGATTAAAATGCTTACTTCGAAATGGATTTAATAAGGTAGACTTCAATCGATTACTAATACAGTACTAAGCTAGTTTTGTTAACTAAATTCATTAACTTTGCCCACAACATATGCATTCAATTGACTTTACAGTATATTCTGCGAAGCTCTTGAGCCACCTCAACGATGGGATAAGGCCCTATATCAAATGCAAGGATTATCATTAATAATATGATTATATTACCTTATTCAGATATATTTTTGAAGTCTTCCAGCTTCGATCCTTTGGAATTTTCCCATTGGGAGCTAAAAGCACCTGTACAGCAGCCATCACATTGGTGACAACTGCATGTGGATTGGGAAAAGTTCTCAATTCTGTCAGGTTTAACTAGAAACACAGTGCAAAGAAAAAAATTGTAATTGTAGAATTGAATACAAGTCCTATTGAATGAATTCTCGCAGCCAAGTTTCCGTACCCTGTTTAGTGTATTCAAGGCCACATTTGCGGCAGTGAGCGCTGGTTCAGCCTTTGCAAGGTCTTTTTCAGATTCCTGCTGTTGTTTCGACACTTCGGTTCGGATAGCAGTTACCTACAAAAACACATTTCAGTTACTGTAGTTGCCAGAACGAGTTGTTGCTGCCGACGTCTTGATTGGCTTCTTTATTCTTTTAATTTTTAGTTTCCAAAAATACTGCAATCCTCCGTCAATTCCATAGAAAATTCACGTTAAGTGAACATAAACGGGTCTCAAAATAAATTGTAATTCAGTCGGTCAGAAATTTATACATCCATTTTACTATAAAGCAAAGTCAGTGAAACACTATTTTACTTTTATGGTTAACTGGGCTTTACAAAAATGATATTTCCAAAATATAACATTGAATATTGTATTCTTCTGCCTAGAAATGAAGGAGGCTTATTGACCCAGCACAAAATGATGTACTAAAATGCCCTTCAACAGAACAAAATCACAGAAACATCAAGACTCCAGACAAACTGCCCTCAACCTGGTTTGTAATTGGTGTAAACATCTCAACTACTACTTTATCCATCAAAGCAGAAAACACAAATGCATTTACTTGTACGGAGATTTTTTTTTTGAGGAAAGTTTCACTAATAACAGGCCAAAGTTATAATTATGCAACGTTTGTGGAAAAAAAAACTGAAAAACTCAATAACAAAAAAAAAACTGTTAGTTTCTGAGAACTTCATGCTTTTGCGATCTATTCAGGACAACACTGCCATCAGTCATGCATGTACCCTTTGCTCTTCCGCATCTGCGATAGCTTTCTCTTGGTTCAGTTTGTGAGTCTGCTGGCCTATTTGGGCAATCAATTCCTCCGTGTCTTTGTTCCTTTGGTGAAGTTCAATTTCTTGAACAGCCAGTTTCGCCTTAAGATCTTCCACCTAGAAAATCAAAGCAGAGACATTAATAGTTTAAAACACACACACACACACACACAGACACACACACAAATTCAGAATACTGTAACTGAGTTTTTCATTCTATTAGATAATAATCCATTATCATTTGGGTCAGAAAGTTAAAAGCAGTTGGTATCTGGAGAACTATAAACATATTCCTTTGTGCCTCAGTTGAAACAGTTTAATTATTTTCAGTTCCCTATGGTATCTGCACAATTATGCATCTCTCTACAGGTCTAAAGGGACAAAATAAACAGGATGAAAACTGATGAGCAAACGAGGGATGTGTTACTTGGAACTTCACTTTCAGTTTAGCTCTGTAAGTCGCCTTATTCTAATTCTTTAACACTTTCAAATGTTGTAAGTACAATGTTGACTCCACCTCCTCTACATTCAGCTGTGCAATAATATTCAGGGTAAGATTAGATCCGTTTCAAATACTCACTTGTGAAGCTGTCGTCTGCAGTTTCTGAAGGCCATTTTCCAGGCGTTGCATCTTTTGTATCAGTTCTTTTCTTTTCTTACTGAGAAGGTTTCGGTACAGTTTAATTTGTTCCAGGAAGCTTTTTGGAGTGGTGTAATTGTACCGTTTCTCATTTTGCTGATATTTTGCGCTAATGTCATTCACACTGGTGTGTGCGTATGCGATAAACTGACTAATGGACAGTTTCACTTCAGGCTAGAAAGCAAGTAGAATAATGTAAATTATTACTTATTATAAACATTAAGGTGTAATTCATCATAACTTGATTTACATTATTTACATGTAATCTTGTTGTTGTTGTTGTAAACCTAATGCTTCATCCTTCATGTTCCAGTCTTCTCAATGATCTGCAGAAATGATATATACTTAATGAAAGCGTGCGTTAGCTCTATAAATTGACGAAAAATTAAAGTAGTTCTTGTCATACCGATGAATCTTGCTTAAAGCGATTCTAAAATATGTTCTTGTTTGCATTCCTAAATAAACTTCAGTCTGTGTGTCATTTCAACAGATCCTTTTATAGGGATTATTCTAACATGACTGAAATTAAAAAGTTAAAACGTAATCAGTCAGAAAGAAACAATCTAGTTGTTTAGTTATGTGTCATAATCCATCCGACACATTGTGTAAGTGGAATATGAATGCTTGTAATAAAACAGGTATCCATTTCACAAAATGTATATTTAGGGTTTCAAGAAGATGCGATTTATGAAATGAACACCTTACCTCATTCATTCACATTGCACATATATTAACACATAAAATGGCACAAAAACTGGCTGCAATTTATTCAATGGATTTACACAAAATGAAAAATCTAAAACAGTGTGTCCGCCTTCCAAAATAATCCGAGCAAAGTCTTTTTTTATATGTAAAAGTTGCCACAAATGCATTCCATTACTGAAAAATGCAGGAATAATAAAACTTCATTTCAATAGTCTGATTTGAAAAAAATGACACAAAACTCTTTGACACGCCATGCTGTTATACAAAGTACTTTTTTGCCCTATTCCTACTTTGCATGGAAAATGTATTTTCACAGTTGTCAGAATGATGGACAGGAAGAGAATGATCAGACTGCGGCTATTTGCTTGTACCTACGCACAATGGCTCAGCAGGAATCATGGTGTGTTGGTGAGACAAACTGTGTCCCGTTTTTTTAACATATTAAGTTTGTCTCCAGGACACACATGGCTTCACTAGGGTGGCAAACCTCATTCATAATAGATGCTAATCTTTTCAGGGCTGACTGATGACAGCACTTCCTGCCCTTCACGGAATTAGAGCTGGGTTTTATCAAAGGACTCGAACTGCCTGCTAATTAGAGTAATTTCCTTAATCATGAATTATTTATTTCCATTGGTAACTGATCGCTGCGTCATTAATGGGACATTCTAAACCGAGTTTTCACACTTAGCGCACACTGTATCATAAGTGTTTAAAACACTCTTTTTTGCCTCCCGGTCAAATGTGTTGTGCGGCAACTTGCTGCAGTGTTCGACAAATTAACTGTCACTCGGCTTTCCTTATTAAAAAATATGAGCTTGGGAAGCAATTAATTTAAATCAGTTGATTTGAATGCAAATAAAGTTAGAACTTAAGAAACATAAGAACGCATCGAATGAGAAAAAGGTCATTTGCTCCACTAAGAGCACACCTTCTCGAGACCACGTAATATACAATCCTATCATGGAATCCATCAATCCACGATTAATTGCCTAGGGGAGATTTTGATGCACATATTTCCTGATCCCCAAAGGCTATCAAGCTAAAATGTCAGAATATTCAACCATTCCCACATCTTCACTATACAACCCTGGCCTGTTCCTCCTTCACCCCCACCCATCCCGCTACACACACACACACACCACACACACAAAAACATCCTGTACCTAACAAGACTTTGCTCAATGCAAACTGCACCTATCTTTTATAACTTCCAATATTGGTCCGAAGCAGATATTTATCCAATTATTTTTGAGAATCTTAAACTGAGTGTCTGTTCCGCATATCCACCATGTAGGAAAAAATATGCCTTGTAATCTTTCCTCTTGCTTGAGGTTTTCAATTTTAAATGTATGTCTTGGGGTTCTGCTCTACCATTCAAATTTAAATAGTCTGCTTACATCTTTATCGTCTACACCTCTCAGCGTTTAAAAAAAAACCTGGATCATGTTCTGCCCTCAGTCTATTCTCCAATGAATGAGAAAAGTTTGAGCTCTGAAAAGCCTCTGTTAGTATGATTGAAGTTATCCGAACAACTCTTCTCTAAACCCTCTTCAACCTCTCATTGTCCTTTTGAAGGAAGGGCACTCACAACTCCGCACAATGTTCCAAATGTGGTATCAGCAGCAAAGTCTATATTGACGTATTGTCACATGCTCTTGAGTTCCGGCTGCCAAAAAAAACAACAGTTTGGATGTTTCTTAGAAGTTTCCTTACTCCGCACGCCTCTGTTTACCTAGCAGTAAGTAGGAACTTGGTTGTTAGTCGACTGGTGGATCACTTTTCCGGGGGTAATAATTCCTTCAAAATAATAATAATTTGGTCACTTCAATCCACGACTGTTTGTGGGACACTGCTGTGCGCAATTGGCTGCCGCGTTTCGCCCACAAAATATACAGTCAATTCACTTTGCAGTATATATATCCTGTGAAGTGCTTTGAGACGTCTGGAAGACGTGATAAGACGCTATACCAAATGCAAGGATTATTATTATTGTTATTTATCATTTTAATTAGTGAATCGGAGCATTACCACAACAAGCTTTGAGATCTGTTAGTACAGATGTGTCTACAGTTATCATTATAAAGCAACAAAGAGTTTACCTTCAGTCCATCAATTTTTTCAATGAAGCTATGACTGACAGATTCCAGTGCTTCCTGGGGCCATGCATGAAACCAATCAATGGCTGTACAGTTGACCAGGGCTGGAAACTTCCTTGCTCTTGTTCGAAGAGTAAAACCCACCGGTGAGAAACAAAGAACAACCTGAAAAACACAGATTTCCCCCATCCCAATTATATATATATTATATACATTATTATGGGAAAGGAATTAGTATGCACCAGGTTTTTAAAGCAACAGACAGTTTATCCAGGCTTTCCACAAGAATCAAATGATGATTAGAAGAGAGCTCTGCACTGTAGGGAGCATTATACATCAAAGACCGAGTGAGGTAAGGCAAAAATACCAATACTGGTAATCCTGTACTAAAGAAGATAATTTGACCAAGCAGTATACTCTGCAAAGACCACATTAATAGACTAGTTTTATGGGTATGGACTCCAAACACTATTCATAATGGACACCAGCCTGATGGGGAGACTGATGAATAGGCGTCTGGAGTACTTTAAATACTATAAGGGTAGCTTTGAATTGAAATTCCAAATCTGTTATAAAGCAGTCACTGAGGCTACGTACATTGCAGAGAAATGTAATCGAAAACATATGGGACTGGAAATGTTAAAGTTGTCTTTCCTCCCACCATTCTTTGCCAAGTAGCTTAAAATGCTGAGACAAGCTGTTATATTGCTTGGATTTCTGGGATGATGCATTGCCGCATCTCGAGGTGAAATTTTGCAGCGATTCATAACCAGTTTCTTGTGACATGGAATACGTCGTAATACGTTACAAATTTCACCCCATAGCTAAATATTGGATTCGTAACCTACACCAAACATAATTAATTCATGATTCACTTTTATATTACATTTATATTATATTTATTATTAATATAATAAATGTGTTATTTTCTTCTTATTATTATTTTATAATAGTCTTTGATCAAAATAAATATTCGTACATTAGCACAAGTTGGCAGGCCATTGGAGTGCATGTTACTGAGCAAACAATTTCATATTCTAAGGCTATTATTAACTGCCGACTTGACAGTACCTCTGAATATTCTGTGCCTGTTGCACTTGAGATTAACAGGAAAAAGGCATTTTTATGAAAAACTAAACACTTGAACGTTTGAATTTGATTATTCTCAAAAAAAAACCAACAAATGTTTGGCTTTCCTTGATCAGTTTCACTCTTTTAGTTGAGATATTGCAGTTATTATAATTCTTCAGCAGATAGCTCTAACAAGCCACAGTAAACACTACAGTTGAATTTCAATACTTAATGGTAAATGTTGTACTCATTACTAACTTAAAGAAGTTAAATACCAAGTTAAAAAAAATTCAAATTTTTCTTCAGTTAGTGTCATTTTGAAAATTTACATCCATTAGTTCTTACATTTACAAAATAATCTTACTATTGTTACGTGACTACATTACAGCATATAATAATAATAATAAAATGAATACACAACCCAAATTATAGATTTTTATAATTCAATAAACAAATATTTAAAGAGCTTTTCTTGGAATTTAAATATTAATAACAAAAAGCAATATACAGCCTAACCAATTCTATATAGGAATCGGTTGATAAAACGGGCTCTAAAGAGAAAACACCAAACATGGAAGCCGACCTTTAATTGTTGCTGGACTCGGTCAATAAAGAAATGCCAGCAGTTTTCTCTAGTGTCCAATAATCCAAGGCCTCGTAACTCCATTCTTATGGTAGATATAATATTGTCTGCTTCATCTTCACTGAACAAATCTGGAATATCCCCTGAGAAATAGCAATGGAGATATATATATATATATATTAATATAAATCATCTGTCCCCTTTAGTTTTCTACATAAGCAAGCAGCAGAAACCACAACAATATAAAATGTATGTTAACACAAGTAATAGTGAGTGAAGTGATATAGAAGATTACACTGAGACGTCATAATTTCAGGTATCGCTGCTAAGTCCAGGACACGCTGAAAATCCCTCTATTAAAAGATTCGGTGTGGGACAGTTACATTCTTAGCTTTGGGTACTTACTTGTCTGGAAGATAATTAAAAAGATGAGCAAAACCATAAGTTACTTATGTTATATAATGATGACAGTACCACAAATCTGTTGACCACAACCTGAAAAACACTTGTGCTTTTGTCATGCCATAACAATGGTTTGTGTCTGACGGCCCAAGTGAAAGTGAGTAACCATATTGAAAAAAGAATTCAAATAAATCATAAACTATTTGCCACATTAACTTTGTTACTTTTACACACCACATACAATCTACCGTATCGTGGACATGAGCTAAATGTTAACCCCGCGGATCTAACCCTGTCCTTTTTCCATCAGTGGAACATGGCTTCTTTATGCCCTACTCTGTGATGAGGAGATATCGCCAGCAACAATAGTTAATATGATGACAATTAAGAATGAGTTTTAGAGGCAAGAAAAGTTAGAGATAATAAGAAATTATGGAAATATCTTATCTTTGCATAATAGTTTGATTGATAAGGCACAAATATATTTTCTCCACCCATTATGATAATCAATATTACAATACAATTAACTGACTCAACCAATTGCATTTCACAGAGGACCCAGTAGCACAGAAAATATCTTACGTTTATCTCTTTAGGTATCTCCGTATATAACTTGCAATTCTATCCATCAAATTCATTCACTGGATGAATACTTGGCTATCAGTACAGTATTTTCAGCTTTTTTAACCCCGCTTTTGAGAAGAAACAATTCTAAACATGGATTAATATCCACAATAAAAAAATCTAGAATTGGATGAAACTCAAGTAATTTTGTATTTGTGATCACGAGTTCTTTCATCAAGACTCAAATATGTTTACACCTTCATTATCTGCCTCCTGCTTCATTTTAAGTTCCTTGACAATCTTCTTTCAGTAAAAATAAATTATATTCTGTGATTCTGCCTTCACAAGTTAAACGTGAAATAAAACAAGTACCTTTACAAAGCAGTGCTGGTATTTCTACAGAAAGCGTTTGTCAAACTTCATCACATTTGCACTTCAATCAGCTGTTTGTAAAATGGAAGTTTAGCACTGTCAAGTTTGGAGCAAGAATTATTTACGGCTCCTTCCCATATCATAGATCGTCAACTGATGTTAGCAAATAAGATGGTAGCTCTGACTTCCCTCACACAAAACATTTTTTACTAAACACAAGCATCAGTATTATTCTTAAAGCTGACAAATAGTTTTTTTTTCCCCCCTAGACTTAATTTACCCTTTAAAGCTATTAGTCTGGAATTACCCTCGTCATGCTTCTCTGAACTCTCTCCAATGCATTAACCTCATTCTGAAGGAAGGATGCCCAAAAGTCACATAATATTACACATGTGGCTTCACCGATGAATTATACAGGGTTATAATAGCCCATTTCAACTTAGAATCAAATGCCCAAGAGGTACATTCTAGTATTTCATTAGCTCAGTTGATAACAGTTTTCACATTCGCAAGGGATGTTTAGATGAAGATGGTCCTTCGACCCATTTGATCTCATCTTTGCGGAAATACTCATCATACAACCTTCCCACCATAAGATCAAGCAGATTCTTAACTGAGTCCTATGTCCTGGCCTTAAACACTCTCTCACAAAACATTCCAACTTGATTACCTATTCTCCATGTAAAACAAAACTTCCTGGCACCTTAACCTTGTCCTTGACAACCAGATTCTATGACCCCCATCTGCTTTGTCCCGTTGCCTTGGCATATATGGAAAAAAATAGTCATTCCACTTTGTAATGTATTCTGTGAAGAGCTTTGAGTCGTCTCAACAACGTGATAAGGCGCTATATCAAATGCAACGATTATTATGAAAAAATATTTTTTCCTCCAATTTAGTATCTCTTCAAAGAAGGTGATATCTCCCCCTTTGGAATCTGTGCTGGCTGTTATTTAACATATTATTTTCATACAAATTCAATGGCTGAAGTTAAGTAGCAATATCACCTGGTCATCAAACCAAGCAAAGAGTTGTAATAATAATAATAATAATAATCCTTGCATTTGATATAGCGCTTTTCACGTCTTCTAGACGTCTCAAAGCGCTTCCCAGAATATACTGTAAAGGAAAATGACTATATATTTGTGGGGGAAAAGCAGTAGCCAATTGCGCACAGCAATGTCCCAAAAATAGTCGTGGATTGAAGTGACCAATTTATTATCTTTTTGAGGGATTATTATCAGGCGTGTTTCCCCCTGCCGGGAATCGAACCCAGGTCTCTCGCTTGCAAAGCGAGTGCTCCAACCACTGAGCTGCAGAATTCCACAACAGGTGTGTAGGAAGTTAGTCATCACACCCGAGCTTAGGAATGAAGTCCTTAGGAAAACTGTGCTGTGCAAAAGTACCACACGGAGAAGTAACTGTCCTCGAAGTACTAAACTTTGGAGGCACATACTGAGTAGAATGGAGGATCTCTGGGACCTGCGATGCCATCATCAATTATAGCTTTGTTTCCTTCACCATTACTAATTTTTACATCTCTCCTTTGTTATTGTTCTTTGGAAAGATGCCATGTTACCAGAAATAGCATGCTTCTCCCAGCCTCTGCTTGTAGCTCTAATTTAATCAGCGTGAATTTGTTATTATTTTCTAATTTCAATGCTACAGCTCCTCGTGCAGTTTGTTTTATTTCTCGTAATTTTTTTTTATCGGAGTGGGTCGGACACCTTTTCCTCTCCACACTCTGTTATGGAGGCACAAAGATGGGGAGGCAAATCTGATAGGGATGAACGAGAAGAGATCAGGCCAAAGGGAAGGAGAAATCAAGAAACAGAACGGTAGGGAAAGCAATGAGGCGACAGAATCCAGCAATCAGTGAGGCAGAGGGAGTTATGTGAATCAGTCTGAGAAGGAATGTGAGCATGTAATAACAGCAGCAGCCTTCTTTTTGGGAACGCAAAGCTGGTCCCAGAGCGTGGAATCACCCAGAATTTTAAAGAGCACACAAGTGACATAATTAGTTTTCTCAGGATGCCTCTGAAAACGCACATCTGATTCACACCCAGCAGTGGGTGTTTCAGTCTATCCCCAATGACTTGTGCTTCTTTCTTTCATAAAACAGTTTCCTACTGGCAAAAGTATTAATCTCTGGTAAGGTTAGTCTTTGTAGCTGAAGAACTCCCTGCACAAAAAACTCAGATCTAACAATTGGTCAAAATTAAGTGTGGAAATGGAGCCTAATATGTCCACACATCGGAACTACTGGCAGCTTAATGAAGACTGGTACGTCAGTTTAGAGATAAATTGAATAAATGTAATCAGACCCTGGTTCTCTTTGAAACTCCCAGGGCTAAGCTTCTTCCATTTATTAGTAACTATATGTATAATTTGCCGGCATACCTCCCAAGTGACCGGACATAATTATGATATAGTTCCCTCCATTCTACAACAATTTTTTTTGAAATGTATAACCTGCTACATTATGTATGAGAACTGAAGCTCGTAATGTTGGCTGACACTACAGTGCTGGCGGAGGAAGTGCTGCATTTTTGGAGATGACATCCTTTAGGCGGGACATTAAAAACTACGGTTCTATCCGCCGTCCCAAAGGTTCAAGTTGATGTTAAAGATCCCTTTGCCAACCCGTTTTTTTTAAAAAAAAAGCAGAGTAAATGCTTATAATAATAACAATAATCGTTGCATTTGACAAAGTGCCTTATCACTCCTTCGAGACGCCTCAAAGCGCTTCACAGAATATACTGGAAAGTTAATTGACTGTATAGTTTGTGGACGAAATGCGGCAGCCAATAGTGCACACAAGCTAATGTGCCACACACAGTTGTGAATTGAGTGACCAAATTATTATTATTATTTTTTTTAAGCGATTATTACCCCCGGACACATTTTGAGACCTTTTCCTATGTGAATGGCGCTCCATAAATGCAATAAAATACTTATTGTTGTGGCTCACAACATTGTAATCAAAAGCAACCATGAGATGCTACCGCTCTATGAAATCTATGATTGAGCAAACTTTGCAAATCAGCAATGCTAAACATTATAAAAGTAATTTCTGAATAAATTCAGCATTTATTGATTGCGCTTAATTATGTTTCTCTTCCATATTTTAGCGGGGTTCACAAAAGGTGAAGTAATGGATGTTGTACAGCTAATCTTCTCGACCGACCCTTCACCTCTACTAATGAAGCCTATTCACTAATGCGGTGACCTGTGCTCATTTTACATATCGTATGTCGGATCTGTTTTAAGAATGAATATTTCTGTCAGATTCGTTATGCAGAAAATGTGTGTGCCGCTATTAGCAGAAGTATCAAACTGAAGCACTTATCTGAATTAAAATGATCCATTACCTGAAGCCAACATGTCGTTAATTAAAACCAGGAATCGTTCATCTGGTATTTGAGCATCGGTATGAAGGAAAACTGTGCCAATGTTCTTCACGCCGACTTTTATGTATAAAGCAGCAATGTCACTCTGTAAGTTAAGATGATGAGGGGGGAAAAGAAAGTATAATATACAAGCCAAAACTTGAAGACTGAATTGCTTTCAATTTGCTCCACTGGCATTTCTTACCCGGAGGTCATGAATGCCATAGGTTTTGCGTAGTGTAATCTGAAACACCTCCAGTGAACTAAGAAATGCTGCCAGATGACACAGGCTTTGCTTGCCACTACCTCCAACACCAACGAGAAGTGCATTGCCGTGTGAAGCCTCCAAAATCCGACTGATACGGCAGCTGTGTGTGTCAACAAAGTCGTCTTTTTTAGTGCCTTCAAGAGACTCAATTTCTGTCTTAAAAAAAAATCTAATGACCCACCGTTCAAAATGTGAAGTGTTTTCTCTAAAAATAAGAAGCAATTGGAAACAATTTCACTAGAAAGATACACCGCACTTCTGTAAAATGTTTGTGCATTACATGAGCTCATATAAAATTGGAGACTCTAAGTTGCCTTTGATACGTTTCGCGCATCGATGACTTAGAATGCAGCCGTTAGGAGTGCATTGACAGTTTGTGTGAGCCCAAAGGTAAAAAGGAAGAAAAACACAATCAAGTGAATAATATGTTACAAAAGAAATGCATCCTGAAGTGATTTTAAGCTTATAAACTAATTCAGGGTTGAGATGATGGCTGCAGATCACACGAGTTTTAGTTTCATATTCTGAGAAGTCATTTCAATGACATTCCCATATTTCAGTAACTGCCACATCGTCTATATATGTCCTAAATATGGTACTCCCCCAACCCCCCCCCCAAAAAAACACTTAATAGCCAAAATTCAAATGCAGGGGTTTTCAATGTATTTATATTCTACTATCAACAACAGAATACAAATAATAAACATTTTGCCAACGCTGTCAATCTGACAGGTGGAACATTTTGCGAAGGAGTAATAGCATGAGTATTAATTTCCGTTATTCTCCCATCAATTTTAGAAATTGACACAATTCAGCAATTTTCTTCAGGATAACAGTCTGAAATTATCTGACAATTAATTCTAGTGTAATGTGGTGGAGTGACCAGTCTTTGGAGGCCCCACGAGGCGTAGGAACGACCAATGTGGGGTATTCTTGGCGAGGACACAAAGAGAAACAGCCTTATTTTCTTCAAATAGTGTCACGGGATCTTTAAAGTCCAGCTATGTAGGTAGATGGGACTTTGGTTTAACATGACAATGCTAAACTCCAGTTCCCAATAACAAGCTGTGCGGGAGCAGAACAGGATTTAAAAAAAAATGCCATTGAAAGCAATTTTATTTGCAATATATTTAGCAGCACTGCACAAATGATAAGGATGCTCCCTGTAGTGTAGAATACGTACACGTGTTGCATGGCTTCCTTGAACAGGACAAGGTTCATCACTGCGTGCAGTTCATTATAATGATCCAAAGCATCAGTCAGAATTCGATGTAGCTTTTTCCAATCTGTTACTGGCAAATATTGAAGCTCCCCAACGCCTTTAGCAAAGTGGCAGTAAATCAACGGTTTTTGGGTAAAAAGGTGTTCGTCAAATCCCTAAAAGCCGAGATAACAATAAAATAAATCTGTAGCATCCAAGCAAGATTATAGTGTTCACATCTCTGAAGTGACATTTGCTCTACACCCTATCCTCAGGGCTTTTTTGAAATTAAATTAATTAGATTGTTGCCATTGAAAATAATACAAGATTCACACGCTTGATGAACGATTTAAGAATTCCCATCAGACTTTCTGAAAGATAAGAATAGGTAAGAACCGGCTTTTGAAAAAAATACTTAGAAATAATATTTTCTATTGAACAACGATTCAAGAGGGAGTGAATAGAAATCAAGTAATACTGAATTATATTAAAGCAGCAAAAACTATGTAAAGAGGATTTCAAGACCTGATTAAATTATAAAGTATTCCTGTGGTATTAAACGTTAATCTTCAATTCTGTATAAATGCTCAATCTACACAATATAATAATATCAAATACCCCCCCCACACACACACCCAAACAAAATCCTCTATCTTAAATTTGGGTCATACCTCAAAGTATCTTTTTGTGGTTTCAATAAGAATTTTGTAAAAGTGTTCAATATCTTTTTCTTCCATAAGTTTGTCAGCATAGACTCTGGATGATTCATGAAGCCATAAATGAACTAAATCTATAGGCAGCCCAACACATTCTGGGGTTGCAAATAGGATACCCTTGAAACAACAAAATGTCAAATAATTATCCTTAAGCATAAGTCATAACTAGGCATCATGTTTAAAATGTGTCAATTCATATTATGGGTGTTAAATAAATAGTTGGTTAAATTACACGTGATTAGGTTGCCTTTACAAATATATTTAAAGTACAATAAAGTCATAAACATGTTTATTACACTTAAATGTGCTACTATTATTCCTATCATAGAGTACTTGAGTTTTTTTTCTATTTCCACCCCTAACAGGTGTTAAATTCCTTCGTTGAATAAGTACAACTTTGACAGTCTGGTTGTAATGGGAAAACCCCAAAAGTAAATACAATCAAAGTTATTATATTGAGCCAATTCAATATGTTCTACCAGGAGTTTGATTAAGAAGCCCACCACAGAGTTTATCTCTTACATAACATAAGAAAGGCCACCGAGGTGCATCTAGTTTACCTTCCAACTTCCTGGCAATCACATGCACATATGTCCCAAACTACCTGTGCACTGTATCCCATAATGTTATTTCCTAAACAAAAATCTATAATATCTCTTGCTGTCAAGCTGATGATTTAGTTTATTTTCTCCAGTGGTAACAATGTCTGTTACTCAGGTTAAGGATTCCAGCAAATGTTTGTCACTTAAAAATAAATACATTTAAATAAATGCAAGTCCTGCATTAACAGACGTTCGTGAAGACCATCTAGATTAATCGTCGATATTAAACACCTGAGTTATGAAGAGAAGCCAAGAAAGCAGGAAATGTTCACATCAAAAAAGCTCAGCAGGGGTCGTATCGAAGTCTTCATGTTTTTAAGGGTATATATATATATATATATATAAATTAAAAAGCTTAGCACTAATATATTTAACAAGGACAAAAATCGGGGGCACAGGCTCGAGCTTAATAAATGGAAGGTGAGCAAGCAGACAGTTTAATTACTATACACAGAGAGAGCGGTGAATAGACTACCAAGTAAGGTGATGTAGGAAATAATGCCAGAAAATTCAAGGAGGGATTATGTAGCTATATGGCACAGAAATTGATCACTGGCTACAGTGCAGGATTTTTTAGAGGAGCTAGTCAGGTAAATCACAATTATCATCATTTCTGGTCTTGTACAGTCCTATGAACCTATACCAATGTATTTTTGCAATAATGTAATGTCAGCCTTTATGTCTCAGCTTTTGGTTTTGTGTGCATTCATATTTCATTGTGTAAATAATAAGTAATCAAATTCCTTGCAATGTAACCTGAACAATTATTCAGTGAAAATGCCAACAATAATTCCCCAAATGTTTACATCCCAATCATGTATGTTCATTTGTCAAATTGGATTTATAATGTGCAAGTACGAAGGTTAACAGAATATCCACTGGCACATGCAAAATGTATTGACCATTAATATATGATAAACATATAATAATATAATGAATACAATTATTTTAATAGCTTTGCAGTTTAAAAAGCCTGCTTTGCAAGGACAATATTGAAGCTATTACAGTTGGCTGAGCCAGTTTTATGAACTAAGTTAAAGATAACATCAAAATGGTAGATAGATATACCTGGAAAATGTTGGATAAGTCTCGCAGGTTGAAGATATAATGGAACCTTATTGCTGTGGGTAGGAAATTCTGAGTCATTTTCTGATGAAGACAGATTGCAGCCTGAACCAGAGTGTTGCCAGCTTTCATCACACTGTAGCTGAAAATGTACTGTTGGAAGTGAGCATCGAGAATGTTGCTGTATATGGTCGTCAATGCATCTGCTCCTGGGAAATTGACTGCAAATACAGAGAAATGTCTCTGCAAAGCAACAGAAAGATTTAAACAAAAATGCAAAATCATCCAATGTCAGTCACATATTTGAATAAACCAGCAATGTGAACCTCCCGACATGAAAGGTGTAATAGAAATATATATATATATATATAGAAATCTATATTATAAATCCTTTCATCTCTCAAGTCCTGGAATGTGTTGTTGCCAACCAACTTCACTCACTCACACCTGAGACAAAGCTCATCAAAGTCACAAATAACATTCTCTCTCTCTGGTCATAGTCCTGGACCTCTGCGCTGCCTTCAACAGAGTCAACCAACCTCCTCGACCACCTCAATCTCTCCTCCTTCATCCAACTCAGTGGGACCACACTTTCCTGGTTTGAGTCCTATTCGTTTTTGGTGGAAACACTTGGTGAAAAATTAAAACCCTTTTAACTTCTGAGTAAACAACGTTTTCTTGCCACTTACTTTCTTTTCAGCAATTTCCATTTATGGACCACGGTCCAAATTTCCTGAATTTGAAAATATGCCATTTGAAAAATACTTTTATTTCAGGATTTAATACCGAAGTATACATTACAGCAGTGTGTATGCATTATCAACTTCCAAAGTGTTATTCCTGACGGCATTGGCGTTTCACTACATAAACATCAAAACATTGTGTAAAGCAGGTTTATTTGAAAATCCTACCTGTAGACGTGCGTTGATAGAAAAGCTGCCAGCAGTAGGATTCATACAAGTAATGTATTGACAATTGTGAATTTCTTTCAGTACCAATTTTTGCCTGTCATACCTGATTGGAGAAGATAAAAAAAATCAAATTATTCAGAGTTATAGCATTTTAAAGATAGTATTGATACAACTATACTTCTCGAGTTTATCTAAATTCAATAATTGTTAGAAACTGCACAACGATAAGCTAATTGGACCAGTGAAAGTTGACCAGACTTGAAGTACTGGATCATTTCTTAAGGTGAGCTGCTAGAAATCTGATGCCCAGTTTTGCAAATTGTGCATTTGATATACAAAGACACACACACACACACACCACAGTATTATCAATAGCATCTCAATCACTGTCAAACTAAAACAAAATAAAGCTTATAGAGATCCATTGAATGTCTTTAACAGTGGCTATAGTCAAGGTGGTGTGGATACATTTCTGTGATCAAATGTAAGTAAATGCTGTATAAAATATAAAATATCAGATATTTGTAGGGTTTCTAATGTACTTTGAAATTGCAATTGACTATTTTTTATTTTGATTTTAGATTCAAACTCAAGTTTGTTTCCTTTTTGTGCACATATTTTTGTCCCTTACATTTCTCACTAAAAACACTGCACACTGGAAATAGATAAGACTTACCAGTGACTGTAATCAAGGTGTTGTCTTATTAGAGTATGTGGTTGAACAGTACCATAGGTATCTACTTCAGGCATATTAAGATCATCAATGAAATAAATCAGTCTTTTTGTGCCTGGAGGAGCATAATTTCTACCAGCTTTCTTTTCCAATGGTTTCTCGAGCACTCCTAAATGTATCAAAGAAAAGATGAAATTGTAGTGGTGAGTTTGGAGAACATGTAAAATAACCTAAATCCTACTCTTATCAAATGCAAAGTAATTAATTGATAAGTAACTATGACAACTGAAGCCTACAGAAACTGTTCTGATATTAAAATAAAATTGCCCTAAAAAGTGAGTAACGTGAGGTTAGAAAAACCCCGACAGCCTGACAGTGGATAATATTAATTTAATGCAACATGAAAGAACTGCAGACCAGAATATGAATTCCTACCTCTGCTGATACTCTGACAAACACACAGAGGATATTTCCTGGTGTGTATTTGATCTCAGATCAGATGTCAAGTGCAGCTAGAAGTTGAGCTAGTTAGCTGGGCCAAAGACATAGGACAGTAAAAATAGCAGGAAGGAAAATGGTAGTTCCAAGGAAAACCTCTTGTTTACGGAGAGTCACTTGACACGGGTGTCATTGTGATGAGGGTATAAGACACTCGAGAATAATATTTTTGACGTTGGGTAAGGATATTAAGGGATGTGGGGCAAAGGCGGGTATTTGGAGTTGAGGTACAGACCGGCCATTATCTAATAGAATGACAGAACAGGCTTGAGGGGCTGAATGGCCTCCTCCTGTTCCTATGTCCCTATGACCTGAGCCCCAAAGGTGGCATTTAATAAATACGAAGTTTCCAACTGATAATAATACTGCGCAACCGCGCAGCAAAACACATCTCTGTTTAAAGTACACAATTAAGAAATAGAAGTATCAACCAGAAAGAAGACCCACAAAATAGAGACAATTACTGGAGACATACGGTGACATCTACTATACATTTTCAGAGCAGGTTTCTAGACATGGAGCATTTTAACAGTTTCTTTCTCTCTCTACTTCTTGAAAATCTCTACAAAATACTTACTCTGGAGCATGGCTGATGTTGTATAGTAGTTGAAAGGCACATTAATCACCATATAATCCTCAGGTAGTTTCGAAACCTTTTCTGATACAAGAACAGTCTTTCCCACTCCGGCATTTCCAACAAGCATTACTGGCTTCCGCTTTTCCACGAGTAAATCAATTATATATTTCAAGCAAACTGTTTCTGCCGTATGAACCAGTATGGCCTAGACACAGAAAAGAAAAAAAACACACACGGAAATATAGGAATGATCTTACTAGAACATTTTTTTCTGTAGGTTATTAAAACAATGCCCACAAAACCTAATTGCTTCCAAGTAAGTTATAAATCCAAAATTTGAAACCATAGTGAACATTACTAGCCAACAGATCAGATTCACATGGGACACATTATTCAGCATTTTGTATTTTATATGTAGCACAAGAAAGGTGTGTTATAAAGAGGTGTTTGATATGGATTATCTATTAGTGCAACAGCCATAAAAATGAATGTTATATTAGAGGTCATGATATCAGAGCTCCTTGAACACTAAGATTATTGCAATATTTTAGGAAGTCAAACCTGCTTTCACCATTTTAAACCCATCTGAATAAGTTATAACGTTCCTTTTAGAAACCTAAAGTAAATTATATTTGAATTATAATTAATATCTGTAGATCTGTTAATATATCCTGGGTAATGGGGAAAAGATACACAATATATTATTGATATAAGCCCTAAATATAAACCCTAAAATTCTAGAAAATGTATCTTATTCTGTAAAACAAACAGAACAGAATTGTTAGAGAATGAATACGATATTAATCTTGTGCTATTTAGGGAAATAAAGAGATGTGGGGAAAAGTGCTGCGTTAAAAGAAATGACATTAAAATAATGGGCATCTACCAACAACATTGTCATGGTCCAGGGAAGACATTTTAGTTCCGTTTTCTGCTGAATTTATCTGGTTATTGATGTACAGTATTTTGCTTTTCGCTAGTTAAATCACAAGAGTTATCAGGTAGCAGTACTAACAAAGGCTCTTGTTAGCCTGAACCTTATTCTTTCCTTCTGCAGTGAAGATCATATAAGAGTAGCTAAAACAACACCAGTTTCTTTAACGTTTGAAAAAAAGCAGAAACAATGAGTAATGAGATGTGGGTGGACATTCTGAAGGCAGTGCCTAAGAAAGCTAATCTGTAATAGAAAAACTGCTATTTTATTTGAAATGTTTCAAAGTTTTTTTAAAAATTGCAGTCTTTTTTATTTATTCTAATGAAGAGCATTAGCAATGAAGTCTTGCGCAGAGGTAAGCATTGATCACATCATTAATCACACATCATGGACAGTCACAAATCAAGTTCTAACAGCAAGCAGTGAATCAGAGGCAATGAAGCATAAACTCCTTCACAATTTATGATCTCTCAAATTGCATCTTTTCAACCATTAAATTGCAAGATACCATAAATTTTTATCTTCTTCACTTCAGTCACATTATTGATTCTGCCTGGTGGAATATAGAAAAGCAGTAAATCTCCACTGTTGAATTAAATTTGAGTCACTTCTCGGAAAAGAAACTTAAGAGAAAGATCAAGGCTGTTAATTCACACTTAGGAACAAATGATGGAAACATTAAAATTTAAATAGACAACTGGGATTTGAAAGAACCACATCAACACCAATTCTAAGTCATCATCAACCTTGAATTTTTAAGTAACTGCACTTTGTTATGCTGAATTCCATGTCCTACCTCAAAGAAAAGCAACATGTAATAAGGTGACATTTAGTTGGCTGTATGCCAATAAGGCATTACTTAATCTTTGTTTGAAACAACTGAATAAGTCATTTTATTCTGTGTGAATATTTTTTCATTTCACGGCATTACTTTACCTTTAAGGCTGCTCTGTTAGTACCTACCTGTAGAGGGGCATCTGGCTCCATTTCAAAATTTGGTACTTTTTCCGTCCACGGAGTGAATTTTTTAGTGTCAGGGTCAACAAAATAATCAAAGACTGTCCCTTGAGATGGGAATTTGATGGCTCTCATTTTTTTTGTCCACCATTTACTAAACTCCACTCGGTAATTGATTAGCTAGTTAAAGAAAAAAAGTGTTTACCATTAATATTGCAATGATTCCGTTCATCATTGCTGCTATATAGACCAACTATCAGATAGCCCAAAGGAAAGCCACCATCAAGTTCCTCCTTCAATATAAAATAAGAATTATACGGAACAGAAAGGGCATTTGACCCATCAAGTTGCTCCCTCCAAAGGATATGCAAATCCTATCCATCACCTCATCTCACCCAGTCTATGGGGAGAGGAATGCTATGCACAGAGATTCCCTGACCTTCAACATCACAGTCATCCAACTTTACAACTCCATTCTTCATACATGTCATCCTTCCTTCCACAGTCAACATTCTCTTCCCCTCCAGCTCTAATAACACAGAAATCATCTTCGATGAAGCATTTCTTTATCTCAATCTGTACATGTCACTACATGACAATCTGTACATGACACATGGCCATTATGGTCCTCAAGCAGATACTTATCCAGTTACTCTTCTAAGGAGTTAATTAAGTTGGCAACAAGCACTACTATTGAGTGTGTTCACATATACAATCATTTGTGTAGGGAAAAGAAATCTTCTCAATTCTTGTCTTGTTCAGGAATTGTACTGCTTAAACCTACGCCTTCCTTCATGGTCTAATGAAATCTTACATCAGCATTATCAGTGCCTTTTCATTGTTTTGAACTCCTGAAATGGCCGTTGGTTCAAATCTTTTTTTGTCATGAGAACAAGTCAGCTTTGTGAGCCTCTCCTCATAAATCTGAGTTCATCCTCGTTACCCAGCCTTGCAGGAATCGATGTTGTAAGCCATCTGATGTCTCCAAAAGTTGGTCTATTTTTTTAAGCACGAAAACAGCTGGTGCACAGAGAGCGAACTGGCCATTTGCGCCAATGTGAAGTGATTGTGATCCACAGTGTAACCTCACGGTAAGCAAATCAGCACTATGTTGAAGCAAGTTACAATTGGGTTGCAATGGCAAACATCAAGTTGAGTTTTCAAAGGGCTCATCCTGGGAACTTTGGACAACTTGTCTAGTCCATATTCATATCCGTAACACAGACAAAATACACAGCTGGTTTACATTCAGAGCTGTCACAATTGGGAGTACAACAATGTCAATGTAGCTTATGATTGATTGGCTGAACACATTATTTTGATCAAGGATTAAAATACTATTTAAAAAAAACTATTGAACTCATTAACACTCACTTGATCCTGCAATAGTGCTCCACCAAAAGCCCAAACACAGGCAAATACAAAGTATATCTCATAGATGTCACGAGTGGGGTCAATGGGGATATTTTCTGGTGTTAGAAGACAATCCAAGAGGGAACACAAAGTCTGCAGAGTCAACACAAATAAGTTTTGTAAAAGAAATAGTTTTGTGAAACCCAATCTAAAATTAAATTTCAAAAGTACAACATTACCCATACAATATCCTAATAATTCACGATTGTGCAGAAATGAGAATAATGTCATTATTCCTTGTCAAAGGAATTTTGCTATTGAAATCAAATGAACAGTAGGAATCTAGAAGTGACACCAGCATTCTGTATGGCAAGGTATTTATAGCAAATACATTCTTAAAAAATCAGTTGTTTAAAGAAAATGGAAGATTTCTACATCACGGCTGAGCTGAAAATATTCTTTCCTACCTGTACCATACTGCTTTCTGGAACTGGAGTAATAGTTTTAAGATTACATCGTACTTGCTCCAGACAGAAAGGAACATATTTGTCAAACAATATGGTCAGATTAGCTCGCTCTGACTGTGCGCTGCGAGTGTCAATCCAGCTGGTGACGTACCTAGAAAATAAGTCGTTTCAATTATCTTTTACACAAAACGTGTAAGGAAACATTCGTCTGATTTACAAGGAGTAAAACACTCATGGCCCAGTGACTTACGGACTCCAACCTAAATCCTGTGGGTTGACGTAAAGTATCCCGGCTCTGGATACCGTAGCGGGAGTGGCTGCCTGTAGGTGACTGACTTCAAACACCAACCGCATGGAAGATGTTAAAGATATCCGCTCATTGCTGGCTAAAGTTAAGACCTAGAAAAACAGGGGGGGGGGGATAAAGATTGTTGTTAAAACCTTCCATTTCTTTTCTATTCTGTTTAATTCTTTTACTTACTTGTTTTAAAGGCTGTACACCTACATATATATATTATACATACATTTATATAAATTTATATAAAACAGGGTGGTCTAACCTTTTGACTGCTGAGGGCCAGATGTCCCATTTGAGCGACATCCGTGGGCCACATAAGCAATATTTTTGTGTTTCCCTTCCAGAAACATAACAATTCCGGGTTATGGAGGGAAAGGGTGGGCCAGATGAAATGGAGTGAGGCGGGGATGGAATAATTTTATTGTTTTATACTGCGTCTGGATGAAGGTAACGTAATACCAGTTGTTTATAATGAGTCCACTTGGAGAATAAATGATTAATATAGAGTTAACATCTAACCTTGTTGTCATCCATTACTGTATTAAGTGACTCTATCCACATCGGGTCAATATCTCCATCTAAGACAATCCACTTTGGACCTTTGTGAGAAATGCTGGAAAGTTCTCTCATAGTTGTTGAAAACAAACCTATTCATTCATGGAAAGAAAACGATTAAAGCAGAGTCTTCATTACTGACGAAAGACCCTTCTTTACAGCTATTCTGGTTAGCTGAAAATAGAGCTGCCTTGTATTAGTTAAGGCAACATTGTGTTTACTAGTATTTAATATTGTCAACATTAAATCAACAAATGGACGGGGTCAACTTATTGAATAATTCAAGATTACAACATGAATACTGCACGAATAAAGAGTCAGAATTTGCAATATATTCATTCAAAGTCAATTCAAATAGAATTCACCACCATCTCTGTTGCTATAAGATGCAAAGATGAGGTTTCTAAATTTTATGAAACTTACCGTCCTTCCATTCACGTGTAGCAGGATGCAAAAATCCAAAAAGTTCATCGGTTGTTACCGCCTTGGGGTTTATATCACACCATATTGGTTTTAACTTCATCTTGGCACAAGTCCTATGAAGAGTTCTTAATATCTGTTAGTATCATAAACAATGAAATCTTGATGAAGAGGTTCTGGGGGAAAAGGTTTGCACAATTTTTAACTGCTCTCGTCAGTGCACCTGAACTCAGTCAATCCAGACAACAACCTGCCTTTATATAGCGCCCTTATATGTCCCAGAATACGACCACAGAACACATTTGGTGGCAGTATTCAGGAAACCCATTCGGTCTTTTAATTAATGAAATCTACATTGCAAGTCGTCTGAATTTTCACATACTGAGTGATCACACATTTCAAATTCAATACAGTGTGGTCGCTATAGACAGAATTGGATATTGCTAATCAAATAATGATATCTACTTTGAAGCATTGTTTGAGATCAAAGAGAAGATACAGCATTTGCTGAGAACATTCGAGCATTCGTGAGTGGACTGAAAATATTTCACGCAGTGATTAGTCCAACAGCTGATGCAAAAGAGACTGGTCAACATAGGATTTTTTGTAAGATTTAATTTTGAATACTCTTTAATTCTCTTCGATATTGTCTTTGATGGGTGTGTGTTATCCAGTTTTATCTTATTATTTAGATAATTATTTGGGGAGATACGTTTGCAGGGCTTTGGGGAGAAAGTGGAGGAGTGGGGTTGATTTGGAAAGCTCTTTTCAAAGAACCGGCCCAGACACGATGAGCTGAATGGCCTCCTTCTGTGCTGTATAATTCGATGATTCTATGATTTAATAGTTAATATGATTATCATCTCAGTTAATAAATATTTTGATTTAATACGCTGAAGTCTGTGTTAATTGAGGAATGTTCCCATTTGACAATATGGTGTTACAGGCTAAGATTAGGTAGAATCGTATGGCTCACTTGCCTGACTTTTGCCCGTTCCAGCATTTCCTACGAGAAACACTGAATGACGCACAGCCAAAAGCTCCTCGAGTTGTGTCACCTGTAAAAGAGAAAGCAAATACAACATTTCTAAGAATTTTCACCTAAACCTTTTATGGATTGCTGTGTATAGCAGTTAATCATTAAGGAAATGACGGATCACAAAGCTATCGAACGCAGTAGATTGAGATAGCATGTTGATAGCAAGTTGATATTGTAGATGCTCAAGAGTGCAAATGACCAAATGTCTTGCCCTACCTTAAAACAAACACATGCGAAACTTCAAACAAGCCTGGTTATTTGTTTTAATCAATGTGAACAAAAGAGGGCAACTTGGCTAACAACAAAATCAGGCGGGTAGCTCATCCAGATTGATTCAATGAGCCTGTGGTATCAACACACTGCACAATTTCAAACTGTAGCATGATAGAACATCATAACTAGAATATACTCAAGCTCGGACTCTCTTTCTCTCTATAGTGACCTCCTCCTGACGTCAAAGGCGCTAAACAAATGTAAGTTGTTGTTTGTTGTTAGTGGTCTAGAAGACGTGTTAATTAAGACATTAAGACGTGGATTATTATAATTATACACTCATAAATTAAATGCATTAGAATGAGAATCAAAAACATTAGACAATGACTTGCCGACTCATTTTCGTACCACAGTGCTGTAGGTTCACCTGCAGTTTGAAATCTATACAGACTTTTTTGTTCAAGATCATTTTGATTCCCGAGCAATTAAAAAGCTTGCTATTGCAGCGATAATTAAAACTGGTCACGATGAGAATTTTGCTAATGAAGAGATCGTGTCATTTCATATCCCCGAAACCCATTTCCAATTCCTAAACCACAGGCAAACGGATGGAAAATCTTTTTGTTTGAGGTGCTAATCAAACAGTAAGAAAAAAAAAGCTGTTTCGACCACGTTCAGTTTAGAACCAAGTTCAGTATAAATAACATTTTGTTAGCTTGTTCGAACAATTTGACAGAGTAAAGACATTAGCCAGCTGTTAGATGTGCTGATCTTGGTACACATTTAAGAGTGAACATTACAGCCTCTAATTAGCTCATTTGGATTTAGGATAAACTAAGCATAAAACTATTATTTCCACCTTTAATGTGAAGTTTTCCTCCGCCTGCAGGTGCAGTTCTGAAATGGATTGACGCACCATCTGTTCCAAATCTGGGTCTCTTTTCCGCTCTACGTCCAATGCTGGGAAAAGATCAGCGATCAGACCCAGGAAAACAGGGACATCGTTGGTAACAATTTTGGGCAAATTGAAATCCCTCAAAGCACGCATCAGGACCTGTAAAAGAGCAACGAGCAGTAGTAAAACTAACAAGACAAAAACATACAAAAGACATTCAATTAACAAACATAATTAGAGAATTATGCTGCGTATGGTTTGTTAAATCCAATCTGTTAAAGACAAAATTATTCTTGGCACACACACAGGCCACCTCCCAAATTTTAGTGCCATAACAACTGAAGCACTTTTTTTATTAAAAAGTTAAATTGCGTTTCCTATTCACTCCATATACAGGCAAATTGGATTTATAAAGCACAGTGGTACAATAGAATTTTTCTTTTGCAAATCAGTATTCATTGGTTTTGAAATATCACAACAATTTCTAGTAAAGAGAAACGTGAATGTTATCGGAAAAAACACAAACGTTTGTGGTCGGAGAATATTTCAAAAGCACTGTAAAATGACAAAATAGCATTCAATATCACACAGCTTTGCCCATCATCAACTGGACCTTTCCAAACAAAACCTTTTATGGTTTAAGTTTAAAATAACACAGAAAAACAAATGCAACTTATTATAGGCCCCATTTTTCATGAATTGCCGTAGGAAAGTGCAGACTCTCACAGAGGAATGGCACTACAATGCTCACCCAGTAGCAAGCAATCGCATTTTCTGACCTATTAATTGTTCAGCTAATAGGATATAAACAGAATACTTAAACATGGTTATAGTTTATGCTTCTCATGTGTAGCTCTTCATATAACTCTTCATTTGGTCAGCCTATTCATGGAAAATAATAATAATAATAACTCTTGCATTTGATATAGCGCCTTATCACGTCGTTGTGACGTCTCAAAGTGCTTTTATGATACAACTCGTAGAACCTCAGCTACCTGTTCCTCAGGTCTGTTTCGATCTCCTCTCTTCAGCGATCCAGCGACCACTAAGACAGATTTTATAGCTCTAAGACCCCAGTCATAATGATCCTACAGGATGACAAAGGAACTCGATATGAAGCAAATCAAGGAAGGAAACAAAAAGTGCAGCAAATGTCTTTCTGACCTGGGAATTTAATCTCTACAATACAGTACCTGCTTTGACAGGAGCTCACGGCAGAGTGTGTAGAGACTTATGAACTTTCTGGCAAGTAGCCTGGCATCTAAGAATCCCTCTGCCACCAACATTATTTCGCAGATTAACTCAAAGTCTGGGATTACCATAGCGCAAGGTCTGCCAAATGTGATACCAATGGCAAGTTACAATATCTCGGTAAAATTGGAAGGATTAAATCAATCAATCAATCAATCAATCAATCACAATATTTTGTGCTAATGATAACTATTGGATTAAATCACAAAACTCAAAAATCAGAATGTACGGTCACCAAAAGAGCAAGACCACCCTCAAGCATGTAGGGGAGGAGAGAGAAGAGAATCACACAATTTTGGGCCATTCATCGTATCAGGAAACATAAGCAATCGCTAAGAAATATACATCTCAGTGCTTTCATTTTGAAGGTTAGACTAGACAGTTCTAACATGTTCAAGGTAACAATCCACTCAAAACTTTTCAGCCATTCAATGAAACGTTTGAGGAAAGTATTTATCAGCACATACCTAAACAGAGCTTTAAGATTCTCAGGTAGCTCTGCTCTCCCTGCATAACCAGGATTTAGAGTAATAAATATGCCAACAGACGGTTTCAGTTCGATAACTTCTCCTAGAAAATAAAATCTATTGATGCAAAGAAAAAGGTCATTCGAATAAACTGGAGCGAATGGAACTTCCGTGTAATAAGAGTTACATACATCAAATATTGCTATACCTCTTTTTCTTGTTTCTAATTGCATCTTGAATAGCTTTCACTTGTACGGCTACAACAGAAAGAACTTCCACAGAAATGCGATTGAATTCATCAAAACATCCCCATACTCCAGTCTGGGTGAGACCCTTATAGATATTTCCTATGGACTAATATTGCACAAGAAAACAATTAAAAAGCTCTCTAAAGATCACACCCTTGGATCATATCAAACTAGAGTAACTGTCACAGTAAAACATGTTAAATGAACAATGAGTATGGGAATCATTACTTGAATCAGTCTCAGAGATGAAATACAATGTTTTACATACTTTAGGTAATAACACATTTTACCTCGCACCAACACGTTAGTGCCATAAACCTCAACTAATCAAACGAGTTCAAGAGGGAAAGTGGAAAAAAATTGGCAAAAAAGAAAGATAAATAAAGATAGCAATTTCATTTTCGGTCTTGAGAATTTCAATTCACAGTTCTGGCTCGAACCTGATTACCTTGTAATCCATCTGTTCAGAGCAGTTGAAAACATATACCATAATTCCCAGAGAGCGACCGAGATCTTTGGTGGTCTCGGTTTTTCCAGTTCCCGCAGGTCCTGATGGTGCTCCACTCATTGTCAAGTGTAAGGATTGGGTCAGGGTAATGTAACATCTGAAATCATTAAAATGATAATGATGTTATGTTTCCAGAAATATGACATTATATGATAATGCTACCTATCCACATCACCGACATTTTGCTTAATTAACCATGTTGGCCTGAAAAAAACAGTCACTGCCTTCAACAAAAGATATTGTAAAGCTCTTCGAGGAGTTTGACATATAAGGCATCGTGAAAATTATTATTTTCTTTCTTGCCGGCTTTTTTTTCGGGATTTTTTTTCTCAGTCGAATTCGGTTAGTTAAAAACTGAATAGGCAATCGTGGGATAAGCCTGGATATTTTCCCTTTTGGTTCTGATGTTGAATGTAGAATTGTGATCATTAATAATAATAATAATAATAATAATGATCCTTGCATTTGATATAGCGTCTCATCATGTCGTCAAGATGTCTCAAAGCGCTTCACAGAATATACTGGAAAGTGGAGTGATTGTATATTTTGTGGGCGAAACGCGGCAGCCAATTGCGCACAGCAGCGTCCCAGAAACAGTCCAAATTATTATCATTATTTTTCTATCATATTCAAGAGCTGTGAAGTTCTTCAATATAAAAGCCTCGGAAGTCCATGCAACGTGTATCTCATTAAAACAACTAATGAGTCCAATGAACAGACATGGAGGAACGGGCGAGAAACACACAGGAAACAAAGTCTGTACCATCACAATGGGAATATTTTTGTAAACCACTGAACAGATGACACAAAGCAATATGGAAATTTACTTCTTTCACAATAACATCTGATTTAGAGTTCTGTTCTGGAGATTTGTATGCATCTGCATTTTAAACTAGATGGCCCCATTATGCAACTGTTCTATTCAGATGCTGTCGAACCACACATTACCTACCGTCTGTGATGAATGAATGGTTTCTGAAAACAATACCTCTATGTTGCACAAAGTAGCAAGGAAAGAAACACAAAGGATATTCAATAACTTATTCTAGTGCACGTAAAAAGAAAAGATCCTTGTTCAAATTGGTCAACTGAGAAAGGAGCTATCACACTAAATTTACCAGGACCACACGATGTACTAATATATAGAGTCGGTCGACTGATGCAAATAGTTATACCCCAACTTGGTTTGTTGGCACGGCAAAGGTATTAGTACTCAGAACCGTGAGGTAGGCATCGAAACCTTTCTTTTAAAAAAAACTTGTTAAATAGCAAACCGCAAAGGTGATCATACGTTAAATAAAATATGTAGCGCAAGATATAACACTCCAAAATGACATCAACTTTTCCGCTTACGGGTGTTGTTTCACTCAACAATCCCCAAACATTATAAATTACTGCGAAGCTCAGCAAACAAGTAACCCGAAAGAACACAGGGCTCGAGAAAAAATGTCCTCACCTATCTGTGAGAGGGGTAATTACAAGTCGAGGTGTGTTACCAAGATACTCGTATGAATACTGAAACTGGGCATCACAAATGTTAACAAAGCAATGTCTCTGGCTCTCATTCCACCTGTGCCTCAGTTGCGAGAGCCAGACAAATGCCTGACTATTAGTGACCTAATAAGAGAGAAAAAGGTTGAATATTCTATTTGGACAGTTTCAAAGTATTTTAAATACAGTAGACTTTTTTTTAAACCAAAGTGAAACAAGATTGCATTATCACACTCTATTCCAAATAAATGGCTCTGCGTTCTCGGAAAACAATTTCATGTACTTTCCATCCTTTCAAGAATAAAACTGAATATAAGCCTTGTGGCCAAACAATGTAAACGCTTGGAAAATTTCCTGCAACAACATGTCTATTGAGAATATTCTTTGCAGTAACCATTTGCAGGAAGAATGCATTCTCCAAACTGCATTCCGGAGTCACAAATCTTTTACAAATGATGTGATAAGAACATAAGAATTGCTGGACCAAGATCCGTCCAGTTCGCCTTCACGCGTTATGTCCCAAACTGTATACTGTATCCCGAGATATTATTTACCAAGGGAAATCTATCTAATTTGTTCTTGAAAGAATCGACACTTCCTGCTTCCACCGTCTCCCTGGGGAGTTTGTTCCACGTGTTTACTACTCGCTCTCTGAAGTCGTGCTTCCGTAGATTTGTTTGGAATTTCACTCCCCTTCGATCGCAGGCCATGTCCTCTGGTTCTACTGTTCAGCACACGATAAATCGGTTTAACATGATCTACATTAACTATATCTGCTCCACTGCAGCACACCTTCTTGTCGCATGTGTTCTGCTCAATTCCAGAGGAAATGGATTCGGCTGTTAAGAATAATCTGCGGAACAGTGCTGAGCTTAGGAGAAGCATCTCGCAGCTAGGTGTGGGGTAGGAATGAGGCACCACTTAAAAGGAAATGAGGGGAAAAAAATTCTCCCAGCTCCATCTAATTTATGCATATGCTGCATTCAAACATCTTAATCACCATCTGTTATTTCATGACTGTGTACATGCTAAAAATCTTAATGGATGGAGAACAATTATAGTTGGGTTCATCTGTCCAGTAGGTAGCATTCAGAGTCACTTTAAGGCATTTATTATCGTGCAAATACAGTAAATACAGAGCAGATCCAGGATTTGTAAAACGAGAAAATATAGATTTTTTTAAAAATACAGTACGGCAATCCAAATAGGTTATGTGCAGCATGTAGTGTATATATGAGAGAGCTAGTTCAGCTGTGTGACATTTGTTTGAGCTCTTGCAGTGCAGAAAATGAACAAACGCTGCCTCAAACTGCATTCACTCCAATGCCAATTGTAGTCATCAGGATTATGGGGAATTTATGCCAAATAGTACAAAGTCAAATGTAAATGTAATTATGTAATGTATCAATGAAAAAGGCCCAAGTGTCGGAATCAAAACATTCTGTCATTTCTCGGGAGAAACAACCGAACAGACCCCCTTTACAAGGAAATTATGTTTATTTTATGCTTTTAAGAATGCATTAGGGTAATTGCTACAACAAATTACCTTCTGTGCTATGAGCTTTGCTACAACATCTCTGGCATGCACATCAATTGTACAGATTGTCATAATCTTCTGCCGATCACCATGGGTGAGCTCCCCTAGTAGCATGTTTATAAGAGCATTTAGCTGAGCAATCTGCAATAAAAATAATTATATTTGACTAGTCAAAAAGATAGGGTAGGGTACAGCACACTACACATGTCATACATTGAATAGTTATTTCAGTTAGTACCATACATGCAACATGTCCCCCTTTTTATGTCGGGAGCAAAATACAGGAAATGTGCTTATTATTAAAACAAGCTGAAACTGAATTATTCAGAACTACAGAAGGCTGGGAGAGGATAAAAAAAAGCTTTAACTTGATATTTACGTTACGAAGATTGCTACTACTGGGCTTGCTTACGTGACAAACACATTCTGAACCATTTTTCACGCGAAAAGAAAACACAACTTGAATTATTGGCCAGAATTATTTATGGTTTTGCCATTTTGGTCACTGTTTTTTTTGCATCAGAATAATCATTGCATTTGATACAGTGTCTCATCACGCTTAGCTATTTGAAAATACTCCATAGAATGGGAAGGGTATGTTTCATTAATTAATAAATATTAAGCATTCTCATTGTAAAAAGTATGGTAAAAAGATCGCCTCATTTAAATTAGACTTAAGCAGAGCGATTCACGTAGCAAACCTTACACCAACAATATCAGATCGAGAATAGTGAGATGCTGAACATAAAATCTGGAATGAACACAAGATAACATAAGATATATTAAGTAGCCGTTATTAAGTGTTGGTACGAGATAATGCTAAGATAGATACTAGAAAAACGTTAGGAGTGTGAAACAGAGAATATTGATTACAACAACCAATTACATTTGTATAATGCCTTTCACGTGGGGAGGACGTCCCAAGATTACACTGACTGTCACTGACTGTCTAACGCCATTTTATCGCTTACGGAGTTCAAATTGATAGCTTTCATTTTCCAAACAGATTTGCAGCTGAGCAACTCACCTGCTTTTTGTTGTAGTCTTTTAAAGCCGTTTCGAATCCTTCCTCAAGACGCTCAAAGGCAATTCCAACATCTGTGGTCCACCAAATCTGAGTGCCACTTAAGGCTACCTGAGCCGGGTAATCAAACAGCCACTGATCTCTTGGCTTCTCCTCGTATGCAGCCACTGCATCCGTGACTTCCCGCTGCACTGTGGCTCTCATCGTCTCCTCAAGGCGTCGCAACCAAGATTCAACCTAGTTAGAGAGAGAGAGAGAGAAAATAATCTTTGCTAAGATAAGCTCATGTGGAATCGGTTCATTCCTTCCACTTGCAGTGACATTGCAGGTTCCTTTGAAAGTTATCTTTATCTTTACGGGAAGAAGCGATGAGAGGTGGGGGGGAGAGGGAGGGGAGGTAAAGAGAAGAAAGCGGATTGAGCCCAAGCTTTTCGTGTTGCCTATTTCTCTGCCTGCGGTGGTTTGACTGCTTCAGGCAGTTCAGGATAGGATTTAATTGCTTAGTAGATGGTGGTAACTGACCAGCTAAGGAACATCAATTTTGAAGACACCAACAGGGTTTTAATAAAGACGAGGAATAGAGTGGGTCAAGCACATTTCCCTAAGGGCCCCTTTGCAAACATGTTGCTGCAAGACAAATTTCTGTTTAACATTGTCTGATCTCTGCATCCTCTCACAAAATTGTGCACCCAATTCGACAGCTAACTGGATGCACCACAAGAGGCCAGCCTTGTAGTAAGGCTGGAAGATCGCACATTAAAAGTTTGCAGCACTTCTGCCTTGACGTCATACTAGAAATCAGGAGCAGCGTTCCATTTCTGAGTGGCATTTGTTCATACACAAATTGGGCAGTTTGTTTCAATCCCAAATTACTGATCATTATTGCACGTCTTGACTATGTTCCCACTGAGCAAGTCCCACTGAAAAACTTTTCTGGTAGAATCATCCACTGGTTAAAGGAAATTGGATAAGTACTTGAAAAGAAAAATTTGCAAGGCTATGGGGAAAGAGTGCGGGAGTGGGATTGATTGGATAGCTCTTTCAAAGAGCTGGCACAGGTACAATGGGACAAATGGTCATCTTCTGGTAAGATTCGATGAGTCTATGAAATAAAATTCAATTTTGTATGAGCATAATTCAGCACAATACGTTAACTCAGCTAAAAAATGTTTACCTATTTTGTGTTTTAATTCTGAGTATGTGCATAAAGAATAAACAAAATACTTTTGGAAAGCCTTAATGGATTGCAACATACTTAAGATTTTCCAAACGTATTCCACTTGAAACTCAAATGCAAGATAATACAGGTAACGATGCACTCACCTGCCCTTCACAGATACAGGAAGGTGAAAGATGTACATATTCTCCTTCTCTGCTGTACATGCCGACTGCTTCACACACACCACTGTTTTCCTCTTCATTAGCAAATTTTAGATCAGCCAAATTGTCAAACAGTTTAAGCAAATGTCGGGTCACCTGTTCAGAGTTTAGAAAGATTAAATGCATTTCTTTTCTAAAAACAAAAACAATAAATTGTACGTTAAAAAGATATATTTCTTTTATTTTTCTCTAACTCCCTCCTTGAGCTTTTGCCCTTAGCATCACAGCATTCCTTGCATTGGAAAGGAGGAAAACAGATTAGATAAATTGTAGTGGAAGAACAGACATTTATCTTGTATAGAAGAACAAACATTTAGTACAACATTATAAAATACTCTTTATAAAGTGAGCTAATTAAATTTCCTATACATTATATAATATATGGCTGTCCACACAAATGGTTACCTGTGTTGGCTGGGTTCCTTTGGATATAATTTCCAATAAATCCATTGCAGATACAAAGTAAAATCTTGGAAATGCAAGTCGTTTTGTCTCAAGATAGTCAGCCAAGGATTTCTCACATAGACACAATCTGCAGAAATGTAACAAAGACAGACATTATAATCTTCTATGAAACCAAATGCTAGATATTTTCCGAAGTGTTTTAATTCCCTGGGTTGTTGAGAGTATTTGTATTGAGCCAGTGAAAATTTGGCCTTATAAATGAAAATGAGGTCGATTACAAAATGCCACTGAAATTGAGACAAGCGAAAGTGGTTGGAAAGTCATGAATATCATATAATGATAATCTGTGCATTTGATATAGTGCCTTATCACATGGTTGAGATGTCTCGAAGTATTTCACAGGATATACTACAAAATGTAAGGTACTTTGAGACATCTCGACCCTGTGATAAGACACTATCACAAGATTTTGTGGGCAAATGTAGCAGACAATTTGCTCACAGCAATGCTCCCACAAACAGCCATGGAGTGAGGGATCAATTTTATTTCAGGGATTGTTGGCCAGGACAAGTGATGAATTGTTACCTTTGTTGAAGAGCTTCTAATTTTTCCAACAGTCCCGGGTTGTTTGTTATATCTATTACTTTTTTGGTCTTAATGGTCATCGACATGAACTCCTTAGATGACAAGAGGAAAATAGTTGCTTCCAATTATACACATACAAACGGAGTGGAATTAGTTTTGATGCACAAATCATCTTGGGAGTAACTGAATTATAAAATTGACTGAGACAATCCCTCTGTAATTAAAAATCAAGGGATGGAGCTTAAATAAAACTTGTCAATAATAGAGAAAAAAAGTAAAAACACCTTAAAATCCAAGTCAATTCCATCAAATCTTTTGGAATCTTCAGGGAGTTGATTCCGAATGTCCTCAGAACCAGTGAATATGCTCTGCAAATGAGCCCATGTCTGTTGCACCTCCATCCAAATAGAGATGACTGTATCACTGAGTATTAATTTCTTCTGCCAACTACTGACATCCGTCACAAAATACTCCACGTATTTACTCGTCAGAATATTTTGCAGTTGGACCTATAAAACATGAAAATAGGATTGAGAACTGTTTTACGTAACAAAAGTACTGACAAATAAATTAGCGTCTAATGAATAACTATCAAGTTAAACTAACCGTTCTCTCAATGTATGTTGTTGTCATCACCAGTTTTGGGGAGGGGGCAAAATTACATTCCTTAAGGATGAATGACAAATAATCTGCTCAAGGCACTAGAAAATATTCCCTTCTCCACTATTGGTAAATGATCTTTAACATTTACCCAAACCAGCAACCGTGAGCTCAGTAATACCAGAGACAAAGGCTTTTAAACTTTGCAGACAATGAGGAGGTTGAACGAGACCTTGGGATATCAGTTCACTAGGATGACTATTAGGCAGCAATTGATAAACTAAAGAGGACCCTGGGTTGCACTACCACATCAATCATTCAAAGATCATTTATTTTATTCGAAACATTAATAGCACGATTGCTATGATTGCTGATAACACGAAAATTGGTGCTACGGTGGGTTCCAGAGAGGAAGCTGATCTAAACCATGTTTGACCATTTTCTCTCTCTCTCTCTTCGCCTCAGGCCAGATGTGTAGGTATATATTGTAAGGAGCAGGTTGTTTCGGAAGTGAATTTATGGGCCTTTTTTCACTCCTTCCTATCTATAACTGTAAAATATCACTCATCAAGCCACACCTAGAGTAATATATATATATATATATATATATATATATATAATATATAGTTCTGGTGAACAGAACATAACTGGGTCTCCAGCTTAAATTTATCAGATTCCAACCAACTCTAATGCAAACAAAATATTATTATTATGCAACCAACACTTGTTTTAATGCCAGATTTAATAGCAGATTAAAAGCAACATCAATGCATGTCGTCATGTGCGAGTACTTGATACTTTGGGCCAAGAGTATAAATAATGCAGCTTTTTAAAAAAAAAAATTTAAAATCTACATCTACCCACAAAAATATCCATAAAAATTCATAGTTGTATTCTACCACTTGATAAACATCAGAATGACTGCTCACAAACTTGAACTGGAAACTTTACAGTGATAACCCAAGAACATGACCAGATTGAAGACATCTGCAAGCATTTTCCACACATTTTTTTTCATGATCGGAGAGAAAGTCACGCCAAATCTTACTATTGCAAATTTAAAATTATGATTTCTTCCAAACATATGGATTGAGCATGCTGAAAATGTAATCAGTTCATCGTTAGTCTTCCCTTCCCTGAGTAATGATTGTATCCTGACACACAGCCAGTATGGCAATTGTATTACATCTGTGGAAGGTTTAATCAAAACCTGAAAAATAAGGTTTACATTAGTTATTATTAGTGTGTTAATGATGTGTAGTTATTTTTTTTATATTTAACTTTATTGAGATAAGTATCCTACATTAAGTTTACTATAGGAGTTTCGTGGTTACATTTTGTTTTGCAACCTAGAAAGTTGACACTATAATTAGATATTTTAGAATTATTTTAAGTGGATATAAGAGTTCTGCAATCAACTGTCGACTGAGATAGATTAACAGTTCGAGCCACGAGCACAAAGGTTTTCTGTTTATGTGGGGGGAAAAAAAACCTCACAACTTACTGCAGAGTTGAAATTTTTGGAAGGTTTTACTGACCTTTGTATCATAGAAACATCATTTAGAATTAATGCAATTTCATTTTTCGATCCAATGGTGTAGGTTGCTGTTGTTACAGACAGCTGTGCGGAGCAGAAGAGTGCTTCAGATCAAAGGACTCAAATCCTTGCAGGTTTTTGGCCTAAAGCACATACTGTAATTTCCTTCTCGACATTGTACAAACCTTTTAAATAAGCAACATTACCTGGCTTGAACAATAAATCAATTACATTCTGCCAACAGGCTTTTTCATCTGACACACAAGCAAAGAAAGGGAAAAGAAAGACCTTCACAAAGGTTTGACTAGTTCAGATCTCTACATGAGGTTTAAACATCACACAAACATACAAAAAAGCCCAATGAGGATGAACGGAATAAATCCTATTGAGTCTGACTGTGAAAAGTTTATTTTTTAATTAAAGCGCACTAGCGGTGACTACACCTATAAATCCTCATGGTGAAGTTGCTTTGAACCTTTTGATTGAGCCATGGCAGGTATTAGAGATTGCTCCATCCACATGTTTAAAACTATTTTAAAATGATGAGGGCGTGTCCAGTTGTATTAAATGTCAGCACAGAGAAGGAAGGGACATTGTTGTTAACAATAGATTCAAACGCAACATATGCGTTGCACTCAAACCTCCTTACAAAGTTCTGCTGAGTTCAGTTCCAAGTGTCAATTCAAACATGCGGACGCTGCAGAGAAATCGGTGGGGAAGGGGAAATAAAATGCGGGAAGAAAGGAATGATAAAGAATGATGTCCAAGTTGTACTCGCTGTCAGAGCTGGAAGCAACCCTGATCCCACCACATATCACATCATCTAAATAATATATAATCCTTGCATTTGATATAGCGCCTTATCAATTCTTCGAGACGTCTCAAAGTGCTTCACAGAATATGCTGTAAAGTGAAATGACTGTATGTTTTGAGAGCGAAACACAAGTCAGGATTACAAAGGTGTTTTTCAAACACAATCGATGAATTATCTCTCAAAATCTGATTTTTTTTGGTCTTCTAATCAACCTTCTGTAAATCCGTACCTGATTATCTTCCAGCGTCTCAATGAGAGTCTCATCAGACTTCAGCAGTGGAGTTCCTGTAGTGTGATGGTTTTCATAAGAAAACTCCATGTCTCGCCATGTTTGACCGATCTCTGCCAACACCTGAAATACCAGCGAAAGCTTCATCTGTTATTGAAAGCAAGTCTCAAGACCCTCCTCTTTGACCCCGCATTCAGCTACCCTCCTATCCGTACCCTCCCTGCCCTTCACCACCCACCCTCCCACCACAATCCCAAGCCCCAGCCTCGGGTCCACATCCCTGACTGTCCAGCGCCTTGGGACGTCCTCCCAACGTGAAAGGCCGATTTAAACACATGTAATATTGTTGTTGCTGCTGCTATTGCCAAAGAAACGTGATGGAAAAAGCTACAAGTTTCACCTTTTCTATTGTCATTTCCTTGACTGCCTTGTCCACAATATTTTTCACTTCCTCTTCCACTCTGTGCAGCTGGAGAGCTAACAAGTCTCCCAGGGTGGTGTCTGAATCCATGGCAAAGTTGACCTGTCAGAGGAAAACATGTGCGCAGATTAGTTTTGGAGAGGAAATAAAAAAAAAATCAAAGAAACACCAGAGAAATCTTATGACTTACGCTTGTTGCATTCATTAATTGCTGCCAGTGCCTCTCCCTGACTGCAGGATTCTGTAACTCATTAATAGCTCGAAGGGACGTCAACATATTTTTGACAGTAGATTCGAGTCCAGCATAGGCATCCCACACTCTAACCTCCTTATCAAGTGTTTTCATTTCCTATTGGGAAAGGCAAAACTCTTTAAAACTGGTAAATATAAACACACACACATACGCCACACACATACGCCACTCAACCACACACACACACACACACACAGAGCAGCCCAGATGGTTTAAATTCAGATCATTTGTACCTTTGCAAACCTTCGCAATTCCATATCCATTTGTTCCACGTTAATCTGTTTCCACTGTGTCCCTGTCCAATCATCAATACTTGTCTAAAATTAAAAAAAATTAAAAGTCCCAAATTTGGCAGGTTAAAAATTATGGCTTATGTTGTAATACTCATGATTCCCCTTACACACAATCAGTTATTTTTAATTCAGGTTCAACTGAATGAGTTAGCACACTCCACAACTCCGCAAAATATATAGGAGTACAAAAGAATCATAATAGAGTCACTTTCCATTGTCAGAAACCTGCCATATTCATCTGCTTTGTGAGAAAAGTAGTGCAATTATCACCTACTGTTCAGAATTTTCCTGATGTTTCATAACGAAGGAGAAATCTTTGTGATACTATCGCAATTAACAGGAAAGAATGTACAGTTCACTACTGGAAAGACCCATGATACAACTTTTTTTTTAAAAAAGGATATCTTTTAAAGAAAAACAACTGCTTTGAAAAGAAACGTTTTCAAATAATGCAATTTGCAAACTGGTTGTGTCTACTGCACTTCTCATGTGTTGAGGGAATTTTGATATTGGGATTTGGTTTCAACAATAATTCTTGTTTAAAGATTTCGCTCAGATAACCTTTGTCTCGATACACCAGAAGGTAAGATTAAAGAATATAAAAGTATAAATCCTTCCTACCTGAACAAAAAAATATATATCCCAGACAGATTTCAGTAAAACAATATCCGAATGGCAATGCTTCAGTTGTTTATAATCTGGAATGCTCACTTCGAAAAGCTTTGCTGTTTCCTGAAGTGTTTTCATTTCTGCTGTAAGCTTAGTGATATCCTTGTGTGTCTATTATAGGACAATAACCATATTATACAAGTTAAAATGGATCTACAATCACTAATACACAATGAACCATTATACCAATAAAGCTCTCTTCATTCTAATAAGGCAATTAATACCATAACTTTCTTACCTTGTCTAAAAGACAGTAAGAATCAAGTGCATCAAATCTAAAGAGGGCTTCATTTTTGAATATTTCTCTGAACTCAAATTGTTTTTCCTGCAAGACAACAAGACAATAGCTGAGCCATTACTTTTGTTTGAGACCTGTACAAATGTTTCCACCTAAACACAGTTCCATTGCAGTCATTAATTCTCTGATTGCTTTTAAGTACGTAGTATTGTGTGAGACATTATGTCAATAACTTGTGGCGAGAAGAGGAGGACCAGAGACTACAGCAATATAATTAAGATTGGTAATTTTACAACAGAGACAGTATAAGGTAAATACATTTGCAAGTCGCACCAAGTTGGGGAGAACAGGGGAATCATCTGACTGACCAGATTTAGGCTAACATCAGCGGCAAAGCTGTGCAATCTTTGTCCTGGCAAACACATATCCATCCCGAAAGCAGTCAGCACACACATACTCGTAACTAACAGTACAGCAAGCCTTTTCTGAACATAATTAAGACCATCTCCTAATTAGTTCAGACAATGGAAATATGCTTTTAGCATTCCAATCATTCCTTCAATAACTGACAACATGTCTTATGTGCTTCATTGAATCCAAGCTCCACAGGAGTTTGAATTATGTAGAGCAATCATCAGACGTGACTTAAATGTCATACCTATGATCTACTAATAGATATCCATGTAATCTGGGTGTTTTTTCCCCCCTCAATAGCTATCTGTGTGGTCTGTAATGTTAACATTTTGGGCGCATTAACCGATACAGAATGAATGTGTGATAAGTCAGGCATCCAATGGCCTACGCAGGTATAATAATATTCGAAGTATGATGAGCCACCTGGATGTTCATTGAAAATCCTTTCTTATTCACGTGAACAAAAGTATTTTGCTCAAAGGTGAGCATGTCAGCATTCATCAAGACTGCAATACTCAGTATCCTTCTAAACGTAGATATGGAATAAAACACTGAGTAACTGGTTGCTTCTATTTCAGCTCAGGAAGGGTATAGTGAGATCTTATTCTTTATGTATTAGTAACTCTATGCGGCTGAACACGGTTGACAAAGACATTCCCTGTACAATCTCCCTCTTGAAGCTATCGAAAAAGCAGTCCTGTAGAAGGTCGTTATTGCAGTAACCTTCCTTCACAGCTACAATTAGAGGGCAATTCTGGGTCAATGTTGATGGGCCAGAAGAACAGCTCTATTAAACACAGAAAGACTTGGAGGAATTGTGCAGGACTGCAAAAGGCAAGTTACAGATTTCCGATAGGAAACTCTGGGTTTATAAGTTTGAGTGCAAATACAGAGCTACATGGAAGAGAGTTGAGCCAACAGGATCAACTGCATATGAGGCTTTACCACTGATCTACGTGTGTTTTTCTTAATTAAAAAAAATCAAAATGAAAAATTCAAGGTGTAGTTGCAAAAGCTTGCGTTCCTTTACAAACACAGAGAACCATCTTGAAGGCCCAAAATATTTTGTTTCAATCAGAATTGTTCAGGAGACCTCGGAGTCCTCCCACATCTTTCCAAAGTTATAGAAAAAAAACAGACTTGCAATCTTCACGAAGTCAACAATTCTGCATGACTTTAGATTATCCATCCAGTCGGAAAACTACAAGAAAGTACAATACCAGTGGCCAGTTGTTAATTAATGATAAGCAAATTTCTTCAATATCCCTCCACTTCAACTAATTTTTCCAAGCCATATTTGTCCCAGAATCACAACAATGGAATTATCAATCCAAAAGGCAATCCATTTCTGACACTAAATGCTGCTTATTTAGTATTTATTTAGGACTATGTGGTCTTACATCTTAACACCAACAGAATTAGTTTCAAGACTATTCCTAATGCCCAAAATGCTACAGATATCTAATTTTATACAAAAAAAAGGCCGTTTTGTGGGTGAACTGTCACTTCATATCCATACATCACTATTTGGAGTTGAATCTGAATAAACATTCTATTACCAACGGTAAGGTGACAAAGTCATGTGCAAAATATATACTGCAAAGCAAGCTATAAAGAACGACTATATGGTCTAAAACCAATTATCAAGAGATATTCACAAACTACCAGATTAAACATAATTCACAGTGAAAGGGGAGGTAGCATTACTCCCATTTTATAAACTAGGATTTACATTATCAGATCCATTTAGAATTCATTACCATCAAACACATAATTGTTATCTCTGGACATCCCCTTCTCACAGAGTTTACAATTTCTTGGTTCACTGGAGCTTACCTCTAGCTTGTTAACAGAACAAAAAGTGTGAAATGGTTTGGCTCAAAGCACTGAGCTAAAAGCTGATCTCACCTCAAACTGTACACATTTTCTTCTGATAACACACACTTCATTGGACTGCAAAGGTGTCACTTCATGCTTTACAGTTAACGCAATCTTTTTAAGGTTCTTCCATTTTTCTGGCAGTTCCTAAAATAGTTCAGACGGAGAAAATATGCAGAATATATTCTCAAGCATACAAAATGATATGCGTGTCAATATTTTAGTTACACCCTGTGACTGGATGGTTTATGCAAGAAACAAGCCCTTCAACTCTGTTAATGAGCACCCATGCAATGGGCTTCCAAATAATTTAAAGGTTGCAGAAAAATACTTATGCAGTACTTCTTCAAAGACACAAATGTATTTCAAACACACTCAAAGCTGTTGAGTGTGGAAAATTTTGTGATCGTCTATTACGCCTTAGAAGTGCACTTAACATTTACAGAAACCTTTTCAGTAACTACTTTGCTGTGAACAAATGTATGAGATCAAGTCTATATAGATACATCCATAATATACAGAGAGAGAGAGAGGAGGAAAATAAATATTGAAATCAATTTCATAAATAATTTCTATGGCTCTAAGAGCGGGCGAGTGGGACTAGTTGGGTTGCTCTTTCAAAGAGTCGGCACAGGCATGACGGGCCGAATGGCCTCCTTCTGTGCTGTAAGATTCTTTGATTCTATGATAAAATGCAAAAATTCAGCAATGCCTTCTACAGTTTTAAAATATTCTGTCATCAGCTTTATATAAAGTTATATACATGGGTAGATGCTTTGGGAGCTACAGCAGGTAGGGAAAAAAAAGCCGTAAAAAGCAGAATTAAATGATTTGTTATGGATATTAAATTCGGATTATCCACATTCATGTATAATATGACAAATGGTTGCAATAGACTGAGCGGGGAACTAAATCAAAAGCATTTGAGTGATATTGTTCATGTTGATTGGAAGGGTATTTTTACCTCAAGCGCTGCATAAATCTGTTCAGGCACCTGCTGCCCATAGCTTCTCAGCAATTCAGCAGTTTTTTTCAGAGACTCAAAATTATCATCTGTTGTTGACTGCCTGTCTCGGACTGCCATCAGATGTGTCATGATTTCAACCAATCCAACGTAATCTCCATCTTGCACCTCCTTTGCAAAGCCTTTCTCAGTGTCACGGATAAACTCGACCAATTCACTTACACTAAGAAAAAAGAAAAAGAAAAAACAATTTCAAGTACTAACCTTAACCATGAAGCCACGTGCAGGAATACCTTGCTACAACGCACTCAGGTGGATGCAATGGCTAATTGACCATGTTTAAGTGAGCTGCATAAAAATGGCTGATTTCCAGTTTGTCAGGTTGTGACCGACATCACTTCCTGGACGCGTGGACGCGTAACAAACAGGAATCAATGTCAGCTGGCGCTTTGCCCGCAAGAGTCACCTCGCAGTATATCCTGTGAAGCGCTTTGATATGTCTCAAAGACGTGATAAGGCGCTATATCAAATGCAAGGATTACCATTATTATTACCTGACAGCATGGAAGTCAGACATGTTTTAACTTCGAAAGCTTGCTAGGCTTTGGGACGTCCTCCCGACGTGAAAAGCGCTATATCAAATGCAAGGATTATTATTATTATTATTATTATTAGGCAATGCTGGAAAAAAGTTATACTTGCGCTTCTCTTCCACAGTAGACCTGGCTGTATACTGTTTAGGAAGCACAATATTGAAGGGCACTATAACGGGGATTCTTTGTGGTTAGATCCATTTGAAGGCATATTTAATCCACACAAATGATTGCTTTCATAGAGTTTCTCAGAAATAACCCTTAATGGGTAATCGTGATAAAGGCTTAATTGTTTTGATCTCAATATTGTCAGCTCAACACACTACGGTCACTTCGTGCATCATTTTTTTTGAGTTCAGAATCAGATGCAATTTAAACAACCCAGTTGTTCTTGTTAAGTGGTAATTTTTTAATTAGCGGTGTAGAGAAATCTTAATTCAAACAGTTTTACGATGTTAGTGGGTAATTATCACGATTAATAATTACTAATTAACAATATTTAAGAGAAACTATTTATTTCTGAATGTTAACACACTATTTTGGCTAAACAATGACAGTTCTGTCAGTTTCCAGATATTCCCACAATTATAGCGCTGTAAGCGTCTTTGGTAAGTTCCCATTAATTACCCCTCTTCGAATCTATTTTTTTCACTGAACATTACTGAGGTTTGCTGCTTTCTTAAAGATTTTTTTAAAAAAGTAGTTACAAAAAACCAATAAAAAATTCCACTACAATTAATCAGCTAAAATTATTATCATGTAATGGCACGAGCTTGGTTTGTAACCACTAGTCCTGCCAAATTGTGTTATGTTTATTAATATTTCTTGTGGAAAGAATAATTGCACGTTGTTAACAAATATTGCAAAGTGTAGCCAGAAAGAAAAACTTAACTCAGCCGCAACCCTTCCAATCAAGACATACAGTTGTAAGTAGTCGTGAGATTCACAACTGGGTAATTAATTCCATGTTGGAACTTAAGAGCCAACATTATTTTGGGGGTTTAAAAGCAAAGTTCAATCCTGGATCCACTTTAGCTCGTGGCTTTGCCCTGTGTCTCTTTTTGTTTCCTATGTGCCTACATCAGAGAGAAACCACATTTGCTTCTAAATGTTCAAGTTGGTAACATGTTATATGATAGTATTTCCTTACCTATCAATCACATTGTTTAGAAGATGTTCCTTAAACATCCAGCTCCATCTTTTAATTATATTTAACAGAGATGATTTGAATGGTTTAATGCACACTTGAAACCATCCATCAAAGACATGCACATCTTCAAATCCATTAAGGTGCATGTATAATGTTTCGTAATTGCTGATCTAGAATAAATGATAAGTAATTTCAACAAATTGCATGTATAAAATTACCATGTCCATCTACATAATGTTGCCAGCACTGCATCCTTTCTTCTGTATAATGTGTCTAAGATTTAATAACCCGAGGCATTACAGAAAAAGCCCAAATTACCCCAAATTTACTAGGGGTATTTCTCTCTTCTGCATTCCAACATATATGCTTATCTGATCACAAAATAGAGACCTGCTTAGGAAAGAGAATAATAAAAATATACATACCCATTTCCTTCTGCATATTCCCTCAAAGATTCCCCTGACAGGGAAATAGCCTAGGATATTCCTGTGACAGTACTAACTCCGTAAGAGAGAAGATGAGGTTGAATATCCCAACTTATAACAATAATCCTTCAATTTGCTAAGGTGCTTATAGCTTTGAAATGTCTCAGAGTGCTTCATAAGTAATTGATATCCAAGCCTGTGAATCTGTAGGCAAATGCGGCAGCCAATTCTATAAACAAGAATTGCTGCATTGACCTCAAAAGGTCCTTAAATAGACTGGAAAAAATGATTACTCGATAATTCTACTATTCATGTGAAGGTGCCATGGCCATTCCAATGCTCACACTTTGAGGAAGGCATGTTTGATATGTAATGGTGATGTGGAACATTGTCCGATTAAACACATGTCCTGCCTCTCTATTTCGCAGCACATACAATGCACCAATGGTAACCTCGAAAAATGTTTTAGGAGTTTTTTTTTTACACTGCATTTCTTTCCAAACAGAAAAATAATTAAACCATTCAAATCGCAAAGGAAGGGAAACATTGGGATGTTGGTTAGGAGTGTTTTTTTAAAAAAAATGCATTTCATCCTTTAACAAAATTCTCTGGCATCTCAAAGACATGATAAGGCGCTATATCAAATGAAAGGATTATTATTATTAACCTTACCTGCTCTTTATATTGGTCCAGTTGTGGTGGACACTTTGGAAGTCCATAGTCTGCTTGAACCTCTAATTCCTCTGGAGTGAGAACATGACCATAGAGGAGAAACTGCCTCATGAATTCAGTTTTGTTATCTATCCACAGGTATCTATATCTCCCAAACGAGGCCTGAAACACTTTGACTTTGTCAACGATCCTCTTCACACGATCCATAACCTCTTGGCGCATCAAAGTCAAACTGTGATTTGTATCCACATCTTGCTGTGTATGGAAATAAAATCTTAGTTACATTTTTACCACATTCTACAAGTTTTATTTAAAAAAATTACTTTGCATTCTCTTGAATCTTCAATCACATCCTACACAATTCACCTACAAAAAATACAGTCAATTCACTTTACAGTATATTCCGTGAAGCGCTTTGAGACATCTCAACGATGTGATAAGCGCTATATCAAATGAGAGGATTATTATTATTAACCAATATCCTTTAGATATTTAGTTGCCTTTCCTACTTTTGTATTCGGAAACCCCCTCTCTCCCCATTTATAAGTCCCAGAACCTGATTTGCTTGTTAAATGCTTCTTGTACCAGCATGTCATCCTTAGCGTCCCCCCAGATAGGCAGACAAGACATTGTTTTAATTCTCCCAACAAGTCTAGTATTTGAGCTCAAATCCCCGATGTGGAGTTTGAACACACAAGCTTCTTTGTCAGAGGCAAGACTGCTATCAACTATTATGCAGCTTCATGCATGAACACACAATAATTTAAGAACTTCCAATTGAAAATGTGACCCGGATAAAAGTTTTAACATTTCTCGTACCTGATAAGTGTCGATTCCTAGATGTTGGGCTACTCTTTGTACTTTGGAAGCCGCTGTGTAAATATCAATCATGAATTGTTCCATGAGGTCATAGAAATTATTATGCATTCCAGGGTCCAGGGGAGGATTGAATGCCATCTCACACCCGTTAAGGACCAGGTGCACTTCAAACAGAGTGGATGTTATTGGCGTCGCTTCCGTGCATTCAATTAGATATCGAAGGAAGGATTTAATAGCAATAAAGAATCCCTCTGAAACCATGTGATCAATGTACTCTGCGTAACTCTTCCACTCATCAGTTTGTGCATCTGCATTCAGCAAATGTTGATTATCCTATGGAAAGAAAAATCAATCACATCAGCACAAATGTTATTTTTGCATGCGCCAACTTGGAATTGGATTTCCAAGAACACCAATATGTAATATAGAGTAATTGCACAATTAAAAACAAAGAAGGGGGAAAAAATAGCACTTTTCAGTGCGCTTCCAAGCTAAAAATAGAACATCATTTAACTGAACATGACAATCTTACAGCTGAATGAGACAAAAGAAAAAAAGCAAGAAAGAAAAAACACAGGTTAGCAGAAAACAGACAAAAATTGCCAGTCTTTGCGCCTGTAGAGTAATTATTTCAACCGGAGATTTTTTTTATATAATTGAGCGCTGAAGCCGATCAGAAAACAGCTTTAATCTGGTTTACACAACTGCCACCAAGTGAGGTTTGCTGCAAATTGTCAGCTGAATAATAGCAACTGGTCAAGTGTAAATGATGCAGAGTTACACAGATTGTATATTGGGATAAAATCCATTATCTCCTCACCTCAGAACTGGTCTCGACCAGGAAGGACAGTTGGTATGTAAAACAAATTTAATTCCCCCCACCCCACCCACCCCTCATTTTCTTTAGGAAGAGAGACCGTAGTATTCCCATCAGTTTAATTAGCACAGTATATAACTCAGCACAAAGCATTAATAATAATCCTTGCATTTGATATAGCAATTTATCACGTCGTTGAGACACCTCAAAGCGCTTCACAGAATATATTGTAAAGCGGTTTTGACTGTATATTTTGTGAGCGAAAAGCGGCAGCCAATTGCGCACAGCAGCATCCCACAAACATACATACACTCAATGCATATACAACTCTTACCTCGACTAACTGATGAATCGTTTCCCCGCTGCCTTGAATCAATTTATAGTAGTTGGCAATTTTCTCTTCTCGATCATCAAAACAGAGAAGACCACTAGATTTACAATGTCTTTGCACAAAAAATGGCTCTCGATTCCAGCTCCGCATTATTGTCTGTATGGTCTCCACATTCTGTTTGGCATTCTGTAATCTGCTGTCCACATCTTGGATAAGATCACTCGTCTGATGAATGTAGTCCCACAAATCCTCAGAGTACCAGGTTAGGCTTTCTCTAGCAGGTATCAACTGCTGATTAATCTTCTCCAATTCATCCCCAGCAAGTGGAACTTCCACTTCTAGTATGGTCGTCTGTAATCTGTTATACCCTTCAATAATTTGATGCAAGATTCTAACGTACTGCAAAGAGAAACTTGTGTCAATGTCAAATAAGATGTTAAAGAAAACATCAATCATATCCAACGAAACATTATAAGTCTTTGACTAATACTTTCAAACTAACCCCAGATTGCAAATTTTACAATGACAAAAAATTACTGACGTCGAGACTATAAACTAACTTTTTTTAACGCTCATCGAGAAAAAAAAAATCATTTTAGAAAATTAATTCATAACCCACACACAATTATTTTTTTCCTGCTAAATAACATCACTGGTTGTTAAACATCACTGCTTGTCAGATTAGATCATCTTCTTATGGGATCCATTCATCCCCTTATCCATCATTACAATTCACCAGTTATTCATATCACAAAGTTTACCTCGTGAAGAGTATTGCTTTTTGAATACAAATCCAGAGCAACTTCAGGAACGTTAAATCTTTTTAGCATACGGAGATATTTGACCTCCCGGAGAACGCACGAAAGCTGGGAAGAAATAAAAATCACAGTCCGATTCGAGATTGATGATTTTTTTTCTACTTGGTAGAAGTGGTCCCTATCGCAACCACTGATAGATAATTGGAACAGTTTGTCCAAATCAATAAATTAATGAATTAAAAAAAAATGACAGCAATTTCTACCTCAGAACCAAAGTTGACCGAGTAGACACCAGTTTCTTTGTTGAACATGAGGAGAGGTTGACTGAGGTTTGCCTGGCAGAGAGCATCGAGGTGATGTGTCCACAAGGTGTAAATTGCTTCTTCATGCTGATCCAGCAAAGTCAACATCTGGTCATATTTCTGGAAAACCAGGTTCGCTTCTCTTGTTTGCAGACTTCTAGATTTTTTGAGAAGACGCAATCAGAAGCACTGTAATTTGAAGGATTAAAAAAAACATTTTGCGTACAGCAATAAATTCTTCATTTAAAAGCTTTGCTTACGGGTGATTAATGTGTCTAAATTGATTCCTCTGACTTAATAATCTTTCTCGAAGCTCCTGGGACCACTTCAGATTGCCTGCAGTGTGCGGCATATTCTTATTCAACGCAGCACAATTGCTCTTCAGCTGCAAGAGAAATAGAGACGTCAAGCTGATATACTTACAGAAACAAAACATGTTCAAATAATATTGTCTCTAGGAATGAATCTCCCGTCACAAGACATGATCTTTTAAAAAAAAATTATTTCAGCAAAGCTGGAGTAGAAGGCAAGCACTAAAAAGTCATTCTCTTCCACATAAAATACGGTAGATAATTAAACTAACGGAATTTCAATTTAATTCCGGTTAAGAACATCATATTCAAAGTTTGTGACGTGGATTATCGCGCCAGTTATTTAAAAACACAAATAAAAGTCTTATAGAATTTGTTCAAGAACTATATTGGATGTTTGCCATTAAAACTAATTTAATATTTAAGCCGATGCTAAATTTAGCGTCAGCTGGAAGTTTACCTTTTCTTTTTGATGGTCAAATATTTGCTTGCAGCAGTTGATCTCTGCCTCAAACATTGTGAGAAGGCTGGTATAGTTTGGGATGAAGAGACTGGCAATAAGGGGCCTCTCCAGTAATGCACCAAATACTGACAGAAGCTAACAGAGATAAGAAATAATAATACTGTTTATCAAGTCAACCCTAGTTAAAGCTTGTGTCCCCTAATAGATATCCAGTGCTTCAATGGACCACAATTTGGGGTCTAAGTTGCGGTATTTCTTAATGGGATTCCTGTTCCAAGTCAGGCAAATTGGGACTCTATTTCATGACTGGAAATACATTATAATAAAGAGTAGGATTCCGTATTAAGGAACCTTGTCAAAATATCATCAATTAGACCCTATTGCGTATTTAATAAAGAGCTCAACGAATATATCAACAGAACACAAATGAAAAAACACTCCCCCCCAAAAAAAATAATGGTCCCACTCTTAACAAATTAATGGTTTTACAGTATTTTCCAAGCTTTTTATTTGATCTTAACAATTTAGGCCATAACAGACCTTCTTATTATAGTTTTCCCTCCAAAAGAAGATGAGCCACAAATAACTAATCTTTCCAAACAGGACATGATCGTATCAAAAAACACCTCACTGTGATCTTAAACACATCAGATTGTTACCTTAAAGGCAGATTCCAGTCCTCCTGAATCCTGAAATGCTAAGTTTAGCACTGACCCCAAGCGTTGATCAAAATCATGTATATGCTTCATAAATCTAGTGTGATCAGACAGAAATTCCTAAAAAAAATGTGGTGAATATATTCAGATATGGCTAAAACGAATGTGCACATTTAATTTTTTTAATTTTTTTTATACACGAAGAAATTTAATCAAATGTTCTGTACATTCTTAGTCCCGGCATTATTATTAAATTAGCCTTAGCTCTTAGACTAATAATCCAACTGGACCCTTGAAGAGAAATGCATTGTTTGGGTAAAACTATTTTTTTGCTATAATTTGCAGCACATTTAATTATTATTAATATTTTCTCATTCAAACCTTTGGGAGAATGAGCAGCCAATACCTTATAACAGGTACACTCGGACAGGCGTTACTAGTTTGTAAAGTTCAAACAATTTGAAGCACAATAATACCATATTTGTATAATCCAGAGGATCATATTTGCTTTCCTCAAATATTCTCCAACCTTCCTGAAACTCGTCATTCATACTGTAAACCTTTTCACTGAGAAGTTTTCCTTTGGAGCCTCCGATTACAATTTTCTCCAGTTTAAGAAATTCCGTGGCAGTAACGAACAATTCCTGAAAACAAATTACAACCGTCAGCAATTACTGAACTTGTTTGAGCAACATTTCAGTCCTCTACAGACCTTCATATAAAAGGAGTGGAAAGAACTCATCCCTTTAAGGCAATACAATACACATTTATATACAACAACAAGATTACATTTGTATAGCGCCTTTCACGTCGGGAGGGACATATGAGCTTTTCACATGAGGGGTACGTAACAATAGAAATGCTGTATACAAGGGAAAACATAGTAATGATGGGGAATTAAACCAGTATTTGCAATAAAGTGCAAATGCCCAAGTGGGAAAATTAATAAGGGGGATTAAGAGGAAAGAAGGAAAAGCAAGTTCAAACTACGCAAGTGATTATGGGTGGCCAATTTGAAAAGGGAAAGGGACATAGTAATAGGTTAGATCAAATGGGCCGAAAGTCTTCTTGATAATTATAGTCACGCTTCCTTTTGATTTAGCTCCTTGTTGTTGAAATGTCTCCGAGCGTTTCACAGGATTTACTGTAACCTGGAGCAGGACAATGTAACCGTCTATTTGTGTCCCACAAACACCATGAAGTCAATGACCAAATTTATCTGGGGGCTTGTTGGCCAGGACACCAGGAGAAACTCTCTTCTCTTTTTCAAATAGTGCCACGGGATTTTTAAACGGTCCACTTGAACAAACAGACAGGTCATCAGTGTAACATTTCATCCAAGGGACACACAGGTTTTACTAACTAGCTCAAAATAATACGCGTCTAACAAAAGAAGCGTCAACACGATGTGACATTAAATTTACCTCGATTTTCAACAATCTGTCGAAGAACCTATCAAGGCGAGCAAAGATCAACTGTGGAGGAAATGTCCAAGGTTTCACTGCCGTGCTGTTGCTGTAGTAGTCGGAAATATTTAATTGATGCTGGTGAAAACACGTTTTGAAGCTTCTCAATATATGAATGGTAATTCGCACCTTCTCTTGGGCTTCTTCCAGCTCAACTTTAAAAATCTCTTCTGGAGTTAGATAGTTTAAAGCCTGTGACAGGGAATGATTTAAGCCCAGACATTGAAAGGGTAATGTTAATGTACACTATACAAATAAAAAAACAGCAATTACTGTACAAAAGTCCTGAAATACAAAAACTACACATAACACAACTCTTTTTGACAGATGTCAAACTGTATAATATTTCCTTTAAGGGCCAATGTCAAATTGCAGCTGTCAAACTCTGCTCTCACATTAATTACATTCAGGAGAATTTAGTACAATAAATTCAAAAATGACTAATTTCATCTTATCAAATGTCATCGTGTCAAACACAAGACAAGTTTTAAACCCGCATAGAAATTTTAAGCAGCTTAAAGACAAGGCAAATCACAACACTTCAGAATAATTTGTTTAAAAACATTCCAATGTTCGAATCTGGTATGATGGTATTAAAATGCATCCAAGATTAGCAAAATAACAAAACAGAAAAATAACCGTAAAATCTTAAGTATGACAAATATAATCACTTGTAATATTTCTGATCCACGCAGCATTCTGACGCATTTAGAAATGTTGAAATGTAAAGCCATTTCCCTCCACCCCTTCAGCAAATTGACGTTTTAATTTAGTTTATTTTAACTATTCGGTTGTAGAAAGCATTGTAAATTTCCAGGTTGACAAACATTTAAAAAAAAAAGCCATGTTCATTGGTAAGAAAATATAAGTCATTAAAACATAAATTAAAAACGAGCCTTCAACAGTTTCTAGGAAATAAATAAATAATCCTTGCATTTGATATAGCACTTTTCACGTCTTCTCGACGTCTCAAATAAATAAATAAAATTATAAATAAATAAAATGAAATAAAGTAAAATCTCCATCAATTATTACTGACATTTGTTTAAAATACTAAGTTATGAGAAAGCCCTTGGTGAGCGAAAAGAAATGTTGCGTACAAGAGATCCAACAAGATATTCAAATTCATTTTTAAATTAATTAATATAAAGGTTACCCGGGTACAATAAAATGTAAGCGCCTTTAATGATGCTCCCCACATACCTGGTTGATAAGTAGATTGCAGAATTCCTGTAGCAAGACAATAATTCTTGGTGGGAAGCAATAGTACTTTGAATGGCTCCAAATCAAGCAAATAGTGTGGAAGAGAGGAGGAATGAGTGGTTCAACTTCAGAGAAATTCACCTCCTCCAGGTGAGCTAGGTGACGCTTCAAAGGTCGAAGATGCAACTCAATGTCCTGAGCCTCAGAGACAGCTACAAACATTATGGAAGACACTGTTTACTTTTAGTTTTATTTAAGCGATCAGAAAGCACATAGATACAATAACAACTTGGATTTATATAGTGCCCTCCACGCCAGATGGCGTCTCAGAGCGCTTTACAGCCACGGATCCCAGGACCGAGCCGGGGGGAGGGGGAGGAAGGTGACCAAAGGCGCGGTCGAAAAGAAAGGTCTTCAGCAGAGACCTGAAAACGGGAAGGGAGGGAGCGAGGCGAAGGGAGTGACGAAGGCAGTTCCAGAGCCTCTGTGCACAGTGACTGAAGGCACGGCCGCCGAGGGTGGAGCGGAGGACTCGGGGGACGAGGAGGAGGCCAGACCCGGAGGAACGGAGGCAACGGGCACTGTTGTGAGGAGGGAGGAGGTCAGAGAGGACAGTGGGAGCAGAGGAGTGCAGGGACTTGAATACGAGGGTGAGGATCTTGAAATCGATCCTCTCTGGGACAGGCAGCCAGTGCAGTCTGGCCAGGACTGGGGGTAATCGGGGAGCGGAGTTTCATGCGGGTGAGAATGCGGGTGACAGAGTTTTGAATAATTTGGATTTTATGGATGGTAGTGGAGGGGAGGCCGGTGAGGAGGGCGTTAGAGTAGTCCACCCGAGAGGTGACAAAGGCATGGACTGGGGTTTCAGCAGCTTTTGGGGAGAGGTATTGGCGGAGAAGGGTGATCCGTTGGAGGTGGAAGAAAGCGGTGCTGGTGAGGGACCGGATGTGGAGGAGGAAGGACAAGTGGGGGTTGAACCTGACGCCTAGGTTGCGTACGGGTTTTTAAATGAGCAATTTTAAATAAATAAACTTTCTTACTGAAGTGTATCTATGGGCATTATAGTTTACTGTAAAGCCTTGTGAAAGCAAAATATGGCAAAAGAACTGAGTGCATCTTTGGGTCAGTGGATTATTATCTTTCCAGCTCTGCTAACGAGCCACGTGATTATTGATGACTCAGGTTAACACCGATCTATAAACTGGTTTATGGCATTTTAACAGAATGATAACTATAGTGAGACACTGATGTTTAGGCATTGAACTAATAGGGATGGCAAGGAAACAATTTCTTTGCACCAGTTCATTCTCATTCACCCACAGCTTGGTTTAGGAGTTTGAAATACTATGTTAAATGTTGGTATAATTACAGGACAACAGCATACAACACAGCTACAAAATAAACTTTTAGTTTTGGAAACAGATTATCATAGCCCTGAATGGGCAGAACCTATTATTAGTTTCTCAAATAGAATTTTTTTTCAGAACACAGTAACAGTGCAGTTAGCGTTTGTACATTTATAAAAGGTAAGCATTATGGTTGGAAATTACCATTTGCAATATAACTGGACATGTACCAATTTGCAAACAAAGATATATGAAACTAAGGGCATTTCTGATTAGTATTAGCTGTTTGGCTGCATTCGATTCAAAACAAAGATGAATTGCTTTACCTTCTGTAACTCTCAATGTCAAATCTCTGAAGGTAGAATAGTAACTGCTTTTCACCATTTTGAGAATAGTGGCTATTTTGCAGACCTTCGGATCCTGTATCTTTATGAAATAATTGTAGTTATTATTAATCACTGTGATAACAAATAACCTTTCTCCACCTAAACTTTTGAAGCTGAGAAAACAGATACACACTGATGCATGTTACTTTCAGCTGCCACAGATGTGTTTGCAATAGATAGGTCTCTGTTAATGACTTTGTCCTGGCACTTTCCACAACATAGTTTTGTTTATTTGACAAATTGTCCAGACAATATGTAAATCTGCCAACATATTCAGTGGTACAGAACCTTCCGCAACAAAGAAATGTTCCTTGTGAAAGTACCAACCTTTTTTTCTGTCACCATCCGAGGAAATTGCATTAAGCAACAAAGCTACACCAGTAAAACATGTGAATACATGTCATTACCACCTATCAGGGTTTCTTAGCATTTTCCCACAGAGGGGAATTGTATTTAACACAAAGAATACAGTAATCTGTTCTATTCAAGGCAACAACAGCAAAATGTTTTGCTTGACACAGTATGTTAAGACTGATTGGTGAAATTGCCGTGCAATTGAAACTTTAGCTGATAAAAAGTGATAGACTACATGTAGAGTGAGACTGAACTGGCTAAATAGCACTTGAGAAAGAATCCACGCGTTTGATATAGTGCCAATCAAGTCAAAACACCTCAAAGCTCTTCAGAGGTTTTTTTTCCCCTTGTAAAGTGTAGTGACTGGATTTGTAGACAAAGAAGGCAGCCAAATTGCGCACAGCAAAGCCCCACAAACAGCCATGAAGTGAGTGGCTTTATCTGGAAATATTATATTGAAATCTTTCATCTTCTGGTCCTATCAACCAACTCTGCTACCCAAGAGATCAGGATTTAAAAACTAACACAGGTGTCGATTTAAACAGAGAATATTCAATGTGTTACACAGTTTAGGGGCAAATACCAACCTGGCTATATATCCCAAACATGTTTTCTTTCCTCGCTGTCCAGAAGTCAATTTCTGCATTCGGAACAGGATTCAATTCTTCTAACAGAATATGGGCTGAATCCTGTTTCATAACATCTGCTATCTGATGTGTCCACTGGATTACCATGGACTCAATAGAATGAAGCACTGCTCTGTCCATTTGCGGAAGGCTGCACAAAATAAACAAGCAATCTCTTGCGAGTTAGTGCTGTGTAGACTCGCGGAGCTAGTATTGTTTTGTTTATTTTACATTTTGCCACGATCTCAGGGCTTCACCCACGCAGAGAGTATTGATGACAAAGATTTTTGGACATTCCTCTAGAATTATGAGACACTTTGTCCACTTCTATAACATTCTTTAGACAAAATCAATACATTTATTTTCAATTCAACATGCAGAATTGCCTACACTTTTAAAAAGTCATCACAACATCACAACATGAATATGCACTCTCTCCCTGGAGGGACACACCCTGATACCTCATCCCTGGTTATTTTTAACCAATAAATAATATACAACAGTTAATTTTAAGAAATCGTTAATATAGAAACTGCCAGAATGTGTGTAATCAAGGAACTTACTTTACTGGAATTTCCATTTCTGGGCTTGTAATGACATTTTCAGCATTCAAAGGCAAAGCCAAAATAGTTTTTCCTTGCACTTGTCCACGAATAACCAAAGTGTTGCTTCGTATTATTTCCATGTACTTGTTAAGATCTTGAGACACTGCTTGTGGCCAACCCGAATGATTGTTTATATTGGACAGAACAGGAACTAGAACCTGGGAGCAAATGCAAGAAGGCAAACACAACACATGGTACGCTCCAAATAATATATCACTGTCTGGCAAGCTTTCCCACTGCCTGTCCGGCTAAGACGACCCTACCCCGTTAGGGCGTTGGCCTGCAGGATTAACAGGAGCTGAGTGGGTTGACTCCCTGCCCTCAGTCACTGGTCTGCCCTTCCAGGTCCTGCCGATCAGCCAGACTGTGCTGTCCTGTGATCAGCTGTGACCTGGAATACTGCGGACCCACCTGGCTCAGGAACCGGACTAACCGACACCGACACCGCTCAATTCCAACCGAACACAAGTGCAGAAGCGAAGGGCAATGGTAATGGCATCAAAAATATTTCTGAAATTTGCTAAAAAATAGCAATCAACAGTACAAATTTTCTGCACTGTTTATAATAACAATAATAATAATACATGCTTTGATATGGTGCCTTTTGAGAAGTGCTTCACAGGACTTTAATTTAAAGTGCAGTGGCTGTATTTTGTATATTATGACAGCAAGTAATTAGAATATACAGCACAGAAATAGGCCATTCGGCCCAACTGGTCTATGCCGGTGTTTATCCTCCACATGAGTCTCCTCCTGCTCTTCCTCAACTAAGCCTTCAAGCAAAACCTTCTAATACAGCAACGTGTCCATCCAAATGATTGTTGAGTTAAGGAGTTTTCGGTCTGGAAACGTTTAAGAAACCGGCAACACTCTAATTTTCTCCGATTGCTTATATGACGTCTTACCATTGCACAAGGAGAGCAACTGAGTAAAGAATTTACCATTTTACTACACTTCAAAGATATGTATTCTATTAATTATCCCAAAACATCCACAGGCAAAAGGACAAGAACAGAGGATTCTTGAAAGTTCCACTTTTTTTTAAATTGCGAAAAACTTGAACGGAATATTATGCCTTAATTTTAATTATAAATACACAATTAACGATAATAGGTCACAAAAGCAAAGCTCTCTATTCTGTATCCTTAATTTATGAGTATTTCCTTCCAACATCTCTTTGTTTTCCATTCCTTTCCTACTCTTTTTATTGTGTGTAAACTGGGACCAGAAACAAAATGCCAACATCAAAAAGTTCCTAGATTTCTAATGGCAGATGATGCCTGTGTTCAGTCAATTCTAACTATAATAAGAACTTACATCTATAAAATTATCATTTTGAATTACACGTTGAGAGATAGAGGTGAGACTACAGTTAAATTGAGGCTGATTAACTGCTACAGTTGTGTTGGATGTAATCAACATGTTGTTGGTAACGTGTACTATGTCCCTAACAACTTGCTTTTCATAATTAAACTATTTAATATTTTTAGCTCTTGCATGTACTGTGTGAACACAATAAACAAGTACCTTGTGAACCAATATACGTAGATACATCTAAAACTCTTGGTCTATTTGTCTATTTGCACTTTACAGTAAGACCCATCTGCTTGTCAAGCCAATAATGTAATATATTATTCATTGTTATTTAATAAGGTTGTATTCGGTCACTTGGTACCGTGAATCAAACAATCTATTATCAGTCATTTCTTTTTATGCTACTTTGATATTAATGAGTTTTGTGTTTAACACATTGACCTCTGTACTATTCACATCATCAGAGTAAAAAAAAATGTACATACATGGTAATCTTGATAATCAAATTTCGAGCAATCTAATATATGTAAATTGTTACCCAATTAATTTTGCTCCAGTCAGTAAAATGTATAATCATCTTTGTTATGGTCCATTTTTGCATATGACAAATTCTTGACTGTAAACATGATCACTAAATTTAATTTTGTAGCTAATACATTACGACTATTAAGCAAAGCCACATAATCAACCTCCTACAGTGCTAAAATGACTTTGCCTGGAGAACATATTATGCATTGAAAACATACGGTATTAGAATTACTTCAGGCTGAACATGGCACGTGGTGAGCGAAAATCATTATTTCTGGATAAACTGGCAAACAAAATAGAGTAAACCACAGTACAGTAATGTACTGGTTATTCTGCACCATGTGGTTCAGTATTGAGTCTGTGCAAAAGAGCAACGTGCGTAAATAGCTACGGTTCCTCCCTACACCCGATTCAAGGTCTGTCTCAACACCTACTGTTTTACCTCATTTATTACAACAGTGAGGTGCTCCACTGGGTTCTGCGAGATCTCTCCCAGGAAGAGCTCATTTTTGAAGGCGTTTTTTGAAATTTTCCGTGCACATTTCTTGAAAACGTAAAGTATTTTGGTTTTCAAAGTCAGAGGCACCTATGAGAAAACATCACTTTTAGAAACTTTGGAATCGTGGAAGCAAATGGCATTCATAGGATTCTTAATTTTAATTCAATTCGCACATCATACATCGAGGGTGATTAGTGCATCACGTGAGAACATAAGAATTGCTAGACAAAAGAAGACCAAGGTCCATCCAGTTCTCCTTCCACTATCCTGTCAGTCGCATGAACATGTCATGCCAGAAATTATATACTGTATTCCGAATTATTATTCACTGACAGAAATGTACCTAATTTATTCTTGAAAGAATCAACATAACCTGCTTCCACTGTCTCCTGGGGGAGCCTGTTCCATACTTTACATGAAATACAGGGTGACCAAAAAGTCTTGATACCTTTAAAGTGTTCTAATATGTCTTAAAGAAATGACGATAATTGTAAGATAATATAACAATAATCCTTGCATTTGATTCTCATGTCTTCTAGATGTCTCAAAGCGCTTCACAGAATATATTGGAAAGTGAATTTTGCTGTATTTGTGGGCGAAACGTGGCAGACAATTGCGCACAGCAGTGTCCCACAATCAGTCGTGGATTGAAGTGACCAATTTTATTGTTTTTGTTTTTTCTTGAGGGATTATTATTAGGCATGTGGGGTAAGGAAACTTGCCCAAGGTTTCACCCTGCAATAATAGAGTAGTTATCACTTTTTGGTCACCCTGTGTATATAATATATATATGTATAACTGTTTATTCAACACTATTTCATACATTTAGTACCATCAAGCAATTTGGGATGTCCTCCCAACCTGAAAGACACAGTATAAATGTAAATTGTATTCATACCTGTACCTCAGCATTCAAGGCTCCCCCAGGTCCAGTAAATAAGAGAAGTTTTCCAGGTTGTGCTTGGTCTAGAAAGTCTATCAAGAGTCTTTGGTTTTCTTCCACAGCCATGAATCTATTCCACTTTTCGGATTTCAGCTTTAACGACTGAAACACCTGCTCTTTGATAAAATCTATTCTCTCATCTCCATCAGCAGCAACAACACTGGGCTGGGGAACCCCAGGAACAACCTGATCTTCAGTCATCGAACCCTGGAGTGAAGGTGCCAAACACACAAAACACCTTAAAGTTATCAGAGAACTTAAGAGATAGAGAGAGACAGAGAAAAACTTTAGATTGCAATAAAAGAAGAATGGAGGGAGCTCACAAAAACACCAACAGCATTTTAAGAAGAGACGTTTTATTCCTATCAGGTCAAAGCTCTCTTCAACTGCAACTTACAGTTAATCAGGAGTCTTTCTTTTTGGAGGGTTTTAAGTTAGAAAACACATACACTCGCGTTTCATCCCAAATTATCTTTGTATCAACGAGTAACTTGGCTCATCTTGGTGTTACACTGCAGTTTTTTTCTGTGGGTTGTTCCTGTGCAAGTTGCCATCAACCCTCCACACACAAACACACACGCACACCTGAGCCCACTGTAATCAGCCGGGGTCTGGTTACATCAGCACACACACAGGTGCAAGGTGGGGTAAGGCTGCATGTCACTGACACAAAGTGGGTTGATAAATACAAACTATAACAGGTCTGTAGTTCAAAAACGTGTTTATTGTCGTTTGATAGTTGTAAAGATTTCACTCAAATATGGACAAAATGCATAAATAAGTACAACCAGGTGGAATGAAAAAAAATTGTTGCATCAATGGAAGTCAAAAGATACACTGAATAATGACTGCATTACTCAATGTTATTCATAGGTAAATATGATTGCAGCAATCAACAGTCAATGGTCAAGTAATAAATAAATGGGAGCTCTGCGCTTCAACTTGTCTAGATACCTGTTGTCTGGAAACTTTTCTTGTGAGAAACCCAATTTATAAACTACTTACAAGCGTTGGAAGCTCATTCACGGGAGACCTTATGCAGATTGAGGGAGTTTCCAGTCAAGTTTTTTTTTATAAAGCAACTTTTCCTTTAAGATCAAATTAAAATTTAAATGAATTACATCGACACAAACTGTTGGCAAGTTCTGCTGTTTCAAATTGATGTTAAAAGATTAATTATTTTTTTAAATGCAGCACTTTTTCAGAACTGGAATGTCACCTTAAGATGATGAGCTCAAATCCTACTGGACATTAACCCGCACTCTTGTGACCCAGAGGCAAGAAAGCAGCCAACTGACTACAGGACATTTATTCATCCATCATTTATTCCTACTTTTTACCTTGTTACGTTCACTTATTCAACATTAGTGGCCAGATAAACACAATGAAGTGGAACAGCTGTACTTTAACGTCAAGATCTGATAACCATATCAAGTTGCAGTAGTGGTGTAGTATCAGATAGCAGCTTTTGCGTCATGGTAAGGATGGATTCAAACTGTAATCCAAACTATTTTCATGTTTTAGCCAAGTTTAGCTGATAACATTCTCACCGTGGCACTGGCTTGTGAGTTTATTATCGAGGCTAACACTCCAGTGCAGTGTTGGGAGGAGCACTGCATTGTCCGAAGTGCTGTCCTTCATTAAATGGTGTCACCCGTCCATTCAGGTGGATGTCAAAGGTCCCGTGGTACGATTTAAGAGAAGGATGTTCTCCTCTGTCCTGACCAATAACCCTTCAGTTAATCATTCAACTCGATTGTTTTGTGGACATTGTTTGCGCAAATTGGTTGCTGTGTTTGCCTACACTATAGAAAACACGGAAGCACTTGAAACATTTCAACGAGATAACATACTATAAGAGGCAGATTTATTAGCGTCGAAGCCGAAGATTTCGGTCTTTTTTTTGCCGCAATTATTTTATAATTACATGAACGGGCAGACTTTACCGATTTGAAATTAATTATCAGCTATTTGAAGAATTTTAACCTTCCTGCTACGTGTGACCTAAATAAGTCTTTTGTGCTATTTGAACCAAATAATGGGGAAAGATACAAACACACACGTGCTATTAAACTTCACCATCAAGACCAGAGTAAATCGTGTTCTGCAGATTTCAGGGTAAAAGAAAAATTCTGAATTAGTGGAAACTCGTTTTATTTTATTCATGGTTTAAGATTGAAAGATCGGAAGTTTGTTGATGGTGAGATCTTACTTTATTATTATTTTGAAGTTTCAGTTATACATTATGGAGGAACATTTAAACCTAAACAATTTCCACATGGCATGTAACTGCTGATAATGTGTATTAATCATAGTTATGTATACATTTTAATATATAAAAAAAAGTATAAGAAAGTTTATATTTAAGTGTACTTCACTTAAACTTATATGGTGGTGGGGTGGGGAAAAAAGAAAATGGTATGGAAATATAAGTAAGCAATGAAAGTTTGAGCTATGATTGGAGATTCAGATCCCTTCTACTAAATCCGGTTTATTCTGCGGGATTAAAAATAAAAACAAATGACTACATGACTAGTATAAACATCTCACTATATTTGTGATTTTACGCACACAAAAACTTTACTATAGGAATATTGCTACATTACACATTATTGATAAATCATTCATAGATGTTGCTAAGAATCGAAGAACAAAAACAAATGTTGATATCACACACTTTATCAGTTGGTTTATCATAGCTGATGTATATAATAATTTGAATGTTTATTCCACACATTTGATTTCAGGAAGAAAAGATGAAAGGGGCGTTTTTAAAAGAATTAAAGTATAGAATTTAGTACAAACAGAAGCAGTACTTATTTTTTTTCAATTTAAAAAACAAGCACATCTATTTAATGTATTTGGAACAAAGTACTACAGTGATAATAATCCTTGCATTTGATGTAGCGCCTTATTACTTCTCCGAGACGTCACAAAGCACTTCACAGAATATACTGTAAAGTGAACTGACTGTATATTTGTGGGAGAAACGCAACAGCCAATTATGCACAGCGATGTCCCACAAACAGTCGTGGATTGAGTAACCAAATTATTATTTTATTTATTTATGGCTAATAGTACTACATACATGAATCACCCCTCGGGAAAACTAAAATTGCCAATTGTACTAACTTGATCCCTCATGAAATGGCATTCAATTTAAGAGATCTAGATTGACGAGTTGTGACAGGACTTCTGCACCCTTAACAGACATTGTATACATAATAAAATAATGTACACTGATGCATTTATTTGTAGTATACAGCAGATACAAATAGTCAAGATAAAAACTTCAGAATATAGCAAAATAATTACACAAAGGAAGGTGTACAAGGATCTGTAATGTATCAAATGAAGCTTCATATAACAGCAGCCACTTTTAAACTTCATCAATGTTAGTATAATCAAGAAGCTCAGTAATTTGGCAAACAACCCTTATCATTAGCAAAAAAAATGGCTTTTAATAAATTGAAAAAATAGATTAAGACTTCAGTCCCCATTTTACAACATTCCTCTTTTATAAAGAGCTTACCAATACACAGAAATGCATACAGATACTTAAATGACATTAAATTACAAACAGCTAGTTTACTCATGAGACTAATCAGCTTAAAGATTGCAAAGCATCAGCGGCTGTTTTTGCTTGAAATATGCCTATTTACATCAGAAAATGCAATGCAGTCAATTAGAAAATTACTATGAAATCGAATAGAAAAAAAAACTGAAATATGCCATGATAAAGGATTGTTCTCTTTCAACATGTATTCTGTTATAACAATAACTTTCCCATTTGGACTGCACTATTCTCAAACATTTCTGTTTTCGAGATTCCAAATTCACGCTTGCATAGCTATTTCCCTGTGTTTATAATCTGTCACCGTAAGTGTTAAGTTTTGAAAAATTGCTACTGTGTGGCGATCATCGGCAAAATGTACATGCAACATTACAAGTTGTTTGATATATATTTGAATAATTATTACAAATACATACAAAATAAGGCATTTTAGTGACATCTGTCATTCTTTTCAATAATACAGGAAATCTTTTGCCACTGATAAAAAGACGGCTGAAAAAGCTTAAAATTGACTCGCTTTTTGCTCCGTTATAAAATGACCAACGCGCTACTTTTCCTAAAAATTGTGATTTTCAGTCCATACAGTCATCCCCGCCAATCGTGACTAGTTGTATCTCAGTATTGTTTAATATATCATCGGGGTTTGTTCCGTCAGAAGTTCCATCATTCCCAATCCCTTCCACATGGCCCTGTTGAATATTTGCTATAACTGGTGACATAAGAGTTCCTCCCGTAGTAAGGATACCAACATCGGAGGCAGAGGTCACTTCCATTGATGAGATAGCTGCATTGTGGCTGGACAGGTTGACCCTCTTGTTCTGATGGGTTTTGATGTGCTTTGAGAGGTGGTCACTTCTTATAAAGCGTTTGGAGCATTCTGGACAAACAAACTTTTTCTCACCTAGAGAGTGAAAGTTCAGAAAATTAAGATGTTACTTACATTAACTGGTTTCACCACTCACGTGTAAATTATACGACTACATGTGCGCAAAAAAAATACCTGATGCTTTGCATTCCTATTTTGCCAAACCACCCATACTTTTCAGTGTTAACACTACATAATTTTTAGTGTCAAACATGAAGGGGACCTAAAGTATTTTAAAATGCTACTTGTGAAAGCAATGACAAGTTAAAAAACGCAAGACTTAATTGAAGAATTATCAAAGAAGCTTATGGTAATTATTACAATTTATCGTTAAATTAAATTCACATACCCTTAGGCTGGGAAGAAAGTGAGGGGGGAAGAGGGGGAGATGGTAAGCAAAAAAAAAAACAACCAGCTCCTTATTTCTATTCATTGACTGGATATCAGACAAGGATAGGATTGAGAGCTTGGCTGTGATGATTTATTGATTGAATATTCTAACAGCCGTTGTTCAAACTCAAACCTAGAAACAGGAGGAGACCATTTAATCTATCGAGCCTCTTCCACCATTGGCCACTTGAGCAAGATACTAAAGAGTGATCAGTGCCTGTGGAACCATACCTAAGAAAGCCGGCACATTCAGGAAAGAGGAGAGAAAACTGATTAAAGAAAAACCTGAATTCAGATTAATCAGTACAATGAACCAAGATGACAACAAAAAATGGATAAGATACAAAAAAAATCCATTGCCTTAAAAAAGCACTTGCATTATTTCAGTACAAATAATTAAAACCATATTTTATCCAATTAAATAAGTTTTTACTAAAACACAGCGATCAAGTTCATATACTAAACTGAAACAAAGAAGATTTTAAATGAGGCAATTTCAAAATCTAAAATTGGGGATTTAACTTCAGAGAAATAAAAAAAAACAGATGATCAAGTTGAGCAATTCTTTCCCTACCAGAAGACAACTGAGAATAGAACAGCAACAAACAAAGGGTTTTTGCTAGATTTTCTTGCAGAAAAAGGGCAAAATTAAACAACCTGTGTGTGTTTTTCTATGTCTTTGCAGCTCATCACTGCGAGTGAACCTTTTCCCACAGAACACCCAGTTACAGACAAACGGGCGTTCTCCTGTGTGCCAGCGAAGATGAGCTCGAAGGTGGGATGTTTTTCCATAAGTCTTTCCACAACCAGGAAAGTGGCAAATGTGCTGCTTCTTCTTGCCAAAATTAGCGGACCTGAGGGAAAATATACATTTTAAATATACAGATGCAAATATGCAAAATTTAAGTTCGTTCTTTGTTCCCATCAAGTCTCGCTATCAATTTAAACAGCATATCAAAGTCTAATAATTCTATTTTAATAGACCGTTGCAACTTGCATACCATTGTACATTTTATTCCCAGATTCACCGCATTCAAAAGAATTGCAAAAGATACAAAACCTAACTTTACTGAAGTACCTTTTTCTTTATTACAATCTGGTTCGATTGCAGAATCAGTCAATGATTTCATATAAAAATGAACCCTGAATTATGTGAATAGAACCTGAAAAATCACCAAAGTGATCTTTCCTTCAAGATCCTCTCTGGTCAACGTATAAAATAAGACTTTGGTGATAATTGAAGTTAATCATATTAGTCATATTTTCACTTTGAGAGTTCCCTGTAAGCTTCACAATTTGATCAGAGAATGTTTTTGAGGCACTGGGACCTGGGTCAAAAACACTACTGAGAATCAGGGTTTCGAACAATAAAGTATTTGCTGGCTGGGTTTTTAGCAGTTTAAAGTTTGGGCTTCTACGATTTAACGATAATTAAAAACTTCCACTCCTCCAACATGATAAATATTCCTAATTTGGTGGTGGTGGAAAACACATTGATAAATGAAATAACTGAATTCAACACTGCATACATCTCCTTTAATTAAAATGCTAACTCTGTAACACCATGTTTCACTAAATTTGACAACATTAAAAGACACACACTGTTGAAAAACCTACTTTCCCATGGCATCCTTGCAATTAGGACAAGTGCACGCCACTCGACGGAGTCGCTTTCCTGGCTGATACGGGAGATCAATGCCTTCTTCGTCCAGGTTGACAGACACTTGTGCTAAATCGTTGGAACCAAGGACTGCTGCAGTGGTCATATTGGTGACAGCTTGTGATCCCAGCCAGGATTCGGAGTCGTCCACTTCCTCTTTTATTTGTATACCTGAGATAGAAAACGTTCGAGTCCCATTGGTAAACATTATATTAATCTCTGCATTTGATATCGCGCCTTATCACCTCTGAGATACTGTAATGTGAAATGTAACACCCTGACAAGTATTCAATTTAAACAGAACTCTGCAACAAGACATATGTTTAACTTGCAATTATAAACTATCTATTACACAAAATAGTGTCTCACAATATAACAAAGGACTAATTATAATATCCAAATATGTGTTTGGGGTGGGGGGGGAGGGAAGAGGAAGAAATAAAGTGACTTATTTGTCAATGCACAGTGATTTATAGATTATACTACACTATCAAAAATCTTAATATGCAAGGTCAGGGAATTGAGGGGAAAAAATCACCTTATTAACTATTAAGAAATAAAATGCAACATGAATATCAATTAAATATTATTTTGATTTGACTCCTATTTGTGGATTCTGTAAACTCTTGTTGATGTGGATCTTTTCACTTTGTTTCAATCATAAGTAAAACAATATATCTAGCTCTGTAAAAAGGATCCAAAGTTTGCAAAGACAAACTATTTTGGTTAAGTAGAAACACTGGGTTAAGGCCAAGCCAAAATAAACACAGAATTTAATTTAGACACCATTTCATCATTTTAATATTTAGCCTCTCAGATTAAAAAAAACTAATAGTGTCTCAAAACAAGTTGGAAATGGGATACTAAAGAGATTGGGCATAGAAGTAGCACAATGCAACCAACTCTCAATTGTCACACTTATAAAGAGAGACAGATTATTTGCAATTTTCTTAGAAACTGGATCATTTGGTTCCCATGGCAATGACTTTTTAAATATAATCACCAGTCAAGTTTACTATGTTCTGACTAGAAGTCTTCTATTGTTTGGAAATTCAAATGTGAACTATTTGGCTTCATAGAACAATTAGATGTGCTATGTCCAACATTGCTGGACTATTACCACTATAGCATTCAGGTTAAAAAAAAATATTTATGTTGTGGGGGGGGGGGGAAATACCTTCAGAGTACACTGTACAAAACAGATGGGTCTCTGTAATGCACAATGTTACCATTGATAACTCAGTTAATAGACCATCTGGATGCAGGTGTTGGAACACTAATATTTTCCACTAAAAAGTGGCAGATCAGTTTGGGCTAAAAATATATCTGAAAAACAGTTGCCAAACTCAGCCATAGTGCTGTGGGTAAGACTAGGAAACTTGCAAGAAACTTGCAAAACAAACCACAACACTCGAACACGCTAATATTCTCAGTTCTTTACAGCAGTACTTCAGAAACGCCCAGAGACAGACTGCCCACCTAAAGATGACACACTGACACCAGATAACAATGTAGTGCAAAAAGACATTCTTGCTTTCAAAACAAAAAAAGGTACATCTCATTGTTACAGATTTTAAAGGATTCAAAGAAAAAAAAACACTTACTTCCTGGATTGTTTGCAGCTTGTTGCAGGTGAATGCCAGAAGAACTGAATGAATTTACAGTAGTAGTTTGTAAATGTGGACTCTGGGCATTGCTAACAGTCAATGGATTAGGTGCAATCGGTGTTAACGATCCACTGGAAGTGACTTGACCCAATGTGACAGCGTGCACTGGTGTGAGAGTTATCTGCTGGGCGGGTGCATTTTGAATCTGTACATTCTGCAAATTCTGGATATTCTGCACCTGAAAGGTTTGCCAGGTAATCTCTCCAGATGGAGTTAATGTTGGTGCTCGTAATATTAGGGATCCGGCATTTTGGACGACTTGGAGCTGAAGATTCTGCAAGGCTTGCTGAGGCACAGGCTGTGCTGTAATGGTTTGCCCTGCAACAGATCCAGCCGTCTGTATTGCTTGTTGTGGAATACCCTGAACAATCTGTGGCTGGACAGTAAACTGTTGATGTGGGTGGAGTTGAATCTGATGGTCACTTGACTCGGTGGCTGAAACTTGCACATTTTGCATCTGTGTTTGGTCATCAACAGTCGTCTGGAGCTGACTGACGTGAAGAATGTTTGTTGGCTGTATCTGATCAGAGGTCACACTACAACCACTACTGCTGGCAGCTTGTTGCACAGTATTGAGCTGGCCCTCGGAAACAACCATGTGATCTGCTGAAGCTGTTGGTACAAATGAAGTAGGATTGGTTTGGGAGTCACCAGAAGGTACAGAGGTCTGGACGGCGACATTGACATTTTGCTCGTCGGTCCTTGTTGAGGTATTTGAAGTGTTGAGACCTTGTGATGAAACGGGTACAATCATCTGACTTGATGTCGTAGGTATTGTTCCCAGAGAATCAACGTTCCCAATCGGCACAAATGCAACATTTCCTGTTAATCCAACAGGAACATTAGCCACAAGCTGAGTCTGACCAGGGTAGGAGCCACCACCGTACACTCCTTGAATTTGCACAGGAACATGGTGGGCATTGCTCTGCTGTATCTGAACCGAAACAGGCGATAAAAGATTTTGGGCAGTCAGAATACCGCCTGAAGAAGTTCTACCAGCAATTATTGCTTGGTTGCTGCCAGGAATAATTTGAATGTGGCTGTTACCGTCTTGTTGCAATGTTGTGTCTGCACTAGACTGAGCCAGGCTTAGCTGCAAGTGTTGACCATCGCCAGTCTGAATTTGTGGAATAACTTGGTATTGGACACTGGGTACACCACCGGTTGTAGCTGTGGTTGATCCTGGAGCCATAGTGAAGACTTGCTGATTCTGAAAGCTTTGTAGAACATACTGTCCACTTGTTGGTACAGAGGTTGTGATTGGAGATCCAGGAACTTGTCCTGTAATTTGCACTAGGTTACCAGCAGTATCTTTAGTTACAACAGTAGGTGTTGAGGTTATGAGCTGCCACCCATTTGAAGCTGATAACTGTGCAGATGCCAAATCAACCGGCTGGGAAAACACAACATAAATTTAATACAGTTAAAATAGGTTAATTATTCAGCCTCTCGGCCCCGAGGCTCTGGAACTCTATCCCCCAGTGCCTTCGCATTGCCTCCTCCCTATCCTCCTTCAAGGCCGGTCTCAAGACCTTTCTATTTCACCGTGCCTTCAGCTCCCCTCTCGACTCTCTACCCCCTCCTCGCTCCCTCCCTTCCCTCCCCTCACCCTGACCGTTTCCCCTCCAATGCTCGGGTCCTGACCCAACTGTACAGCGCCTTGGGACGTCCTCCCGACGTGAAATGCGCTCTATAAATGGAATCTTGTTGTTGTTGTTACCTTTATTGAATTACATCAAAACGATTTTAGTACTCGTACAAGTTTAAACACTTCATCTTGCTAAAATACTGACATGATAATCAGCACGTTTTAAGATTTTATTAAGGTATAATGCACATCAATTAAATAAGTATTGCGAAGTGTGGCATAATGTGGTATCTGATATCACAAATGGCATGGACAGATAGGAACAAGTTGCTTCCTTGATATTGACTGTTGCATGGTAAATGAGAGGGGAACCCAGAGATATTTTTGTTGGTCCCCACTTAAAAAAAAATATTGTGGCAAGGCAGAGATGGGAGAGGATTTGGTCCTGAAGCTTGGATTAATTATGGTATTGGATTTGGGGGATTTAGGGGCTAGAACTGTTTCATACCTAGGAGCATTTTATCTGAAGAGAAAAGTAAATCACTGAATACAATACAAATTTACATTTACATAACACCTATCATGTCAGATGTCCAGAATAAATACGGATTCTAATTTGGAAAAATAGACCATTAATATGCAAGTGAGTCACATTTCTCTATTTTACCTTTAAGTGCTTAAACCATATTCACACCTGTAAAAGTGTTAATGGTTGACAAATTACATTTTCTAAGCAAAATATCCTCATATTACAATACAAGTTAAAAAATGAACTAAATTAATATTTCACATAATACACCAATTTTCAACCAACTTCAATTTTGTTTCCAGTAAACTTAAGAAGCTTTCTATAATGCTTTCCTGGACAGATCACATTAAAGTCTAAATGCACTGAAAGACCTATATTATTTTGCTTAAGGTCAAACAGGCACTACTCATGTTGTTTGAAAAGGTAAATACATTCTACAATTAATGGAAGAAAGCTAAAAATGCTAAATTATTTTTAAAAAATAGTCCATGCAGGACTATCAGAAGGATATTGCAATCATTAGGCTCTTTAGTCATTGTAAACTGTCAATTTTTTATTAATATTCTAGAGAAATTTAACTGTCAATCTACACTCACAAGATGATCTTACTAGTACCTGTACTTTTTTCTTCATGACCAAGGGCAATTTCCATTGATAACATTCAGAACTAGATTTGATCTGAAAAGCAGTTAAAATTCAGAAAATGAACATTCTACCAAGTAATCTGTTTACCGTGGATTTAAAAAGCTTTAAGTAGATCTTGGTAGATTGTTTAATCCCAATACACTACCTTCTCATTATACAGTTTAATGCCTCTGCTATCCAAGTAAATATGCATATTTTTAAATATTCCTATTGTTCCCACCTTGACAGGCTTTCTGGGACAGAGCATTCCACATTCCCTACAAACCTCTTGTGTAAAAAATGCTTCCTGCCAATCTTATTTCTGATTAAAGGCTATGTCCCCTTGTAATGGATCCCTCTACAAGGAAGAGTTGTCCACAATCAAACTAGTCAATTCACTTATTTACACACCTGAATTAAATTACCCCTTAATATCCTCCATTCTAAGGAATGTAACCCCATCCACCCAGCCTCTCATCAAAGATTTAGCTTCTTCAGACCAGGTATTAATCTTGTGAACCATCTTTGTCACCCTCCAAAACTGGTATATCATTCCAAATATTGGGTACACAAAACTAGCCAGCACTTCAAACACAGTCTGATTGGTGCTATACACAATTGGAGCAACACTTAATAATAATAATAATCCTTGCATTTGATATCGCGCTTTTCACATCTTCTCGACGTCCCAAAGCGCTTCACAGAATATACAGTGAAGTGAATTGACTGTATATTTGTGGGCGAATGCAGCAGCCAATTACGCACAGCAATGTCCCACAAACAGTCATGGATTGAAAATGACCAATTTATTATTGTTTTGGTTTTTTGGCGGATCATTATTAGGCTCTGTGTGGAGTAAGGAAACTTGCCCAAGGTTTCGCCCTCTGCTTGGAATTGAACTCAGGTCTCTCACTTGCAAAGCGAGTGCTCTAACCACTGAGCTACAGGACTCCACTTGCTTACTTTTACATTCCAAACCTCATATAATGAATACTATTTGCAAACTATTCAATTAAAATGATAAATTACTGCTTTAGGGAGTAATTTCAAATAACTATACATACATATTAATAATAATCCTTGCATTTGATATAGTGCCTCATCACATCTTCGAGGTGTCTCAAATCGCTTGAGTACAACACGGAAATAGGGCACTGGACCCAACCAGTCTGTGCGATGTTTATACACCACACGAGTCTCCACCTATTCCTTTACTCCCTCCCATACTGCTCTCTCTCATGTGATGGTCAAACTTCTTCCTCTCTTGAATTCATCTATAATATCAGATTCAACCACCACTTCAGGCAGCGAATTCCACAATTTCACTACTCTCTAAGTGAAATAGTTCCTCCTAAATTCTCTTTTAGATCCTCCTGTCGCTATTTTTTTTGTTTGTCTCCTCGTCAAGGACTCCCCAACCAGTGGAAACAGTCTATTTATGTTAACATTTCCAAACCCTTTTATAATCTTAAGAGTCTCCTAGCAGTCCTAATGCAGATCCCTGCGGAACACCACTCCCTACGTTCTTTCCAGCCACAAAAGATACCCTTAACTACTACCCATTGCTTTCGGTTTCTTAACCATTCTGCTACCTTTCACGCAATTCCACACCCCACGTATTTAGTCATGAGTCTCTTATGTGGCACTTCATCAAAGGCCCTCTGGAAAATCCAGATACATTGCACTTCCCTTGCCTACTTTATCGGTTACATCTTCAAAGAATTTGATAATGTTGGTCAAGCATGACCTTCCTTTCATAAATCCATCTGGCTGTTCTTAATTATATTCTCCTTCTTCAGATGACAAGTTACTTCATCTTTTATTATAGATTCTAATAGCTTGCGTACAACTGATGTTAAACTGCTTGGCTATAGTTTCCTGGATTAGCTCCATCACCATTTTTTTAAATGAGTATAATGCATACCAATGCTATTGGGGATTTTATATATTTAATAGGGTACTCAGAAGTTGAAATAGTGACACAAGGACAACCACCGACAGGCTCAATGTGATCTGGGTGAAGAGTTCCAAACAACCAAACATTCAGGTACTTCTGAAATTAAAGGTGACCTGGCTCAATGCCAGGTGGGTAAAACACCACCACATGCATCAATAACAATTTAATAGCATTCTTTCCTGAACACAAAACACAGTCCTGATGTATCAGCATCCATTGTGCTTTTCGGTAGTAGACCAAAGTAACTTTTTGATATGCAAATTTAGTAAGTTGCATCTAGAGAAACATCCAAGAGAATTGAACAAGTTGCATTATTGTCAATAGTTTACACATCGCTTTGACTCAATGGGACAGAATATCCTCTTGCAATAGCAATCCCAAAGATATGATAAATATTTCCAGCAGCTGCAATAAAAACAGATTCCAATAGGTTTGCTCAATAACTTGTCTGAGGCAAAGCAACATTGTAAAGTTAGCAAAGAAAACCCAATTTGGAACAGACATTGGGGAAAATATGGTTATATTATACAGCACACAAGAACGTGAAGTACAATTTTACAAGAACAGTGTGACATAGTGGGAAGAAATCCTATACTGTACAACAATTTAGACGAGACGTTGGATTTTTCCTCTTGGGACAATCTGGTTCACTTTGGTTGATGAATTTCCCTGCTTACAGAAACGTTAGTCGTTCATTATTAGATATTAGTTTTAAGTGCAGGGAAAAAAAACAAAATCATTAACATCAATTATTGTTCAATAGGCCCTGTTACAGAACAGTGATGTTACACATGACCTAAAGAAATATATTAAGGCTATATTTATTATATACAATTCACTCCAAACCCTGTCTTCATGGTGATGTCGCCAGTAATCTTCTAGACGTCTCAAAGCGCTTCACAGAATATACTGTAAAGTGAATTGACTTGAATATTTGTGGGCGAATCGCGGCAGCCAATTGCGCACAGCAGTGTCCCACAAAAGTCGTGACCAAATTATTATTATTGTTTTTATTGAAGAATTATTATCCCCGGAAAAGAGATCCGCCAATCGACTAACAATCGAGTTTCTACTTACTGCCCAACATTTCACCCTGCCGGGAATAGAACCCAGGTCTCTCGCTTACAAGGCAAGTGCTCTAACCACTAAGCTACAGGCCTCTACAGTAAAAACATAAGCTATTTTCCACAGTAGCAACCACATTTGGGGAACACATTACAAATTCACAATGCACCATTTTTTGGGGGGAGGGAGCGGGGGGAGAGCGAGAGAGAGAGAGAGAGAAAGAGAAAAAAGGCAGCAGAAGTATTACTGCTGCTGGGGTTGGTGGTTTTTCTAGAGGTTTCTGCTGCATTCGGTCTGATTAAAACTCACCAGCGAAATGCCAGCTGGATTTGCTGCGGTCTCGGATGGTGGCGACCCGATCTTGCTGCAAGTCTCTCTCAACAGGGCGAGCGGTGACGGCTGGTTGTTCTACCCACAGGGGGGCGGGTTGAGGGAGGAAAGTGGGTGTGAATTAGTCTGTCCGGGGCTTACAACAGGAAGTCATTTTTTAAACACATCGAAATTTAAAAACGTGAACGTACAACCGACCCACACGCGCAAACACGCTCGCACGCACACACACACGCAGGTTTTTATTTTTTTTTATCAAAGGTATATTTTGCCCACAAAACTATACAGTCGATTCATCGCACAGCGCGTTCCCGTGAAGTGCTTTAAGACGTCTCGACGATGTGATGAGGCGCTGCATCAAACGCAAGGATTGTTATTAGGTATTATTAATGTTAAGACAAAAGAGAGGGAGAAGTGGGAGGTGCGGGGAGGGGTTGGGGGGGGGGAGGAGGAAAGGGGGGGATGAAGAGGCCAGGCTTTTTACCTGCTCTCCTGAACTCCTGTGCTGCAGATACTCGCTCTGCTTGTCCACGTCCAGAGCAGCCATTTCCTCCTGTTTCACCGGCTTCTCTGGGGCTGCAAATGGAGGGGAATGACATGAAAAATAAAGAGGAGAGAACGAGTGGCGGAGAGGAGAGGAGGAGGAGGGGGTGGGTGGGTGGGGGGGGGGGGGACATATTAAATGTATTTAACCAAAAAAATAGAAAGGGACAAGGTGGCAAAAAAAATTACTTCCTTCCCCCCCCACCCACCCTCACCCACCCCACTCCCCCCCCCCCCCCACCACCCCCTCTCTCTCTTCTTTTCCTCTTCTCCTCCTCTCCCCCTCCCTCCCTCTTTCTCCTCTTTTCCATTCCCTCGCCCCACTCCTCCTTCCCCCCTCCCCCCCCGCCACCCCCTCTCTCTCTCTCTCTCTCTTCTTTGCCTCTTCTCCCTCCTCTTTTCCATTCCCTCCCTCCCTCCCTCGCCACCCTTCTTCCTCCTCCTCCTCCTCCTCTTCTCTCTCTATCTCTCTCTCTCTCTCTCTCCTCCTTTTCCATTCCCTCCTCCTCCTCCCTCCCCTCCCTCCCTCCCTCCCTCCCCGGGGCTGGGCCCAAGCCTGCCGGCCCCCAGCCGACTGCCTCCCTCCCTCCCGCCCTTTCCACCCACTCCCCCCCCACCACCCTCCGCCTCCCCTCCTCTCTCTCTCTCTCTCTCTCCCTCCCCACACACACACGACCTACCAGTCATAGCGGGCTGGGGCTGGGCTGGGGCTGGGCTCGGGCTCACAGTCGGCGGCGCCTCACACGGTGACTATCATGGCGCTGCTCGGCGGCGGCGGCGATCGGTGGGAGTTTCGAAGCGGCGGGTGAAGGTGTTGAGGAGTGGGGGTGGGGGGGGGGAGGGAGGGAGAGGAGGAGGAGGAGGTGAGAGGTGGTGGTGGGGGGGGAAGGAGGAGGAGGAATGGCGGCGGTTCTTCCGCGGTGATTGACGGTGCGGGAGGCGCCGAAAGGTGGGGCCTCCGAGCGGAGACGGACGGACGGACGGTCGGTCGAGTGGTCGGTCGGTGGCGGTCCGGAGGGTGGGGGGCGAGGGCGGCGCGGTGATGGCGGCGCTGGTGCTGGTGGCGGGAGGGCGGGAGGTGGTGGGGTGGGTGGGGGGGAGCGGAGGGCGGGCGCTGAGGAGAAAAGAAAAACAACGACGTTGCTGCAGCCTCAACCTAACCTGGCGGCGGCGGAAGTCCCCGCCTCCGTCTCCCGCTTGGATTGGTCGGCCGGCGGCGGCCGAGCGCCGCCATTGGGCCCCCGCCGCTGTCCGTCGGGTCGGGTCGGGCGGCTTCCGGTGTCAAGTTGGGTTGACGCGCGCGCTTGCGGCCGCGATCTTAGACGACGATTAAAAAGGCGGCGGTGGTGGGGATTAAAAAAAATAACGACGACGACGTCAACAGCAACAACATAGAGTGGGGGGAATTATCCTGTTATTAAAAGTCAGTTGGGGCGGCGGCGGTTTTACATATATAGATATATATATATTGAGCGGCAAAAAAAAGGCCCGTGTGGGTTTCCCGCCTGGTGTCAGCCTCGCTCTGGTGCTCCAACCGCCCCCCTTGAGGGCCCGAAATCTCTCCCTCCGATTAACATAATAATAATAATAATAATAATAATCCTCGCATTTGATACAGCGCTTTTCACGTCGGGAGGATGTCCCAAAGCGCTTCACAGAACACACTGTAAAGTGAATTGACTGTATATTTGTGGGCGAACGCGGCGGCCGATTCAACTCATAAACCTCCTCCTCCTCCAACTCCTCCGCCGCCTCTTCACTTTCCGTCCGGACCCCCGAAAGGGTCCTTCCTTCGCTCCTTTCCTTTTTTTTTCTCCCCCCTTTTCGCCCGTCTCGGCCTTTCCCGTCGAGCGACTCGCAACGACGACGTGCGCCGACCGGTCGGGTCGGCGTTGGGGGAGCGCGGGGGCGCCTCGTCCCGGGGGGGGGGGGGGGCCTTCGAGGGGCTGTCGCGGTGTGTTTTTTTTTCCGCGCGGTCCTGCGGCGGAGAGATAGCGCGACGGCTCGTCTCGCCCGACCTCTGCTTCGCTTGCTTGCAGATAAGATAAGGCTGCGGGTGCGATGACTGCACGGAAGCGTCAGCCGACCGAGCTCAGCTCTCGTCTCTCTCTCTCTCTCTCGCTCTCTCTCTCTCTCTCGTCGGCGGGTTGCGGGTTTCCAGCCCCGTGTCGGGAGCCCGAGCGGGATCCGCCTTCCCATAAGACGCGCAAAGCCAAGGTGGCCTTCCTTTTCGGTGTAAACCAGGAATCGGTTTTATGTTTTCAGATCCCATCCGCACAAAAAGGGAAGGTTTTCCCAGAAATGGCCCAAGTAAAAAAAAAAAATTGTAAAACTCGGGAATTCGTGGCTGTTTTGCAGACATTGGCTCTTGCGTTCACCTACAAATACGGTCAATACACTTCGCAGAAAGCACTTCCAAGATCAGCCTATATCAAATGCAAGTACTTATGATGAAATGGATACTGAATGTGGGCCACGTATTGGATTCAGTTGAGGGAGAAAATAAGATGCATGTTGCGCATTTTTCCATTGATGCACACAAATGGCCTAACCAAGCCATTTGGGGTAAGAAACGTCCTACAAACGGTCAATGAACAACTGATTTTAAAAACAGTATTGTTTTCTGTTGAAAGAGATTGGGGGAGGATGTTTGACGAGTAAATCACAAAGTCTAAATAGGCAAAGGTAATGTCCTTTGATCCAAACTGTGGTGCTTAATAAAATTAAATATATGGATTGCTCCAATGTCACACCTGGAGTATTGTGTAAATTTCAGGATGAAAACACAAGGCCTCAGGCTCTGCAGACAGTACAGATGAGAGCAATGAGACTGATCCTCACTGGTAAAAATCTAAGATCAGCTTCGAAAACATACATCTTAGAACAGCTCTTATCGAGATCTATTATATAACTTATAATACGAGCGGAGATCTGATAGAGGTTTTTACAATTATTGAGGGTATTTTGATGAGTAAATAGGAGAAATTATTTCCATAGTCAGTGAGTCATTGACTGGAGGGCATCAATTTAAAATAATTAGCAAGGAAAAAACAAGGGTTGATTGGGATTTTTTTTTTTACAGAGTTGCTAGGATGTAGACTGCACCTATAATTATATATATTAAAGATATAGAAGATACTAAATGCAATAGAGAAAGTGACCACAGGACAATACATTTAGTTATTGCTAAGGCTGAAGGACAACATCGCATAGGTTCAAGATTGGCCAGAAAACTGTAGCTCAAGCATGACTCAAGCCTTGGTTTGCAACTTTTCCTTGTTTCATTGGTCAACTCAAATCATTCAAAAACACATTAAACCAACTGCATTTTTTGTCTGAAAAAACCTGGAGTCAAGTATCAAGGTAAACCTACCATAGAAAGGCTTACACAGAAGCTGTCTTTGTGCTAAATGTCCAAGTAAACTCGAATATAAATTTACGAAAACATCCTTACTTATGGTTTTATAGCAATAGTTATAAATTGTTCTTTTTGCAGAGGTTACTCGAGCTCAGCAGTAAGCTTCCTGCTTCTACCAGCTCCAGTTATAGTAGACAGAAAATTGCTCACAGGTGTTAGTTCCTCATCATTTTATTTAATAAACAAGAGTTCAAATGTGGCCAAGCAGCAATTTCCACTGAAACTCTGTTGCATCAGTCTTTAATATGACAACGCAAATGGCGCACACATAGAACCATAGAAATTTACAGCACGGAAGCTGACTTCTCGTTCTAGCTCAAATCTAACATTTTAAAATATACCTGTTAATGGTGGCTTGGAAAGACAGTCTGTTTTGAGGATCCACTGAGATTTTAAGAGGGAATTTGGTCACTCTTGCATTTGATCTACTCTCTTTCATTTCCTCTGCTGCAGTGTATAAAAAGCTTTAAATTACAAGGAAGGGTGGATACTATTCGTGCTATAAAAATGCAGAAGTAGGTACCAAACATAATTGAGGTTTCTACATGAAATTCAACCACAAAATATACAGTCAATTCACTTTACAGGATATTCTGTGAAGCGCTTTGAGACGTCTCAATGGCTCTATATCAAATGAAAGGATTATTATCATGAAACAGGCACTCTGAATTTATTTTCCTTTTCAAAATCTCTTTCCCCTCCCATTTACTGGAAGGCAAAAAAAAATCCACAATAAATAATGGTAAATTCACTTTTTTTAAAAAAAACCCATCTAATTCAAGTCATTTGATCAAGGCTATGGGTGTGGGTGGTGGAGGGGAGGGGGAAGGAGGGGAAGAAGAATTTATAATTAATTTAGGAATTCAGGAAAGGCAAAATGGGAGGTGGAAATGGTAGCATACATTACAGTATACAACATCTCTAATCCCTAACACTCTTCAATGCATTTATAAATATGTAGAGGTTAACTGTAAACGAATAAAAGCAAACCACTCAGGCGGATTTCCGGGTTGTACTAGAAAAATACCATCATCGCCAAAAAAAACCCCTGTAATCTATGCATCGGCATTGCACTCTTCTCGATCATGAACCCATAATACAGACATGAAAGTATTTGCCTCACGATGTCTGTCCACCTATTCAAGCTTTCAATAAATCATCAGTAACCTAATCTTTATCTTTTAATGAAAAGAACCACTTCTGAAATATAATAAGTGCTGCCCCACATTGCCAGTTACTGTATCATACACACGTCTTTAAATTCTGTAATCAGCAACGACCAGGTGCCATATCACATTTAACACACCACAGTCAGTCAATACAGACATCCCCAAACACACCAAGACTGTTTTTGTCAAATGTTTTATTGACTGTAAACATCTGGAGTACTGTAAAACATGCATTATCTGTAGATTCAGAAAGGAACAAATGCCATTGTCTGTTCTGTCAAATGTGTCAGGTTTGGCATCTAGTGATGGAGATTAATGAAGTATCATGAGAGTAATGTGGTTCTCGAAATGTTCCAATTTGGAGTGGAGGTTTAATCTTAAATTAAAAGCTGTCGACATTTAGTGAACCTACATTTCACTGGAGTAACATTATCTTAGTCCAGAACAAACATGAGGATACAATTAAAGGTAGTATAGGCTCTGTCCCCTAGAAAGTCTGAATCATGATTTACAGTCAAATGTGTCCAAAAATTAACAAATTCAATAGTTCACTTGTTTTTAGAAATACAGATGAATCCATGCATATGCAACAATGCATGAGCATATTCCTGACATGTGTCAAATTTTACCAGGTATTAATTAATATACTCCTTATATAGCCAGATAACAGAATAATCAAGTATTTTTATTTGCAAGTCTGGTTATGTGCAATGTCTTGGGCACAATGACACAATTGCATATGCCACAATTCTGCTGTACTTTAAATTCATTTCTTTTTTGCCTGTTGTGGAGTATTGAATTTGAAAAAGATAATGTCTCCATCTTCAACGATGTAATTTCTGCCTTGCTGTCTGTATTTTCCAGCAGCCTGCAAACAAGTACAACAGTACATATCATCAAACAACCCCAATGCAGATAAATCATGTACAAGACAAATATATTTCAGTTTTGAATGCTGTAAACATATCCAAATATAATTGCTGCTTGACATTTAATTTCTTTGAAAATTCCATTTGAAGTTTCCTTTAGACAGAAGGACCAGGTGTTTTTATTCTTAAGGGCAAATATTTCGGATTATTTTCTAGTTTATATTTCACTGATTATGCAACTTAAAATGAAATAGATGTCTTAATTATTTTTAGTGAAAATGTAATATTCATTCGTTTTGCTTAAAAAGTACAGTCAATCTACTTTATCCTATGAAACGCTTTGAAATGTCTCAACAATGTGATAAGGTGCTAAATCAAATGCAAGGATTATTTATTACTAATTTAAAAGTAGATAGAAATTGCAGATCACTCTCTAATGGATCCAAATAAGACTTCTCTCTTCTCCCATATCACGTGCAAATCTAATAGTTTATTCATCTACATTCTTCATTGACTGTTTATTATTAACTCTTAGCGTAACACTCCACAGCACTTTGAAACATGTTTTTCTCCATGGTACGACCACAGAGTTCCATCCTCTATCTCCCCTCCCCCTTCTTTAAGTCCTTCCAATACCACAACCAAGATACTAGATACTCAACTCATTCTGAAGCTCTGTCGATGTTAGTCTTGAACTAAATGCCGGTAGGTGTGTGAGAGAGAAACGATACAACTCAACTCTCTTTCACTACCTTCCCTAAAAGCGCCCTATCTATTTGCCACCTTCTCTCCCCCACCCAACCCCCTGTGGCTGCTCTATGACTGGAAATCATTGTGGAAAATCACAGATACAAATCTAGAATGTGACCATTATAAAAGCATGTTGCAGAATATTGCAAGTGTTCATCTAGGCCACCTATGTACATTACTTTTTTGTTACAGTTTGATCTTATAGTGTTAAATGGGAAGGAGGGGAAATGTTTCAGATAGTCCCCAATCACTGCAAAGAAGCTTTCTTAACAGGTTAGAATACATAAACCTTACCAATGATCTCTGAGGTTTTTTTTTACCACAATAATTTGTGCTCAATATAAACATGTTTGTTTTAAATTTGTATTCAAAATATTAGCAACATAGTTTTTTTAAAACTTGGAACAGATGAAAAACAAATGTGGTAAACGTCAAATCAACACAAATGCCATTTTAAGTGATACACTGTAAGCAAATCAAATACTAATAAAATGATTTGCCAAGTTATATTAAAACAGTAGAAAAACAAATGCAAAGCAAAACATACGGTATCTTCAGTGATGGGTTTCAATTTTTGAAAAAATAAACTGGCAATAGTAGTGTTTATTAGTTTACACATTGTATTTTTCAACGTACAATTAATTAAAAGACTCAGTGTTCATCGAATGCTCTAGGGACTATTTAATCCATTCTTATTACTTGAAGAAATAGTATTTAAAAAATTCAATGGCTATTTGTGAATCCTAAATATGTATTAAGCTAGATGGTGTGTAACCAGTTCATTTGCACTTGAAAGCAGCCATCTGGAGAGGCCAGCATTTCACAACCAGATATGATTGCTAATAATGCAACATCCCTGTAGACTACAAAGCCCACACAGAGCCATTCAGTGTGCAAGTTCACAGAACAAAGATTAAGTGTTATTAGTCAAATCAGTGGCATACACAGAATGCTTGTCTACTATGACTTTACTAGATAGGCTCATCTTACAGCTTCTCCACACAGTATATATTAAGCCCTTTAAGTACTGAATTTTCTTCTCTTGTTTTTGAATTGCGTATATTATTTTAGTAGGATCTTTGAAAAGATAATCTGCTGCCACCAACTATTATAAATAAGTGAATCACTGAAAAATACAAATATGTTTGTCTCTACATCTGAATACAATAACCAATAAAATTCTATTTACCATCCATTTATTTTGGTATTAGAATTATTAATGCAATCCCAAAACAGTTAAATCACAAAATATGACTAAATAAATGTACCTTCAATACTTCCATACGTTTAAGCATAATTCAGGATACTTACCTCAATTTAAATACTACACATTTTTTTATATTAAAATGTGCATGTGTTTATGGTTTGATTAAACTTGTTCCAAGTGGCAAAACAACTGCACTGTAATTTGTTTTCCCACTTTTTTCCCTTGTTTTGCCTTCCCTGGATAGTCTAGATTAGGACAGTTAACATTTTCAATGAATCTCATCAATAATGCATTTGTGATCAACTAAATCACAATGTATTTCAAATAGGAGTGAGCTGGACAGTGTCAGTATTTACCTCCCCCAAAGGGAATGTCCAGTATTACATTGCGTTTATCACACAAATGATTACAGCAGAGAAGAGTACTGTCCCCACTGTGTATGTGACTATGCAAATGCTACGCTTGTCGGCCTTTCCAACTCCTCCCTCCACAGGCTGCAGATAATCCAGAACTCTGCAGCGCGTGTCCTCTCCCGCACCAAACTCCATGACCCCATCTCCCTCGACTCCACTGGCTCCCTATCCTTCAGAGGATCCAGTTCAAGATCCTGGTCCTCACCCACAAAGCCCTCAATGTTCTCGCCCCACCGTATCTCTCCCCTACCTCCTAACTCCCTACCAACCCGCTCCCTCCACTCAGCCGGCCCTGGCCTGCTACACGTCCCCCGACCCACCTGCCCCACCATTGGTGGGAGAGCCTTCAGCCACTCTGCCCCCAACCTCTGGAACTCCATCCCCCAGTCATTCTGCCTCGTCCCCTCCTTAACCTCCTTCAAGTCCTGCCTCAAGACCCTCCTCTTTGACCATGCCATCGGCCACCCCCCTTCCCCTCCCCTCTCCCCCCTGACCCCAGCTCGGGTCTGACATGCTGTACACTGTCCAATGCCTTGGAACGTCTTCCCGACGTGAAAGGCGCTATATAAATGTAATCTTGTTGTTATTGTTGTATGCTGTTGGTAGCTCCTCCATTGGAGTTATCGAGCCCAATCCTATTCCCTTGTTCTTTGCCTATAGTGTCAATCTGGCTTCCTTTGTTAATAGCAATCAAATCTGGCCAACAAATCCCCCCAAAATAAAATTGGTCATTCATTTTGTGGCTGTTTGTGGGATAAGTCTTAACTTTCCTCATCAGTTGTGAAAACTGAGGCAAAATGATTCTTACTCAACTGCACCATTCGTTCATTCTTAACTACATGCATGTCGCTTTCACCCCTAATCTTGAGTTTGACTGGGGACTGATGTAGAGGTAGCCATATGTTGGTAGCCATAGTGGTTGTCCTAAAACATTTAAGATGTGACCCACTGGTTGAAGTCGAGCACTTAACTGTGCGAGCGCCTAGGACCTTGACGTTCTCCCGACGTGAAAGGCGCTTTACAAATGTAATTTTGTTGTTGATGCACCAATGATGCCAATTATAAATTGGAGCTGACAATGTTATCCAAAAAGACACCAGATTAACTATCCTTCTGTCGTGTTTGAATACTGCAGGCCCTACACCTTGGGGATGCCTGGACATGGCTGTTAGGATTGTTGGTAGACCCAGATTGAAGCTTTGTGCTTTTCTGCTGGAATCAGCTCAACTGTAATAGATAAAGTAAAGCTTTCTCCAAATTACTGGGACCCATTGGATTTGAGCATAATATGCCAGTGCTGTTCCTGCCGTTAAGATAGTGCAGGCCTGGGAGAGATGAAGTGGCAAAGCAACAGTGCAGGAGACCCAAGCCAAACAAAAGGAAAGGCAACTGAAAAAACAAGGTGAAACGAAAAACATACAATGAGAAATAAAGAACAAGAAAGCTGTTACAAATGTTTTAATTCCCTGAAAACAGAATAAGATCGCTGTTGAAATCATTCAGAAAGCAGTTCAAATGTTGAAGTGCAGAGACATGCTGTTGTAAACTGAAATCTAACCTTTCATCATTTGGCGTAAGTTTTCATATTTTTGAATTTGTAACTATAAGCTACAATGTGAAACCCAGATGTCATTTAGGTGTTGAGAATGTACAACTCAAGATAGTTGGCTAATCACTGATTTTTTAAAAAAAAATTAGTTCAATCAGCATTTTCTGTTGAAATATTTGGGATTTTTTTCTCTACAAATTGGCATTGTTTGTGCAGTTAATATCTTGTTGGTGGGTTTAAGTGGAGCCCTGTTTAATGGAGTGGTTCCAACCCACTATAACGAGGCACAATAGCCGGTTTCACTGAGCATACACACATCCATCAGGTTTCCACTGACAAATTCTGTGCACGCATAAAACAGGAAGTGACGCTGCCACCAAACTGTATATTTTACTGTGGGAAGTTAAAGTGGCTGACTTCTGGGTCCTCATATCTTCACCTTCAAGTCCGGCATTCTATGGTTCAGTCATTTATAAGTTTGGGCCTACTTTTGCAGTCGATATGGAAATCTGAAACATTTGGCCTCTTCCAAAAATATAGATAGATAATATCAGGTAACTGTTTCGCACAGGAGTTTCACAGTGTAGAAAAGTTTCACTTTTCACTCCTTCGCATCCTAAAATATATTGTTCTACAAGACATAAACCAGTGCAGTATATTTCTGTTACTTTGAACATATAGTAGGGGCGATCAATTAGGATCAACAACAGCAATGTGCAATTATATATCACCCTTCACTCAGGGTAGCATCTCTGAGCGTTTAAAATGAGGATTGTGTCAGTTGGTAGCACTCTTGCCTCAGAGACAGAAGGTTGTGGGTTCAAGCCCCACTGTGGGATTGGAACCCATATAGTCTTAAACTGACATTCAAATGCAGTGGTGAGGCCTTTGATGATACGTTAAACCAAGGCGCCATCTGCCTATTTCGAAGGACATTAAAGATACCATAGTGCTATTCGAAAAGAGAAAAGTATTTCTCTCGTCTCCTGGCCAACAATTCCCCAAATAAAATAGGTCATTTACTTCATGGTTATTTGTGGGACATTGCGGTGTGGAAATTGGCTGTCGCATTTGCTCATAAAACACAATAAATACACAAAGCATTTGAGACATCCTCCCGATGTGAAAGGCGCTATATTGTAAGGATTGTTATTTAAAAGTACAGACTGAAAAGTACTTTAGAAAAAGCTAAATAAATTTAATTGTAGGAACATGGGTATAATAACTATAGGAACATTATTACACAGTGAAGGTAGAAACATTCTTACATTTACCAGCTCCAAATACTTTGTGCAGCTGAATAACTGAAAGGTTAATTTGATAGAAGCAAATAGGTACTTATGTTCATTAATATTGTAGGTTATAAAATAAACTTTTACTGTCTTTGTACTGAACCTGCCATCTAGTGTTTAGAATGTAGAACAGATTAGCTCCATGTCTTTTGTAGTCATTCACTTAAGATATAATTATTGTTTAACTTATTTTTAAGATCTCAAAACCTGTTATGGTTAAAGCTGCAGTAAATGTTGTACTTCAGTTTTATGTAGTGATGGTTATTCTCTCCCACAACCTGAACAAAATTACCTTTAGAAAGGTAAACCATTATTCTGTGAGATTTATTTAATATATCAACTGTATATTAAGAACAACAATCAAGAGTTTTAAGTTAAAGGCACAGCCAGAAGAATCTTAACATCATATTGATATTAAATGTATTAAACTGCAGATTACTGTTTTACAAGTATTTATGATTTGGTGATCTGCTTTGTATGTTCCTCGTGCCCTCTGTTCCACCATCAGTGGCCGCACTTATAGCCACTACGCCCTGAAACTCTGGAAAACTCTTCCTCTATTCCTCCGCCTTGCCCCTTCCTTCCCCATCTTTAGATTACACCTAAGAGCTTCCTATGGTCACCTCCTTCCTCCCCCCAGCTCGGAGTCCTTCTGCCACTGTCAAGCACTCTGGGATGCTACCCTGTGTGAGGGGCGCTATATAAATGTAGGTTGTTGTTTGCAAGAAATATGATACAGTACTCACATGAGAGTTTAATGAACTGTTTCAGAGGAAAATATAAACAAATAATTATACAAACTGTATGTTATTTTCAAGACAGCTGAAATGATGAGGTTCTAGCAGCAATATTACAGCTAAAGAACACTCTCTTCTGTAAGTTTTAAGAGCACTAGTTATTGGCATTAAACAAACATTGCAAATTATAACTTTATTAAAATACTAGCTGAAACAATAAATTACAGCGAAAACTGTACTGTTTATCCAAGGAATTGATACTGAATTTTTCATGGTTGAGAATTAGCATTTTAAAGTAACAAAATCAATAAAAACATCAAATCCTTGTTATAAAGAATAAACTGTTTCTGTATGCTTTGTAGGCTTCATTTTGAAATAGCGTCTAGACTTTTTTTTTGGGCTATCACTCACTCCTGGATTCAGTTACCTTGCCAAGTCTTTGCAACAGAACTAGGATAATTCTTTCCCCAGTGTAAAAGCACAGTGCATTTGTATCAGCAGTCTTTTCTAAAACTCAAAGTGACTGCCACAGTCACTTATCACTAGAGACTTCTCTTAATTCAAAGAAATGTCTAAAAAGCTGCAATAGAAGTCTCACCTTGACAGTGGATTCAGAGCCCTCTTCTTTAAAATCTTCAAATTTCATTACTTCAGCCATAATGAAGCCCTTCTCGAAATCTGTGTGGATCTTACCAGCAGCCTGAGGTGCCTTCGTCCCTTTCTGTCAGTAAGAGACCAAAGCAAAATTAATTGTTTTTAAGAAGATGGATTACAGGAGCGCCACGTGTCCCTTTGATACAGTATAAGGTTCAGAGAAACTTTGCTTTATATCACTTGGCATGTCAAGTATACAATCAGCCTTATCCTGATATTAGGATGCCAATTTAGCAAACTCCAGATAAAGTCAACCCTGTTATCAATGCAAAGCAGCAATTTTTGATACAGATTTCGCAGCTAGTATTGATTTTAGATGAAGTAATCTTGTCCTTGTGAGCCTCAGCTACATCTCCTCTCATTTAAGGTGTCTGAGGCAATGTTTTGGTTACATGAGCTGAGACTATAATTGAATTTATTGACCCAAAAAGGACACAAACAGCATTTTTTCAAAATGTTAAACAAGGTTTGTTTGTATATTGCATTTTCACAGTACAAACATTTGGTACTCAAAACCAGAAGAGAAAAAAAATCAACTGAATGTTTTTATAAAACTACTTTTAAAAGATTCATGTTTGTTGCAAAGATTGATACCAAAATACATATATATAAAATGTAGTTATGACAAAACATCTGCAATTAATGTTAATAATGCTTTTGTATCCTAATGAAATAAAATATTGTTTAAATGTGAGTTGTACAAAATGGAGTGTTCGTCATTCCTACAGCTTTACACAAGAGAAAAACTGCATGTTAAATTCTCAAGAAACAAAAGATTGCAAACAAGCTTTTAAATTGTGATGTGGTTCCATTTTATGCTTAATTGTGGCAGCCTATGATGCAAAATTTCTGGTGCTTTGGCAGGCACATAGATGGAGACAAAGAGTGATGTGCTTTATCTGCACAGTTTGTATTTGTTCTATGTTTAATTAGGCATAGTTGTTAATTAGTTGTTAATAGAGCTTTGTTTGCTTATTATTTCCACAAACTGTGGCACAAAGTAGCTCTCAGATACAAAAGAAACAAGGACTGAAACATTTTATCCCAAAGTCTGCAACTGGTAACTGGTAACAATTTCGTAACTGGCAACTATTGTGATCTACAAAGCATAAGTAAATTCATTTTATTATTAATAATCCTTGCATTTAAAGTGGTGTGACTGTGTATTTTGTGGGTAAACACGGCACATCAATTCATGCTCAGCAATGTCCCACAAATAGCCATGAAGTGAATGGCCAATCTTATATTGCCCAAAATACCAGGAGAAACTCCATTCTCTTTTCGAATAATGCTGTGGGATCTTTAAACGTCCACCTGAACAGGGAGACTGGGCCTCGGTTTAATGTCTCATCTGAAGGATAATAATAGATAATAGAGCATTGATAAGTGCATCTACCATAAATCAAAGTTCAAGTTTATATAGGAGGACAGGAATACAATATTATGTAATTGTCCATATGCTGAATTATAAGGGTCTACACTGTCAAAAAGGCTATACAAGGAAACTCAACACGTAATGGTGACCTCAAGGTTGCTTAACAGAGCATGGTAAAGTGCCTGGCACTACAAAATTCAGTTTTCATAATAAAAGATATATTGAGTTAATATAGTTACTCAGTGATGCTTACCTGACTAAATGTCCCTGAAACATTAAATCAAGGCTACTTAAACAGAATGTCTGAATGAAACTACATTAATAACAATCAATGGGGAGTAAATTACCATGCACCCCAAATGGGATTTTTCATGTATAATTCAACAGGGAAAACAATAAAATAAGTCAAAGTGAAAATTAAATCTGCTTTATGGTTAACTGGAAGTTTTTGTGTGGGAAAAGATATGAAAAAATAAAGTGCCATAAAGCGCGCGGTAATTTTACTCCCCATGTATTAAAACTGCATTAAAAAAGCAAAATTAAACAACAATCTATTAGAAAGGGAATAGAAAACAATTAGAATTTGGGGTCAAATCATGAGAAGAATAAAAATATAGTAAACCAGGAGAAAGATGCCACTTTTCTCTGAAATAGCAACAGCAGAACAATCTCTGAGCAGAGTAAAAGACAGACAGAGTCTAAGTTGGTAACAGTCAAAGAATAAGATGATAATCTGGAAATAAATGCGTCTTGACCCATCGCCGCATGCACATTTAATGGCAAGCATTGAAATCGTATTGAATCATAGGAAATTAACTTCTTATGCACATGCTTCGATGGATCAAGACTGAGTTTCCCACAATACAATGGAGTCGGCCAGTAAGTGCACATGCGTTGATAGGTCAGTATGTCATTTCCCGCGGTTTAACGACAACAACTTGCATTTATATATCGCTCTCAACGCCGGGCGGCATCCCAGACCACTTCATATTGTCGCAGCCCAATGCAGTCGGTAAGTACGGGAGTGATGGAGGATAGAGGAGCGACATTAAAACTAGTGAAAATAAATCTGAGTGGTTAACTAGAGAACAAATGGTAACTCAGCTGACTTTTTCCTAAACTTATGACCAAAAGCTTCTGCATTTGAATCCTGAGAGGTCCACTCTACTTTCATTCTCTTTCTGAGGGTCCATTAATTCCAAGGACATGCATCTAGCAAAAATACACAGGTCCTCAGGCATTATCAAGCCTAACAGATTGGTCAGCGATCATCAATGAGACTCATGGACGGGGAGACATATCCTTAGCCCTATGAGCCTAACAGGTAGGGCAATCTCAGCTGGACAAGTACCATGAAATTTACTACTGGTAAGCTGCATGGTTGCCATTACATTAACTAGAGAAAAGGTCACGGCTATATAGTTAGGGGAGTTTAAAGCACAAAATTGACATCAATTTAGAATAACAGGACGCAATAAATTTACCTTTAAATGCAGTGAATGTGATTGTACATCAATTATATTATTTTGTGAATAAAAGCAGTGTCACCTGCATATGCTGATTTAGTATGCTTTATTAAACTGTAATCTATTAGAATCATTCACAAATCGGTCTGCAACATTTCCGATAGAACATTTTACATTTCATCCTGCAAGTTTTCAGTTAAACGCGTCGAAAAAAAACATCTTAATGCACATTTGCGCAAGCATCAACCTTGGGTGGAAAATCAGCATAAAAATCCAAATATAAAACTAATTAATAAGGAGTCTGGCTTTGACAATAATAAAAAAAAACACTTTGCATGTAACTAATTGTATTGATACAATACTCGTAGTTTAAGAAAACGATAGTCAAGTGAGGCAGAAGAAGCCACCCACAACCCAAACAAACTTAGCAAATACCAAATGAAAAGCGACATCAATTTCACTGGCGACAAACCCAGTCACACAGATTAAGCAAGCACAATACTGGGGTGCCTTATCTCTGACCACAGGAGGAGGGAAGACAGATTCTGCAGGATGAAGAAATTCCTGCTATGTAATAGGCAGAATCAATTGCTACCTACCTCAATCAATGCACCCCACTTTCACCGTTCAACAGCTCACAAATAATTAAAGTTAACATGGACAAAACCTCATCTATAATGACTAGCTAACCACTGCCGTGACAAACTTAAAAGTCAGTGATATCAATCTCAATTCAACAGCGTGGAACTGTGTATGGCTGACAACAGAGACTGCGAAACGTACCTTTATGGTCCACGCTCGCACTTCATCAGGACCTGCAGTAAAAAAGTATTCAAGCTGGAGCGCTGAGAATCCAGTCTTGATGATCTTTGACAATGAACTGAAATCACAAAATTTTAATAATGTTTTTCCGACTAAGAAATCATTACATTTCAGTTTCAATTTAAACAATGTTTTGGGGTTTGGCAAAATACACACACACACGTGCTATACAGTACAGATATGAGATAAATAAATTGATTGACTGAACAGGTTCAGATAACTGAATTTTAAAAGTGCTGCTTTTATTGTCTTTCTTTAGGGCTTCAGCAGAATCATAATTGCTTTTTTGTCATTTACAACGAGAGCAAATGTACGTGTTCAATGATGCAGCTGGAGGTTCCTACCCACATGTATATCAAGAGTTCAAAAATGACAGCCTATAGTCTGGATTCAGATGGTGAAGAAATCTGTGTGCGTTACTCACCCACTTTGCTCTGATTGGATGAACCAGGCAGAGTTTAGGTTAGACATATTGCAATTGGTGGCGAGGTGTCAGGAAAGGATAGATGGAGAGTTTCACACTCAGTTGTTTGTCTGCTGCTGAGGAAGGGGATTAGCCAAGCCAGCCAGAAAATTACTCCACGGAAGATGGAGCAACATTAAATGATGAATAAAAAGAGCAGCACACAGTCGTAACCCCAGGAAGAACGGAAGGAGGGGGGGAAAGAGAGAGGGAGGGAGAGAGAGAGAGAGAGGGAGTGAGAGAGATGCCTAAGGAAGAGAGGGAGGAAGAAGAGACCTAAGAGAGACACAATTGCCTAAAGGAGCATTGACATGAGAGGTAATGAAAAAGGGCTGGAGGTAACAACTGCCAACACGTGAGTATTTGCCAAAGTGAGCAAAAGAAGAATGAGCAAAGGAGTGACTAGAGTAATAAACAACAAATATGGAGGGGAGGGGGGGAAGGGAGATGTAACTGGGAATAGGCTAAACAGGGAAATGGAAGTGGGCTGTGGCAAGCATGAATAGAAGAGGATAGGTTGACTATATCCAGCAGCAGGAGGAAGGGAAGTAACTGGGTGGTCAGAGGGCAGAAGCAGCAGGTTGTGGGCTTCATGAATAAGGTTGGAAAGGGGCGAAGGAGAGATGGGGGTAAAAGTGCACAGAAAACAGCATCAGTCATATTTGATGTGATAAATACAGATGTTCCATTAAATTGACCCCAAGCAGACAGAACAACAAAAAACACTGAGTAAGAGAAATTTGTTTAAAAACATGAATAAGGACTCTGGAAAGCATCGTATGATGGGTTGGAAACTCAAAATTATAATCCCATAACTCTCTACTCCATAATTTGAAAGCACGGCGAGCCCTGCTAACCAGCTGGTTGAAATGATTTGTGACCGACGTGATGAGTGAAAATTGATATTAAAATTTGGGAGACAAATATAAATGCTTATTAACCTTTGCGTTTTATTTTGTTCGAGAAACTTCCTCATCTCTTCTTCACTCATCTCCTGACACATGAGTTCCATTGTCCCACTGAAAGGTATGACCACTGCTCCTGGGTCATTCTTGTCCACCCACTCTTTAATTTTTATCAACCTGTAGACAATAAGGGCAAAAACATTATCATGTGTTGCATGCATCACTGTACCACATTCATTATCCAGTACTACATACATATTCATAAGCAATGGGTAGTTTATCTGATGCCATCTTTTCTGTGTTTAGCTCCCAAGGTCAAGACATTTTCAGGCACTGATTACATCCAGAATGCAAAACTCCACCAGACACGTTGCAACAAGCTTTTACTCAATCTAAACTATGTAGAAGACACCAAGAACCACAATTTGAAAGTTATTTTGCCAGTAAATAGTTTGATGTAAAGTAACCATTTTAGGAAAAAAATACAGTATTACCCGCTAAACCTATTAGGAATCTCATTAAAATTGTGAAGGCTCATTTGAACCAATTATCCCCGTCCTTGCAAAAAATCTTTAATCTCCAGAATTTCCTTTTGTATCTCAACCCCACTGACAGTTAGGCACACTATAAACTTTTTTTAAGTGACTTAAGAAAATACAATTGACATCTATTTAGTTCCTTTCCCATGGGGAGGATGTTCCAAAGCGCTCGACAATTCGAACTGGGCAGTGGAGCTGAAGATGGGAGCTGAGAGGGGTGAGGAGGAGACAGATGACCGAAAGCGCAGCGAAAGAGATATTGTTTGAGGCGTACCTTGAAAGAGAGGAGGGATGGAGTAAGTTGGAGGGAAATGGAGGGTGGATAGAGCAGGGGATATGGACTAGGCCAGTGTTAGCCTAATCTAGGATTTTAATGCCACTCTATTAAAATAAAAGCGCAACGTTTTATCTAAGAATGTTAAGAATGTTCAAAACAAAGGGCAATTTGATAGTGAATCATGACATCATATTTTTCACAAATCGTCTGACTTAGAAAGAAAATAGCGGGCATATTTTAAACGTTTCTGGTTAACACATTGCAATGTGTCTGAAAGGAAAAGCCTCATCATTATTAATAAAGATTTCTAGATAGGAAAAACCTTGCAAAACAGGCAACTGAAAGAGGTTTGCTAATCTCAACAGAATCGGAATAAACCCTGAGTTTATCTAGAATGCTAATTCTTAACAAAACAGCAAGAGGCAAGGGCAATTATGAGATTAAGCAGACAATCATGCAGTTGGGGTTTGGACTGATCCCAAGAAAATAGGTTCCATACTTTAGTTTATTTGAGCTAAACTTCATAGTTTAGTCAAGGAAATATCCTGTCATTATCTGTAATCCGTATTTCCTTTAAAAACTAAGATGGTACGATGGTATGCAGAATGTAATAGCACTTAATAAATGTCACTGCTATTCCCAGGACCCTCGGGATATACCATCTATTCACTACAAAGATCAGTTAAGAAACCAGCTGTTCCGGCAAATAATGCAGATATTTTAACAACCGTCAGTACTTAGGCATTTGCTTAGAAGAAGCTACTCTTATTACTAGAAATAAAAATCTCCAATACTGCTGTTCTAATAGGTGGAGCTAGCAAATTTGGAAGGGTGAGACTGAATAGTCCAAAGGGTCTTCTTCACTCAAATCTTTCTTGTGATAAAAAAAACAAAGAACATTAACTACCCTCTTTCCCCTCGTTCATGCACGTTTCAAAACTTGTCTCTTTTATCACACATCTTTCGCTCTCCCCTCATCACCCCAAGCTCGGGTGCCCATCCAGCGTTTTTAATACTTTTGAGATATCCTCATGACATTAAAGGTGCAATACAAATATATACAAATCTAAATTATATTATACCCTTAAAACAGTTTTTGATATTATTTCCCTTTTACTGGTATTTTTGTGATACGTGAGCTCTTTTAAGGAAAGGAATGTCAACGCTAGGGAATAGACCACTTTTCTTCTTCGTATCAGCATCTGATACACAATATCTATAACATGGAGAGAGATGTATATATGAAGAGTCTAACACAGTACTGGGGGCGGGGAGGGAGAAGAGGTCCACTGCATTGTCAGCGATGGCGAGACGTTAAATTGAGGTCCCATCTGCCTGTTCAAGTGGATGTTAAAGGCGTTAGAAATGGCACTATTCGAAAAGAGCAGCGAGTTTCTCACGCTGTCCTGGCCAACAATCCCCTTGATAAAATTGATCATTCACTTCATGGTTGTTTGTGGGATATTGCTGTGAGCAAATTGGCCTCTGTGTGCAGCTACAAAATATACGATCACTACACTCTACAGTAATTCCTGTAAAGGGTTTTAAGATGTTTTGACGATATAAGGCGCTGCATCAAATGTAAGGATTATTATTATTACCTACAATTTATTCTTTCAAAATATTTGTATCCTAGGTGGCTGTAAGCATGCTGAAAATATTATTATATCTAATCAACTTGAAAGTTCGGTAAAAGCAGATTTATATACAGGGGCATATCAAAAAAGTTTAGCTACTTTTTTAATTTAACTAATGAAATAAGAAAGTAACCCGAAACATAACTACCTATTCACACAAAGAAGTTGTACTTTTTTATAAAAAAATTCAAATGGTGGCAACAAAATACTGAGTTCAGCAAGATGGGAAGCTCACAGAATTCCTTTTTGTTGCATAATAGTTCAATTAATACTCGCTTTATTTTGAGTGATCAATGAGGAAAAAAATGCTGGAATTCATTTTTTAAAAATTTAACTGAATTCCGGTCCATACATTTTAAACTTGTAGCAATTTTACACTCTAAAAGGTCATGTCATATGTGCAGCATTATTCACTTTCATCCCCAATTACTTTTGGTTTTGAACTGTACATTAATTAAGGACGTTCTCAGTATGGCTTTTCAGTCAATAATTTGACACAAGGAAGCAAATAATGACGAAAAGTTTTAGCTGGAGCTCAAGTCCTGCATAATGATAGTAATGTACTATCATTTTAGGGCTTTTATGATGTTTTTTTAACTGCACAGAAGATGTGAGTCGCTTAGTTTTTTTTCTTTTAGTTCAGATGAATACTGATTTACAAAACCATTCTAAAGCAGTGAACCAGCTATTTCATAGCAAACCATAATTGGCAAAACCATGACAATGCTGATCAGAAGGTTAGTAACAAAAGAGGCATTTCAACTTTTTGACAGCCCATCTTCATAATGTAGAGGCACAGCAAGTATGTTTTACCAGTAAATGAGCACTAAGGTCTGAAGGTCTCTACACTGATTGACATCGAATCTGACAATGACTCTTTATGAGAACAAAGTATTAAAAAGCTCTGTGTAGGGTGTAGGTAGGTCAGTTCACTGCCTTAGTGTGTTACTTCTGTGACTTTGACTGTCAAGTGGAATGTAACAAAAATGCCATCTGACCAGCAGCAAGACAAAAGGCAGTTTAAAATTATGTAATCAGACCCTTACTGTAGATGTTCTGCATTTTTCTCATTAAACAAGGGCTTCTAACTTTCAAGTTAGTACGCAATGTCTTCATAATAGCCACACGGGTGATATTGCGTTCTTCGACACTCGTTACTGCAATCGAACACAAAATCGAATACAGAACTATATATAAAAGGTATATTTATCAAAAAAAATGGGGGTGGGACAACTGTTCCCCCTTGGTGATGGACACGTAATGTTGTAAATAAAATGAAAACATTTGTCCCCCCACAAGAGTTCATGGAAGAGTTACTCTTGGTCAGTCCCATTCATAGTGGGGGTTTTTAAATATCTTTTTACATTGCAAAATGACTTCAATAACCAATTCTGCTGATCAGACTTCTATCCCGTCTGCTGTTAAACCACACCATTTGCATCACAAAGCTGACTATATTCTGCTTCGTTTTCTTTGTTTAGTGATTTTCATTGAGCACTTCCCATTCTATTACTGCTGCCAGATTGAACAGCTGAAACATGTCTTCTCTCTGCACACCACCACTCACCTATAAAGAGCTTCAAAAGCAGGTAACTAGACCAAAGGTAAACAGATGTTTTAGAGAACATTTTAAAATTGTGCATGTGCAAACAGCAGTGAATTACATGTGCAGTTGTTCTGAAAAGTTTTAGAAGCTACTTACTTTGGCTACAGTACATTCTCCTATTGCTAGGGAAGATGCTTAGGCTGACAGCAGCCACATTCCTTTGCAGTCTGTCCCTCCGCTTTCAGCACCATTTGCCTTTATTCTGTGCCTAAAACAGTACTGCTCCAAGGCTCACATTTAAAATACCACTGTTTTACACTGTCAGTTTTCTGTCAACTTCAGCTAGAACCTGGTCAGTGGTCAATTGCAGCTGATAAGAAGTTAACAACTTTTAGGAAACAGTTTGAAATTTTTTTTAAAAATTACATTTGTGGTAGGATCCTTTTTTGTTGCTTAAACAATACGACAGCAATAGACAACATTATAATTACTAGTTTCAGCAAAAGTTTATTTGTTATCAGTTCTGATCACAACTATTGCTGCAATACTACATTTGCAAATCTGTGCAAGTTACACAAGATTGTATTTGAGGATACACTGCTTTGAATTACTGAACCTGAACCACTTGTATACAGTACCACATATCTGTTAGATTATGGTTAATGTGTTCAGTGAAACTTAACAAAAACTCAGCTGTAAAGTGCACAGCATGGACATTGCATAGATGTCATGTCATTGCACTTTATTCCTGTTGCCTAGAGACAAGTGGCACACTTCATCTGGTGGACTCCAGAGTAATTGTGGTACAAATTTACCCTGCACGATTCTGACTCGATTGAAATTTCTGGAAATAGAGGTTAGTTTCTAGATAAATGAAAAGTCCGTACTGTGTATGTATTTACACTAAGCTTTCGAATTCCAGAATAAAATGAATTTATAAACTCATGCTGATCTATACATTGGAGAAAGTCAAATTAACTTTTTTCAGCACAACATTTTCGATGACTTTTTTTTGCACTAACTAATAAATGTAATTAATTGGTAGAAATCTTTAATTTTCTTACTACAAAGAAATATGATGCACAAAAGATGAATGCATTGGAATCAGGGCTATAGTTATTTTTTATGAAAGCCATTTCGCAAACAGGTATGAGGCATGAATAGTACTGGTCAATAAAATATCCACAGGTATGTGGTAAGACTATTAATTGGTTTGAAAGCTAAATTTAACAAATCTCATAAACACCATTATTTTACCAACTAAAGCCTCTTAATCTAATGTTTTATCTGTGGTCGAGTAAAATGCAATTATTCACATGGATAAAGTAATAAAAGAATGACAGTGAAGTCGGATGCCACATTGTTCAGAGAAACATGCAGCAGCATGATCTATTCTTGGTCTTTTCCTTCTCTGAATAAATGGCGCTTGCAATTTTTATTCTTTTAATAATGGCATTTCAATGACTTTTACTGCAAATTTAGTGGAAATCTTTGCATATTAAGTAGAAAATTAGATGATGTTAACCACATTTTAATGTGATTATAGAAGACAGGATCATTATTTCTGCTAATCATTCATCAGATTTAAACACTCAAACAACACTTTGTAACATACATTGTTTGTGCTATCCACATTTTTCTTGTTCAGTTGTAAATTCAAAAAAAAGCAAATATAAAAGAAATGCATAACTATAACCACAAATTACGTATTACTATATATTACTTTGATGTGGTTGTAACCAAAAATCATTTATCCACATTCAGAGACAACGATTATCTACTTCTTGAATACTTGTAGATATGTCTTGAACCTACAATACAACTCACCAGTGGTTTGTGTTTAAGTATTCCATTCCATAATGGTTTAGTTGAAAAGAATTTAAGCAATTAGCTCAAATTATGTGGCTTTCTGAAACCACGTTTTAATAAACGGGATTTGGCCTTCTAGAGTCTTCCAGTGACCATATTTTCCACAAATCGCTGTAAATCTTGATTTCTGCTAGCTCCAGTAGATACATACAATTTACATTTATATAGTGGCTTTCAAGGGGGACAAAAATATTTAGAAAGAATGTACAGCACAGAAACACACCATTTGGCCTAACTAGTCCATAGGCGATGCTTATAGTCCACAAGTCTCCACCCTCATTCCCTCCCGTACCCTTCTATTCTCTTCTTCCTAATGTAAAGTCAAACGTCTGACATCTGAGATGGGGTTCCAGAGCGTGGAGACAGAATGGCTCAAGGCTTGTCCATCGGGATTGGGTGAGGGACCTGAAGCAGGCCATAGAAGCATTTGAAAGTGTGGCAGTTTGGCTCAGATGGAAGCACTCTCACTTCAGAATTATAAAGTTATGGGTTCGCGTCCTACTTTGGGACATGAAACTCATATAGTCGAAGGCAAAACTCCCATGTCATGCAGTGCTGGGTGTTTGCTGTGTTGTCGGATGTGCTGGCCTTTGGTGAAACATTAAACGTTGAGTGAGCGAGAGCACAAATATAGGGTTTGAAAAACAGTTAAAGGTCGAGTGGAATTAACAGTATTAAAAATAATCAGGTAATTCTTCATCCGATCCTTGATTGTATAAATGTTGATCTTCGATATGATGAAGCAAAGTGGAGTTGAGAAAGTACAAATACATCAAACATTTTTGTGGCAATCCAACTTAAGAAACAAAATGAATGCTTTCAACTTTCTTACGGACACATATTGTGTGAAAGCTTATGATCAGAGTAATTATTATACTATTATGAATAAAATAGAACGTTGTAACAGAACATCCTTGGTTAATGTAACATATGTCCTTGATTACCTTCCTTTCCTTCCTTTTATCTTAATAAGTGACATTCCTGCTACTCCCTCAAATGCCTAGACAGTCTGACGTGGATAGGAATAAATATTTCATGCGGTACATATTAAGTTGTCATTGATGGCAGCATTTATAAAGAGTAACTAGGGAAATTCAAAAAAAAAGGAAAAAAGTCCTTTATGTTAAAGTTTTTTAGCATATTTTTCAAATACAATGACATGTTTCAAATGCTCCCAGCAATGATTTACTTCAGGACTGCCCGGTGTTATGCTACATAGCAACATGATTTGAAACTCTTAATGAACTGTAAAATCAATTTACATATGTATTTTCCTGCAAATCCTATTGAAGTGTAGAGTTTATTAAAGGACAATTTCTGATCTATATGGTAGTATTGGGAAACAATATCTGTCACAAAACAATTGTTCTGTCCAGCTCATCCATTGGTACATTAATAATAGTAATCCTTGCATTTGATATAGCACCTTATCATCTCTTCGTGACGTCTCAAAACGTTTCACAGAATATACTGTAAAGTGAATTTACTGTATATTTTATGGGCGAATACTGAGAAATTGTCAAGATACTTTTTTTCTTTTCAACAAGTAATCACAGTACATCAACTGCATAACATTAAACAGCAGTTTTGTGGTACGTACCAATAAGATGTGTTGCAAGTAAATAGACAGATTAAATTAGTAATAAATCTATAAAAAGTAATGCAGTAAGAAGAGTTATCATCGTATGACTATTTTTTAAAAAAAAACTTATCCTAGCTCATTTAGACAGATTGTTTTTATTTCCATAGCATTTTTCACCAACAGTATTTAATTTCATATTCATGATCTTCGAGGCATTTTATAATCCAATTATAGAAAGTGTAATCTTACAGGCATTGTTTTCTGGGCTCTTCCAGGACTGAGGTGAACTGAATCAGATTCGACACTCGTATTTAGTTTTAGTATCGGATTATTAAAATTACAATCTCACTGAACTATATATATCAAAGATTGGGTGTCCAGATTTTCCATTCTTTTAATTCAAAGAAACCTATCATAATTCTATATTTAATTTGCTTGTCCAAAAAATGTAGTCATTCAATCCTTTGAATTGCATCGTTAAACCTTTCCTCAGATCACTCACTATATGAGAACAAACTACATTTAACTCGATTTAACAATAAAGGTAACTAAGAACAAATACATTCCATGCGGTTGGCCAGGGTTCCCTGGGGAGCTAGCTTTGTTATCACCTAGTTGTAATTGAAGACTAGTAATTTCTAGGCATCATGGCATGCTTTTGACCTCTGAGTGTGAATAGATTTACATCTAGGTGAAACCCACAAAAAGAAAAATATTGCTCATATATTGCAAAATGACTTACAAAATGTGGCAGGTTAAGGCAGAGAATGCTTTGCTGTCATAGGTATTAATTTCTCGGTCAAAAAATGCAGGAACATATTCTTGATCCTTATTTGTGCCACTGTAAATTTATAGATAATACTCTTCAACTGGTAATTGTGACTGTATAAGAATGTACTCACACAGTTTAAAATGGTGTGTTGGAGCTCACAACATGCAGCTTTTCAGAGCAAATTGTCCAATCCTCCCCATTCTCTTCCCAGGGCCCTAATGATGCTTCAGCGTGGTTTAGATTGTAGGACTCAGAAGGAGGAAAATACAAGTAATCTACAGGTAACTACGGTGGCTGCACTGATGTTCCCAGAAATCTGACTGCTGGGAAGATAAAAAGCTTCCCACAGTGCCTTTGACTTTCTACTGCCAATTCACATCATGAGCTCATACATGCAGCTTTATTTGTGGAAGATTCACAATAAGATGCATTAGAACATTCAGCAGGAACTCATTTCAGATAAGCGCAGAGATTTTCTTTGAGGTTATTATTTGGTGCATCTGTGCATGGTTTCACTATGGAAAAAAAGTCAAACACAGGAATTTACAATATTAATAGCACCTTGAGCTGGGACATCAAAGAGGTTAGCTGCTTTAAAGGAGCTAGTTTGATTTTGGCACAGCACTGCATCCACCAACCATATAATTTCTTTTGTTTCTTTTATCTTCTTCTCCCCTCCCCCCACTCACCCCCCCCCCCCCCACCACCACCATTTTTCTTTGTGCTACATTTACTTTTGCTTAAAAAAAGAAGGCTGAGCGAATAAAGATTTACTGGAATTGAAAGCATGATGATGATTCCTCGGATTATTTTGTAACCAACTGCACTTGAATAGGGTCGTTTAATGCCCAGGTGTTATATTCTTTTTGTTGGTACTTTTTTTTAATATAGGTTTACATACCTAATCAAGATAAAGCCATCTGTAAGCATAACGCTAATGTGGCAGAAGATAAAAGATAGATCCAGCCATAGGATTTGGTTGTTGCACCTGTATTATGCGCAGTAAATTGGTTCCCCAAATGTTATTTGCGAAGATCAAAAATGTTCTGGCAGCTTAGAGAAACACTGAAATATGGGATTTGATGGCTTCTTCCTGTCATATTAGTCTGCAAAAACTATAACTTGTTCTAATTCTGAATTATTTTCTCTAATTACTGGAATCCTTTCAAAACAACTTTAAAAATGTTTGCCAGAGGACTTAATAGGTAAAACTATTGACATTTAATCTTAAAGCACAATAGAGGGTAAAGGATAAGTTTCACGTTAGAAAAGGGGTAAAATAGGTAAGTGGAAAAGAAACTGTTTTATTTTAGGTTCCATTTTCTGCATTTTTTTTTAAGTAGTTGATGATTTTTAAAATTATTTTTAAAAAATTTAAACAATTATTTCTAATTAATTATTAAATTAATAATAATAACCTTTCATTTGATATAGTACCTTATCAGATCTTTGAGACGTCTCAAAGCACTTCATAGGATATACTGTATATTTTGTGGGAGAAATGTAAAACGTAAAATTTATTTTAAAAATGAAATGTAATTGCAAGAGTAATGAAGCTATCATGATATTTAATTAGTTGTATTACTGTACTATTGCTAGAGAGTGATCATCAGTGTCAGAGGTTGATCTAAAAATGTACATAATAATAATAATTTGGTCATTCAATCCACAACTGTTTGTGGGACACTGGTGTGCGCAATTGGCTGCTGCATTTCGCAAACAAAATCTACAGTCAATTCACTTTATAGTATATTCCGTGAAGCACTTTGAGACATCTTGAAGATGTGATAAGGCCCTATATAAAATGGAAGAATTATTATAATAGAATGTTATCTGCCAACAAAAAGTTAAACGAACAACTGATTTTACTGATTCTTCTGGAAGTCTGAGAAACCATTTAACTCAGTCCCTAAATTAAAGTATAATACTGATCCTCTAATAAAGATACCTGACAATCAAAGTCCACAAATAATCTCATTATCAATAGGAAGAGGACATCACTACTTCCAAGAATTAACAAAATTTCATTTTGTTTTATAATAAACCACTAACAACAACAACATTACATTTGTATAGTGCCTTTCATGTCGGGAGGACGTCCCAAAGCACTAACAGGACATATTTAAGCTTTCGGAAAGATGGAAGTGATCAGGGCTGTTACATTTATGTATTGCTTCATTTACTATTTTAATTTGTGACTAAAACTGTGGATATTTGTTATTTTAGATAACAACATTTATATAACATTTTTTTAACACGCTTCACAACGGACTGCATCGCGGAGCGCCTAACTATGGCTCTCATTGAGTGTGCCATTTTTCAAGCTGCTTCCGAGCTATACGCAACTCGTCACATTTGAAACAGCCTAACCAGCCACTTTTAAAACACATATTTCACCAAGAAACAAGAAGAAATAGAACAAAGTCATGCAAATGCTTAACTAGAAACAGCAACTATGTTTAGGAATGAAATTACAACTTCCGAACCACCATAACGTTTTAAGCTGTAAATATTTGCGGTCTAAATGTTGCCAAGAAAGAATTATGGTCAAAGTTAGTTAATTTTAAAGAGCTTAAAACAGCATGTTTCCCCCCCCATGCAATCACTGATGTTTTAGAAAGATAAATAATTAGAAAGTAAAATGTCACCAATTTAAAAGAAGCACTTGGTTGAGTGCAACAAGGAAAAACTTTTTTTAAGATTTATTTGCAAGATTTTAGGGCCAGAGATGTTAAATATATCATAGTCTTTAAATAGGACATGAAAGGTTGAGCTTCCCTGATGGTTAAACCGTCAAAGCACTACGTTATATCGACTTAACAAGACTTCCAGGTTCAACTGTGCTGGGTTGGTTGATCCCAGCTATGGAATCAGTTGAGGTTTACAATTGGAATAAGTCCTCTGGGTTAGCCTCCACCATTGGCCCTGGATTAGGGAGCAGAAACAACATCCTAGATTCCTGCTCCTCATTGATATCCAGAGACCTGTGCTGAAAGGTTTACACATTGGATTTTAGGTGAGTCAGATTCAGACACAGCTGTGATACCCCATGGTTGAATAGCCTAACAATGCTCACTGTTGTAGATACATCTGAAACAATGGCCAATTGGATGAGATATTCTACGCAACTAGCAAGGTGGAACTGTAACTTGGAAGGAAAAGGAATCAAAGCAACAAAGAGGAGAAAATAACATGAAAGAATTTTGTTTTCAAATTGTGAACAAGTTGTGCATTATGCTTAATTTAATATTTGTGTTCTGAATAAAGTATAACCAATAAAAGTACATATGAAATAGTTATGTTTTAATTTACATGTCCGGATTTTGAACTCAGACTAGGCTGACAATCCAAGTTAGTTCTGGGAGAGTGCTGCAATGTCAAAAGTGCTTTAATTTGAATGGGACATGACACCAATATCCTGACTTCATATTCAGGCAAATCCACTTTTGTCTCCCAACACACAACTTCCATTCTTTACTCAACAAGAAACTGCAATTTCCGGAAGAGTTTTAAGCTCTTTAAAATTAACTAACCAAATCCAGCACCACTTGTTTTTGTCATTCTCCTTCAAATAAACTGAAAACTGAGGTACAACAGTTAAAAGGCAAACAAAGGAGTAGATAGTATGAATGACATCCAAACTAACCTCTTACATCTGGTTTCAAGTGATCTAAATAAGACCTTGCTCTGCAAGTACTGGCTTGCCTCATTATGACGCTACCACAGACGATGGACCTACTGTTTTGATTCTTTATGGTGAAGCAATTTTATTTTTGTACTCTTTAATACAAAAACCGTGCTGTACAAAAACAACATTAAAGCCTTGGCACGGTCAGTGGATAAAAGAAAATTGGCAATCATCCCAATTTCAGTAGATGCCATTCTCTATCACGCAATGCTTCCACTCATAAATATATGACAAATACTTCTTTAATCATTTTTTACGAGCAGGGATGTGCAGGGGGTAGTCAGTGACTCGCCAGAGGGAAAATGGGAACAGCAGGCAACAAAAACTGTACTGGAAAAATGTCTATGTGGTAAGTTTGCTTTTGGAACATCACTTGCCCGTATTGGCTTTGATCTTCAGACTACAAAAAGGACAGACAACAGGACAGAGCATCACATAATTAACATTGGGAACAAACCAGGACAGGATAGAAAGAACTTTGTGAAATCTTTTGTATTGAAAGATTAGTAGTTCTCCTTCATATTTTATTCCTTAATGGGTCTTTCTGAATTGGCCATAACCAGACCGGCATCACAACAGACGCAAAGTAAAAATCTGGCGACAAACAAATCACAGGCTGGCGTCCTCTTGAGAGCCTGACGACCATTAGGATCTGGAGACGGTATTTACTGTACAATTACAGCTGGTATTCTCCACCTGTAATCATCTCTACACAGGTGTGAGGTGCTTTCAGCACAAGGAATCTGTCTCATCACCTGTCATATAAAAATCTTTCATGTCCACTGAGTAACAATAAGCCTCGGGAAATAAGCACAATAAGAACTCAGGCAGATATTTATATTGAGCCTGTGGGAATAGCACATATGTAGTATGTAGATTCCTTTCTGAAGGTTCTCTACATGGATGGCACAGCAATCAAGAGAAAATAATATGAGCAAACCAAATTGCACTCAACTATTTTTTCTGTAAAAGGTATCCCCCGCCATCATTTTTCTCAGCATCTTCAGAGTAATTTCAAGATAAAGATTAAGCAGGTGAATGACATCAGTGTGAACTAATCCTTCAAGGGCTACATTATTATTTGCACTCCAACATTCAAACTGTAGGAAGAATTGTTTTGTACATTTTTTGAAACGCCCCTAAATGTTTCCAAGAGTTAACTGAAGTAAATAGCTAAAAGTATTTCTACTCCATAAGTATCATTCAAAATTCAAGTATTCCTTTAACAGAAAGCTGAAATGAAAAATATCCTTGTAAAGTTACTGGAATACAGAGTAACATTGCTATGGTTCAGGTATTCTAGATGCAAATACTTTCTATGGAATGCATTTATCCATTAGCTCGGAAGTAATTGTTTTTAATTGAAATGTTATTAGCATGTCAGGATGAAATTTACGTTTCGGTACACGCAGTTTAAACATTTCACATTCTGATTTGTAAATGAGCAAAGGGCTAAATAAAGAGATTATTCGTCTGGTAGTTAGTCAGCTTGTATAAAACTTACCATTTATTCTTCCTTCTAATGTAATCTTTCTCAGACAGGTTAACCAAATACAACATTGGTTTTGAAGTCAAGAACAAGTGTTTATTCAACACATCAATCTGAAAAATACACAAAAAGACATGAAAACACAGCTTCGGGTTTTCTTTTCTAAGAAGTTGGCAAGAGCCACAATACTTTTCTTCTTTTGAACAGCTTAGCAACAAAAAATACAACTCTTATCCTGTGTTTTGCCCCAAGAGAAAGAGATCATTGGAACTGGACTCTTCACTCTGGCCCAAGAAAAATGTTACATTATCAATCTTAGTTTTAATTGAGTTATAAGATTTGTAACTGAGGATAACATGATATCCAACAACATTTAAATACCCACAGCAACAGATATTAATGCATTTAAGGACAGAAACTCTTACCTCTTTGTCATTCCAGTCTTTATAGAAGCGTACACCTTTCTTTTCATCCTTTAACCAGTTCTTGACTTTGAGGATTATGTCCTATAAAAGATTGAGAAAAATAGATTTTTACAGTACATGAAGGAGTGAATAAACAGTAGAAAACTAAGTATTTTCTAAATGCTTAGCACCTCATTCATATTGTTTGCAACATCAATACTTTTGGGGCTAAGAGAAAATCCCGTTGTTAATTATGAGAAAAGTCTTGCTTTAGCTAACAGAGTACAAAAGGGTTTCTTTATCTGGAGTACGAAATTGGTTACTCCATGTTGATTTAATTCTAAACCTACATTGTAAAACCAGAAATGTAAAAACATAAGAGTGAGTGCGGGGGGGGGGAAGCAAGGGACAAACAGAAAACTAGCCAAACAATTAATACTACTGTAGCTTCACTAAAATGATTCCATCTCGTGAAAAGCTTCTTTTATCATTTATTTTTGCCACCACCTCCCCCTCCCAAAAGATTGAAGCAGGGTAAAAACTGCCGTAGCCTGAACTGCACAATGGTTAGACTCACGCTGGTGACCTCCAACCAGCTGCATTCAGTTTCAGAACATCTTTCTCAACAGGAAATTTAAAGGCTTTCTAGTTATCAAGCTAGTGTGAATTCAGAAGAAGACACTGCAGGAAGAGACAACTTGCTTTATTTCTGTCCTTTCCTCAAAGAAAGATTAATCATCTGTGAAATGGAAACGGCAAACATCAAGTGACACAAACTGAACCCTTCAAACCTTTCCTTATCCATTTCACTGTTCTGAATTGAGAGAGAGAGCTGCGTGTGGCATGATTCTCTTCACAAGCAGGTGTTAATACACAGGTTTAGGGGGTCAAACATAGCTCCTGGACTTAAAATCCTACAAGAATTGTATGTTTTTCGCTCAATGTGTTCTCAATCTCTCAATCAAAAAAAAGGAAAAGGTTTAGCAGTAATGTTCCGTCACTAAAATTCAGACTATCCCAAGCACTAACATTTTAAATTACTAATTTAACACTTAAGTGCTAAGCACCTTTACAAATATATGAATGGGAAAAAAAAATCATGAAGTGAAGCATGCATATTCTAAATACATAATATATGAGTTTCTCAAATAAGTATTTATTCTTCATCTTACACCTGTACATTCCTTCCAACAAATACCATAAATGTCATAATAGCAAACTAGGTGATAGCTAGAGATAGCAGTGATAGCTGAAAAATGCAGTTGTACTTTAGCAACAACTTTGAAATACAAGTGGCTAAACCAAAAGGCAAGTTTCTAACGGAATAAAAGTAGCAAAATTTGTAGATTCATTTATTACTGAAGATAAAATCTGATTCTATTTGATTATTCTTTTTAAAAAATTGATTTATTCTTGATAAAGACGAGACCTATGAGAGCCATCAGTAAAGAAAATTACAGTTAAACTAAACGTGTAAAGGATACAGAATTCAAGATTTACAATATCACTATACCCTATTTCATTAATTCCCATCAATTAGAAATCAGATTTCTTCACAATGACATGTGACACACAGCACTGAGGAATTATACATGCATTACAATTTAAAAACTCTGCACACCATGCCTGTAAACTATTCTTTGAACCCTAAAAAGGTTTCCAGGAGATTTCACTTGGCATCTTTATATATAACCTTTGACAAGTAACGCAGGCCATTTTTATTCATTGCCTAAAATTGTCACCAATTATGTGCGTCACTGGACACCTGCAAATTCTGAATGCCTGCTCCAGCCGTCATTGCAAAAAAAAAACCAATGTCAGGAGGATTAATCTGGGAAAACATCAAGTTCCCTAATAGCTTCAGCAGGTGAAATAGCCCAGCTGGTTAGAATGGGCAGATGGCAGCCAAAACAATAAAAAAGCCAACATTTTAAACTTGCAGAATAGACTCTATACTCATACACATCAGAACAGAAATCAAAAATTGCTTTTACAGTGCCGAGCTGTCACACCAGGGATCTAACACTTGACAAAGATCTCTGAAGTATTGTTAACATGCAAAAGGCCTGTGCAAATACTTTCATTAGCCTAGCATTCTGACCCGAGGTTACCTACTGAATGAATACCTCAGTACTAATGATGTATACACTGCTAACCTCAGACACTATAATATACACTGAAATAGTAATCAAATCATCCAATTCTCAGTCCTTTTGACATAATTGTGAAACAAATGACTACGAACTAAAATAATCAGAAAGTACACTTTTTCTGATAAATTTTAAGTGTTTTATATCTTGACACAAATTTGTTTTTACTTACATATTCGGGTTTTAATTTTTTGTCACCTCCTCTTACTGACACTTTCTCTAGCTTGTCTATAATAGGCATAATTAGCTCTTCATCCTTTAGTCTCAGTTCTTCATGAATGATTTCAATGTCCCGAACAGGATCTACATTTCCTTCGATGTGAACGATGTCATCATCCTCAAAAGCTCCTAAAAAAAAGACATTTTTAACTTTTTAAAGTAAGACTTCAGTTAACAAAATGTTAAAAGATGTACAGCAGTTCTGATGTTATAAACCCCATTAAAAAAAATGCCAGATGACAGCGACTAAAAAAACCTCGACCTAAAAGTAAAGCTACAGAGATTTATCTTGAGAAATTGAAGCAATGCATGGAAAGAGTAAAACTACGTTCAGCACATTATTTAGTTGTAAACCCCACCAGTCGTCTTTCTATGGGGAAACTAACCACAAATTTAAAAATGGCTGAAGTCGTCTGCCACTGCGCTTCTCAGAATCAATCTATTTTATCACCCTGGTTCTGACGGTGATTAGATAATGAACCACTCAGACACACAATTTACACAGTGGCTAATTTCATCGTTCTGATTCCAGGGTATAGATTTTAGGGGGCCATGAAAAGAGCAGATGAAGGTACATTTGTCACATGTGAGTGACAACTATTCACACAGCTTGAAGAAATGCTACTGGCCCTTATTAGGTACACATGCTATTATCATATATTTAAAGTACAGTTAGGACCATAATTTTAAATTGCCAACTGGAAACACAAGGGTAAAACAACCAGATATTACTAGAGTCTGTGTACTGACTCATGCCCTTCCATGTCATTTTTATTCAGCTTATGCAAGAACATCACACAAGTGTGATTCCAAAGAGCTTCGACTATAAATTACCACAGTCAAAATAACACTACAAAAATCAGGCAACAAAGTATTAGTTCAATATAGATTGCTGTTGCTGGATGGATGTTCTGAAAAGAATAGATTGCAGGGCCAAAAAGGCCAAACCCAACAAGGCAAGTATGATAATCCATTACTGCAAAAGGTTACTACCTAATATAGATTTTTCTAAGTTAAACAGCTGCAATGGGTACAATAAAGTTACTGCCCTGTTTTCCCTGAAACATTTTCTATGGCTGTAATTGTTTTTTTTCTAGAACCAATAAAAGATGGAAGACAAAATAAAACTGTTGTGTTACGACCAAACTGCAAAACTTCAAAAACAGCCTCGTACAGAATTGGCAACACAATTTGATTATAAAGACAGTAAGCTACATGACAACATGCATCATCTTTCCATTCTCATTCTGCTAATTTGTCACCCAGCCACTGTTATCTCAGTATGACTACCATTACTAATAAAACAAATGATTTGTAAATTCAACATTCATTTCATAAATTTCACAATGATAAATGTACAAATGAAGCAACGTTCAGATTTCTTACTAGGCAGAAAATATCTGCACTCCTGAACAAAGCTATTTTCACTACCATTAGTACTCCTAAAATAACAGAACTTCAGTTAATCCCAAATAGTTTTACATTTGAAAAAAAGAGGTTTAGACCGTTCGGGGGAAAATGACATTTAAATTACGTTTAAATTACTTTACATATTAAACCTTGAAAGTTTGTTTACCTTTCTAAAACATTCAGAAGTGTGCATGACATGTAATTTCCTTACATTTATAAGTTCGGAGACCCCCCCCCATGCTATTCATGACAAAACAACAAATCTCATTAAGTTCAAGATTCACCACTGGTTTGTTATAAATCCCAGAAAAATTACCCTGATCTCAGACATTAGCATTTCTGGATGAAAATATCTGTTATGGGTTGGGGTAGCTTGAGATTCTGTCAAATATTAAGAACCTCAGCCTTGTAATTCTATATTCTGAACAAATTCAAAAGAGATCTTCAACAAGTGTTGTAAAATGTGTCCTGTCTTCCCATACTTAAGGTTAGGTTACTCTCTTAAGAGGGAGTGCATATCCCTTTCTTCCTCACACACACCCCCAACCAGGCCTTCCCCAAGCTAGCAACTCTTACAGCCAAGGGGCCAGATGGACTTCCTCCGCCCACTCCACTGACAACATTATTCTCGGTCAGACACACCGGTTGATATGTAGAATAACTGCCCCAAGGAAACTTCACAGGTCCTTGACCTCTGCTCAACACTTCTCCCACAATAGTACTGCTGCAATCAAGATAGATTTTGATGGAACAGGCAAAATTAACACTTGTAAAAATGGCAAATGCATGAATACTATATTTCTATCTCTGAATACCATTGAAATAAGAAATAAAGGTCTATTTGGGTCCAACCGATTCACGGAAACTTAAAACCTTGAAGAGTGATGAGGACCTTTTTGCTAAATGACGCCAGAGATTTACATAATGAAGCCAAAGCAATCTTGAAAAAACTAGAACATTGTAAAATTAGATGCTTCATCTTAAAATATTTAAAGGACACATTTCGGTTGGATTCATATATGCATTAACTTTCTTTCAAATTTTAACTTCCAAGCAAAGATGGTATTTGGCACTGCAGCAAGAGCAATGTACCCCAGTCTATTATTGATGCTGTATTAGTTCTAGAGATACTTTAATGCTTGCACTTCAGATAGCATCGTCAAGACATCTCAAAGCACTTTACACAATTTTATTGTGTAGTGACTATGGATTTGTAGGCAAATGCAGTAGTCAAATGGTGCAGAGTAATGTTCCAAAAAGAGCTGTGAAATGACAAATTTCATCCAGGGGATAGTTGGGACAGGACAACTTGGAGCACAGGCACGACTGCATGTGTGCAGGAAATACCCACCAGATTAGATGCCTTCATGTACAAAATGATGTACTGAGTTTCATAAAAATACAAAGTGATCGATACAACCTCATCCACACACATTAGAACAAATTACACTTAAATAGCACCTTTCAAAGTGGTAGATGGTCTCAAAACTTGGGAGCCCACACTTAGATAGCCCAAACATTCAGATGATGATTGTAAAACAAACTAGTTCAATTACTACAATAGGATATAGATATCAAATTTAATAATTACATAACTTGTGGCCTGCCATATTTAAAAAACACTGAAGGTTTTCTTTTTAAACAAAACTTATTTAACAAAAGATAAAACTTGTAACTGAAATTAATTCTTCAAGCCTAAAACCTCAATCTGGAGCATAATATGTGGTTTATTTATAAAATCAGAGCACTGGATTCAAAGGACTTTTCTCATTACTAATACAAAGGCTAGTTAGTGTAATTCTAAACAGTCCCTCAGATATTCATTTTTGTTGAATTCAAATTGTTTCTCCACTGAATTCAAAACATTTTTAACGTTATAAGTTGATTTTACTTACCAAGCATATGGGGACCCTGGAGGACAACTTTGTTGGACTGCAAAATATGTTAAATGGATTTATGTAGAACAATGGATTCCTGGAGTGATTACAAGGCAATCACATCTAAACTTCCAGATGTGACACAAACTGTGACAGCTGAACTTTTAAAAAAGTATGTTGCTCTTTGGTTTGCATTTTCATATTATATATATATATTCCACTCTACATTCCCCGCAACTGCAGCAATTTTAACTTTATTCATTTTATTTCTCTCGCTAACTGTGCTTCCTGACCATGCTTTCAGCTGCCTGATGAAAAAAAAGTATCTTTGTCCAAAACAGTATAAACTCCATGTGTTCAGTTAGGAAAGTGATGAGGTTATATTTAGCCTTATTAAAGGTTTTGTTTTTTTCCAGGTGAGGAGTTTTGTGTTGCACCTTCAGTGAATGGATCTTTATTTGCATTTTGGATCTTTCCCCTGTTTTCTCTTCCTTGTTAGCCGAAGCACAGTTTATAATATGATTTCACATTACTTCCTTGACACTTCCAAAGCAAATGAATCCCTGGAGGTGTACGTCAACTTCTTATTTTCAAAAATGGACAACATTTTGGAGGGAAATGGACAGAGATCACAATTTAGTCATTTTTTATCCCTAACAATAATACAACGTCTTTACATCAAGAAGATGTCTTCAAACGCTTCACAAGATTTACTGTAATGTGCAGTGCATGAGGACCTTACCAAGTCTTGTGTAACCCCCAAAATCACCCATTAGAGGATATACATTGTATGTAGTAAGGAGAGTAATAGATGAATTCCATGTAGTATTGTGACCTAACGTGTATTTCGCCTGGTCTTCCACAAAATAAAAAGAAAGTTTGGTCTGGTGCCAGGTTACAATTAACACCCTAATGGAAGTTGCTTTTGCATCTTTGAAAAGTTATTTCCAGGAACTGCGCCTGGAGTAATGTTAATCAGGATGGCTCTGCTCATACTATAAAGGAAGCCGATACTAAAGATTATCCTAATATATCTGTCTCTTCTTTAGATCTTTTAAAGGCAGCAGGATCTAAATTTTAATTGTGGTGCACTGTGGCTTTAAATCTATTCAAAGGAGACCAACAAATGACGTGGCACTTAAAATCATTAATTATAATAATCCATGCATTTGCGAATGCAAGGATTATTATACAATTTCAATTGTAGAATTATATAATTGGAATGACTTCATTTATAAGGGCAGTAAAATTTCATCCCATCTATTGATAAATGCAGGTTTTTGAAGATGGTATTTAAAGTTTGTGGAGAAAGATATTAAAAATGTTGCTAATTTTTGACAATCTTGGCTTTGAGAATGTTGCATTTCAACCTCCTCGCTTGCTAAAGAACTTAAAATACAAATATGAACTCTCAATACAAGATACAATCAAACTATCAAATATACCTCACCAATTTTGAATCAAATATTTTAAGCAAATATGAGATAGCAAAAGAAATAAAACAAGGTATTTGCATTCTTCGCCCAATTGATTTTAAAATGTATTTACAAATTGATCGCAACTGACTTAACTTTAATAGTGAATAAAGAATACTTAGGGGTGATTATAAAGGAAAAAAATCCTACTGAGGAATTCAGGTAATATTCTGAATTACAGAAGCAAAAATCAATCAGATTACTAATCTGCATCTGAAGCCCAAATTGAATTGTGTATTCTGTTCCCATTTAAAGGAACATATTTAATGTTATCAAAGAGATAGCTGCCCAACCAAATATTTCACAACATTAAAAAAATTAGCCAGCATCGTAGGTGATGCTCTTTGCAAATGTAATATGAATAAGA